TTTTCATTGTCCCTACTGATTCGACAACAAGATCCCTGGAGCTCATCTTGTCATCTTCCTGTTATCGCTCTTCCACTACAAGAGATGAGAGATCTGAATATCAAATTCAGAATCACGAAATGAGGAAAATATCATTATTCATGATTTCCACAGCTCTTCTCTCATCCAAAAACTTACAGTTGTCTCAGATCCCAATTGGTAGTTGCAAAGATGTAGAGGTGAAGTTTCTATGAAAGAAAGAGTTGAAAAATCTCAAGAATAATAGAATTACAAATATTTGCACCACGTATCTTCGCTTCGAGAATTCCGCGGATGGAGGGGGAAGGGGGATAGTGAATGATAGAGATGAGTAACAGCATTGCACTAGAGATTGTGGTTCGTGGTTATGTTCATTTTCAAGTATTTTAATACAACTGAATATCTTATCAGAAGAGTGGAAGAATCAACAATTTGTAAGTTTATAAACACATCATCTTTGATCGAGTGATGAGTACGTATATAGGCATAACTGAGAAAATGAAGTTCAAGGGTGTTGTTGTACACTTTGAGCTTGATGTATTTCACGGATTAGCTTGTTGATGATATCTCGAGGGGGTGTTTTTTATTGTCAGGATCCTCGTTCAGCAATGTTGGTTCTGCATCTCGTCTCGTCTTGTCTCGTCTCATTTAAATCCGACAATAGTTTTGTAAACGGTATTAAGGTATTGATTTTCATAACATTGATATTTGAGTTCTCTTTTGAAAGCTTCTTTCTACAAACTCTTAACTGTAAACATGTGCGTCTTCCTTTCCTTAATCTATGGAGCTGGTGCACAGACCCAGGAGCTTGGCACCTGGTCCAACCGGATGAATGGTTGATGAGTGATAGTTTCAAAGGTATAGTGTGAAGTGGAAGGTTTAGATAGTTCTCTGTGATGGGATTTTTATTAGCTGCTACGAGTGAGAACTATATGGGGATCAAAAGATCAATAGTATCGTGAATAAGAAAATTGTGGATGGTGGAAGTGTGGATGTGTGGATCTGATTCTCGAGAGGAATAGTAACAGATAAAGATCGCTTAGGTCAGTTCCAAACGCGTGTTGTGGGTATGAAAGGTTCTATTCTAGGCATATAATATCGTGAGATGTTATAAATCATACAGTCACACTTGCCATATCAATCTGTAATTGGTTTATAAAATCATATTCGTAAAAATTGTAAGTTGCCGAAGGGATGTCTTTGGCGTATAATGGTGGCACCAAAGTCCAGTGCTTACACACTGCATTTTATTGTTATATCAATTACACAATCGAGAAATGTCGACTTTCGTCTGATTGCTTTTACATCTTTATTACGTCTCTGTCTCTGATGCAACGACGTAGCTTCTATCTGCTGTTTTGGAGCGGATTATTCTTGAAAAAATAGATGTGAATAAACTATATGGCCTTTTAGACAATATTACAGAGGAGTAATTGTGTGAACGTAGGTGAATGACTTCAATTCAATGGCTACCGGACGAAAACTAAGCGAATACGAAAGAGACTAGTTCTTTCAGTAGTCCTTATTTAGGGCCCGTCATCTGTAGAATAGCTAGCTCTTTAGACAGAATAAAATATAGACATTTACGACCTACAGATCTTAGGTGTTACGTCTTTCGTATCTTTCTCAAACAACAGTAATTGATGATTAGTATAAGCGGATAATAACACTGGTTTACTTTGAGGAAAGCAAGGCAGTGGAGGCATCGTTGTTGAAGGTGGGAAAGGGTGTAGAAATATTAATAACGAGAGCTCAGATTATTCCGATGTATTATATTCACATCTTTCGTACTTATCCCTAACCTCGATATGTGAGATTTTATATCATGAAATTGGAACTTTTACTCGCGTACTATATTGGAACTCGCTTAGGTAATGAAGATGATGTTTGTCGTTTAAGGGATGTTATTGAAAGAAAGAGATTATTTCCGCGTTTTCTTGGTAGGGCAGGGAACGCTTAAATGCGGAGGTTAAATTATGGATCGCGATACAATGAGTGAAGGTGGTGTTGACGAGGATGTAGGTACAGCCTTGAAGATCACCAGGAGAGTTAAGTTGCATGTGGGAGTAGAAAATAGAGATTGATAAGCGGCATAGCTATTCCGAGCCATAAAAAAGGTTTAATCTTCTCCTTGAATCTGAGAGCCAACACCAATACCAGCACAAGTCCCGCTATACATAGCACCTACAACATTCTTTAACATTGACGCGCAATCTCCAGTTGCAAAAGCCCCTCTTACACTCGTCTCGTTAAAAGGCGCCGTGACCTTAGTATCTCCTTGCTCGGTTAATTCGATCCCGAGTTGATGAGCAAGATCGTTGGTCTGCTCAGTTACTGGTTTATGAAGCAGGAACGCGTGTGTATGATCTTCTGATCCCGCTACATTTTCTTTGTCAAAAGAAATAGTGAGGCCAGACGATGGATTGTCATTTGGGATGAATTTCTGAATCGAGTACTTGCAAATTTCGATTTTACTGCGACACTTGGAGTTGATATTCGGATTTGAAGCGACTTTTGCAGCTTCTATTTCTTCAGCTAAGGCCTCGTTTCCGTGCGTATAGATTGTAACGTTTTCAGACAATCGAAGTGCCTGGCGAGCTAGGTGAAGAGCTACATGAGGTGACGCACAGTCACCAATTGCAAGTACGCCAGCTGACTTCGCAGGAGAAGATTCATAACCGTGGCAATAAAGACAGTGAAAGCTGTAGTAATCTTAGTCAAGGAAATAATAATAGATTGTGATAAGGCTCGGACGGAAACATTCAATCAGGGAAGAGTGATCAAAGTGCACTTACATGCTTTTAACCCAGCATTCTTTATAACCTTCAATATCCACCATGATGTCTCTCACACCAGTAGCAAGAACAAGTTTCCTTCCCCACCAATCTTTTCCGGTGTCATCGATTGCTTTGAAGATATCCCTCCCCTCTTCGTCTCCATCCTTGGATATCTTCTCAATAGTTTGAACGCTTACATCCTCGAAACGTATGGTCTTGTACCTGGCCAGAATATCTTCTCGAGAAGCAGCGCGGAATTCCGAAGGATCTCGATGATCCCATGTAGATAATGTGTGCATGTGCTTAGACTTTTCGTTCCGGAATCTGTTGCTGGAAAATACAATGGCGGTATGGCGAAGGCGCGCAAGAGAGGCGGCGCAAGATATACCGGCTGGGCCGGCTCCAATGATCAGGACGTCTACAATTGACTTTGGAGGCATAGTAAGGTGAGTCGAAGTCATGGATTGTAATGTTTTTTTCAATTGTATAGAATGATTCACTTAAATGTTCGTTGATTGCTTTTAATGACATCAGATCACAATATATGAAATGACTTTGCACTTGGTCCTTATATTCAGAGCTGGGAATATTTCGGACACAAAATATTCGACTAATATGACATGTTTTGATGGTTGAGATTAGTGACTTTGTTTGTGGTCTATTCGGATAGTTTATGCTGTGTTATCGGGGACTTTTCGGGGACTTTTCGGGCATCAATAATCCATTTACTCCCCGGTTCATCTTGCTCATTCCAAACGCTGAGATGTAAGCTCAGAATTATTCACGATTGATTAAATAAATATTTTAATGACTGGTTCTCTTAATAACATCCATTTGCAAATGAGTTTCATCACAAAACTTAAGAACGCTGATTACTAAAGTCTTGTGACAGGCTTAAGTCGGTACTTCGAACCATGCAGTTTATGTTATTAGTCTGTAATCTGAGAGGCTGAGGAATATTCAAAGTATCTATTGGTATGAACAAATAGCCACTCACTACCTGGTGTAACAATATTTACCATTGGTTTGACAACGTTTTCTTTTTCACTCGGAGCTCACTTGATGAAGGATGTGTGTGACATAGGAGATGAGGAAGACCTAGTGTACCGGCTGCATGTTTGCATCGTTTGATTCGATGTTTAGGTGAGACATTCAGGCGGATCCGGTGGTCGCCAACATTGCTGCGGGGATGTTTATCCTTTTGGAGCGGTTGATGATTGACATTGCGATTCTTCCTAGTGTCGCTATTATAGGAACAACAGCACGGGCTGATAGTGGCTGAAAAGGCTAAACAGAGCGGGTATCATATTTTCCAGACTACGAACTAGCCTTGAACAATCAGACGGGATCTAGAGATTTACAAAAGCTCAAAATACTGAAACAAAGAAACCCATATATTTCGCAAATCCAATCTAAGATATCAGATTTTCAATGATCACATTAGCCGTCACAATATTTCCCACATTCCGAAGTCCCTGAACCCAAATCTATTATTAGCATTTCACTGCATGCTTTTTGAGCCGCTTCCCTTCTCTCAGGAACATACCGCGCATACACCAATGACCCGCCCTGTGTTCTGTGTTGACGTGCAGTATCAGATACGATGTTATCCAAAGGATCGGCTGTAACAAGAAAATATGAGCTTAGTAAACTCAGCTGCCAAGTCAAGTGTTTAACATGCTTATTCGCTATCGTTTTGATTGATTACGGACCCAGATCTAGCTGGTGTATATCATACCATATACATCAAATGTTGTCCCTCTCAAGATTTGGTACCAATCTCACCCCGGATATTGAAGATAGACGATTCGAATCCTATAAAGAAATTATAGTCAGTTCTATATGTCTGTTCAGATTGTGTCATCTTAGTTGATACCGAATTTCAAAAATGACGAATAAGCATGGTTTCGAACAGGGAATCCAGTAGATCTAACCCTAGATCAATAATAGGCTCTAGAATTACCTGTAGATCTTTTGTTTGAACTTTTCAATAAGTTTGCACTGCAAGCAGTAATCTGCAGATTATCTGCAAGACCAATAATCTGCTCTGCAGTTACCCGTTGCGCAGTCTATAGATACAGGATTGAATTTGCCTATCATAGATACCAACCACATTTAAATCATCTGATTTCCTCTCACTCCATTTTATACTGCTGATTGTATTCGAAACACAACTGTACACACTTGTTAACAATTATAACAATAATGGAAAATTCAATTCTTTCTCACTTCTCGTCATTCAATCGTTCATTCATTCTCCGAACACTCTCCAGCATTAAATATGGAAGACTATACATCACAATGAAAGATGAAAATGAGACGAAACCGAGACTTTTCGGTAACACATCGACAGAGTCGATCGATTCAAGCGAGCCCAAATGCTCAGTTATTATTAATAGCCCTAACGTTTGGACTCGAATGTCTATCAATGCTGATTTGGTGAGCCTCATTGAACATATTTGAATTCTCGTCGCAGATAATAATCAGATTCTCAAGGGATTTTCAGAGGCATTAATGGTAGGAGAATTGGAGTGTGATGATCTTGTTGCTCTTGTTTCCGTATGTGGGCTTCTGATTCCAACCCCATCAAGCTAAAATTGTCTGGGCTCACAACAGAAAACCACAGATATACATACAAAATTATGCACTTTTCGGAACTGGTAATATCTTTCTGCAGATAATTCCTCGTATTCAAAAACTCTTCTTCAGACCCTCAAATGATAGTCGACGCGCTCTCCAGAACGCATCATCCCACTACGATACCTCGAACGCACTTTTCTCTTCTTTTCTATCCCCAGACATGAGTTACTCGTGTCCAATATGGGATACTACTGGTAAAGAAGAAACTCTCGAGGAAGCACAGAGACGAAAAGTGCACAATATTATTGATAAAGCGGATATCAAGCCAGAACATCACATCCTCGAAATTGGAGGCAGATGGGCATATCTAGCTATCGAAGCTGTGAAAAAACTGGATGTAGAGTCACAGTGACAACTCTGTCAATTGAGCAAAAGACTCTGGGCGAGAAAAGGGTAGAAGAGGCGGGATTAAAAGATCGAATTGAGATATTGCTTTGCGACTATAGGCAGACTCCTAAGCCTAGTCCTGCAGGGTTTGATAGGATAATCAGTGTCGAAATGGTGGAACATGTTGGGGAGGAGTACATGGAGACCTATTTTAGGACGATTAGCGAATTGTTGAACAAAGAAAATGGAATCATGGTAATACAAAGTACAACCGAAACAAATCAGGTCAGTTCACACACCCTTTGAGCTGTCCGGTCGAAGCCACTTGAGTTGGCTATGGTGATGAAATCTTCAAAAGTTGAATTTTCATTGTTTAAAATCAGTATGGCGATTGATTATCCAGCAGGGCTTCCACCAAACTCGATCCAAGATCGACACTTTCATGGAGCGTTACATCTTCCCAGGAGGATATCTCCCCACCGTAAGAGAGATCATTGAACGCCTTGAAGCGGGATCTACTGGTTCTCTAGAGCTCGAAAGTGTGCAAAGTATAGGTCCTCATTATGTGCGAACTTTGCGTTTATGGAGGGAAAGCTTTATCCGGAACTGGGATAAGACTAAGCTGTTATACATGAAAGAAAGAGGAGACATGACACTATTAGATCTCGAAACTTTCCAAAGAAGGTGGATTGTAAGTGGTTAAGTTTTCGTGGTGAGAAGTCAACCGTTATTAATGTTTGTTCTAGGGTTACTTTAGTTATTGCGAAGCAGGCTTCCGAGCTGGTATCTTAGGAAACCATGTAATTACTGCGAAGAGGCCACAAGTTCTGTCCCCAAGTGGAATTGTTCCACTTTAATGGGCATGAGACACTGAATGGCGGACGTGAGGATTCTGCCAGCGATTGTACAACACCAAGTTATAATAAATGTGTGGAATGGAGTTTTTGATAACCTGAATTTTATAATAGGTACTAATATGAGTTTTTGCGTGGAATACATCTGAATTAACAAACTCCATGGCTTATGTGACTGGTGATGTATGCAAATTGTGATCGAGGGCAGGCGCCTATGTTATTTCCTCTTGATGCTCAGGGAGACTTCAGTTACTTGCGGACCGTCTAATAATGATAGCAGCCAAGGTATACTGCCCCCCGGAAACAAAAACAAAGTTGACATGATGAAATAGAATAAAAAGGTGTGAAATTCTGAAGAGAATTTAACGTTAATGTCTAGGTTAATATCGCCAGATGAGTGTTTCGCAAAACCTTCTTCCCAACGTGAATTGAACCCGATAAGTCAATCTACAACCCCTCGATGAGTACGGGCAAAGTTCATAATAATTCCGAAGGGCTCCCAAGAGAAACACTTGCTTATACCGTCACTTAGTGACTTAACATAACCACTTTCAACTTCAATTCCATCCTATCCAATACCTGATGCATAGGCATAAATCACGGTATTCCTGGAATGTAGATGTTTTTACAAAGGAAAAGCGAAAATGCGATCATAAGCATCAGACGTACTAACATCAATGCAGTATTAAATTGAGACAATTGTACGTAGGAAAGAATTACTCGCTGCTCTTATGACAATTTCAGCAAAAACAACAGACAATTCCCCTCTACATCTCTGCCAAATTATACCCATTACCCTTTTCCATTGCCCTCTTCCAAGCATCCCTCTCTTGTATCCTCTTCCTCCACTGGGAAATCTTGGGGTATTTCTCGAAGTCCACATACTTCTTTGCAGCCAAGAAATCCATGGGCCAACTCAGCATCACATCAGACCTTCCTAAATTCTTTCCATTGAACCAGTCATCTGTCAGTTCCTTCTCCAGATATTGAAATTGAGTTGCATATTCCGGCCCGGTGAAACTCTTATGTACGTTCGACTTGACACCACCGAGTAATATTGATACTGGCCACGGAGATTTTGCTGCCACGATATCAAATATCAACTCGATCATTCCGATAGTCCCAACAGTCGACCCAGCGAAGGACGACAAACTCTCATCGCGAATTTTATCCTGTGCCGCAAATTTACCATCTTTATCGTACGTGTCAATCAGGTATCCGAGGATTGCACTACTCTCTGCGATGGGCACATTGTCGGATGTAACAAGAACTGGGGCCTTTCCCATGAAATGAACATTTTTGAGCTCGGGTGGTGCACGACCTTCAACGCGTGTATGGCATACGAGGTTGTATTCGATTCCTAACTCTTCGAGAAACCAGAGGATTCGTTGGGATTGGGAGTCCTACATGAAGGGATGGCATCAGCATATATGGGTGCATTTGGTGGGGTGATGTTGGTTTGGAGGTTGGGACCGACGGGATGATTGCCCGGCCCACTTACATTGAGGTGGTGGAAGGTTGGAAGTCCAGGTTTGTTTGTAGACGCCATGATCAATGTGGTGTTAAATTTTCATATGGCATTAATGAGAAGATCATTCGTTAGATGACAGATGAGGTGTCACGATTTATACATGTCGTCAGCTTCCCGGACTCATGTTTCCCTTCCTCCCGTTCGGGATTGCGCATTCCGAGGCCAAAGCTGCTCTTGGAACCTTTTTTATGAGGCATTAATATCTTTTCTTTTGTATGAACTTTGTACCACCATCTGACTGAGCGCAATCAATTTTATCTAATACTCGCCGCCAAGTCTATACCTCAGTTGCCAGCACCGATAACAATCGATAAAACTTTGATTGCTTTTGAACTTCTTCAATTTTATGATTGGTCTTGAGAAAGCCAATGGTGGGTAGTAGTCTACACAAAGCTGGGCAGAAGCATTTCCGACATGGATAACTGCATATGCAGTGAACATGCGGTGACAAAATTGTTATCGCCCACACCCAAAGGTATCTTGTCAGATCACCATAGGTCCTTCAGCTAGTAGCGAGGATTTTATAACTAAACCGTATCTTCGCTTTCTTGACCACTTGTTATCCCTTCGTTTCTCTTCACACCAAAGTCCTGAACTGTGTTCTTATCATCATTACCATGGCTACCGTCAAACCAAAACCGATAGTTCTGCACATTGGCGACCCAGTCAAATGGAACCTTGATTTATATAATCAATTTGCCGAAGACTTTACAGTCATACGACCTTCAACAGAAGAGCGTCAACGTGATGAATTCATGAAAGGCTTGAAAGAAAACAGATGGGGGAAATTTTCCGCAATATTCAGACCGTTCTGGAATACTGGTGGTGAAATGGGGAGATGGGATTCAGAGCTCATCCCCTTAATACCCGAATCGTGCCGAATATTTGCATCCGCGGGAGCTGGTTTTGATTGGGCCGATGTAGACCTTTTGGCCGACCGAGGTATGATCTTGTGTCATAACCGTTCAATCTATGTTGCTAACACATGATTCGGATAGATATTGTCTATTGCAACAGGTTTGAGTGACTTTTGTGTCTTGCGCATATGTGATTAATAAATTTGCACAGCGCCACAGCCACTACCGAATCTGTATCAGATTTCGCCATTTTCTTGATCTTAGCTACATTCAGAAACCTCACTTGGTGCAACTTCCAATCTTACCTGAGATCATACATTACGAGTACTAATACAAATAGGTGCACCCAATCTGCTCGTTCCGGTGCAGCTTCATTCCAAGATTGCCACACCAATGCCGCAGCTATGTCCCACAATCCTCGCGGCCATACGCTTGGTATTGTCGGCTTGGGAAACATTGGTTATAACATCGCTCGGAAAGCTTTCCTAGCATTCGGAATGAAAATCTTGTACTACGACATTGTCCGAAAGACTCAATCCCAGGAAGCTGCCATCGAAGCACAATTCTTCACTGATTTAGATAACATGTTAGCCCTTAGCGATTGTGTAGTTCTTGCTACACCTGCTTCTCCAGATGGAAGAAAATTTCTTGATCGACAGAGGTTGAGCAAGTTCAAGGAAAAAAGTAGATTTGTGAACATTGCCAGAGGTATCTTAGTGGATGAGCAAGCATTGGCCGAAGCTGTTGAGTCGGGAAAATTGGTGGGTGTAGGGCTGGATGTTCATGAGCATGAACCTAGAGTAAACGAAAGGCTAAAGGCCTCGAGGAATGTCACACTTACTAGCCATAATGCTGGTGGGACACTTGAAACGTATGTCTTTTTACTCATAGTGTTTCACAAATTATTGACATTTCTATAGCCACATTGGATTTGAAGAATTGGCAATGAAAAACATCGATGCAGTATTGAAAGGAAAGGAGCCATTGACACCGGTGAACAAGCATTTGATTGGAAAGGTGAAGCATACTTTGTAAGAATGTATCCAAGCAGGTACTATGGCAAGTCGGCATTACACAAAATATCAGGAAATACCGCTACTCCGCATGTTACCTCAGAGGTTTCCGAAGGAAACCAGTATCGAGAAGACTTTAAATGGTAGTCAAATCTGGGAGAATGTGGTGAAATATGATCGCAGATCAGTAAATGAAGGAAGAGGTACATGGGAGAATTTTAAGGCATGGGTTAGTTTTCAATGTTCCACATCAAGTAGCACTATGCGACTCTCTCTCATTCTCACGACAAATAGTATTTGTATCAACGACGTTATGCACATTTCAAAGTAATTGTAATGAAACCATAACATATCAATAATCAGCTATTGAATTGCTCCATTTCATGATAGCTTGAGCAAAAAACAATCATATTGCTTGACCTTCCAAGTTAATCTGCCACTCTTCCAGACCTGAGACATTTCTTACCCCGCGCCCCTCTTGCAATCATAAATAAATCCTTCATTCGCCGGTGAACTGATTGAAGGAACGTTGCGAAAAATTGAACTTCGCGATATGTCTTGGATTATTGATGGAAGCGCTTGAAAGACAGAAACGCTCACCACCGATACGATAATGAAATGACAAGTTTTGACGTTGATCAGTTGGGCGTTGGATGTATTGCAAACATTGAATCTGTCAATCGATGCACCCAGTGGCAATCCAGCAGTGCCCTAGGATTGCCAATAGTTAGCAGACACACACGAAACATCCTCTTAGGATTAGTGCCACCATTTCTTCACGCGTTGACCAGGGATCCAGGTACGAGGTGCACCTACTCCGTCCACCTTTGTCGAAATGTTCAAAATTCGCCCGTGATCACGTCTGATACCACCATGTGCATCCGAACATTTCCACTCATCATCAGACATTTCTGGCAATGATCCATATCCGTCTTTTCGATGATCACTATCCCTTGGCAATTTTCCAGTAGAGCCTGGATTAGTTTGGGATGGGCAAAGGGTGACAGTCCAGGTGCAAAAGCTGGTACCGTAACTACCTGGACGTTCGTGTTCTCGCAAATCTTTGTAGCGACTATAAATACCACTCCGGATTGGAACATGAGCTTGCCCGACACCATTATTCAGTAAACTGTTTGGTGTAGTAAATGGTGTAAATAGCTGATTGACAGATCGCTCGTCGACAAACTTCATCCATTCAATAGACTTTCCCCACTCGCATCTATGATCTGCAAAGCGACCAGATGGATAACAAGCAATTGGAGGTTGGGAGTAAGCGCCTAGTTGAAGTTGCTGGAGATTCGGTAAACCGAAAACCACTTTACCTACAATACTATACATCTTACCGTAGTCATACCCCATTTCTTTTTCCTTTTCACCAGTTCTATTGTAGTAGTCAAAGGCGAGGGGGCGCTGATGCAAGGTGAGCTTGCGTATTCTGGGACAGACCTCTGCTATGATGAGCGTATACATAGGCAAAATTGCTCCAAGCCCGAGCGCCGTGTTCTTTTCGCGGCGTGTCCTAAGAGTGGGCGTGAATTCTCCATCAAACTTGATGTCTCTCAAGAGTGAAACATTCTTTCGTTCAATGTATGCTATAAAACGAACGAATGGATCTTTTGCAATGAACGCGGGGTGATAGCATTCCAGGTCAAAAAGCCTCTCTACAGCGATATTGATAGTGGCTTTACTGGGCAATTCCTCAAACAGCGGAAAACCAGGAATATCCCATGGTGTCTTCAGCAGGTGCTTCTTATGACAGTATGATAAATCAAACTCATATTTGTTCTCTCCGTAAAGAATTGCAGTGCACTCTTGCTCCATTTGTTTGCATACTCGAATGATACTGACAGAACGACCAAACGGGTGGATTTGAAATTCGGTCTTGTTTATGATTTGAGGACCAAATCCATCTCGATTATGTACAGCACACTTAATCTGCTGACCAGGCTCCGGGGAATCATCGATCGTGAATTCTTTGACTCCACTTTGAATAAGCTCGAGTTGCTCGCGGGTAGGGTTTGTGGTCCATGTGATTTCTCGACTAATGGTGTTACCACCAAAATAGGTCTCTGGAACTGGCGCCTGGGCCCAGCTGTAACTGTATTTTCGTTGCAACCTACAATGCTTGTGACCTTCGGCTTCACACCCTGTTGCAAATAGGTACTCTCGTTTGCGAACTCTTAGGACGATCGCAACCGGTTTGACAAAGATGAGTCGCCAGATTTCATCGCGAATCTCTGATTTTTTATTGGTTCCTGAAGTTAAGATAAAAAGATTGATAACTTACCTCTGGGAATTTCATCGAGAAGAGCACAAACATTCGGCTTGGGGGATTTGATACTGGTTTCGACCATCATAGCATCCGCTCTTGAAGCTTTCGAAGTTGAATCAGCATCCAGTGTCTGATTTTTGCTCGCCATGATGAGTGATGATTGCTAAACAGGCAATCCAAAAAATCGGTAAGTTTATCCAATTTTCGGATTTCAGGCAGGTGGATACTAAGTAGCCTAATAAGCCAGAAGTAGTAGCAAGGGAGCAGAATATATGGGATAAGTCTCTTTATGACTATTGAGAGCGAATCAAGTGAGGGATATATTGTTGAAGTCTTGTAAAATATATGCAAACTACATAAAGAGCGAGGTAGCTGTACGATTATACTATATTACCCCGCTAGTTTAAGCGTCGTAGCGAATATGAGGTCATTACCTAATCCCAGCGATGATACTACCGAGGTCGTAACTGATACTGTAGGGTGGCATAGAACTAGCGCTTTGTACAACTCTATAACGTAGCGAATTCAAAAAGATTTTACCTAATGTCCTATAGGTAAGTTAGAGATCCGCTCAGGACTCTCCGTTTTTACTACTCTAATATGCAAACTGAAATCAAATTCCTCAATCCCTTTGACCCCCGACTTGAAAATCGAACACTTTTATCCATGAACTGCAATTAGAACTGTTGAAGTTTCCGAAGACTACTGTAATAGATTAGTTTTATTGAAGTGTTTCGAGGGAAAACAATACATTCACATTCATTGATTAAACACAGATAGAGCCAGGAATTATTTGGAGAAATCAGGATGACATGGGTGAATTGAGAAATTGATTGATTATCTAATATACGAATGGAAAAATCAAAAATCAAAAGGAAAAAGCAGATATAGTTATAAGCCTCGCTAGCAATGGGCACGTCACATCGTGTTAAGATGATACCCTCATGAATTCTTTCAGAGATTTTATCCAGCACTGCAAATATGGGAAGCGATTTATACTATCCCGAACTCATCAACATCGTGGTTTTTCCTCATCCTCCTTTCTCTCTTCGTATTCTGATCCTGCCAGTGCGCGGCTCTGGGCACGTTGTTTAACGAATTCTATCCACTTCAAAGCCATCCCCCACTCATCTTCTGGGTGCACTAATTTTATGATCTCACTACCCGGAGTACCCGGATCATATCCACACCCGGCTGGTACGAACTCGTATCGGCCTAACTGTAGTTTTTGAAGATATGGAAGCGCATGAACAAGTTTCTCGACAGACTCATTTATTTTTTGGTTCCTGTCCGTACCTCGCGGATCCAGCAGCTTCATTTGAGGATAGCCCCGATCGTCGTCATGCAAGATTAGGGTATGAATGTCTTCACAAACTTCTCTGAGAATGGTAGTATAAATTGGAAGAAGGTCATGAAGTCCGACTGGGGTAGACTTTGTGTACTGCCATTTACCGATGATCCAGTTAAATTTACCTTGAATGACAATTTTGGTAAGCCGCGAAGCATTATTCCGGCCAATCTCCATCAGGAATCTAGTGAATGGGTCCTGGTAAATGAACTTTGATTTCTGTTCATTTTTCTCTAGGTCTTTATAAGCGAATTTCAATTTGTCTTGATCCTGTTGAAAGATCGCATCAATAGAGTGAGAAATATGTTCCGCAGTTGGCATGGTTCCATCCTTACGTCGATGGCCTGGAATCTCATCGAAATCATGCGAGAGCTGGTCCATGGTGACAGCGCTTTGAGGTCCGGTAAAGCTTGAGGAGCCGCGTGTATCGAAAAGAAAGGAGTTTTCTCCGTAAAGTATAGCAACTCCCAATTTATTAAGTTGTTTGCAAGAACGCAGGATCGCAACTCCTGATATTGCAGTGAGAGTTATTTTCGATCGGTGAATGACTTGAACACCATAGCTCTTACGATTATGTAAAAAGCCTTGGATTTTCCGACCTGTTTTGGTTATAGTTGTAAGCTGATTACACCCAGCTTCAATGAGTTTCGCCTCCTGCTTCGTAGGAGTTGCAACCCAGAATATTTGTATGGGCTTATCTTCCATGTGCTGTGGAAGACGATGCAGTTCGTATTCCTCTTGACGTGCCTCGCTCCATTGGTACCTGTAGTGCAGTATTGGGGGTTCTGCCCTGCCACCTTTTTCTCGAATAATAACTGGCATTATATGTGTCTGGGGAACCAACAATTCTCTTAAGATCTTCGCTAAGACGTCTAAAACAATTAGATGAATCTTGGGAATGGAAAGACAAGCATTGGGCTTACTTGTGGGAAGATCTAATAGTACTCTTCTTTTTTTGATTGGGGAATACTTTTGAAATGAAGATTTGTTTCTCTTGCTATGCTCACTTGAGACGGCGAAAGGATTGTCGTAAACCTTAGCCCTCAGCATAGAGCTATAGGCCTTCATTGAAAGGCGACCTATTGATGTTTTGTTTTGAATTTTCTTTCTATTGATTAACTCAGGTTTGGAAATTATGAGAGAACTTAAGATAGTAGATCATATTTAAACGCTTATATTTATGCTGAATTAAGACTTCAATTCAGAAGCCGTACTTAAAGTTTCGGTCCACTAGGCCGTAGTATCATGATGATTTGAGTTGCCAAGCGAAAGATCTTGCAACCTATTGTCATTGCATTGCACTACATAGAAGTTTTTGATCTCGAATCTAAAGCCCCTCACGACATAAATGTGACAAATTCAATGAGAAGCTATTTTCAAAGGGATGGCTCTATCAGTTCTGCAACTAACTTTCACTTGATCGTCTTCATTTTTTTAGGAATAAAATGCACCAAGAACATCGATCATCTTCAATACTATGAGGCAAAAAATCGTGATAATCAAAATTAAGATGATTCTACTGTTCAGGGAGCACAAAAAGTGGCAGAAGTACACCCAAATGTACCCTTCCATGGTGTACTGCCCTGATATTCACCTAGACACAGAAGACATCAAATTCAAAAGATCTAAGCATCCTCTACTCCCCAAACCTGGATGCTAAACAAAAGCAAATGAATTCTTTTGCTTGAAATATTCCGTCAAAGAATACAACATATTTTAATCTATGGATATTCACATCGCTTGGTGTGAAAGTCAGGATCTCCGATGTCTTGGTTAATTCTTATTTGGTTGGCGAGTGAGATTCAGTATTCGCCGTCTAATTGGAAGTCGCCGTGATATATCGTGGAACTTTGGTCTCCTGGCATATTACAACATAGCATATAGCATCAGATGTGTTCACAGGTTATCAAGACATTCAAGCATTGTTTCAGTATCAAATAGTAGGTTTTCTACAGTAACCAATGACCAGAGGAAATAAGTATGATAATTTGTAAATCAGTTGAAGGATGTCTAGCTTTCCTCTAGATGACTTGAACGTCTGTACATAGACACTCTATAAGTGGAGTTTTCCGCATACAACCTTCCATCCTCATGTACTTTTGTGCACTCCCACAACCATTCCCTTTCCGAAGACGAGAATCCATCCAATTGCAACAACTGCGGTACTATTTCGCTATCAACTTCAGGCTTCCATTCGCGAAATTGAAATATATCACCAGGTTCTCCATCCGGATTGTTGGTGAAATATCGAGTCTCGTAGCTCCCACCCAGCTCTCGCGGTTCCAATCGAAGTACAACAATCCAAGGAAATACTTTTAATTTATCACCAGAAACCTCTCTTGACTCCTTCAGATTGGATTGAAAGTTGTTATAGTAAAAGAATCTTTGAAGTTCTCTAGGACTTGGGGGTGAGCGCATTGAGAGACATCGGAATTACACTCTGAGAACAAGGGCTTGTGGTTTGTGGTATGTTACCACTTTTCATCTTCAACATGCTGAGAGACAATCTGCAAGTAATTGCGATCAACAAATAAGTATATCGCCTTTGAATTCTTAAAAAGACGTAGAGCTTGACTTTCTTATGTTTGTTGGCTCAACTTGGACATTATCCAATCATGGAAGAGTTATATGACAACAAGTGATGACTTGGAAGGATATAAAAAACAATGTCAGTAACGAGAAACAGTGTTTCTATAGAAGATTTAGGACCTTCTATGGCCTGATGAGGAGTCCGACGATAATAATTCCTTAGTGTTCTGACGCGAAGTGGAATCAAATCAAATTTACCTCGTAACTTCGGGAGTAGCCCTCCTGAGATTCTCGAATTTTTATCTTGAAATTGCTCTTTACTTTGAACCATGAATTTCCCTCTGGAAATGTCTTTGCGCCGTGTTGCAGATACCTCACCCGTACAAGGACCGGGCGCTGGCATGTTCCACCAAAAGAACTAATTCATTTCTTCAGCCGCGTAGTTATAAACCCCCTAGAAGCTCTAAACCATCGCCCCGAATCATTCTCACTCCTCGATACCCCATCCAAAATTTAAATCACCCCATTATTCCGTGAAGAGAGATATCGAATGGGGAGACGGCCAACACGATATTTCATTTTGAGTCCCCGAGAACTCAAAGCCTGAAGTACTAAACCAGTTTGTCCGACTTGTATCTACTGAATAATTCGAGTGGGGAGGATGAAGGGAAAATTTACACTTTTGGGAAGAGGGGTATGATAATAGAGATACTTTTGGTTGGAAGTATGAGGATACTTGGGATCATGACCGGTCGTATGAAGTGGTACTTTGGAAGAAGTAATAATGTTCTAAAGTCTGCGAGGAGATCGTTATGCAAAGGCACTTAGAGTAGTTTTGGCATAGCATATGAATTTTATACTAGGTTCAATAAGTATTCTGCATGATAAGAATAGTTGGTAATGTATAAAGTGGGAGATTATAAGGCTTTGCAGCGGAAAGCCGGGGAGCGGGGGGGATGGTGCGGAACAATACATTTCCCATTTATGTCTGCATTCGCACTATTAATTCTAACTCCAAGCGCTTTAAACAACGTGTGTAACGGCCACCCAAAATCTCCCAGTGTGGAGGAATTTTTTGATCTATGATGTCAATCAAAGTGTTATTTTTAGACCAATGAGAAAATGACTCGGGGAACCCCAGTGGTCATAAGCGTCATATAGAAATACCATGTTGTATCCAAATAGGGGGTTTGTATGTATTGCAAGTTTGGACTGCCTGACGTTCGCAAGTGATCTCATTTTTACGCCTGACAAACCAGATGACAGATAATTGGCGAGCTACCGCAAAACGTATGCCAAGCGATTGTGATAAAAGGATTAAGAGGACGTCAGGGACTGCAAATCCTAAGTCCATACAAGCCAGATGTCAAGGCAAGATATTTGAAAATGATGAGATGATTATCGGAAGGAGGATTGAACAGATATGTACGCCTATATATATCAGTTGATAGCCCGCCCTCTAGGTGCTCCATATCCATCAGTTCTGATTCACTAGATAAGAAGATTTGCCTGTATTCCTATCATTATGGAAGCTCATCCTCCGCCTGATGATGCTTTTTCATCCTGCTGCATATCATTAAGGCGTAGTGATCCACCTAATATACTCACTGACTTCTTTAGTCCCGAAAACTTAACTCGTAACCCACTGTCAGCTCTGAATAACTGCAGCTACGTGAGTGTTTATAGAGCAATGGTTCCTAACATGATCGAAGTGACTATGCTTGATCACGAGAAACCACCTCATTACTTCATCCCCGTACTACAGAACATTCAACCTGAGTTTCCATCAATACGAGAGTTTTTGCAATGGATTCATTAATCACATCCAACGAAGTGGGGTATGATGGAAGTCGTATCGTTCTCGCGGGGATTTCCATTTTTTGGGGAGTGCCCCAGGGCAATACATGGGGTTGGAGTTCCTCATTTTCAGTACAAGGCTGTTGTTCTGACAGCCCCTGTGGGTGCTATACTTGTGACATATACTGACTGGTGAAATTCTCTGACATATGATCTCGTAGATCTAGACGGCGGTACAGATGGACTGGGAGATCAATGACGTAGTTAATCACGCACGTAGAACTCTATCCATGATGCTTTCAATGATTGTTCAGTTCTAGTTCTCGTCCGAAATCAAGTAAATTATAGTATGAGATATGGGTGAGGGTGATTGCTCCAACAGGTCTCAGTAATTTTGGCAGATTCCGCTTACTACGGTCATTCTTAGGAACGTATGTGGCATGGGTTTTTATATCAGTTTGCTCTACATACCACCCAGATATGTTTGAAGCAAGAATGACATAGCAACATATGCTGAAGTTTGTGATGTAGCCCTCAACTCCCAGAGAGATCTGATAGGATAAGGTATTTATGGACTCCAAGAGTGGGAATGATCGACGGTGAAGGGAATTGGTCGTTGAGAGGGGTAAATGAGCCAAGCGAAAAGAGCAGCTCTGTAACACCAGAAGCAGTGCTTACAATAACATGTCTCAAAACGACGGAGTAATATGTTGGTCAATAGCTACAGATACCAGATACGAATTGCACGTCAGATCATGGTTACCCTCCGAGATCCGTGACTTCATCAACATCTTGATACTAGATAAATGACACGGTGACAGATTGAACTTTAAGGAAATTTGGATATCCGACGAATAGGGAGATCGATCTAGCACAGACATCCTGCGGTTATTGCTATTCCTTGGCTAAAGCTACTTGCTTTATCAAGATCTAGAATGAAGAGAGAATGAACCTAATGGACAGCATACCTCCCCAGTTACTGGTAGACGCAATTCTGAAAGGATGTCATAATAGAGTTATTCTTTCAATTTCACCAATTCTTTAAAATGTGGAGTTTTCCCCTTAAATAAGCTCAAAGATCCTTTCCCTGCCGGTAGATCAAACCCCTCTAACTTAGCGCTGACAGGGACCCCCAACTGCGCCACGTCCAGCGTGTCATTGACCGCTTACAGGGCTCACCTATTACGCCATGGCCCCTTCGTTTTAATCTCCATCTGATCTTGACCACCAAACAAAAAAATCTCAAACCTTTGAAAAACAAACGTGCAGAAAAATGAGCTGAGAAATGCACGACGATGCACAAACTAGACATCTTGAATACGAGAAAAGATGGGGAGTATTGTCCTCTATCTTGTATCTTCATTTCTTGCTGATTGATTTCTGTTGCTTGATTCAATGTTCTTGGTAGGTTATTTACTCGGTCGGTCAACCTCATCGTTTTCCTGCCCTTTTCCGTTGTTATAACAGTTGTTTTGATTTGATTTGATTCTGCATATGAACTGGTCAGTTTATCTCTCATTGTGTTGATTTCGTTTCGAAACATTTCTTTCATTCTATATTTCATTCTAGTCCGTTACATTTCAAGCAGTCATACCACATCACAGCATTCACGACGTTGATAAATTCTTCCGGGCCTCGGCCAGCAAATCCTTCAGAATGAAGATATTCTCACTGCCGTCTATTCCTTCGGTCCTGTTATTCACGACCATTCATAAAGTTCTCGCACAGAAAGATAATGGAGAAGATTGTTCATGTTTTCGGACGGATAGTGCATCATCTGGATATTTCACATACCATCGATTTCATGATTTTCGAACAGTAGCAGCAGCTTCGCAGACTGTGCCCGATTTAATCTCGAATGAAAGTGATACATCCAATGCATTGGCAACGTCGGAATTCTTTTCAGGACAGGCTTGGAATAATGATTGGTCGACGCAGAGTTGGAATAATAGTGATTCAATGGAGAGTGGAAGTGGTGTGTTGATGGTTAATTCGCCGAATAATGTATACATTGGTATGCTCTGATCTACTTCTCTCTCTATCTGCCAACCGATATACTAAGATATCTTTCGCAGAAATCTCTACCGATAATGATACCTCCTACGATACCTACCTTACGCTCCGCACAGCGCGTCTCGAAGGCTTCCAATCCGTTGCCGAATTCGACTCCAACGAAAAGAATTTCAAATATTTGTCGGCCCGATTCCTTGCTCGAGTCGTCGGTTCCGAAGGAGCGTGCGCAGGAATGTTCACCTATCTCGAGTCTGACCCAATCCAAGAAGCCGACATCGAGATCCTAACTTCTGGTCCCCGTAATGTGGTCCAATACACGAACCAACCTTCTTTAAATAAGGAAGGTGATGCTGAGCCCAGAGCTACAAGCAATGCTTCGACTGCAGACGGTGCCATGGATTGGAGTGTTTGGAACATCTATCGAATGGACTGGATGCCCAAACAGACATCATGGTATGTTAATGGCGAGAGTGTGGCAAACATTACATACCAGGTTCCGAAGGATCCAAGTGGCTTGATATTAAATATGTGGAGCGATGGAGGGGAATGGACGGGAAATATGAGTTTGTTTGATGAGGCATACCTGCAAATTCAATGGATTGAGTTGGCTTTTAATACTAGCGGGGATTTTGCGGGCAGCAAGAGGAATTTGGAAAAGAGAAAAAGTAAGGGCTGTAAGGTCGTCTGTGGAATTGATGAAGGGGTTAATGTTACGGGTACCCCGGCATTGTTGATCAACAATACGAATGCGGCGACGTTGGGGTGGAAGGAGGGGACAGGTTGTATGGGGTGGGTTCCTGTGCTTGTGGTTGGCTTGGCTGCTTTTGGGTTGTTGTGATCTTTTCCGTCAATTTTTTTGACATACAGACAGATATGAGATGGTTTGAGCATTGAGGGGGAGCGATCGTGTTTCAATAGGTTACGATATAATGAATGTGAAAAAGGATTTTTGGCCATCACATTACCACAGTCACCTTTGTAGCATGGGATCTCACCTGGGGTGGAAATTCCACATATTATTTGCTGTATTTCAGAAGAATGTCTTTCGGAAACTCGAATAACATGGCCACAATCTTCCGATCTTCCGTAGTTTATGCACATCTTCACTTGTTGAACTTCGCCTTGTTACTCTTCAGTTCTCCTAGCTCCCTCGCTTATGCACTTGAACCTGGCACTGGATAATGTGGCCTACTAGAGTGAATTCATTGTAAGATTATCTGATCTCCTTCGATGTAGATTCGTCAATCCCCCTCCTTCTAAAAGATTTCGCTTACTAATTCTTTAGAGTCATAATACACACATATATATACCTCTAGTGCACCCCGCAGGAGCGGTCACCATGGATATATCTACGATACTCCTCAATTAGATTTCGCTGATCCGGAGGTTGATGAGAATAGATGGTTTCTGATTGTGATGAACTTGAGTTGGAGATTCTTGGGGTTCTTGGGGTGGTACGATGATTAATTTTTTGCCGTTGTTATTCCTGTTTCCAGTCTTTGAGAATAGGATGATGGAAATCGAACGATATAGATACTGTAGGATTTTATTTCAAAGCTCTTCAATACAGTATGGTATAATTCACTTTTTATATACTCTGAAAAATCACATCGATCATATCTATTTTGCAAAGCGTCTTTCAGAACTCTCTCTTCCGAATTCCAAATACAAAATCTTAATCCTGAGCTTTGGCTAGGATCTGGAGTTCGTCTGTAAAGCGAGGAACATCCTTTATGATGCCCTCTAGCTAAGTTCTCAGATGCGAAGGGACAGATGCTAAAATTTTCATTGCAAAAAGGGGTAAAGAAAGGTGAATGTTTGGGTCACATTTCCCCTCGCCCGCCGTTGACTCCATCCAGTCTAATTTTTCCATGTGGCATACGCGCTTCTATTCAGTGGAGAAGCATCTTGTGATATTATCCACCTCTTGATTTTAGATTCCTTGGTCCTGATTAGATCAGCGTCCTTTGCTTATTGATCTTGGTGATTCACGAGCAAAGTACTTGTACCTCTGGAGTCCCAACGAAAAAAATACAACTCTACGAGCGAGAAAGTTATACACAATTGCTATGCTTCTGGTTGCTGACCAATCATTTAGCAAGTTCTGTATGAGATCAACATTTCTGTGGTATGAATTATGAAACTTCACAACACGAAGTTTTGTTGTCATTGTGCTTTCTACGTATAGGTGATCTTATTTCCCTCGAATAAGATCACATAAGATTTGATTATCTCATAGTTAAATCAACCGTTTTTGACATTCATAGCCTCGGACAACGTTGATATACCCTTCAGGGTGATCTTGAAACCCCATCGAAGTTCTCTCTTGCTTTGTTGATCGTGCATGTTTGTTCGCAGTCTGGAGTTATGAGAATTATAAATGTATGATATGGATCTTCCGCTAGTGCATCATTATGCCAAGTTTCCTAGAATTGCAAGAGGTGAAAGAGTCTCTCAGGTGCATTGGTGGGGTTAGGGGAAAGGGTGAATGGTCGAGGGTTAACTTCCATTGATTAGATGTTCAAAGCCAGGCTCTCAGTGAATTGATGGTGCATGTATTAACTGTAAGTCTTTTCGCTTACTCACCCTCCGCAGTCCATATTATAGACACAGAAGAAGTCTCCAAGCCGTAAAAGCATATCAAAGGAAGACAACTCACGACTTGAAATTTCCTTTCTCACTTCAAGGAAATTGGTACTCTTCAACTTCTTGATCGCAAAATTGTGGACTGTGAGATTTACCTAGCTAATCTTTGATTGTGATATCATATTTTTGTTGTCCATTTGCAGTAATGAGACGATATACCATGGCATGAAAAAGTCAATTAGATTTTAGGCTTAAGTCAATGGAGTACACAATTCGCTGGGAGCAAATCCCCGCTAATTCTTAACCATTATTCCGCTATTGATCATAAAATGATATCGTAGAAAACCCTCTGCTGTAATGATACGATGGTGAAACTGGTATACTGATGCGTGGTAGGGAGTATCAGAATAGATACAATCCGTGAACCCGCTGTTGTATGAGCTTTTTATGCTGCTTCAATCGATCTAACCTCTGGGTGAGGATTTATTTATGTCCCGAAGACTAGAAGATCAAGAGCAAAAGTTGGAGATAACTGCGTTCTTGATATCCATTACTAGATGAAAAGAAGATGGTCTTGAGCCTCTACAATCAACTTCAGAGTGTTGAGAATATTCACCCTGTCCTTCAGTTCATATAGTCGTGGTCTTGTAATGTACCAATATCTACTCGTTTAGCCACTTTGCTCCCATTACGGACTGCCCAGATGTATATACAGCAGTACGCTCCCAAGAAAGAAACTAATAGTTTAAAATCCCACAGAAGCAGAAATTTCCGAGTATAATGGCGATCAGGTGTCGCAAGCACCCTGTAAATTCTACTGAAGAATTGAACCCCCTCGTTTTGATTGAGTGATATAACCCTTACTTCTACAATTACCTTCGTTACCGCATTTATCATCATCTCTTGTCTCTTCCAATGATATATGGGGTTTACAAGATAATCTCTCGTGAATCAACAGTTTAATACGTTGGCTAGTACGTACAGGTAACTGCATTTTTGCCCACGTGCCTCACTTTCCACGGCTTTGAATAGCTTGAATGTAATTTACACCTATCTTCATGGTATAAAGACTGTTTCACTTCAATAGTTCTTCAGGTTAACTTTGAAAGAGCTGGTGGGTACCTTAAAAGAAAGATGATCCGATATTGAAAGGGGAGAGGGTTGGGAATCAGGTTAGCCGACGGTAGATTTCTGGAATCTATTTGAAGTTGAAGAAGATCTGTTTCACTAACCCAAGATCAATGGTCAGATCATCTACAGGATTCAGCTAGCTAATTGCCCACAGATGACTAGCTGCGCCTCGCTGGTCATGATCTAGTTGATAGATTTGCTCACTACACTTTCAACTCTAGATGCTTAGGTAGCTCCCAAATTAATAATTTATAAGTTAAGTAATTGCCGCCCATAAGATGGTCTTGTTTATCAAGTCATCTCTCTATAGCTCCTTCAATTCCGCCAGGAAGCCTATAGATTGTAGTCATTGGTGTGTTTAGATCTAGCAAATGATTAAAGCAAAAATTGGCCACCATCTCAACATTTTGGTCGAAGTTTGATTATTTCAAGGAAAATTCTTCTGTTCAAATTGAACAGTAGCTTGTATGCCACCCTAACTATCGAAACAAAGAAACAAGTCACATTACTTATCTTCTTCTTTGCTGTCAACACCACATCTCTGATGATAGTACCAGGCCGAATAACTAGGTAAGATGGACCTCTACACCGTAAATGTTTTATGCATATTCTCAATTCTATGTGATGCCAATATCCAGTATATTCAAGTCGAAATACTTTCAGATGGTCCTCGCACAAGTAGAACTATCATATTTCTGAGGATTAAGTGCTCTTGCTACTTATATAGATCTCCCCAATCTACGAGGAAACTACTAGTACATCAATCAATACGCATCATATGATCCGCCCAAATCAGCCTCTATCCCTTCTTTAGAATCTAATCTCAGATGCCCCTCATTCGTTGATGAACGAATGGATTCACTTTTCCATCTTTTCTAGACCCTGAAAACTTTCTCAGATTCTCCCCAACCACTCTTCTTCTATTTAAGAGGTAGGGTTTCCCATTCCATTCAGCAGGAAAACGCGATTGACAAACCGTTCACACACATATTGTGTCTTGCAAGCTATTTGCACAACTATGTGACTCATAGAATAGGTTTGGCGTGAGACTGCAAAGATCTTAGCAATAGGCTTCTCCCGCGTTAGCGCTCGTAATTGTGTCGAGCTTTAGCTAGAAATTATTATGTTTTCGATATGTGACGTTAGTTTAAATGATTGACAACGATAAACAGAAAATGATAGACGTAGGACTAGAATTGATGAGGGATGATAGTCAGTTTTTTGCTCCGAAATGGATCTTTCATTTGGCAATTTGCAATCATTAATGACAGATTCAGGCGGTTAAGCGTTCATGAGGTTATGGTTGTCTCTGTGAATATACCTTGGGTCCACTGGAGAGAATTCTCCATATTAAATTTAAAGAAGCGACTCACGTTTCGTTGCAGCTCCAGATGATCCGATTTAGTTTCTCACATGAGCTAGGTAGTGTTGCATAAGCTCAACAACCGTTCTCCACTATCATAACTCCGAAGATAAGTAGCTTGAGTCAATAACTTAGGTGAAACGAAGCCGAACTACAGTCGTATGATACTCGTTCGTTGATGTAACCCTACGTGCGGGGCAGGTGAGGGGAAATGCGGGGAGGTACGACGTGGAACCTCTAAGCATAAATTATGTTACTGCCATCACCATTCAGGATGTATTACTCCCGGTATATTAAGTGCTGTGTAATTTTGGATGCTGAGATATGGGAGAGGGTTTGAGGAGTGCGTAGAAGCCCATATAAAGACACTCTACAGAGTCAAAACATTTCTTAGTCTTATTTATTCTTCCATTCCTGTTTTGACGTCTTACGAACGCAATCACATGTAAAATGGGAAAGAAGGTCATTGCCGCAGCGGTTCATGCCGCTCCAGTGTTCATGGATAAGAAAGGCAGTATTGACAAGGTTCTAAAACTAATCCAGGAAGGCAAAGAGCAAGAAATTGAATTGCTAGTATTTCCCGAGACATTTGTTCCTGGATATCCAGTAAACCCTTCCGATGCATTTCATTTGCTGCTCGAACTGACACAGAATCTTGCAAACAGTACTTCATTCATACCCACCCACCTCTCAAATGCGTCGACGCACAAGCTCAATATGCGGACGAAAGTGTAGTCGTCGGAAGAACAGGCGGTGATCTCCTTCCTATCATGCATCTCTGTGCCGAACTAAACATAGCTGTTTCGATCGGAATATCAGAGCGTGTGGAAGGAGGTCACACTTTATTCAATTCGCAAGCGTTTATCGATACCGACGGTACTCTCCTCGGAGTCCATAGAAAGATTCAGCCTACGCACGCTGAGCGCACGCTCTGGGCACAAGGAAGCGGTCACACCTTAAAAGTATGGCCAAGCAGCGTTGGTCGAATAGGGGGACTTGCATGCTGGGAAAATGCAATGAACAACGCACGTCAAGCATTAATCGAAGATCGACAAGAGATTCACGCCGCAGCATGGGCAGCTCTTAGCACTGTATCGGGTTTTGAATCGGTAGCCAACATTCAGATTGAAGCATTAATGAAAAATCATGCGTTTACAGCACAAGTATGGGTCATTTGCGCGAGTAATTATGTCGACGATGGGACCCTGGAATGGATGGAGAAAAATCTTGGACCGCAGGATCTCGTTAAGAAGGGTGGGGGATGGAGTGCGATTATTCATCCTTTTTGTGCTGTGTTGGCGGGTCCACATACGGGAGTTGAGGAGAAGTTCTTGAAGGCAGAGATCGACTATGAGGAATTAGGGGGCGTGAAAGTTTGGATTGATGCTAGTGGACATTATAAACGTCCTGAAATATTGAAGTTGGACGTTGATAGAAGTCCAACATGGCCGGATGATGAAATCCTGGCAAGTGGGGCTTCTATAAACCTCAGACCCACGACGGAGTAGGAAGTTAGGAGCATGTGGGAATTCAGTATCAATGAATTGTTGGTTGCTCATAGCGAGAGGTCTTCCAATTGGATTCAAACACTGACATGTAAGACTGAAGTTTGGATTACTTGAAACATTAGTTTTAGCAACTTTGATTATAATGTTAATGTTTGTATTGTTCTTTTATCATACATCGAGTGATTGAATCTATACTTCCTCTCACCAGAGAACCTCAGATATGCATAGCATCAGTCGTTTCCCTCATACCCTCGTTAGCTTTCCCATCTACAGTAGCCTCGCCTGCTCAGTTCTTAGCGATGCTTGCTTCAACGATTTCCGCAACATGAATTATCCTTGCCCAGCTTGCGCACCCAATCATAGTCTTGCACAGATTTCCGTCTTTGTCCCTTTCTTGCATATTTTGCTCTCCACTTTTTCCAACACCAAATTTCTTGTAGAACTGGTGTGCATGCTTAGAGGAAATTGTGTAGGGACGGCTACCGCGATAGTACAACGAATCTTCCTTGTCCCTCATAAACTCCTTTCCCCAATTAGCGATACGAACAATTTCATTTCCAAGTTTCTTAGTGTGTGCATGCTTTGAAAGAGCAAGATATCCATCCACAAGATGATGTAAAAAAAAGGATCCATCTGAAAGCATTCTTTGAGATGGATCTGGATTACAGTGATCGAAAAGTGCGCCCTCAGGATTCATTGCTGCTTCTGCGATTTCTATTGCCGTTGACAGATATCTACGATCGTTGGTAGCTTCGTACAATAGTGTGAATCCATGAATGGCGAATCCACTATTATATGACCATTTCATACGTTCGATTTCCTTGGATCCATCTTCATTTATTTTCAATTGATCCCAGATGAGTTTATCTTTTGGATCTTGCAAGTTCACCTGAAGCCAAGTCAATAAGATTGTGGCAAATCTAAGATAAGATTCAGCTTTATCGTGAGTCTCAATGACATGAGTTGACGGTAAAGCTCTTATTCTCAAGGCCGATATAGCAGCTGGGCCAACTGAGCAAGCAGCTCGAACCTTCTTGTTTGAGAGATGCCATGCAATACCACCTGATTCTTTCTCCGCAAATGGCATAATAAAACACTCCAGAACGTCCTTGGCTTGTAGTAAAAACTCGAGCTGTCCCGTAACTTCATACGACGATACTAAAGCTTGAACAACGTGAGCGTTATCATCATAGTAGATGTCTTCATTTCCAAGGAACATCTTCCAAGCACAAAATGCATGATAGTCCTTGTTCCAGTATTCCTGCTGCACTAAGGCGACTTGATTTATTCTCGAAGGCGAAAGACAATCGGCAGCTGCATGGAGCATGATCGAGACAGGCCATAAGACATATGCGAAATCATTCCCTTTCCCCAGAGTACTTTCGTGCTCTACTTTGCCCTGGAATTGATGTTTTTCCCTGCAGTAAAAGTATTGGAAGGTTTCCTCAGCTAGAGCTCCAGATTCAGTCTCGGCGTTCTTTGCATCGAACACGTATGATTCACTTCGGAAGAATGACGAGATAGCCGGTTTAGACGGGTCCGGAGGGGGTAATTGTGCCTGAAATCGCTCCAAGTCATCATCACGAGGCTCGTCAACGTGTTCCACATTTTGCTGAACATGTAATTCCCGGAGTTGCTGCTCTGTAGTCATTTCGACAGTTTGTTCAGGGATCATAGACTGTTGCTGCTCTGTAGTCATTTCATCTGCTTGCTCGGGGATCATAGACTGTTGCTGCTCTGTAGTCATTTCATCTGCTTGCTCAGGGATCGTAGACTGTTGTTGCTCTGTAGTCATTTCATCTGTTTGCTCAAAGCTCTTAGACTGTTGCTGATGCGGGGTAGCATCTTGCTTAGGCCTCTTAATCTTTTCTTTGACTTTCCTGATGCTCTTCTTCACGAATCGTTTCATAGTGATTGGTAATATTGTTTTGACAGTTTGGAATAATATTTGTAGAACACGGAAGAATTACAACAGAAATTAAAGAGCTTGTAACTTATCTTTTATTTACAGAATGCCACATAGATTTACTGTATCGCAATTGCCATGTATCTTAGCTGCGTTGCAAACAGTGCTTGGAATGCGGGCAGGTACGCTCGGGTACGCTGCACTGGATTTTACTCAAATGTCATTGCGCCACATTAATGATGGCTCAATGGCACGTGAATAGAGTTCCTCGATTAACAAAATTGCAATCACGACTTATTATATGGTTACAATTAAATAAATCACTCTTAACGAATTGATGTTATTTTTCTCTAGATATATATAAAGCAGATACACTGTTCGATTGAAAATTGTATTTTTAACGAAGAACTAGCAAGCTACATGATTGGATACTCAAAACACTCAATGCTTTGTCGCTTCTTTTTAGATACTCCCATATAATGCAATCAGGAAAGAGGGTAAAACTTTTCCGATTGGTTGATCTCAGATATCGCTTGAAATCGTTCGAGTGGCCAGCTTACTGAGGCATCTCCATTGTCTGAGATACAAGTGATGAAGTTCCGTTGACCTGCTGTGTAGTGGAGATTAAGAGACAAGAGCACATTTTCGTGTTAATCATATCATTCATGCCCAACACAGGCTTCCTCGACTGTTCATCTTACTACTTCTTGCTAATCGGCAAATTATTGAGTTCTTGTCTGAAGATTCATTGACAACTTCCTCCTTCGGCTAACTACCTAGGAAAGTGATTTTGCTATTATGAGACCAACTTGTTTTTCTTGTGGTTCTTAGCTGTACAAACATTCTTTAACTCCAGATCTCTCAAATATTCCCCTCCAATCCCACGACCGTAGTTTCCCCATGTTTAAACGTCCTTAATCCCGTTCTTGTGATCTTCAACTGACTCCCACAATTTGGATCTGGACATGCTATCAATCCGTCTGTGGTCATCCAATCATTGGAATGAGTGAAGCGTTGCTTTGCCGCTAATAGAGGGAGAACCGATGCTATGGGCTTGTTAGCTTTGGCCTAATCTATTGGTAGGAAGTTCATGAATGAAGGAACTAACATAAGCTGTAAATGCTGATTCCTTGACCAGGTGGTAAATATAACATTTCTCCCTCCAGACTAAAATGATCACCTTCCTTGGCACCACAGAGAATTTTGGAGGAGGGAGGACAGATAACTTCGACACGGAGATCGAAAAGTTGAAAGGAATCATCAATCGGGGTTGAAGATGTCGTCGCCATTTTTATGGTTGAGCTCAGAAGTAGAGATCGCCAAAAGGTGTTGTATGTGTAGTGGTGGTAGTAGGCTAGGATTTGAAGATTGGCTGGGAGGGTGTAACCTTACTTCCGGGTAAGAGTAGATCTAGATGTATCTTCGGGAATACAGCCTTGATATCTAACCTCACCAAACAACAAGGTTCCCACGATCTGTCAACACAATAATCCGCTGAGTGACCGAATACTATCGGCGTTCTACGATAAACAATCATTATTCCAGGTTCCCCGCACGATGTGACGGATCCCCCACTTTTGAACACCGATAATGGAGATAGTGACATCTGGAATGCTGATTGCAGATCGAATTACGATACGAGTCAACACACTTTGTCAACTTAACGAGGAAGACTGTTATCGGATAAAAGATTCCCCTCGTTCATCCAAAAGCCAGCATCGGTCAACAACCCATCCCAGATTTCCTTATCATGTAATAAATCCGTGCTGAAATCCGGCGTGCTCCCATTTATCGAAGTTGTGTCTGTCAATTCCCCAGTATCCTGATAGGGTTGAAGGGGTCTGGGGACCTGGTGGCTTGTACCCACATCGGTGTTCATTCGATTATGAAGGCTTCCTAGTGAAGTTGGAATGTCGGGTTGATGCGAATGAACACCGTGATCTCGGACTTGATTGCTAGCATGGGATTTCAATCTATGGTATTTCCCCACGAGATTTTTTAAGAATCGTGCTTGCATTGCGCAGCCCGTCATTTGTGTGGCGCATTGCTCTGAAAAGGTATCAGAAGAGAGGAGAATTGCTTGTAATGATTGAGTCTCGAGATCTGAGCGTAAAATTTTGGGAAGAGATAGGAGCAACTGCAATTATCAGTTGTTAATTTCAGACACGGTAAAACCTTCAAAACTTTTCGACAATAAATGGATGTACCTACCTTAATGAGGAATATGGCGGCATAAGCTGTCATCACATGAACAGAGTCCTGTACAAAATAGAGCTGTTTGAGAGGTCCAATGACTTTCGATATATTCTCCAACATGCCGATTGCGCTTGACGAACATTGCCACAGTGCCGATTTCGACACTGCAGATCCTTTCTTTGCAGCTTTGAGGGATTGTTGCAAAGTATATGAGTTGAGAAGGAGGCGGAGATGTAAGCCATAGAAATTGACAAGGAATTGCTGAGGAGGTGCGACCATTTCTGTGGAAACTTAGCGACAGGCCAGATATTAGGAAAGTATGTAACATACCATCGTCAAATTTGGGTAACCAATCCTTCTCCCAGGTGTTAAGCTCGGTGTTTAAGAGTTTAGACAAAATTTCTGGCCGAAAATTTTGAGAATCTGATTTAGTCGATGACGAAAGCTCGAGAAACTCGGCACTGATTAAACGTAGACAGACGAACGCCGAGAGAAGCAAATCTCCACCAGGTACAGCGTATTCTTCTTGGTACCATTCGGTTGCTTTAGATATCAGATTGTTTTGGTCTATCATCCAAGGTTTATCGAGTTGCAAGCTCAAACTTCGATCTGTTAGAGAATATCGTCGGGTGCAGAGTGTAATAGAGACCAACCTTCTGTCATAAACAAACAGGACTAGCCATGTTCTCTCAATATTTCTAGATTCCCTAATGCTTAATTCATCGCTTGAGGTTCGCGGCTTTTGTGTCACCGGTTTCAGCTCATGCCACCCAAGCTCAATACACATGCGAATAGCATAGCCAACGAGTAGCCAAGTGCGTATCTCAGCTGGTTCTTTCCAATAAGTAAAGATTAATATTGCTTGAACAATCTCTGTGGACTTAGCTCCCCGGGTAAATACCCTTCCGAGTAGATTTTCGGTATGCGACCTGAGTGTGGGATGAAGCGCGGGGTGAAAAGCTTTAGAAGAGGCTGAAAGAATCGCAGTGAGGAGGAATGATGAACGTTGGCGAACGTAATCAAATGTATGGAGTTTAGGGTCTAGTTGACAGATATATGGATTTAGACAACGCATAAAACTATACCATGTCAGATTCACAGACAATTTTCCTCATAGTTCCATCTTATAAGAATTTCGAATCATTGAATCTTACCTATCGAATAAACCAAGTGCAACAGGAAAACTAAGCATGTTACATGTAATCGGATCATTGAAGCTGTCTGCACTTGGTGTTGGTGACCTCGGTGGAGGGTGAGGCCTCAGAACATCCGGCACAGAAAGGATATTCTCTAGAGAGAATTTCCCAAATTGTGCTTCCCTACTTAGTATTCCAACTTGTTGTAACCCTTCGCTACCCCAGGATTGTGCAGTTTGAGGTGGAGATGTATCTAATATGCCACTTGATGTGGCGTTTGGAGGCGTTTGTCGTTCCATCTCACCACGAAGACGTGTTGCAGACGGAGGTTGATTTAATGACTCGGCAATACTTCCGTTTTCAATTTGTGCATTTGACCTCTGAGGTTTTCGTCTTATCCTAGAGATAATTAGTACATAAATCATGTCGTACTGCATCTCAGTAATATTTAAATACTTTGTTCCAGGCTTTCTCCCTCTTTGATGCTGCTCGAAGATACATTCAAGCGCCTTTCGTTTGCATCGCTCACATTTCTCATCGAGCGAAGTGCTTTTACACTTTAATTTTACACTCCGGCATGTCAAACATGCTATTTGACTTCAGGTTTGTTGTCATTATCAAAAACTGAAAGGTCTGCTTGAATGTAACTTACCTACTTAGTTTTGAACTAGAATTGCCAGGAATTACAGATGACGACAAAGACATTGTTCTCGAACAATTTGTTGGTATAGCATTGATTAAAAGGAGAAACGCCTTTTCAGGCAATTCGAATACATATAAACGAATCTAGATTCTAGGATGCAATGTGCCAGACTAATGTCCGGGGAAGATAGAAGATAGTCAGATAGCTTATCAGTGACCTAGCCCCTAGCCTGCTTTCATGTCCCCCCACCTTTGTACAAATTTCGCCTCTTCTCTTTTCGGGCTGTAACCCCGAGAGTGCAGTTGCTCAGGCGGTGAAAGTTCCAATTTACTTTTATTTTGAGTTTACTGTCTATATTCCGCTCCACAATCTCCCATCGCTTCGAAGATATCTTTAGCTCTTGACCTATCTAATACATTTTGTATCGCCTCTTTATCTTCTACGTCGAGAATGAATGAGAAAGCTTTGAGATTTTCATCGATGTGCTCGCTGATCCCCATTCTTGCGCCTATAATTACAGCCCCGACATAATCGTGGTCCAACACCCATCTTATCGCCGCACTCGAAACAGAAACGTTATGCTTGGATCCAATTTTTGCCAGAATGTTTAATAATTCTTGAAAAAGAATCCATCCTCCCCATATGTTGATCATTTCGAAATATTTCCGATGACTTGGAGTCATGTTCTCGTCAAAAAGATTGGGAGCAGGTTTTCCCACCCATTTATCAGCTAAAAACCCGCCACATAACGAGCCATAAGTGAGCAGCTTAACGTTATGTTTCCTACAACTTTTAGCCATCTTAAAAGTGGGTCTCAGATCTATCAAAGAGAACTGAACTTGGTTTGAGACTGCCTTGACACCGCTTTCCAAAATTTCGCACATGTGATCTGAGTCGAAATTGCAGAGACCCAGGCTTTGGACATTGGGATGCATCTCTATCAATCGCGCTGCTTCTACATACTGGTGATCGTTGTACTAAATGATTTGTCAGTATATTCATGGTCAAACCTTGCCATAGTGTACTTACATCTTGCCAATGAAATTGGAGCAATTCCACGCTTGTAGAGTTTATCGCAGTGAGACGCTCTGAAATATTTGCATCTACAACTTCTTTTGTTACTTGAATAGGTTCAAAGACCGCCCATTTCGTCGCACAGTATATCTTCTCGGAGTCTTCTTGTCCCGATCGGAATTGCCCCTAAAATATGTTAGTAGGCTAGCTTGCACTAACGGCATCTAACTTACGAATGTCACTTCGGCATCACCATAATGATCAGCCATATCATATGCAATAAGCCCGGAATCGACATGCTTCCTAAAATGACGATCAATCTTCGATCTAGAAGCAGTCCCCCAAGCAGGACTAGAGAATTGCCAGAGTCCCATAAACATTCTGGGTACTTCAGCCGGTCCCAATTGAAATGATTCTAATGCACTTTTCGATGATTGAAATCCATTTGTCCGACGGATTTCATTCCTCTGTAAAGGTTGAATTTCGCTGCCAGTTCCTTCAATCAGTTTTTCGAGACAACAAAGCCCACGGTCAAAGGGGAAATCTTGCCCGCGGGCAATAGCGATACTTCTGCAGGCATGTAGTACTTCTCGTAATGTAGCAATAGTCTTGGAATCTTCGGTATACATGGGGCGCATTCCTGAACTGGTAAGAAGTAATTTTTGTACAGCTGTTATTGACTGTACTATATCCCCATCGATAGTTGCTAGAATATCCAAGAACTCCTCTCCTTCTGTAGTTCTATCATCCCACTCCAAATTATGTATTTGATGTATGACGCTAGTAAGGAGTTCCACACTTTCGAATCCAAATCCACAGCCCATCAGACATCTATATCGACTCTGAATTCGTTGAAGATCTGAAGTTGGTTGTGGTGATCCGCCAGATGTGCTGAAGAGTTCCGGTATGGATGATGGCTTTGTGTTTGCAAGATACTTTGATGCAAGTTTGGTGAGACCGGCTGTATTCGAAGTATTTTCTCCTAAAAGACCTCGGAGTATTGATCGTAGACCTTCCACTGGCATATTTGCAATGATGCAGTCTGTCATCATATTAACATGAGCAGCTTTCGCTGGAGACTTCGCAGCATTGTGTTCAGTATCCATATTGCCCAAATGTGGTGCAATGAAGGGAAATTCGATTGATTGATCGTTGAGAGTCTTCATCTGAATTGTAATTGAAAAGTCTTGTTGTGCTCAAACCGAACTGTCTGCTTCAGAGTATATAGACCCCTCAACGATTTGCCCACTCTCCATATTTCGCCCCCAATCTTCACATAATTCATCGCGAAGACGTGCATATTTGAAAGTTATCGACAGATCTTGGTGGGGAGATGCCTTATCGTCTTGAACACCGAACACGCTAAATACCCCTGAAATAATTAGTGCTGTATTGCACGGGGTCTTAATAATCCCCGACAATTTGCCTATCACGTTTGAACCCCGATCTTTACGTCCTGCTTATCTTGTCAAATCCATGGATTTCAAGATACTGCAGGTTCCTAATGTACATCGACTATACCTGTTTCAATATGCGGTATCTGGTGTCGAAGGGGTTCTTAAACCCTGGAGTGATATATTATGTCGATTGAGGCCCCTTGACATCAGTATAATTTCCTGTACTATCCTTCTAATTGAGGATAACTCATTGTTTGATTTTTACTCATGACTTCAAACTCGACTGGATCCGTGGATCCAAAATACATGATGAAGTCTGAAGTGTTTTCTCATCCAGAGACTGATGTCGACACCGAAATGGGCTCCACTGAAAATGTTCCTGCTGGGGAAGAATTGAAAAGGAACATGAAGGGGCGCCATATCAATATGATAGCTATCGCTGGTATGATCGTAGGTCATTCTCAACAAGATCAAAGAACTGCGTACTAATGATATGAATCAGGGAACAGGCCTGTTTCTGAGTTCCGGGGCTACAATCGCTCAAGCTGGTCCCGCTGGTGCATGGCTTGCATACATTTTCATGGGATTTGTGACCGCAGGGGTTAGCGTAAGAGTTCCAAATTCTTTTATAGCAATGGGAAGTTGGTGATTGATCAAATGATAGTATACGACTGGAGAGATCACTGCGTTCATGCCAGTGACTGGTGGGTTCGTGCGTCATGCTACGGCATTTGTAGAGCCTGCTCTAGGAGCCGCGACTGGATGGAACTTTTGTAAGCTCCGATATCTTAATTCTCAAGGGACTTCGGCTTACTTGACTTAGGGTACACAATGGCTATCTCAGTGCCGGCGGAACTAAGTGCAGCTGCGACACTCATTCAATTCTGGGATTCGACCACAAATCCAGCGGTTTGGATTACTGTGTTCTTGGTCGTGATAGTATGCCTCAATTTCTGTGGTGTGCGAATGTATGGTGAAGTAAGACCTCTGAACTGTTCGCTTATTGTGTTTGAACTAATCTTGGTTTCTTAGTCCGAAGTCATTTTCGCTTCCATGAAGATTGCTCTCATCATTGGTTTGATTATTGCAGGACTAGTCGTTGATCTTGGTGGGGGACCAAAAGGAGAACGACTAGGGTTCACTTATTGGAAATCTCCAGGGGCATTCAATGAATATCTAGTCAGTGGCAACACAGGGCGATTTCTGGCGTTCTGGTCCTCTCTCATTAGCGCTGCCTTTAGTTATGGCAATGTTCAAGTAGTGGCACTTTCGGGTACTGAAACAGGAAATCCCCGAAAGATAATCCCAGAAGCCACGAAGAAGACATTTTTCCGTGTCTTCTTCTTTTATGTTTTGAGCATCTTAATAGTAGGAATGATTGTGTAGGTCATTTTTCTGTCCCGTTTTACACTTTACTTGACTAACAATTCTTAGTCCATACGATAGTGAAGCTCTATCTGTTTCTACCGGAACAGCTGCCTCATCTCCATTTGTTATTGCTTTTAAAGCCGCTGGAATCAAGGTTCTGCCATCTATAATTAACGCTGTGGTCTGTACATCTGCTATCAGTAGTGGATCTGCTTGTATCTTTCTGGCGTCTCGTACACTTTATGGTTTAAGTGCAGATGGTCATGCTCCAAAGATCTTTATGAGGTGCAATCGATTTGGGACCCCGTGGTATGCCGTTGGTCTGAGTGTCCTCCCATCACCTCTTGTGTACATGGTCGTTAGTAACCAGGCATCTGTTGTGTTTGGGTGGTTTGTAAACATTACTACGGTGGCGGGACTGATTGGATGGGTCGTCATTGAAGTTACATATCTCAGGTTTTTCTATGCCCTGAAGCAGCAGGGTATTTCTCGAGATTGTAAGAGATATCTCTCCAGCCTTCATCTCATTTACTAATGTTGTTGTAGCTTTGCCTTACAAGGGCCCCTTCCAGCCTTACGTGGCATGGATCACAGGATTTATGGTCTTTCTGATTGTGCTTTTCTCTGGTAAGGTTATCATCTTGAATAACGGTTACTTTTTTGCTAACGAAATGCTTAGGGTATGCGGTATTTTTCCCCGGGAATTTCACTGCTTCTGGGTTCTTGACATATTATATTAATATTGCAATCTTTTTCGGTACGCTTCTTTCAAATCTCACATTAATACACATGCTAATCAAGTCAATTATTCGTAGTTCTTTATGTGTTTTTCAAGATTTTCCTCAAATCAAAAATCATTCCACTAGAGAGCATACACTTTGAAGCCGAGCTAGAGTCAATACGCAGATGGAAGTATACATCCGAGCTCATGAAAGAGGACCAAAGTCTCGCGAAAAGACTGTGGAATAAAGTTTTCTAACCTTGTCGCGAAAACTTTTTCTGCGTAGTACCCATAATATATCCTCTATTTCCTGCATTTATAGTTTAAGTTGATAATGAAAGATATCTGGTGGACATTGTTCCTTGCCTTCACTTCTTGACAACAAACTGATTAACTTCTCGTTTGATCATGCTTTCCGTACTCCCAGTATGGTTTATGCAATTGAAAATCTTCAACTGTATCAATGCCAACAGACTTATGCTCTTCTGTCCCAAGACTGAAGTTTATGTTTCGAAGTTGAGATGATTTGGTGGGCCCATGCGCTTTCAGACATGCTCTCTGAACAGGACTTTGATAATGCATTCTTATTCATCGTTTACCCGAATGATATCCGTCTACTAATTATCTGGCGGCCGCCGGTAAAATACACCCCCTGCTGGTACTAGACAACTCACCGGTGCCTTAGAGATGCATAGCCGTCCTCTAATTAGTTGAGGTGCAGAATTGATCGTCATAATGCAGATTCTCCCCGCACTCCCCCACACTTCGTGCGCGGAACATTCTTTGTGAATTTGTATACGCAACTGGCAAACGGGAATTGTTTCGGCATATCATCCAGTGTTACTTGCATTACCGGTCGTATTTAGGCTGAATACTACGTTCTCCTCAATATCTCCACTGTCGATGAAAACAATCTTCGATTTGACAACACCAAATCAGGTGACCTTGGAACATATATACTTTCGATCGTCTCATCTAAAAGTGAAATATTTATCCTACAAGCACTCATTCTGTTTCTTAATTCAATCATTATTGTTTCGTGCATCATGAAGACCTCTAAACTATTGGGGACCATTGGAATCACTGGTGTTGTTGCAGATAACTTCCCAGACTGTGTGAACGGTCCTGTTAGTACCGAGTTCCAACAAAATTCATTCTACGATGTGCGTTTACTTACAAATGACGAGCTAGTTGGCCAATAACACAGTATGTGATACGAGTTCAGACCCATACACAAGAGCTGCAGCGGTAGGTAGAAGTCATGAATGTGTCACAGGTCTCGTCATATTGACATTTCTTAGCTGATATCATTATTTACCTTCGCCGAGAAAGTCAACAATACGGGGAATACAAGCCCTGGAGTTCCAAGGATAGGGCTTCCATCATACGAATGGTAAGTCTTGTTAAGATTTCCTCTATTATCCTGCTAATAGACATTTAAATAGGTGGAATGAAGCACTACATGGCATCGCTCGTAGTCCTGGGACCACTTTTGCAGCTGCTGGTTCAAATTTCTCTTACTCGACGTCGTTTCCTCAACCAATATTGATGGGAGCTGCATTCGACGATGACTTAATTCACAAAGTAGCCACTCAGGTCTCTACAGAAGCAAGAGCTTTCAACAATGTTAATAGATTTGGCCTTAACTTTTGGACTCCCAACATCAACCCTTACAAAGATCCTCGATGGGGCCGTGGTCAAGAAACTCCTGGCGAAGATCCATTTCATACTTCTAGCTATGTGAATGCTCTCATAACTGGACTTCAAGGTGGACTCGATGATCTACCCTACAAGAAAGGAGTGGCGACTTGCAAACATTTTGCAGGTTATGATCTTGAGGAAAGTGATGGAGTTATAAGATATGGATTTGATGCTATTATCAAATCTCAGGATCTTAGAGATTATTATCTGCCTCCATTTCAGCAGTGTGCCAGAGATTCAAATGTTCAGAGCGTTATGTGTAGTTATAACGCAGTGAATGGGGTCCCCACATGTGCGGATGATTGGTTGTTGCAAACACTTCTGAGGGAACACTGGGGATGGACGGAAGAAGACCAGTGGGTAACTGGTATGCCAAACTCTCACTTCTCATACAGGTCCAGAAATACTAATCATATTAGGCGACTGTGGTGCCCTCCAATTTATCTGGGATTCTCACAATTACACATTAGCTCCCGAGCAATCAGCCGCAGATGCACTAAATGCAGGGACGGATCTCGATTGTGGTAATTTCTGGCCAACCTACTTAGAATCAGCATATGAACAAGGTCTCTACAATATATCCACACTTGACAGATCCCTCACCCGCCGCTATGCGTCGCTAGTTCGGCTCGGATACTTTGATTCACCATCTATTCAGCCTTATCGCCAACTTAACTGGGATAACGTTTCCACACCCGCCGCTCAACAACTCGCACTGCAGGCAGCGGAAGAAGGAATTGTTCTACTCAAAAATGACGGACTGCTTCCACTGACATCAAATATCACGAATGTGGCATTGATTGGGCCATTGGCTAATGCCACGAAACAAATGCAGGGGAATTACTATGGTACAGCTCCATACTTACGTTCTCCATTGATTGCAGCACAGAATGCAGGATTCAAAGTTACGTATGTACAGGGTGCAGATATCGAATCTCAAAATACAACAGAATTCTCAGCAGCTTTATCTGCTGCACAAAGCGCTGATCTTGTCATATATTTTGGTGGAATAGATAATTCCATCGAGGCAGAGGAGATAGTATGTGCCACAGAAAGTACAGACGGCTTCATTCAACTAACATTATTGGTGATAGGACCGAACATACATCTCCTGGCCTTCAACCCAACTATCTCTAATTAATCAGCTTGCCAACCTCTCTACTCCCCTCATCGTCTCCCAAATGGGCTGCATGGTAGACTCCTCCTCCATCCTCTCAGATACTGGAGTAGATGCACTACTTTGGGCCGGTTACCCTGGTCAAGATGGTGGAACCGCTGTCTTCAACATTCTCACCGGAAAAACGGCACCCGCAGGTCGTTTACCAATTACCCAGTATCCCAGCAACTACGTGGACCAAGTCAAGATGACCGATATGAACCTACAACCTAGCAGATTCAACCCCGGAAGAACTTACAAATGGTACGACGGAACGCCCGCTTTCGAATACGGATATGGATTGCAATACACGACATTTGACGTCAAAATTACTCCCCCATCATCTAACAATACTTTTGAAATTTCTGAATTACTCGCAAATGCATCGAATTATAAAGATCTGACACCTTTCCTCACAATTCCTATCACCGTCTCTAACACCGGTACCGCAACATCAGATTACGTGGCTCTCTTCTTCTTGAATGGAACCTTTGGACCAGCACCATATCCTAAAAAATCATTGGTTGCATATACCAGACTTCATGATATTACTGGAGGTGCGGATGCAACTGCGGAAGTCAGTTTGAATCTTGCGAGCTTGGCAAGGGGAAATTGGAATGGAGATTTAATTCTATATCCGGGTGATTATAAAGTCGTGGTTGATATTGATGGCAAGGATGAGTGGACTTTCACCTTGACAGGGGAGGAGGCACTTTTGGATAGTTGGCCTGAGAAGAAGGAAAGTATCAAGGTGCAAGAAGTGGGTGCTAGAATAGAGTTATGATATGCTACAAAGAAGCAGAAAGAGGCAGGGGGCGCGGACTGCATAGAATGTGGATGCTTGAGGCGTCTACATAACTATGATCTGAACCCGTGCCAAAAGACCTTTGAGCTTATAAGAGAATAACATTATTGTTCTTGTAGTTCGAACGACACTCATTTTAATGAATTACATGATTCTCACAATGGCATAATATACATTTTGATGCCCGCATACTTTGCCTTTCCTCAAAAAATCGGATCCCTTAATATCTAAAACTATCGCGGATAAATACTTTATAGGAGTATATACATTCGTTCCGAGAATGAATTGAATGAATTGAATGAATTGAATGAATCGAATGAATTGAATGAATCGAATGACGGCGTTCCACATCGTTCAAAAAAGGCAATTATTTTAATGTATGAATTGTTTGTATTGGGGTCATTATCATAAATCCTACTTCTGTAGACCTAAAACTATCGCGAATGAATACTTCACAGAAGTATGTATGATTAAGTTCACTAGTTCCTATGTTCATACTATGTATATGTATAAATCTCCGTGTCCTTTCGCATGTATATAGGCACCACGGAGCCTCCCTTCCCATAAGTGTACAATTCCTTGAAATCCGGAAACAAACCCTAACGCCCTATCCATAATCGTATATCATAAGAATCATAATCGTAGCAACCTACTGCTCCTTGTGATCTCCACCCGAGAATCCGAACCCTCAACCGCTCAGACCACTCTTGCTTAACCAGAAGCACAAGCAGTAGGAGGGCAATACCCATGATTACAAGTGAAACTGCAAAGACCCAAGTAGCTATCATCCTCACCGGGTAATGGTCTTCCCGGTGGACTGTTGGCTGGAGGTGCTTGGATAGGTGTATCTGCATACTTGGTACATGTACATGGCCCTGGGGGACAATAAGAATACATGCAACTGAATTCACATAGACCAAGATAATTTCCGGGCCCAGTTCCTTCGACACAATATTTGGTTCCGGTTGGAGCTGGTGGTGGTGCGCTCGTCTTCGTTGTGGTGGTGGAGGTGGAAATGGTAGAAGTTATAATTGTTGTGGGGGCTGGTGCAGGAGCAGGGGATGAGATGGGAGAGCCGTCCTTGTTATAAGTACAAGCTGTAGGTGGACAATAACCGTGGTTACAAGTGAAATCGCACAAACCGGAGTAGGCTGAAGGATCTTCGCCAGCGAGAGGATAGCCAGGTGTGTTAGTCACTGGAGGAGCGACATTGCCAGTTGCAGCGTAGCTAGTGCATTTACATGGAGATGGGCAGTAACCGAAATTGCATGAGAATTGACACAAGCCGATGAAATTTTCAGCTCCGATTCCCGCGACGCATGTCCCGGATGGGAGAGATGAGGTCGTGGAGCTTGTGCTATTGTTTGCATGTTAGATACCGAGGATCAATAAAAGAAATAGTAAGGAAAAACACTTACGTAGTTGTGGAAGGCTTAGTAGTGGTAGGTGGAGTCGTGACTGGGGGAGTAGTAGTAGGTGGACTAGTAGTTGGTGGCGCTGTAGTCGAAGGCTTGGTTGTAGTAGGTGGAACAGGAATTCCTCCACCAGGCGGTGTCGTTGTTGGCCTGATGAAACCAGTAGGCAATGATGGAGCTGCGCTACATGTACTAACATGAAGTCCAGCTGTCAAAGACGCCAATCCATCGTGAAGAAGCGGACCAGCTACATTATCTGGTACAGTTCCGACATATGCGTTGAAGTTATAAATACCACAAATGCAAACATCTGTGACGTCATGACGACTAACAGATTCCAATAAAATCTCAGTACCACGCTGAAGGAAGAATTGTTGCTTGCCGACTTGCATATCGACTTGGTACGCTGAAGCTCCAGCTGGTGCATTGAACTGTTGAACATTATCTCCGGACATTACTGTAACAATTCCTGGCTCTGTAAGCATCGCAACGACAAATACTGAGTCCTGCATGTCTTCCCAGCCGTTTGGTCGACCCTGAAAGTAGTTTCCACTAGCATTATTAGCAGGTACCATCGTGGTATCTGTAGCATCGCAATCAAGAGTTCGTAGATTGGGTCGATACCAATAAATAAGTTGGTCGGAGGTGATGTACTTGTTTGGAGAAGAATCACCCGCGTGGTATGCAGCAATGTATGGCTTAGCCATATCTAACCAACCATCATGAGGCCTTCAATGTCAGTACTTATTAGTCTCGAAACAGGAAACCGTACTTACATATCGTTGACCCATTTTGAGTTCCCATCGTCGAAATGTAATGAATCTAGAGGACCAATATAGTGGGACTCGCCATAGTCATTCCAAGTCACAATCTCGATGTATTGTGGTCCAAGAGTCAGAATTTCGTTCCAACGATTAAACCATAAGAGGTCGGATGGGAAGATCCAGTTCTTGCTGTAAGGTACTTCCTTCAGAAATGTTAGTATCATGCTTGATTTTATCAATAGGGTAAACTTACTGGTCCAAAATGAGTGCTGAACCAAGGCGAAACCGCTAGCAATAATATTAACTTCTATTTCTCAAATAGAACTGACTATACATACGTGCGATATAGGGCTTTCCAGCTAGCGCTTCGATATAAGCCGCGTCACCGGCTTCAACAGTGACGTTATGACCAGGAGTAGGCGCCTTGTTGTTTCCATCATTGGGCCATCCCTAAAGAAGATTAGATTGGCTTCGAATGGGGAAGAGTAAGTACTCACCAGCCAATTTAAAGCACCGTCAATAGTTCCGAAGTTTGTTCCCATCTCTGGATGAAAGTTGGGAGCGAAGAAAATTGGAATACCCGCTCCAGCTCTTAACGCAGCAATATCAAGCTGATCACCAGCAAATGAGGAAGCAAATGCCTTGCCCTCAACGAAAAGTTGCGCTGGTAAAGCTGCATATCTTGCAATCATTTGTCCAATCTGTGTTGCCTGACTTGACGGATTCCACCAGTTAAAGTCAAAGGAAATAAAAACTTTCATCCCATTATTCGCGGCAGATTGATATGCAAAGGCGAGTTGAGTATCCGTATATGGGTCGACTCCAATATTGAGAGCAAAGGCATCGATACCGAGGGCCTTAGCACGCTGCATGTCCGAGTCGTAATCTTGAGGGCCAACACGTTCACCTACAATACCAATCTAAATCATATGTTAGTCAGCCAATAAGATAAGTAATGCCGCCCGACCAAGAAGAAGTCTCGAAGAGAACTTTGAACTCTACGTACCATGAAATGACAGAAGACAAGTCTGCCATTAGACGACTCTTTTGGCTCGAGAGAACATGCATGATGGGATGTTGGAGCTGCAATAGCAAAAGTTGCAGCGAATATCAGCAGAATCGCCTTCCAGAAATAATTGGCCGAGACCATCGTGTTTCTCAGTGCCGTTGAGTATTCTGAGTAAAGTTATGAAAAGATGTAATTTGGTGATTGACTTTGCTTGTTAGGAAGGTATGTTATGGGTGGAGTAGATGTATAATCGAATGGTGAGAAGGACAGGAGCAGCTCCTTTTGTAATCCAAATGTGTTCTCGCATAATGACGGCAATCTACATGAACCGAAATTGCAACTCCTCGGTGATTGTAGAGGTGTCCACGAGAGCACAGGGAGTTATTCACCATCATATTGAATCGACACGCTAAAGGTAGACATATCAGACGCTTCACCACCATTAGGTGAACTGATATGGTCATGAATTCTGTGTAGCACCGTGAATAATCTAACGAATAACCGACAGCACGCGACTTCTTTTCTTGCGCCATATAATAGGGTACTAAATAGCGAAAATGAAAGACTACATCGTATTCTTGGCATTTTAATCGATGTTAAACTTTGAAAAATTCAAACGCGCGTTTCCAGCACGAAGTCCTAGAATGCCACGGACCTCCAAAAAGAGCAGATGTTCTATGAAATCATAAAAAGTGGCAAGTTATGGACTAGAAGACAGAAGACGCATCATGTGTACCAACCGCGAGCACTCAATGAGACGGCTAGAACAGAAGTTGGGGTGGCTTTAAGCTTTTTCTATTAGCTAAACGATCGGAGAATTTCGTACATGAGGTCCCAGTCTCACGGGGAGATAACCTCCGAATAGCCATACCGTCAGCTTGTCGATATCAACATTAACCTTTGCACCTACATAAATAAGGGTACAGCTGCATAAAACATGGTACACTGAACACATTTACTACGCATCCCAATCTGAAATAATGTGGCTCTTCTGTGTGGCCATATATCAGCCTTGGCGAGATTCCCGCTGGGGAACCCGCTTCCAAGATTGTGGGGTGTGAAACACAGTGTTTATACGGGGAAATCATTCACAACATAATGTGATAGCTTCTAGAGTTGTATTCCTCGATGAATATCGCCAGCAAGGTCATCGGACTCAAGCAAGCCATCGAGGTGATGTTTTGACAAGAGAATGATGTCTCGGATGATCACAAGCTCAATTTTGACGGGCCGATTTAAAGTTTGAATTAGACTTCGGCAACACTTCAAACTGAGAGTATCAGAGACGTCATAGAATCTCGAATCGTATTTAAATCACGGTGGCTGCATCGAGTGTACTACAGTCCGACAACAAGCACCCAAAATACCGCTGATGAAACTTGGTACGTCGCATTTGTCGGGAGGCAGTGAAAAGCATAATATCGGGACCGGCGAATTAAAAGTTCCGAGAAGACGCATAGACCATCCGATTTTTCTCCCAGATGATCACGTGCATAGATGATGCCATGTGATCCACGAGCATTTATCATCTCCAAGTGTCGTCTCCCTTTGATAAGCATCTACATTTGCACAAGTTTGAAAACCTGCAGCCTTTCCTTTTTTTTTAAATCAAATACTGGAATACAACCAGGTACCCGAGGTCCCTCAGGTTGTTGTATTTATCCTCAGTGCACAAGCCTTAGTCACGTGTGCAAGCGTGATGACCATTGTCGTGAGCGTGCGCGGTAAGCGAATCCTTGTTTTTGGTGCTAGAGAGCCGCTCCGCATGATTCAATTTCACGTCAAGATAAGCTTGGCGAATCCCGATGCAGTAGGATGTCAGGCTGAATTCGAGAATACGAATGCCGATCATTGTATGAGCATGAGATTTAGCCACGTAGGGTTGCATATTTCAGGTACATGAGGACGTTGATCCAAGCAACTTCCACTTCAAGTACTCGAAGCTTACTCTGACTTGATCGCAATTCAGGCAGCAAATCCTACGGGTTAGATATCCGTCTTGGCTGTACTGAGCCTCATTTGACTTGTTGTCGGTTAAGGATTGAATAACGTCATTTCCAGGCAATGCTTCAATCTTGGTATGACATGAAGATGGAGATCACTGTCAATATGTAACAAATATAAAGTTGTTTGAAAATGTTTATATCTCTCCAGCAATATTGACGATGTATCCATATCTACCATTTATAACCGCACTCCTTGTGCCTCTCACTTGTGCTCAATCCGACTCTACAGCTAGCAGCGGAACGGGGTCGGGCCCCTCACAAAATGGCACCTACTTCGAACAGTACAATCAACAGCCCAACGCTACTGGCAGTGGCCATTTAGTCGGCGCCAACGCATCCGATACCCCCATGGTCCTATCATTTGTTAACTGGGATACACAAATAAACGTCACCGAAGTCCCGTGGACTGGCAATCAAACAGTGACGAACACGGTGATATCACTCAGCGCCTCAGACAATGATTTCCCCGCCAATTCCTCGTGGGAAACTTGCGTGGTCCTCTTCACAAATGTACCCAGGAACGTGACGGTGAAAGGTCAAGATGATACTGGAGACTGCACAGCCTTGTATTCCGACGATTGTATAAGTAATTTTACTGTTGCGGTTCAAGATGCGCGAGCGAAAGCTACCTCAAGGAATTCTACTGGTGCTTGTGGGGGTGTGTCGTTTGACGATATACCAAGTCAATGTGCAGGATCAATACTTCTTGGATCTGTTGCTCAAAGTATGTCTCACTCCCATTCTCAAATCATCAATGAAAGCTAATAAACTTGTAAAGACATCACATCAAATCAAACTGATGGTTCAGCATGGATGTATGAATCCAGCGATCCCCATGATTCGTCCAACTTAACCTTCTACGAGGAAGCGGTTACGAGAATTTGGCCAATGATGCTGATTCAAAGTCCGAGCGCTGATATCAATGGAGGGGCGGGGTTCACGCATGCTGAATTGAGTTGTCTGAGGGCGGAAAATGTAACTAGTGGGAGCAAAGAGGTTGATAGTGTTCCTGGAGCCGGAAATAGATTGGTTCCTGGTGGATGGGCATTATTGCTCGTGACGGGTGCTATGGGATTTTTGGTGTAAGCAGAAGCGGATCATGAAGTAAATCATAATGATTTTCAAGCTTTATAAATCACTTCAGCCACGACTGGGTCGATTAAGAAAAGAGTGGGTCTCTCCTAAAATGGTTCCCGCCACAAACACTGTTCAGGTGAATAATATTGTCTACCACACAGAACATTTACTCCAGAATCTTTGCAATATATTTTACAAACCTACCGCATCGCGAAAACTAGAACAAACTCATAGTATAGTATAGACGGAGCAGTGGTATTATTTGTCTTTACGATAAATTCTATCCTCGTACCCATGATGCTTCTTTCGCTGACTCAAATCAGAGCAACTCCTGACTTCCAGTTTCCTTCTAGGTTTTGAGGTACCGAACTTTTAAGAGGGTCTATGAAGGCATATGCATCATTTGTAACCCCGATGAGGTGTATCTGGCCTGTTAGAATCAGAGATAATAGCCGACATGGTCCAATCCACCATGCTTTTAATGACTTTCCTTATCATTCCGTTGACATTTTTTCACTGAAAAAAGAGAGAAAGAGAATGAAGACGATTAAATACTGCGTCTGAAGGATGCGTTTGAGGGAAATTTCTATTTTATATTTCTGGGTGGTGAATCGAAAAGTTTAGCTGTCTTTCATTTTGACACATTCTCTTCCGCATAAACACTGGAACACGTTTAAAACAGCTCAGCTAAAACTTTCAACTTTGTAGTCGGGCTATAACTTTTCCAGAGCTCAGATGTATCACATCCCTTCGCCCCAACTTACTTACAAATTGACTCGAATTGACCTTCATTCACGCAAGTGCCAGCCTAATAAGAATAATTCATTGTAATTTTTTCCAATACTGAGATACTTCACTTATCTTCGCAAATTCATTATACATCCTCATTTCTTCATATGGCCCCTCGATATAATACATCACAGTTCATGTAAGGATTTCTTCTGGTGTCCACGGGTGCGTATACACAAGATTAAACATAAAATCATGTATCCACGCCACAACAAAATTCGAAACAAACATTCTTTTTCGGAGTATCAATAAATTTTTGGAAGTATAGGAGACTATATGATACACAGTTATCTTTTGTAGTCTCAAGTTTGGCTTGCAATGATCATCACATCATATCAATGATTTTCGTGATCTAACTCACAATTTCTTGGATATATACACACAACCTATGCACTAATACTATAAAATGGGTCAATTACTGATTATGACAAGCATCCATTTGCTTCTGATCAAGCTTTGTCTGCAGCTGCCAATGTAGTACGTCAGTAATGTACTTCTAGTCGTCTTACAGATATAGTCGACAGAAGCAATACACACTTACTATTCATAAGCGAGGCGGAGCTTATGCCCCTGCCCTGCCATCGGGTCAGTGACGGCACACATATATTTACCCGGGAACCTGGTTGAAAATGACTTGAACACTAGACAGTAACAGAATCTTTAGAGAACGACCAATTTAAAAAGGTTTTGCGGCATTGTCGTCTAGCTTAAGTATATTGAAGAAACAAAAAAAATCCACTCTAATCAAACAGGTAATGCCACAAAAGAAGTCGGATCCCAAAAAGCTTCATACTAATCGTAATGATTTTCAACCATCATAACTTCGAGAAGAAAAATTAAACAGAGATAAAATCTCAACGGCAACATCTTCGCACCAAAATAAACCCCACATTGAATGACGCTAGCTCGAAATTCAACAACATGAAGAGAAAATAAGACTGACTAAGGGAAAATTGAGATCCAAAAAAAAAACGGAAATTGAGAGAGAAATTAATCGCTCGAGAGTCATGAAGCAAGATGAGAAACTCTAACTAGTTTTCCAAGCCGCAAAGAACCATCGGGTGAATACTAGTATTGCTATCACAGACGACTGGTGCTTCACCCGCATTGCCCTGGCAGAACACGGTCGGCTTACCTGGACAGAAAATATCACCCACAGCCGATCGGTCCCCCTTATAGTAGCAGCCAGCTCCTGCGCCTTGAGAGGGAAGAGCGAAACTTCCTTCAGGATATGTGATAGGATTTGGAAGAGGATCATGACTTATGATGTTTTGGTCTTGAGCAGAAACGAGTCCACTGGTTTGACATAAGTCCACGTGACTTGAGTTGATATCTATCAATTTGTTGACATACATGTGCCACAGGTTTCCGGTTGACTTCTTTTTATTGTCTATTTGATGCCAGAAATCCATTTAAAACATATTGATCGAAGTAGTGGTTTCAATAGCTGGTGTGGTTGTGGATGCAACATGACTTGATGGAACAGTAATTGTTGAAGAGCGAACAGGTGCGGCGGCAGAAGTAGTTCGTGGTGATGACGAGAGGGAAATAGATGGTTTACCACTATTACTACTCTTGGATACACTGACTTGAATTGTGCTAATAGATACGGAAGTTGCCCATAAGATAGTTGCTTCTGGTGCTTTGGACATGGAAGTTGACTCGATCATCACAGAAGAGATCCCCGTGGAGTTAGAGATGATGGTAGTTCCAGAGAGAATGAAGCTTGTAGAAAAATACTGACTGGTGAAAAGTCCTGACTTGGTGCCGGACAATGTTCCGGCTAGGAAAGTTACATTACCGATTGGGAACCCAGGCGATTTTGTATTAGGAGTGGCAGAAGTTGAGCTTATTGTGCGTGGAATAGAAGAGCTTGGCACAGTCAAATTTAATTCCATGGCTGTTGAAAGTATGCCGGAAATGGGAAATTTAGATAATGACGATTTGAAGGACAATATTGTATTGAATTCTAATTCTAGTTTTCGAAATAATTCAAAACAAATTATACTATTAAAGTCCTTAAATTCTAATCAATAATTCTATCTCTGTTATTTTTATCTCATTAATTCTTAAAAGGTTGTATACTAATTTTAAAACTTGTTAGTCTATAAATTTAGTAATGGTATAACGAAATGATAATGTTTCGCTTTGTTATATGCTAGTTGAGGTATTAATACATGGAATAATGACATTCGGGGGTTTTACCACAAAGTTTAACCCAGCCTCATCACGAGATAATCATAACTGTTGGAAGTTCAAGTGCCAGAATCAAGTGTTCAAGATTACTTACGGATTATTTTCAGTTACTCTACCTCTCCTTCTTTCTCAACCCGTTGTTAATTATTATTTTGATATCTTTTCCTCAAAACTCAAAATACTTCAAAACTATCTCTGATATGGCCAATCGAAGGCGTAGAAGTCAGGCGAGTCTCCTCCCACCGATTGAAAAATATGTCATAATGCCTATTTGTTTTGCCCTATGCGGCCCCCTCTGGCGATTGTGATCATCAGTCTCAACTGCTATGAATTCATAAAAACGACTGATTTCAACCCGGTGCACTATTACCATATAAGGGAAGAGAATATTCGACTTCGGGAGGAGAAAAGAATACGTGATGAAAGACTGGCAATCGTGGGTAGAGAATGGGATAAAAGTAGGGAAGGCAGGAGGGCAACAAAAGGCATTCCTGATGAATTACAAGGGCGAGATAGGCAAGATAGAATTGTTTGGGAAGGGGGAGTGAATCAGCAGGATGGTAGCTCGCTGTGCTCGTTGCCAAGAGAAGTGAGAGATATAATCTGGAAAGAGATTATGGGTGGATATTTGATTCATTTTATTTGGTTAAATGCATACAGGAGATTCGACATTTTTAGATGCAAAGGTGTGAATGGAAAATGTATCGGACCAGCCTGCCAGGAGATCAAGAAGGGCAAGGGAGTGAAAGACCACTGGGGAAATGTGGAACTTCTTGGTCATCTGTTGGTTTGTCGGAAGATGTAAGTTAATATCTGTCTTAGAATATTTTTAGACTGATTATTCGCAACAGGTATGAGGAGATGCTTCCACTTCTATATGGAAAAAATTATTTCCAATTCATCCATATTAGTAACGTTCTTCGATTTTCCCAGATGATTCCCCTTCAGCAAGTCTTCATGATTCAAAAAGCTCAATGGCTACAACCGAGGTAAGAATGCCCAATAGCCACCGTCTTTACTTTGAATAAGATACTAATCCCGATAGCATGTACCATAGAAATCCATCAGATCTTTGGCAAAATGACAATAAATACTCAGCGCTGCCGAAATGTAAAAGTATGGGCGAAGGATGATATTGCTTACGATGCTGGCAAAAGAAAGATTGGCAGAAGGATTACCTTGAAGCCTGCGCGCCTAGGCACACAAGATACAACGGGTTTGAGGAAGTATGCTATGCATGTTGGCCTCAAAATCCAGCGTCAAAAACCTGAAAATAAATCATGGTCTGTGTTGAACTCGAGAAAATCGTTTCAGGAATTAGATTCGATTAGCATGTACATATCTCGCCTCAGAGTATATCTAGGAAATTCTTAATATTGGCTCTTTATTATCAAATTCGGCAGATTGCTCTCACAGCTCCCAAAAAGTCATTTAATTACTCTTGTGCCCCTGAGATCCTATGATAGGGTCTATATAGATTTCACATCAGAAGTATGAAACCTATCCTACAATAGTTAGAATCTCTCCCCCCCTCCCAACAAAAACGAATGTTCAGAAAGAATATCATAATTTAATCATAGAATCTACCCTTCTCCTATAGAATCACCCGCCCCATAGAATCCACCCTTCTATTATAAGATCTAGCCTCATTGTAAAGTTTAATCTTCTTTCATAGACTCTATTCTTCCATCGTAAAATCCAACCTCATTACGCAATCTAGTCCAGGATGACTAAAATCTATTCTCCCTTTTATCATAGAACCTAAGGAGTACGAGAAAAATCTACCTTACCAAATAAATTTGCCCAACACCCTATCCATAGCACACTACCATCATAATCAACTCCATCCAATCAACTACAGTGCCGCTGGGTACCATGTGCTCTAATTACGATCAAGTTCCCATAAAACTGAGAATCAATTAGCGAATATGCATCACTTCTCCCACAATCACAAACAGAAAGCTCTTTTCGCACGTTTGAGACTTGATATTCAAGCATATGAAAAAGGCCTTAAACTTGTTCTCGGCTCACATCACTGAATGTGAATATTATGGCCATATGCAAATGAATTGTACAAGCCACTGTCCAAGCAACTGCCGCTTAGCTAGAATTGACAACGACAATAACATATCCACCCCAAATTGCTTGAGCTTGAATGTTTTTTGTTTCTGTAAGCAAAGCTAAAACTAATTGAAATATAAACACTTCGCATAAAGACCCAAATGCCAGTATTTCGCCATAAAATGCAAGACTGATCCTCCGTTCTCCGAGCCCATTCGTCTCTCACTTAGCTCTAGCTCTAAACTCAACATAAGGACCATCCTTCATACTCGTAAAACTATCTTTGAGCTGATATTCCTCTTTCCTCCGTCTGCTAACTTCCATATCTTCACTTCCCTCTCCGACCGTATATCCCTCTGCCATCCTCATCTCATACATAAACACCACTCTAGCCAAACTAGTCATGAGCTCAACATATGCTACACCCTTTCCAATACATCCTCTAGGACCGATGCTAAAAGGACAGAAAGCGCTTTGAGCGAGTGCTACCGAATCTTTTGTGACCTGCGGCAAAGAAGATGGAATCCAGCGTTCGGGGATGAAGGTAAAGGGAGATGGGTAGTAAGCTGGATTGTGGTGAATGGTGTAGTGAGGGGTTCCAACTACATAGCCGGCTGGAATATGGAGACCATCGATGTCGATGCCGCCCGGAAGAACTTCGCGGGGAAGAATGCCACCGACGGGTGGCGATAGACGCATTGATTCATCGACGACTGCTCGGAGGTATGCGCAACTATTGAGTGTAGGACTTGAATGGATTTCTTCGACATCAGAGAAGGTGGACATGATTTCTTTTGTAAGGATCTCCAATTTATCAGGATTGTGAACCAGGTAGAAGAAAGCAGCAGAAAGAGCCGTGGAAGTGGTATCAGATCCAGCAATAATGAGTAGATTACTCTCGCCCCAAAGCTCTGGTGTTGTAAATCCTTGTCCTGTCTCTGCATCACGAGCATTGAGAAGATAGTAAAAGAAATCCTTTCTGTCAGTATCAAGTCCGATCTTGGTTCTTTCGGCGGCTTGAGCTCTGCTGTACGCCATGTACTTCATTCTTTGTGCATAGATCTTTCGGAAGAGAATCTTGCTCAAGCCAACCGTCTTGATAATCGGATATGTACCAGTCTAATAAATTAGTAGTGTGCTTAGAGACATAGATTTGGTACTTACAATCAAGTGAGTATGAGCAGCGTTCCCAATAAGATCAATCACGTGACGATTTGAAGCATTTTCCAACATCTCGAATGCTTTGCCGAAACAAAGATCGCCCATAACGTCGAATGTCAAGTAGTTACACCAATCAGACATGTTTTGAGCAACACTCCATCCACCAGTCGACTTTTCTGCTGATGCTCTTGGTTGACCCAGATTGGTACAGAAAGTTCTGACATTGGCTAAAATGTACTTCTCCATAGTCTTAATGGCATTGTCTGAGAATGCATGGGACAGAACTCTTCTTTTCCTTGCATGACTTGCTTTATCGATGCTGCTGTGAGTGTTGAAAGTATCCTTGGTTGGAGGAAATACCGAGTAGAATTGAGACTTCTTGACATTTGACTTGTGGCCATAAATAGTTTTCAAAGCCGTGTTGGAATTGATTGAAAGGCTATCAGGGCCATATCGAAACACCGGACCTTGAAAATTAGCATCATTCAGCTCTTTGCACGAATAGAATTACTTACCATATTTCTCATGGCATCTGTAGAACTCGAGATGCCTGTCGCCTTTCCATGCGTGGTATACTGAGTACCAATCCGTAATCTTAGCCAAGAATGGACCAGGATATTTCGCGAGAGGATGAAATGTCAGACGATAAATCGTGAGAATGGTGAGCTGCGATGCGGTCAGCTTGAATTACTTGCATCATGCAAGGGAAACTTACGTATACCGCAGAGATCGTTGTTGCAAATGCTAGAGCCCAAAAAGTTCCGCTTAGGACAAAAGACGTCGACGGAAGTTCCATCATAGCTGCGAAAGCGTGTTGATGTACAGAATAATAACTCTCAGAGTTGTCGTAATCGTAACTTGAGTATTACTCACATGCAGCTATGGCAATGCTTTCTTTATAGATCACGAGATGTGCTCAATTGATTTAAGTGCATTCACTGTATTGATCTCATGCATTCATCAACTATGATTCTGCGTATGATTGATGCTCAGTGTTTGTGAAGAATCAAGAAATAATCATGTAGCAATCATGAAGAAAGAAACATTATGAGGTGTACAAATCTACATTAGAAGGTAGCACAATAATCGACACTGCACGGAACCTTCCCGGCTGAGGCACCACTAATGTATGGTTCACGCGTAATTTCTCTTGGTCTGTCCGACGATAGCCGAGAAACATATCAAACGATCTTAACAAAGGGACATGAAACTACTGCACCCACAATCCACGAACACGGATTCCTCCCGCACGTTGAGGTTTGATGCCGTAATTGCTTAGTACAAAGCCGAAGGAAACCTTGAACTGCCATAATGCGGGGATCCTGTGGCTGTCTTACGTAGAAGGTGCAGGTGCGAATGTGTCCTGCGAATTGGTAATAGGGAGAAGCTAGTCTCATTGTAGTTGCCTTTATGAAAATCCATTAGCCGGCAAACCTTCGGAAGAGAGAATATCAGCCTCAAGCAACCAAAAAATATACGAGAGATTGGAAATTGCTGGATGAGGTTTGGAACAAAAGAGTTGTGGGGAAAATTGTCGAATATATTTTCTCTGCGGGGGATCAAATTAGTCAGCGACAATTCCTTCCCATGTTGTGGAGAGCGAGGATCCTCCACAATGGCGCTACCCCATAGGGATTTCACATCAAGATAATTTCCGATCGAAAGACAAGCCCGACAGCCCTAGGACCAATTTCAGAAGGATTCAGCGACGATATAAAAATATCAAAGCGTCGCTAGCATATATTATAAAATTACGCTTGCTCCCCGGACTCTCTCCCACACCTCGTTAACGCCCCTTCATTTCAAATGAGCCGATGATTTTCTAGAAAACCACAACATATGTTTCAAAACGTGTCAAAATTCATTAGAACACAACGACTACAAAAGAAACATTTTGTTGCACGTCTGCGACAGCTGTCAAATACTCAAAAGTGGATTTTAGTGGGTAGATTTGTCGTTTGTTGCACATCTATGACAGCTGTCAGACGTGTCAATTGTAGAGTGGGGTTTCGCAGGTGGTAATTGAAGCTATCCAAAAAATTAGCATTTGTCGCAAAATTATTAAAATCTCACAACCAAGCGATGAAGGAGAGTTCCAATGGCTAATCGTAGTAAATAGGCTTTGATTGTATTCTTAAAGTTCCATTTCATACCGCAACAACGGTGTCTAGTCTATCCCAATATTTCCAAACCCCAAACACCTCATCAATCATCCATCGTATATAATTCTTTATGGTAGGCAATAACCACCATCACAAATGATATCAGTTCCAGTGCAGTAGCTTGAAGCATCACTGGCGAGGAAAAGGAATGCACCCTTCAACTCATGAGCCTCTCCTTCTCTTCCCATAGGAATCTTATCCTTCCAAGTAGCCTTTGTTTCAGGTGGACAGAATTCGGAGATCTCAGTTGCAATATAACCAGGGGACACGGTATTGGAGCGCGCAAATCCAACCCATTCTACTGCGAGAGATTTACCTGTGATTCAATTAGCATTTCGTAAGTAGGATATTGGAACGTATACGAACATAAATGGATGACACCGGCCTTTGCAGCGTTGTATGCAGCTTGCAACTGGGGAATATTGACAATGTGGCCACTCATACTTGCGGTTGCCACAAAGCTTCCATACTTGAATCCTTCCAATTTCTTTCCGTCAATAGTAGTACCCTCTTTCTTTTGTCTGCGCCAATGCTGACCTGCAGCACGAGCACAGTAGAATGTTCCATCTAAATCTGTCGTTACAACCTTCTTGTAATGATCCAATTCTCCGTCAAGGGCAGGACCTTGAATCCATGGAATTCCAGAGTTTGCGATAAAGATATCGAGACGACCATTGAGATCAGTCACGGCAGTGTTAACAGCCTGTTCGACAGATTCGTATGAGGTAACATTAACTTGATATGCTTTGCCTATTTGTTCGCATGGCGGTTAGCAATAGTCGCGACATGGACCTGGCTGATATCAGTAAGTGCGAGTACTTACAAGTAACACCATATTCCTTTTCAATTTTCTCCGCCTCTTGAATAGCTTTCTTGTTGCTATTGTACCAGATAGCGACATTAGCTCCAGCTTCAGCGAGCGCATGCGCAACGGCGAGTCCGATACCTGCGCCTGCACCAGACACGATGGCAGTTCGTCCTTTCAGTGAAAACATGGGCAGCACCTTAGATGTATAGGTGGGAGCCTCAGTGAGGTTGTGCTTAAACTTTCCATCATTCATTGCTTCGCCGGCCATTTTTGCGATTTGACGTGTTTATAGTTTGAGAAAAAAAGTGAAGGGTGGTGATTTTTACTGAGGAGCAGAGTTGATGAGATGAGCTTGTGTTCTGGGAGCGAACAAAGGTGGCAGATACAGAAGTAGATATGGAGGAAGCTGTTCGCATGCGTGGATAGTGGGGTCGCACGGTAGACATGTCGTCCTAGCATGTGCCATCTTAACAAGGAAGATTGTCAGGGCATGAGTGGAGCGATCGTGCGAGATATATGCATTGTAAGGTGTGTTGACCAATTATCACGCAGCTGAAAGTGGGAGGAGGGGTAGTAAATGCCGCGTTTGTCCGTCACAGTACACTAGTAGACAGTAGTTGATACATCCCGCCATTCTGAAAGGTGTCTTCATCGAAAAACAGCTTTCGCGGATGACCTCAATCTGGAGATTCCGCCGACAGAGGTGGTTGAAAGAGCGATGTTGATGTCATGTTTGTTAATAAGAACAAATGATGGGAATTCTTCGGTGTTTTTACCCCTGAGGCTAACCCCACATTGCCGTTTTTACATTTCTCTTCAAGGTTAGCGTAATTTTGGGATCATGCATTTAATTCTCCGCACATTATCATTTCTTCGTATCACGACCAAATTCGGTTATAATTTTGTCTCTAGGTCTGGAAGAAGCAGGTGTGAAGAAATTTTCGCATCCCATCGATTAGCTCAGGACCTCATATTCTGCCTGTAACATCCGGTCGTTGCAGCCAGGTAACGCGACACACACAGCTTATCAGTCGAAGCATCGTAAAACCTTTGATACTTGCTGACGACCTAAAAGTATTTGGGGTAGACAGAAAATACCAAAAAGGAATTGATAATACTCGCGATGTAGAATGAGAGGAAATGGAAGAAGAAGAGGATAAAATGTAGTATGGTTAATGCATGCTACTCAAGTGAGAGTTTTGCTTCTGCGTCAGTACCAACAGTTGGATGGTACTTTGTGAAGAAGTACTACAGAGACTGGCAACGCTTAGCTTGGAAACATGTGGCGTAGTGCATCTACAATCGTTTGTCAAGGTTTTATCTGCCCGGTAGTCCGATATCAGTATAGAAGCTCTAGCATTTCTACTTGTAGCTATACCGCACTCGATAAATGTAAGGCACAGCGCATGGAGCCACATCGTAGTGCGTTTCTTTGCGTTGATAGCATCCGTTAAAGAGTCTACAGAATATACACAACAAAATGGTTCCATGAAGCGAGAGGAGATGCTACCGGAACTTTGGTCCTGAAAATAGTCCTAGTAACGTGGACTGGTAGAACAAAATCACGGAGGGGGATATTCTTCATTAACCCAATCTCACAAAAATGCGACTTGGTCACCCTTCTTACAATATGTGAAGTTAAAAGCCTAGGAGTCCTTGAACGTGCTCGGGCTACTTATTACGATCACTGTAAGTGATCGAATGGCCACTATAGGATTCGTCAACGAGTAACGCAAGGGTGAAATTACTGCCATGCGAAACTTCCCAAGATAGGAAACAAAGCTCCTTTTACCCTGTCAACACAAATAGAAAGAAATCATTCTAGAGAATATCGAGAAACACTCGAAACATTCCAATGATCATAAGGGCTGGATAAAATATAGCCATGCTGATATATCGTGTCTTTCTAATCCCATTAATATCGAGGCCTACAGAAGTGTTGAACGTTTCTCTACGAAAGTCTACGTGGGATAAAATTGAGATTTGAATTCTTAGGCTGGAGTCTTGAAACACTGATTATTTTGCATTCAACTCACTGTATTTATGCTACATACTCATTATCTTTAATGATGATGGTGCTCTTTCAAACTTGCTACTTGCATCGCTCTACACTGTGGTCATTTTTCTCTAAATTTTGCAGATCTACTAATGTAATAAGACTCTCCTTAAAATGTAACTGATTAACCGAAGTCACTCTCTCACACAATCTTTCAACACTTCCACCACATCACGAATGAGCAATCAGGTGATACTTCTAGATTCCGCTGTACATCGTAGACAAAAATCTAGAATGTGACCCACACCCCCATCTGCCCCGCGACCCCACACCCATGAAACCACATCAGACTTACTCAAACAAGAAGCTCCGACGCCGCCTCAAGGCCGCTCCGCCCTACCATCAGCCATCCGAGGAACTGTCTGCTCCGCCCCGGAAAGCCACGTCATATCCGAGCACTATACACCGCTGAATAGAAACTATTTTCGATATTACGGCCCGAATACATTCACATAATCCCGCATAGCGTACATTTGTTTCGTGATCTATAACCATTTGAGCTCCCATATCCTCTAGCATGCCTTATTTCTATGCTCTGAACCCCTGAACATCTTTCCTTCCGCTCAGATTGTTCGGACAACCTTTGATCTCATGTTGAGAGAAATTGCAGCCTTGCGAGGCAATGAGCGATTGATCATAACATGTTCTTCCCCATTTCATCATACAACAATCTATCCTGATCACGTTCAATCCACGCTGATTCTCTGCCTTTCGGATGCACAAAGCGCTTCATCTTTGTGTACACTATCGGGAAGAATTCTGATATATCCTCTAAACGCATCCCCTGATACATCAATTTAACTTTCTACGCTTTACAAATAAATGCAATGGATCAATCTCACGTAGCTATGATGCTTGAAGTGATACTAAATAATAGAGTTTGATAACATTCTAGAAACCATTCGACAGCCACCAAGGAGGCCAGAAACTACGGCGCAGTCCTGTGATCCCCACCTGTTGCTTTTGCAACCGAGTCGTTTATTAGCATCTTGTACCGACTTGTGAAGTAAGTTCCATAGTCACTTCGGTATTTTCGAGCCGACTGTCATCCAAATCAAGGTACAAATGAAATCCTTTGCACTCGCGTCGAGAAACGCTTTCTAAGAGATTCAAGTTTCAGATTGAGGTTCTCCCTTCACGACATTCCGCACTCTGTGATGTTCTCGGCTGCGAGGCATGCAAAGTGTCATGGAGATGAGGGGCAGTGACGGCGGCCCGAAATGAACGTTACTTGGACATAGGTAAAGGTGCTTCGCTGATATGCATATTTCTCTTAAGTTTCCATGGACCTACCGGCATTTTCCCGTCAGAATAGAGTTACCAACAGATTTTGACTAACAAAGCGTTTATTCGCATGCCCAGGGTCATCGAATGATTTATGATACACAAAAACCTGCGGTCTGAGCGAAGCTGATCTCATACTCGAACACGTGTCGTGGCAACTTACCTCTTGAACATAGCGAACGTTCGGTCGAGCTTAGACGAGGAAAACAGATGCTCTTGAGTCTTGCATAGCATATTCTACTCAGCACTTTCCCAGATGGCGCAACTTATAAAGATGAAATACGGTAAGTGACAGTATGAAAGCGTACAAGGAGACACAAGTTCATTGAATAGCTGTCTCCCAATAACTTTGTAGCAATGTGATTTTGGTGATGGATAGTAGTGATGACCATGACCTCATTTCTACACTAGAAACAAATCCCTAAACAATCTGCGCCCAAGTTCATTGAGAGATCATCTGTTCTGCTGACATACCATCATCTCCTAGCACTTTAGCCTTCTGCAAAGTAGCCACAGTCTTCTGGATAACTGCTACATCCACGTTCTTTGTGACACTTGCAAATCTGACCGTCTTCAACCATTCATTTGCATCCTCCTCGCTGTAATCTAAAGAAGTGCTGATATATTTCACCGCCTCCGCCTGGTTCTTCTCGAAATATCTAATTCCCTTGTCGATTTTCTCAAACAAATCGCCCAACCTCTTGTCTTCCGTGTTTTGAAGGACTTTTGTGCTGGCGACAATTTTCCAACTGCTCCATGGTGTATATATTTCCCCGATACGCTTGATCTCTCCATTATCGTAGTATCGTTTGGAGGTAAAATGTTCCCACATGAAGAAATCCACTGTACTGTCGTTCACACCATTGCGTAATTTCTCGAACGTTTGTAAAGGAACGACCTCGAATGGTTCCTCTGACGTTTGATCTTCGTTGAGCCAACCTTGCTCATCTGCCAGAACAAATCCCATCACATAGCTACCACTCCCGATTCTTGAGACTCCAATTTTGCCGTTCTTCAGATGTGCGATGCTATTCAATGGTCTGTTTGCGCCGGTTGAGATTGCCCAGCCTATTTTAATTCAATCAATCTGCCTGTCTCACGCCTGTAATGTATGCGCCGGAGGAAAGGAAAGACATACACAATGGTGTTTCAACATAAGTCCCGACAATTCTATATCCTCCATCTCCTTCCACATCAGATTTTCCCAATCCAGCTACCCAACCTTCAGTGAGACCAATACCTACATCGATTTCTCCCGAACGTATAGATGTAATCATATGCCCAGTGCCGGATGGGAATGGGATCAATTCGGCTTCAAGACCGAAATGCTTCTGCGCAAAGTGAAGAGGGGTAGAGAAGTGCTCAGGGACATATCCAATCTTAAGAGGAGTTTGAGTTGCAGACATGATTGGGAGCTATTTCCGGTCGTAAGTTTATTCGGGTATAATGAATATCTCTTGATGAAGCCTCGATTAATAAGTAGCTATATAGTGAAGTGAGAGAGAATAGTAAATGAGCTCAAGGCGGATTTCGAACGGGTATTCACCGGCATGGCGGGGTAAGTTATAGTGATCATTGCGACGCTAGAAGTTTCAGGTCTCGATTTTAGCGTGATTTTTCAGCCACACCTCCGGACCGCCACAACCTTTCATTGTCTCCGGGGATCCCAACCATCTTCGACCTGTACCTTATCTCCCCACGATTTAATACAACAACCTAATCAATATGGCTTCAGCTACTGCACAGCGTCGTCTTCTCCAGGAATATCGCGCCCTAACAAATAATCCACCAGACGGTATTACTGCAGGTCCGGTGACAGAAGATGACTTACTTTGCTGGGAGGCTTTAATAGAAGGACCTGAGGGTACACCATTCGAAGGGGGTGTGTTCGCTGCCGAGTTACAGTTTCCCAAAGACTATCCACTTTCACCGCCGAGTATGAGGTTTCTTGGGGAAGTTTGGCATCCTAATGGTTGGTTCTCCTTCATTTTTTTCTGTACCCCGACATTAAAGATGTGGAACACATTGTAGCTTGGAGAGTGCAATACTAATCCGCGCTATTATTAGTCTACCCCAGCGGTCTTGTCTGTATATCTATTCTTCATCCGGCTGGAGACGATCCAAACCACTATGAACATGCATCGGAGCGATGGTCACCTATACAAAGTGTCGAGAAAATCTTAATAAGTGTGATGAGTATGTTAGCGGAACCAAATGATGAGAGTCCGGCAAACGTGGAAGCTGCCAAGCAATGGAGAGAAAATAGGGCGGAATACGAACAGAAGGTCCGCGACGGGTGCAGGAGAATGCTAGGATTGTAAGACCGTCTGTGGATGAGGTCTTGAATTCTATATTCATTGATTTGGAAGAGGCCGGGCTATATATACTCGTCCCTGTAATGATGCACAGGTCACTTAGGGGAGATGCTTTACTTCCTGAGGTCACTCTCGCAATCGCATGGCTTACGAGATGAGACTAGGGTCGAACAACATATAAAGAATACTTATTAACAAGGGAAGGAAGTTTTGGAAGCGTATCGAATTACATATTATTCGGTACTAGGTGACAGGTCATAAATGCGGGGTACACATCATGGAAATATGAGCATCATGAGGGTTAATTAGAAGCATTATCATGAGCTTGAGAAATGTTATACGCCTCTAATTGTTCAGATATTTCAGGTGAAGAATATTATGTAGCCCATTACACACGTTTTTTCTTAACACATTCCCGAGCATGATTATTTGTACTTTAGCTATAACCATTGCCAAGTCTCAGAAGTCGTCCTCCTTTCGCTGGGTCTCGTGTCCCGATGAGCGAACAGCCTCAAAAACGCGCCGACGGGTAGGTGACTAGATGCAAGTGAGCGTCGAAAATGGAACCAGGCGGGCCAGGGAGAGAACAACTACTGGCTAGGTAGCTACTATAATCACGCTTGCTAATTCAAAAGCAGGAATACAAGGCGCAGTCAGAATCAAAGGAAAATCTGGAGACAAATCAAGAGTGGTTGAGTAAAATACTAGAGGAAGAGGCGCAGGAATTGTTCTGTAAAGATGCAACTTAGAGTGTAACCTGTTTAGGTCTAATGAATCTCAGTGTATGTCTGGATTTATGGCCAGGTTTCGCTAGAAGGGGGGTTACATTGGCACCCAACTCTGCCGGACACTTGACGTGTTCTTCAATCTATACCGAATTGATACCAGCGACAACCAATCGAAAAGTCTTATCTGAACTTCACTGTGGCTTAGCTATGCGAGTCAAACCCAACATGTCCGCAAAATTTGCCTCAGCCATGTTCTATTGATTGATGTATACAAGATGTATATATTTCTCACCATTCCATTCTCCGCATGATGTCGTGTATCGATCGACATCGACATGAGCTTTGGTTTTGGTATAGGCGACGTCCTCGCGGTGATAAAACTTGCCAAGAAAATACGAAAAGATTTCGCCGATGCTCCAAGTCAATTTAAGGATATCTCGCTCGAGTAAATAGATCTCATTACGATTTGAATTACAAAAGCTTACTGGAATCTGCAGGGTGCGAAGTCTCTCCATTGTACTTCAGGATATCGAAGATGAGCTATCATTGCCAGACCTCAATGCCAAGCAGAAGAGCGAACTCTCAGAAATCATTGTCGGTTGTCGAGATGTTCTTGAGAAGTTGCAACGATCGTTGAGCACATATGGCGAATTTAAATCCGACTCTAGAGGTGTAGGCTATAAGGCGAAAAGAATTTGGAAACGGTTTCAGTGGGAGCCTGACGACATCAAAGAACTTCGAAGTCGTGTTACAACAAATGTTACTTTTTTGAATGCATTTCGAGGGAAATATACCAAGTAATTACTTCCTTCGTGTTTGAATCTCCGACTAATACAGTCTAGTGAAACACTACACGAGATAAAGAACAGCGCAGACCAATTTCACGAGCGACAAGATGATCGGGAACTCAACAAGGAATCTTTAGCGATGTTGAATTGGCTTACCCCTATCAACCATGCATCTCAACAGCATGATTGTATCATACAACGGCAAGCAGATACAGGACGATGGCTTCTAGATTCGCCAGTATTCATAGAATGGGTAAATTCTGATAAGCAGAAATTGTTCTGTCCCGGTATCCCTGGTGCAGGCAAAACGATACTCACATCAATTGTTGTTGAAGAACTCATTAACCGCTTCCGCAACGACAAAGGTATTGGAATTGCGTACTTTTATTGCAACTTCCGACGGCAACATAACCAAAAGATTGATGACTTGCTATTAAGCCTTCTCAAGCAGCTCTCCGGATACCAGCCTTCACTACCAGGTGCAGTGAAAGATATGTTTGATCTACACTCACCCAGGCAGAATCGCCCGTCGACAAAGGAAATTTCTAGTGCTCTCAAGTCTGTGATCGATTCATATTCCAAGGTTTTTATTGTTGTCGATGCTCTCGATGAATGTCAAATGGCCGATGGTTGCCGAATGGAGTTTCTATCAGAAGTTTTCCATCTTCACGAAACATGCCAACTAAGTCTTTTCGCAACCTCGAGGCATATTCCCAACATCGAAGAAAGGTTTGATAGCTCTATGCAGTTGGAAATTCGAGCCAGCAATAAAGATGTGGAGAGATACTTAGATGGTCGCATTTCGCAGTTACCTGGATATGTACGCAAGAGCATGGACTTACAAAATGAAGTCAAGACTGCTATCATTAAAGCAGTTGAGGGAATGTATGTAACTCATCTCAACCCTAGCGGATAGTGCTTACCTATATACATTCAAGGTTTCTGCTTGCTCGGCTTAATTTTGATTCGTTAAAAGCAAAAAAGTCACCAAAAGTTTTGCGGAAAGCGCTGAAAAATCTCCCGACTGGATCTGACGCATACGATCATGCATACAAAGATGCCATGGAAAGAATTGAAGGCCAACTGGATGATGAGAAAGAACTGGCGAAGCAGGTTCTTTCATGGATTACTTGTGCAAAAAGGCCTCTCACAACAGCAGAACTTCAAGAAGCTATTGCAGTGGAGATCAACGAGTCAAAGCTTGACGAAACAAATTTTTCTGAAATTAGCACAATGATTTCTGTGTGTGCTGGATTGGTAGTTGTTGATGATAAAAGTAAAATAATCCGCTTGGTTCATTATACTACACAAGAATACTTCGAGCGAACACGAGACCGTTGGTTTCCTGATGCAGAAACCTTTATTACCACAATTTGCGTTACATATCTTTCATTCGAAACCTTCAATACCGGTTTTTGTCTGACGTACAGAGACCTCGTGAAGCGGGTACAGTCTAATAAACTGTTCACGTACGCCGCACGATTTTGGGGGCTTCACGCTGGCAAGTCTTTAATGTTAGAAAAGACATTAAAGCAAGCGCTTTTGAAATTTCTCGAAAACCAAACAAAGGTTGATGCATCATGGCAGTTAATTACTTTTTATAGTCTACGGGAATTAAATGCCGACCAGGGCTCGAGTCCCGTGTTTTCATGCTTTCTCTTCGGCCGGTACTTGATCAGAGGATTGACAGGAATGCATATGACAGCGTTGTTTGGACTCGAAACTGTTATACAACTGTTGCTTTATTCAGGCAAACTCGAAGTCGATTCAAGGGACTCGCTAAGCCAGGAATGGCATGTTAGTCCTGATCCCAATATTGTTAATCAGGGTCGAACGCCACTCTCTTATGCGGCGCAAAATGGGAACGAGAAAGTATTGAAACTCTTGATTGATACAGGCAAAGTCGAAATCAATTCTAGAGATCAATTCGATAAGACGCCATTTCTTTATGCAGTTGAGAACGGGCACAAGAAGGTGGTAAAGCTTTTGCTTGATACAGGCAAAGCTGATGTCAATCCCAAAGATTTCAAAGGTTGGACATCTTTCCGTCAGGCGGCTGCATCCGGGAACGAGGATGTGGTAAAGCTTTTGCTTGACACAGGCAAAGTCGAGATCGATACAATCGATAAATTTCACCAAACACCACTATTAGGTGCTGTTCGCAACGGACATGAATCAATAGTGAAGCTGTTACTTAGTACAGGTGCGGTAAACATCAATCAAAGTAATTACGAGCATCTAACGGCAATCTCAATATCGATTCAATTGTTATCAATGATGATGATAGTAGCCGCCGGAATCGAATCTTGTATGCTGCCGAAGAAGGCTCTAAATCTATAGCAAGACTCTCATTGAGTACAGGGAAAGTTTATATCAATTGCCTGGATTTTTCTGGAATGCAGATATTCTGGTGGGTAGCTTGTTGGGGTCACGAGCCAATTCTAAAGCAACTGCTCAATACAGGTTTCAACTTGCCAATTACACAACCAGGGCCTGTGGAGTCTGGTGGAATGACGAGAGGATGTTGAAACTCCTAATCACGAGATACGCTGATGTGAAGATTGACCTTCATCCTGCAACTGAAGAGGTTATCGGAAAACGATGGCCAGCGGTCTTGGAAGGCTCTGGAGGAAATTGGAATGAACAGTTGGAGAGCGCTATCTGTGAGTTCATGGCATTAAAAAGTAGTATGGGCATGCAATGATAGCCAGCGCTGGCTGGAGATACCGTTTGTTTTGTCGTCTCAAGAAGTTCATATTTTTGTGTTTAATTCATCATGGCTGTTTTTTTATACAAAAATACTGAGGATTATTGCGAGATGACGATAGTATGATACGGTAGGCTTTCTACTACATTTAATCACTCCTCTCGATCCTCTTTCCGTTCAACGAGCAGGCGGCATTTTGCTTGCAGTTAAGCTAAGACATCTACTACAAGCTTGAATCGGCAAACTACTCGTGAATGTGTGAGCTGATGTGGTCGTGTCTGGAATCTTAGCTAGTACTATTCCGCGCATTTCGAGAATCCCATGGGATTATAGCATCTACCATGAAAGCTCCCGTCGCAGAGATCGAATGCCAAAGTCAAACAAATTTGAATAAGGGACGCAATAAGGTGCATGGAGGATAAATTGAGACGACTAATTTGAATGATGTTATGAGCAAGATACGAATATAGAATACCATGCTGCTAGCAGCAATTCAAATCATAATTCATGAAACTGGCGTATCAAAATCACCGGACCATCTATCTCGAGATTCCTTTTTTCTTACAATTTTCAATACCCGCAGATCCTACATAGAGAGTCAGTCACACCCTGCCCGGGCATTTCAGGAAGCACATTGCTTATCCTCCTCCTGGTATAAGCAGGAGAAACTATCACTCCGTAATGACGCCACTCTTCCTGATGCTTTGTAACATTTGCCTGTCTATTTTATGTTCATCTATCATTCACCATTACTTGCACGGTGTTCTTGAGAATTTGGGGGAGAAAATCTTAGAAGGATGGTGCTTGATCGAAACTAAAAGACGCGAGTTGTGAATGTGGAAATTGTGTGTTGATCGAAATACCTACGCATCGAATGTTAAATTGAGAATCATAAGACTTTAAAGAAGATCAAATACATCTGGTACCTCGCAATAAGAGATTATATGCCATTCACCATATTAAATTCATCACGGTTAATCATACCATAGATAGAAATTTTGAGCAAACTTTATCATACGATCACTTAAAAGACCATACAGTCACTTCCTCCCAGTTTTCGATCTACAATACCTAGGTAGTTACTTTTGAACAAAACAAGATACCAACGTTCTCGCTATTTCAATGCAACGAATCGAAAGCCTTTGGAACGCCCCCAAAATAGGAGTGTTTCAAGATGTTTCTTCAGTCTGGAAAATCTCAGTTGACGAACTTACCTAGCACACCCCTCATTTCTGTGCCCGGCCCACTCGATGAGTTCACCCCATTCTCCGGATTACCTTTAGAATTAAGACGCAAGATCTGGGGGTTCGCAGTTCTATTCCACCCAAGATTCTTTGAACTGGTATGGTTTAGCTCTGAAAATAACCTTCATCAATTATTCAAAGTTTCGAAGCAGACCAATCGTGTCCCGCCAATCATGGAAGTCAACAGAGAGGCCCGTGAAGAAGGTATGCGCATCTTCGAAAAGCGAGTATTCAACAATTGCAACATTGATTTTGGAAGTCCTTTTGAAGTAGAAGGAGAAAAATCTCAGTGTACATGGTTCAATCCCGATCTGGACACAATCTACTTTGGCGAAAACACATGCATTCGAACAGTTGCGGAATTTTTTAATTTGTTCTCGCAAATGAAAGTTCCAAAGATTGCTTTCGCAATAAACGTACATGTTCCTGATTCGTGCAAATGTAATTGGAACTCTGGGGAATGGAACCCTGGTAACAATTCGGTAACAAGTCTTCAAATTCTTCATGGCAGGCCTTTGAAAGGTGCAAATTCGCCTACGTGTCCAGGCTCACCCAGCACAAGGGAGGTTTATATCGTTCTCCCGTCCTTTATCTACAGATATGCGGCAGGGGAAATGCCAAATACGATCACTTTCCGTCCCTCCGTTCATGATGTTCTTGAAATAGATGGTGTACAAATAGGTGCAGCATGGGCCAATGAAATCCATAAAATTAAATCCGGGCTTGATTTCGGATGCGGACCAAGTAGATGGACAAACGGTAGTTGTCCTGATTTTAATTTTGTTTCCTTTGGTCCATGTTATAAAGATGGAAAGGGAAAGAAACTCAGACACGATGGTCTCCTGATGTCTTCGGAAGACTGTGAAAAGATCACTGCGCATGGAGGAGCATTTCTCGAGGATTTGAAACTTCGTACTGGTGTTGATATACGTTTTGGTTCTTGCAGCGACTCAGATGCTTACCCTGGCTGGTGGGAGACGGTGAACGAAGTTGGCCTTTTCAATGGAACAAATAAAGGTATCAAAGAATGCGAAGTCGAAATTTTGGCCCATTGTGTAAGTCAAACAATCAAGCTCCATCATGATCTCAACTAATGTTTCTTAGCTTAATGCCAGATGAACCGGATATTGGCATTGGTATACTCTAGTAATACGGTGGCAAATTTTGGGGCTCTGACATAATTGCTCATATGTATCTAGGTGTTACAAGACCACTTCTATGAATTTTCAATACATTAATAACGATGAATACTATCAAAAATATACAAAATTGCTGATATGTGATCAGAGCTATTTGTGAAGAGCAAGATTGAACGCGAGACTGAAGTAAAATGCATCACCTTTGAGCGATTCGATAGCTGCTAGAATACATTCAAATGTTTCATATGTCATCAATAACATGCGATATTTTTAATCCACTCAACGGTTGCAGTGAGACAGGGCTTATCAAAGATGAAAAGGGTCTATCAAAGACAGCTGATATATTACTAAAGTAAGATATATTCTACAATACCGGAATACCAGTTTCAATACTGAATGGGAGACGTCCCAATGCCTGCTTTCTAGCACAAAGTGAGGAGTTTATAGATATTAGGGAGGCCGAATTCAGGATTCTGTTAGTATTTCGTTATCACAATCTCTTTGACTTTGACACGAGTTTGCATTCCGTCTCTGTGACATGCAGTATACTTAGCCTCCATCTCCTTGATTGCGTGTATCTTCAATCATACAGCAATACTATCATTGACGCAGGTGATTTGAGTAAGCTTATCATGAAGTTATCAAAGAATTGTTAGTTATACATCCCCTTTGATTTAGCTTATTATGGCCGATGAATTGCCATCCACCTGGTTTAGACAACGATTCTACTATCCCATGTAAACTTTCTAGTCCATCTTTTCAACTATGCTGTAAACTCGCTAGATGTTAAAAACAAGTATAATATGTAAATGTACATCTTCACCCAGCGAGCTGTTACTTTAGATAGAAGTGAGTGGAACACATACATGTCTACTTTTGCCCCCCCTTACTTTCCGAAAGAGCATATCTCAGTCAACGCAGTCAGTCGGCTGAAAAACTTTTATATAAAACTGATGATAATCCCGTTTAGACTGATTTATACAGGAGAGAAATACATAGGAGAATCTAATGACTAGATTTTGATGATCCTTCCTCTGAAATATAAAGCAGACATGGGATATCAGATCAACTGCTCATATTTATGAATTATAACATTGAACAAACCACAGGCCTGATGAACATGGTTCTCTAACTGAGTAATGGGAGTTGTTCAGCCACTCAACGATCCTATATCTAACTTGTTCGATTCTAGTACTTCACAAAACCTTACGGACCAGCTGTGCAAAACAATCTGGGTTGCATGAACAACACAAGCAAAGCATGTCGTCATTCGACATATGAATTCTCAAGAAGCGTCCAGCGGCCTTGATTGATAACATAGAAAGCACAATCAAGCACTCTATCATCCCCTCGTACAATCCACTCATGCAAATGATGAATGATATGTAAAAAGAGGATGGACGTGAGAAAGTGATTATGAATGACGTGCTAAAATTTCTACAGTACCCTCATCTTATTTTATTCTCATCATTCATTCAAAAGGAATTCATCGCCTGTATGGTAGCCGTCAGATTAGATTATCTAAATATCCGATGAATATATCTCCACGCCAATCAACTGTATAGATTCACCAACACGAATCCATATTTAATCTAGCACAACACTTATTACAAATGAACTAATGGCATTGAAGTAAGCAACCTAAATTCAATACAGTCAAAGCAATAACCAGCTGTATTGAAACTTGCTAACATGAATGTGGCGTCACTAGCGCCTTTCCGCCAGTCTCCCAAAGTAATAAAGGTTTCTTGTTACATCGTCTACTTCCTAAAAAAACCATCATAGTTTCAGTTCGACTTCGCTAGATCTTCTTACTCTTGAATTAGAAAAGGATATCTAAGACTTCAGAAAACAATCGGTTTCTTCAACTTCGTTTCGAAAGTTTACTATAAACACCTTCTCTACTTCTAACAGATTTTCTCGAAGAATCAAATAAAACAATACTCAAAATCACCAAGTCAGACAACATTTTACAAAATGTCTTTCTATAACCCCCTTTCCAACCCCTCCCGACCAGCACCAAGAGGTGCAGGTAGAACCAACGGCAGAGGCGGTCAAGGTGGACCAGCCAATGCATCTGCTCCCACTGAGCGCCAGAACCAAGTCGATTCCACCAACATGATAGCTACCACAAATGACAGTGGTTTCTTACAAGTATGTCGTCATTCTCTTACATTTTACCATAACCCCTTGCTAGAAGATTTAACTAACAGCCTCCACAGAATACCGAAGCTTCTGCTCCAGCAACCGCCCCCAAGGACAAGGGCAAAGGCAAGAAAAACAAGTGGGCCAAGGTCGACTTGAATCTCATTGCCCCCATGGCAGGCCCTGTAATTCCTACCCAGCCAGTCCCAAGTGGTAGAGGCAAATACAAGAAGGAGCAATCCTTCGGTTTCCTTGTTGACGATAATGATACGAGACCTGGACGTCATGGGGGTCCACATCGAGGCGTCAACATCAATGGAGAATCTCTCGGTGAAATCGCAGATCGCCTCAAGAAGCTCGATTTGGAGAAGGCTAGGTAAGTACATGCTTCCTATTCTCACATCATATGATATGTCTTTTCACCCATGCCAGTACTAACACCACATCAGTAGGCCACTCACAGAATTCAAACTCTTTCCAAATCTCTCACCTGAATTGCGTTACAAGATTTGGAACATTGCAGCACGTTCCTCGCCTCGCATTCTCGAGGTCGTATTGCATCCCGAATTTCCATGCCCTCCTCATGGCGACAGAGCTTACATTGACATGTCCGATCCCAATGATTTGAGAAAATTCAATCATAGTATATGGCACATCTCCACGCCCGGCCAGAAAGTCCCAGCCATATTACAAGCCACTCGGGAATCGCGTACCGAGGCCCAACGCCTGTACGAAAAGCGATACCTCAACAACTTTCCGGATGATTTCCCCTATCGCCAGAATGAAGAGCGTCCATGGACATACTATAATCCATATGTCGACGTAATCTTCTTTGGCGATAGTACCTGCATTGTGACGCTTGTCAAATTCTTCCGTCGTCATTCCGAGGAAATCTTCCCTCGACTTGCCTTCCGCTGCGCCAATTTCATCGGTACGTGCAAGTACAAATGTACTTACGATACATGGGAATGGCCACATGGCGAAGATGAGTATTCCTGTGTTTGCGGAGCTGGCATTGGAGGCGGCGGAATCGATGTTATGGGCATCCTTCACGGAAAAGACCGTGTGGTTGCCCGCAATTCACTGGTTCCTGGAGTTCCGAGTGTGGAGGAAGTATTCTTCGTCGTCAAGACGGAGTGCATGAAGTTTCCGGCTAGACAAATGCCCAGCAATTTGACTTTTCGCCCTGCGATCCATAACGGCCTTACGCAGAGTCAGCAGAAGAAGAGAACAGACTTTGAAGCTGAAGTTGACAAGGCTCGGGCCGGAGAAGGCGTTCGTGCCTGTGGTGCCAACAGATGGAACGACCATCTTCCAACTTTCAGCTTCGTCTCCTTGGCCCCTCCATTAATAGATGGTAAGGGTAAAAACTTGAAGCATGACGCAATCCAGGTGCCAACCGAGCACATGGGCAAGTTGACGTATCGCAACAACGAATTCCTTACAGATTTGGCTGTCAAAGCTAATCTCGAAATTGTGCCTGCCCCAAAGGCTTACGTTGGCGAGAAAAATCGCGAGATCGGCCTGTACAATGGTACTGAAAAAGGCATCGAATTGGCAAAGGAAGAAATCCAGAAGCAATTGGTATGTTGAATAGCCCTTGAAATACTGGTGAATTGATGCTAACATAGAACGCAGCTTGTGGATTTCAACTCCAATCGTCGTGGTCCTAACCACCAAGGTGGTGACGAGGGCCGCGGTGGTCCTCGTGGTCGAGGAGGATATGGTGGTGGCCGAGGTCGTGGTCAATAGACCAATGGGATAGTGTAGGGGGATGGGAGGGAGGCGGATTAAAATCATAAACCGATGCTAGGGCTGAGGGGATATCGAAAACGTCTATAACACCGCACAAAGCTTTCTATCGATGGAATTTAACCGTCTAAGATCCATCAGCTTGTTGAGGAAAGGAATATCACTGCATAGGGCGCACTGACTTCCAAGTAGCATACAATATCATTATCTGTCAGCAATCCTTTGATTTTAACGATCTGTGAAAAATGTGATATCCACTCACCTGAACAATGCTCATAGTACTCAAACTCTGCAAGTCCCTAGCTTGAAATTCGGATAGTTTAGGCACAATTCAAAAAGCCTACGTATGGTCTGGGCATCTGAAATCCAACTTCATTCGTGTGCACGTGTCTATATGCAAAAAAGATAACGCTTGTTGAACGCCCATTCAATCTATAATTCTATATCCAAAATTTGTATACATAGCCGGTAAATCTTTTACAAAATCACAATTATTCCATTCCACAAATTCCCTATTAGAATCGAGTCAGTCAACAAGCATTTCAAAACTTTAGGAATATCTTACCACTCTTCTCTCCCTGAAGTCATCATACAACCCCTCCCAAATATCTCTCCCCCTACAATCATCTCCTTCCGGCACCATAACACACGTCGGCCCCTTTCCGATCCATTCCAAGTCTTCCAATTGCCACGGTTTCTTCAAAGGCCAATCACTAAAATGAACAAACTTTGACTTCCGGAATACCTGCAATGGGTCCCATACATCAGTTTCATGACCTTTCCCCCAGAAGCCTCTATGTTTATCGACAGGTCTTCTGAATTCTCCTGTAAGAAGTGAATATATTTGATGGTCTATCAAGCCACAGGAGTCTTTTTGTTGTGTGAGGACGGAGTTAATGATATCCATGTCGTAGATACCCACAAGGGCTTTTTTGACCTCACTTTCAAGCCGTATGAATTCTGTTGTGGAGGGCTTGATGAGCATTATGTGGGATGCTAATTGAGGGACGCCTTCGGAATCGAGCCAGTATGCCCGTGGTGCAAGGAGTTGCGTCGATTCTGACATTGGAGCAAGAAATAATTCATCCATGGATTTCAGAACAATGGAATCGGAATCTAGAACGAGAAGTCTCTCGTGGGACGTCTGGTTGAAAGCTAAGAGCTTGGTGTAACTCTCCGCCCATTCATCTATTATGCATTAGCGTTTAATAATCTCATGTTTTAATACGAGGTAAGAATGAGATTTGTTACCCTGGCTGCCATGTTTATGTTTCAAAATTTCCACATTTGTCAATTCTACTTTGTATTCATCTCTCGCCTGGATCAGCATCTCAGTGATGATATTCAGACCCTTCCCATTGACATCCTCGATCCATTCATCCCTCCATAATTGGGGATATATTAATACTCTTTCCGCTTTGCTCTCTAGCGTATTGAGCGACTCAAACATCATCAATGCATTACACAGATGATCTTGCGAAGTTGCATATGTGATGTATGCGTATTTATTCCACTCGATTCCTGTCTCCTCGCCCGTCAGGGGCTCCACAACAACAGGAGCCTGCTTCAAACATGCAGGAGTTTTATACTGCAGATGCAATTCTTTCGCTTTTCGAGTTCCGTGAGGAAGTAAGAAAAGTATGATGAGCCCACAAATCACGATGGGTATAGCTGTTCGCACAGGTCTTGACCGAAGTATTTGCGCGATACTTGGTTTGGCTGCTCTAGGAGGGGGTGGTTCGTCGATATCAAAATTTATGACTGGGAGATAAGGCGAGTTTTGCAAAAAATCTGGAAGATCTCGTGGCGCCTGATGCGACATGCTCAATTAATCCCAAGGAAGCTTTCAAAGATGTAGAGAGATGTAGCCAAATGAAGAAGGGTGTATCACGTGATAAATATCAGGAGTCTAAGTCCAAAGCAAGAAGATATCGATCTGCCACTGTCAGTATGATATTCCCTGTACTTTGAGTTGATAAAAAAACATACAGAAAGTGCAATCCAAAAACGTTCTAATGTCCTAATTTTTCTAATTCTCACGGGATCACAAACTTTGATGAGGCGTAAATTTCGAATGCCAATAGAGCAAGCGGCCAAAACACAATGTCAAGAATGATTGATACCAGGAATCTTCGGATATGCGCCCGATAAGATGAAATGGTCAGCAGACCTCAAGATACAAGAAGAAAATTGATAAAGGGACTGTCGTGGAATCAATAGGACGCGTCAAATGGTGCTGGCTGTGGAGATGATTATTTTCGGACTTGGTGCTTACTAAGTCGAGAGCTTGGTCTTCTTGATAGGATAGGGGTATCACGGGACTACAACGACGACAACATCACTTCTCGAAAGTGCCATTGTCCCATGCTAGATTGTTCATGATTAACTGATGCTTTGAATTCCTTTAGGATGGCTCAGAAATTGCATAAAGATTGTTTGATCTCCTACACCGCTAACCGCTACAAATGAATTCTCTACAAAATTCAAAATACTCGCATGCAAATTCTTGATTGGGCGAACTTCATTTCACATTTAAGCCTAAAAACCTGGACGAGATCACACACATCCTCCATAATACTCCACTATCCTCCTCAAACCCACTCCACTCCAACCTTGACACCATCTCCACTCTCCACGCTCAATTTGATCTCCTCCACCCACTCCTCAACTTCATCTCTACACGCCACCCTTTTCCACTCCTGTACCAATCTCGCAAGCACATATGCCATCTCTGTTAACCCCAGATTTCTTCCCGCGCACATCCTGGTTCCACCTCCAAATGGTAAGTGATTCCATCCTGGGCTCAAATGTTCCCAGCGTTCTGGTCGGAAAGCTTCGGGGTCGGGTTGATAACAAGGTGCTAGACGATGAAATACCCAACTATTAGGTGTAATGAGAGTACCGACTTTGACGAGAATCGGGGATGTTCCTGAAGGGCCGCCACCGCGAGGAAGAATGGTGTCGCGGACAGCGCCACGGGTCATGGTTGGAGCTATAGGGGTGAGACGGAGGGTTGTTATTTCGTGTCAGGTCTTGAGATCACTGACTTCCCTTTTATGCCAAGGATGATCAAGAAGCGACTGGAGTACGAGGGGAAAACCTACACTCATTAACAACTCATTGTAGATATCTCATCCCTTTCAACCCCTCAAACCTTAATTCTTCATCCTTCTCCCTGTGTGCCAATACCTCTCCTCAATTTCTTCTGAACCTTCTGATTCCTACATAACCAAAAAATCGCATTCCTAACTCCAATAGCCGTAGCTTCACAGCCCGCCAAAAATACTTGCAAAGTTTGATATAGGAGCTCTCGACGGTTATCTGTTTCCTTAGCCATCTCTTGGAGGAGGATATATCGACGCTTTTCATCGTCATCTTCGTCGCTTGAAATTGACGGATGTGGACCCGCTCGTTATTTCTTGGAGGCAAGATATTCCCGGCGGATTTCAAGTGCCTTATCAATATGTGCGTCGACGAATTCATGGACGGCGCGTCTTTCTTTTCATCCCAACAGTCTTGATATAAGAATGATAAGTTACGGAGCTGAGATCGAATACTGATGCCTCGTTAAGCATGATTGAAGGAGTTCAGAAATTTATGGGATTCAGAAGCTTCATCAGAAGATTTATCTAAAGCTTTGACTGATTCACCGAAGATGAACTCGGTAGATGTATCCAGAAACTGTTGATGCCGGGTTAAAAGATTAACTCCGGATGAGGAGTACGACATAGGTAGGAGCTCGACTTACCAAGTCATCAAGCAAGGGACTCAGGTTCACGGTTCTCCCATCTCTCGGAATAAGCTTTAGGAACTTTTGAAGGTGTATCTCAAATGCAGGGAAATTGGCCACGTTGACCCTTGTAAAGGTAGGTCGTATCAACGCTCGGGAGTGTTCCCAGAACGATCCGTCAGTGCTAAATACGCCATCCCCTAGAAGCGGACAAAAAGCCTTCTTTCTAAGGCGGTGAACCCCATAATCTCTGAAGTTTGTTCTATGATATGTTTGAAGATTTTGAGGGTCGATGGTAAAGATGATTGTTGTGCCGATAGATTTCTCTGTGTACGTGCTTCCGAGTTCCTTGTGATTATTCATGAGAGATTCGAGAAGTGTATGACTTTGTACATTCTTCATTTTGTCAAGGAAAAGTTCGGCACCGAAGGGATATTTAGACAATCTCTTGGGGGGTTATTCGCAATCATGCTCCTTCATAAATTGCTTGCGTCTTGCTCTAAGTCTTGCGGCATCAACCAGGTAGCAGACTAAAAGTATTACTAAGAAGGCTCCACCGAAATCTGAGAGGTAGCCCATCGCGAAAGCAATACGCTTCTGTTTAGTTTTGACAGAAGCGCCAGTTCGAGTTATGGATAGAAAATCAACACGGAAGTATCGTTATGTGCGAGGTACCTACTACAAGTGAAGCAAAAGGTAGTGAAATCTGGGGCCAGCTTCTCACGGCATAAAGTCTCCTCTTCTTACATCATAATTCTGCATGTTGGTGGCATATTTTTATCCGCTGGAGAGATACCAAATGATGTTGGTGAAATACTGGGCACCTAATCCAGCCAGCAACAATCTTACCGTGTCCAGCCCAACTGTTAGATCGATGCACCCACTGATGTTGGTTTGAATATCAACGGCAGCTTACATCCCGACAATCCTGGTCAACTTTTATCTGGCGTAGCTCACTTTTATCGAAAGAAAGTCCCTCGAATCCATATCAGGAATATGTGTCTTTTTTGTGTGCAGTCCATTCATGATCTGCGAAGGACACTTTTGAAGTATCAACCACTTGCATCAATGAAAGGCCTCTACCTTATTTGCTTGATTCTATACCTCCTAAATTGGAATATTTTTGAATGACACCAAGATACTATCGTGGTTTTACCAAAGTAGTCGAATTTCTCGCCAAACTACCATGGCGAAGATTTCCCGCCCCAGTACTCTGGATGATGTTCGGTTCAAATCAACACCAATCGCTCCCATTCTGCCCCAGTCCAGTGTGAATATGACCGCGATCCATCGTAATGATCAGTCGATGCAATTGATAAGGATCTTAATTGATATTGCACAAGAAGAACAAAGGTTTCAGTCACTCATGACTTCCTCGCAAGAGCCATTATAATGATATATTCTGTTCTCAGGAACCTAGTCTTGTTGTGCATCGTAGAGAAATGAAGAGACCATTGCCACAAGCAGGGAGTGCGAAGCAGATTTGCTTGTTGGCGTTCTGGATACTCAAGGAGTTATGAGGAATTATATTTAACAAAAGCTACAGAACCACTAGATCGAAGCAGATGATCATACTGCAATTTCTATATCATGCTAATCCCATGACCAACCATTATGTTCCCCAAATCGAATGCCAAAAAAGACATGTTGCATATCTGAAATCCCGAATTCCAACAAAGTCTAATAAACTTCCATCAACGGTCATTATTCGGGACCGATAAAACATAAGGTCCACCACTATAATTCGAAACCCCGTCCACAACCGTCATGAAACCGACCTAGCGGCTATCCGAAAAGTATAGAGGAAAAGACTTTTTGTTGCATATCTTAAATCGGTATCGGTATTTCCGCCAATACCTATTTCCGTCCATTAGATACGATTGTTTGCTATGATGCGGATATAGCTTGGACTTATAGATACCGCCACGAGCTAAGAAGTGGACAGAACGGATACGATGATGTTGTCGCTTCGACGTGAGTCGGCATTGGAAAACCGTTAGATATACTTGCGGGGATTAAAGATCTACTCTGTTCCGCAAAGTAGGTTCTGTATTCCGGTGGGCTTTGTCGGAAAATTATTGGGTAAAAATCCGATATCAAGTCAGATATGGCATCATGTCTAAAATTCCGTATCAACGGAATTCAACAAACAAAGTTGTTTCATTCTTCAACCTTGGAATCTCGCAATTTTGATTATACCCACCAGCCAAGAAACAAATCCCACCTATAGACAACATTTAACATCTTTTGTTGCAAGTCTAGGAAATTTCAAATTCCGTGAATATCTGCCGAGACTCCTTCATGCGATGAATTGGTATCTTTGTTGTCAAGAATCAGGCGAGGTATCGCCAGATAATGTTTAGTTAGCTGATAGCGGAAACCCCGTAGATAACACTTGGATGAATATTGTGGCGGTTCTAGCTATTCGTACCCACATGCTGCACTTATGAAACTCCTTCCGCTCAGAAATCTTTTTGTTGCATGTCGTAAAACCGCCACATTCCGCAGCATTTGTGTTAGATTCTGGAATAAATGGTTGGGAAGATGCTAGCTAATGTATGAATAGTCCGTATGTGTTGGTGGAATTGTTGGATGGACGGAATCTCGGGGAATTAAGAGGAGGAAATCTAGGCCTAAAAGACGGAAAGCGGCCCTGTGAGATCCGCCATCAGACAATTTTGTTGCACATCGTAAAATACGATATTCCGAAACCGATAGCGATAGCGATATTTCCGCAGATTGATTCAGTGAGGAAGAGGAACGATACAGACGAAGGTGGCTAGAGTCCGGGAAAAGTGTGTAGAATGATACTGTCTAGCAATCTTTTCGGGGTTTGTTTATTAGCGATCTACTATTGTGACATGATCTACCAATAAATCCTCAAGGTTTTATTCCACCGAACTCGCATCTCAGCAAGAATGTTACCGTATCTACAACTAATCGGTAAACCTGGTGATCCAACAACAATGAGATTCTACCGAATATAGCCCGTGGGAAGAACGAACCTAAGCACACTACCATCTTGAAGGAAATGGATCTTCTCTTTTTCGCCATTCGGGAACATCTTTTTACAGTTACGTGTCGCGCCTCGTTCAGAGGATAGTGGTACGTATCTCAGATTTTTTGATGGAACCGGCGATTTCGGAATTTGATAAACATCAAAATCGCCGGGCTGTTGTAGCATCGGAGACAAGCTAATTGCTTGGGCGGAGCGGTAGCTAACACATTTAACGTATTTCGTATCTGCAATATTCCGCACTCCCTCGGGAAACGAGGGTGAAAGCCATGCTTGTGAAGTTATAGCATTAATTGTACGTCACTGCTTCATACGAATCTACTAGGTAGCATCTGGTACAAACTGTTGTCACTTTCCAAAATTCAACTCATTCAGCTTGCAGAACTTGCAAACGGAAGATTCATTCCGTCGGTGGATACAGCTTATGATTCTAATTGAGATCATTACGACTCAACAGTGCTTTTCATTCTTTTGTTGCATATCTTTAAAGATCCGAAAATCCGAAAATTAGGTGGTTGAGACATCAGAATCTCTCACGATACTAGTTGAGGCTGTTGTTGTTGAGCCAAGTAGCATTACACTGACTGACTCTGAAGCTCCGAAACCCCTTCATTTGATCTCGCCAATCCAGTCACCAGATTTATCACCAACACAACAAATCAACTCATCCACAATGTAAACACCGAAAATAATCTCTAATGTTGCACATCTAAATATCGCCGAATTCCAAATCTTCGGCGAAAACTTCAGTCACCAATTCTTTACCTCCGAATAAAATAAAATAAAATCGCTACATCCGAAAATTCGGCGCTCTAATCACTCCATTTACGCTTAGAACATCGTGATATTACCCCGAATTACATATTCGATCATTATGATTGGAGGTTATAGATTCATGATTCTTTTGTTGCATATCTACTATATCCGAATTGGACCGGTCGCCGACTTCTGATTATTGCAGATGAATAACTAGCAATTTGTAACTATTGGGTTGAGTTGTTGTGGTGTGGTGCCAGCAGCTCGCCTCCGCACAGTGCTGATATACTAGCCTAATATACTGCTGGCACGCACTTACATTGTAGGGGATCGGCAACGACCAAACTTCCGTCCATATCTACTTACTGAGTAATGTCCACAATCACTTCTTCGCATGCCATGTCATGGAATTAACAATCACCATCTAACTCCACCAACACAACTGATGCCAAAGCCAACTTCAGCCTGTTAAACCAATCATCTAATGCTCCAGAACATTTGTTGCATGTCTGTCTAAACTCCGAGATCCGTTCTTTCCATATTGTCGGACTTCATTTTATTGTTTTACCACAGTGGTTATTTCCTTTGGTGTTTCTCAAAGCTAACCTAATCCAACCCCTCGTTTGTTAAACATGGTGACATCCAAATCTCCCTAACCATAAAACCAACTCGGAGCTCGCTTGATTGATCCTCCGCCGCTCTTCAATTAACCTCCGGTTATCCTACTAACAAAGCAACCTTATTTCCTTCTCATTTCTTTGAATCATTGGACGACATGCCTTTCTGGAACCTTCAAACCCATCTGTTGCACATCTACACAAACTCCGAGCCGGCGGATATTACCTTTCTTCCTCTCCTTACATAATGTTTTCGCTCAAGATTTACGTGATTCGGAGACAAGTCTCAAGAATTCGGCGATACAACATGGCTTCGGAGACCGAACATTGGCGCTCCTTCCCCTCTTTTGGATATCCAACAAATCAACTATTGGTATATCCGAAGTTTATCATGAGACATCGGGCATTGTGTTGGAAATCTACTAATTTGGTAAGGTGAGGAGAGATGAAAAGGGTTTTGTTGCATATCTATGTAAATCCGAAGCGATAATATTCGGAGTTGATGTTGCTCCGACTAGCTGAGACTGACTAGAACATTTCCAATGTTGGTTTTGGATAGTTGTTGAACGACTCAGTCCAATATCCATAATATGTATAGTTGACGAGCTCAGATCGATCAAAAAGAACCATGGCCAATCGCAAAGCGGACATTATGTTTCATCCGCAGAGCCGCATTAGTTCATCTCTTTGACCCCACAACGCGTTCATTTCGTACTTCCAATAGACACATTACAACACTGCATCTATATGTATCAAATGTTGCACATCTGAGAAATCCCGCAGCTTCGCTGTCAGATCCGCCATATCCGCAAGGCTCCATTGGTCACCTCGTGCAGATCTAGATCTCATCTGATCTTCAGTTTATGAGACTCAGGTAGATCCTGGGCTTGAATAGAGTACCAAATGCGGGGCAACAGGGATTGAGGGCTTCTGAGCTTCCTACTATTTCAGAAGTAGCGCTAAGTGCTATGCACCTAGACGTATACACAAAAAAAGCGAAACATCAACCATGTATACGATGGGTTCTTGAGATAGAAACATTTGTTGCATGTCTATAAAATACCGAGATCCCGGATGTAGTCAACAGAGTCAGTGACTACGTCCATCAGTAGACATATGGAGTTTCAGCTCAGTATTGTTCATTCTTCCGGATAATGGGCAGAGGTGCGGATAAATCGACAACGGAGCAAGCAAAAGAAGCAAAATGCTATTCCCGTAGTATGGCATTCTAGGCTTCTTGGTATAACTAGTTTAATATCTGACCCAATGTTAGCCACACCTTGGGACCGCCAAGTTCCAACGCATATATTTGGACGATTTGTTGCACATCTGACAAACTCCGACATCTCGGATGTAGGATTTTGGCCATTTTTGGATTTATCTACGGAGTTAAAGCAGAGCTACTTTGATTGCCAGACCACCCTTCTCCGTTCGAGCGGAGATTCGCGGACATATCCTCGGCGGTGGAAGAAAGTGGTAAAGTCCTCTTGTCCTAGTCACTTAGAAAATCAATTTACAAAACGAGGATCCTCCATATCGAATTCCGCAATACCATTTCCCAGCCCGTATTCATCTCCAAATGTCTAGTCAATTCGTATTATAGTTATTGGGGATACCGCTGAATCAATAGACATCCCGTGCGTTCCCGGTCGACGTAAAAGACATATTCTCAATCGATTTAGAAAGGTGAATGATATGCGTCCATGAAGACGAAACAGGTATAATCGATAGACAGTTTATTGTATAGCTAGCAAAATCCGAGGTCCGCGATGTATAAGCGCGATTTTATAAGTTTCCGGAGTTTCCGCCCCCACCGGGCCGAAGTGACCAAGAAAAGGAAAATCCACCGAAGGCAAGTATCCCTCTGAAACGATCCAGTAAGCAAACCATAATTCGAGAGACATTTTTGCATATCTTATCATCTCCGAGTTCCTGGCACTCTCATCGTTTCCACGAGTCGGCGGAGTACATCACCGAGTCCGCCGGAGTGTCATAAAATATTTATGGAATTTTATGCACCCCGACCCAAAAATGGGGAATATTCTCCGGGCCTGTCAATCGTGAAGATAGATAGACTAAAAAGATATTTTGTTGCATATCTGCTTGTCCCCGAAATCCTAGGCCTCCAATACATTTCCATGAACGAACGGGGTTTGTTCACCGAGTCCGCTGGAGCTGCACGCATATTCTCCAACGGAGGAACCTTCCATGTTCACTAATTATAAAGACAAATACATTGGAGAAGTATTTTGCTGCACATCTTAAATCATTCCCGAGATGCTAGAACTCTGATCATTTCCCATAATTGAACAGCGTTCCATCCCCGACTCCGCTTAGCATGGAGTATCCACGAATATCACATATCTCCCGACGGAGGAATCTCCGTGCCCTGCTAATCATGAAAACAAATTTAGAAGAAAGAATTTTTGTTGCATATCTGGATGTCACCGAACTTCTGAAGCTTTGATATTTTCCTTGAATCAACGGAGGATATCGCCGACTCCGCTGGTGTTACATGGGAAATCCACGAATGTGCCAAGTCTTCCGGAGGGAAAAGAAATGTCCGGGCCTACCAATGATAAAGCTAGATAGCTGGAAAAAGTTATTCTGTTGCATATCTACTGGTCCCCAGATCTTGCAATCTCCATCGCGGAACTGGGGTATGCGGAGGTTATAGCCTATGCCGAGTGCAATCGGTACTTCGGATGGGTTATTCATGCGTAAATGATGGAGTTCGGCGGATAAAGTCTCCGGAAATGCTAATTAGACAGGAGAATAGATGAAAACGAGATTCTGTTGCACATCTCACAGTGACCGAAATTTCGGAGGTGTAGATCTCGCTGAATTGTAAAACCCCGGAGCTTGTGATAGCAGTTTGAGTGGTAATGATGAGAGTGTAATGAGACGTAGCATCTCGGCGGAGAGAAGGGGATATGTCAGAATCACGAGCAAATCGCATTATGGCTCACCAATCAAGTGAGGAGGTGGAAGGGAATGAAGTGTTTGTTGCATACCGCTAGCCTCCGAGATTTCGGCCGTAGGACGAGGGAGTATGCGTTGGTGCCAAGAACAGAAAGTAAGTATGAAAGTTTTTTCTGATGTTGCGCATGTGATGTTGAGAATCAACCTGTTTTTAGTCATGGAAAGGGCCTCTGATAAAGTATCGTAATTTAATAGTGCATACTCCTCAGCATAAATAGATAAGTATTGCACCTTATTATCCATTGTTCATCATTAACCCCAATGTAGTTTGTTTCAAGTACCTGTGGAGGTTCAAGTTGCATTAGGAGTTTGGGTATGGCAGATAGCAGATATGGTAATGGACTGAACGGACAGGTGGAATAGGCTGTTGAACGAAGAAACTTTATGAATCCTTTTATTTCTACATCTGTATGAATCCTTTGATTTGATCTTCCATCTACATTCAATATCATCTATTCGTTCTCATTCTTAGATCTCTCTCATCTCCACTAATTTCCCAACCACTCCCTCTTAACCACCTCCAACTCCTCCTGCAGCCACTTTCCCTCCCCCTTCTCCTCATCCATAGACACATCAAGCCCATGTTCCATCCCCTCCTTCCAAACGCCTTTCACTCTCTCCTCTCCAAACTTCTTCCCATAAATCTCCACCCACTCCTTAGTATCCTCCCACGGAACAGCCGTATCTTTTGTTCCATGGAATGCCAACAAGTAAGGTCTCTCCCTCCCCTCCTTAACATCCAAATTCTCAATAACATCCTCCAACCACAATCCCTCCTCTCCATCCCTCTTAAAAATCTCCGTCCACCTCCCTCTCTGCACCATCGTAACTGCGATTTCTAATCTCGCAGGTGGGTCCGCCTTGATCACCATTTTCTCACCCCCTTTGCCAATATCAGCAATATGATCATCCAGAAACCCCCCATCTAACTGTGGAACTCCAAAAGGACTTTTCGTCTCGCTAGCCACGGAATACCACTCCTTTCTCAAAAGCGTCATGGGGTACGCTGCAATCACCACTTTTGGGCCTGTGAATCCCTCCTTCTTCCTCCAGAAATCTTCGGAGAAAAGAGAGCTGCGGATAGCCAGATACCCTCCCGCACTTTCACCAAAAACCGCCACTTTTTCAAAATCCACAGAAAGGTTACTATTCAGTCCTGAGAGATACGACGAGAGTCCATTACCACCAGAAGCTAGCCACCCCCAAAAATCCTTCACATCCTCCAAAATCTCCTGTCCACTAGCCTCAGGCAATAATCGATAATCAGGCATAACAAGGATGGCCTCGTTCTTCACCACGAGATCGATAGCCCAACTAGGAAACCATTCTGTGTGGAGTGCTGAGCCTGTGACTAAGAATCCTCCATGAAATCTCACAAGAACCGGGTATTTTCCCGGTGTTGTGGAGGCAGCGATGAATTTAGGAATGAGGATGTGTGCGGGAAATCCGACGCCTTGCACGGTTTTATATGAAGTAGTGTGCAGGCTGAAGGGAGCAAGTTTTGGATCTGACATTTTTGGAGTTGGAGGTCTTAGATTCTGCTTTTTGGAATTTTTGGGAGTGTGGTAATGCCTGGTGAATGATGAGATTGGTAAGATAAGATTTATATTATCGGGTATACTTCGGTAGATAACTCGTGGGTTAAGACGTCGATTTTAAGACAATGTAATGAATACTACTTTCAATGATATGATTGATAGGAAAGAAGATTTTGAAAGTTGATGGTGATACGATGTATACTTATATTCTTGCAGTCTAAAACTGATTTGTTTACTCACCGTGGATTCTTCGGATTTTGTTGTTAATTCCTTCGTTCTCCATGGTACAAGTAAGCCGTGGTGCTATCGCCGCGGGATTAACCAGCGATGGGATACCGAAAGGGAGAAGAGAAGAACGGCATAAATCCATGAGATTATGTAAATCTGACAAATCGAATTCTTTACGAGGTTCTCGTTACTTGTGATTGAATATGCTACAGTGCCATTCTTTCAAATCTTCTCATTCATATAGCAATTTTCTAGCTACGGCTGGACATATTGCCATTACCAACCCCACATACCCATTTCTGAGTATGTTCATACATGTCCATCCACAGTTCGTTCATATTATAGCAAACCCTAAGGCAGTTAACGGCAAGGCCAATAACTACTTTCCGTTCGGTCAACCACTTTTGTCTGATTGACATCCATTAAAGTCATTCTTTGGACTGATGTGATGGTTTCAAGTGCATCGCACTCCGGACCGGTGTTCTGTAAGGTTTCAAGACAAGTTGCAAGCAAATCATCTCCTTCCCATTCAAACTTTTCAATGACTGGTATGAACTCGGAAGGTGAAACTGCCGTGCGTCGAACAGCGCTTCGACCATGAATAAGCATGATACTTTCGACGGCAGGATAACACAATGTAAGCTTGTAAAAAGGATTGATGGAAAGAGGACCTCCGTATGCCAAGCGCTTAACTCTAAGCCAATCGAAAGAGAGAGGAGCGTGTCTACAGCTCATTCTATGGGCATTACAACGAGCACATTGAGAATATATGCCATCACGTTCCCAGTCAAAGTAGATTCTTGCTTGGGCGCGTTGTCCTTTAGTAAGTGCATTGTTCATCAGCTCATTCAAGGTCTTCTGGTCCCAAAACCCCATCTCAGGATCCCTTGCAAATGACAAGTCGTACCATTTCAAAGCTACTTTCCTTGACTCTTGACAAGTGTGAAGCAAAGCTGGAATTGGCGCATCTGAGCAAAGTGCTGCACTCCATTTGGACTCTCGAATCTTTATGTAACGTGCTTCAGGACGGGCGAAGTTCCAAATTTGCCGTCTAACTTTTCCAGGAAGCTCTGAGAGAGAGGGTAGCATTCGAAGAGGCGTATGATCTTCTTCCAGATGGGAAAGACCCCACCCTACTGACATTAGTAATCATCGAAAGAGCTTCCAGCTGAGAGGAAAGGCTTACACTGGTCATCATCTTCATGATCTGCCTCGGACTCTTCAGTTCCTTCAGTATCTTGATTATACTCGGCTTCTTGAATTGCATCGGTCTCTTGAGCTTTTTGAGGTGATGACAGGGCTGTTTCATCAGATACTACTTCTTCCAAATCGAATAGGGCCGAGCCTGTTCGAAAGGTCAGCATGTGTCTCTGTAGGCGGTAATAAAAGATGCTTACTGGTTTCTTCGTGATCTGCTTGGCTTTCTTCGGGTTCCCTGAGTCTTTGGGGTGGCGATAAATCTACTAAGCCAGATTCTTCTTGAAAATCTAATAGACTTGACGCTAGGTTGGAGGTTAATCGCCATTCATCGTGCAAATGGTTCATGAAATTTAACCTACAAGGCCGTTGTAAACTTGCCTGGAGCTTTTCAGTTTCACGACTTCTTTTGGCAAAGACTGTAGTTGTTCCCGCCTCTTCTGTCACATCCAAGAGATTCCAGTCTGGCACAAGGTCGATAATTATTGTAAAAGTTGAATGGTAGTCTGGAATTCTTACAAGTTTCTTGAGATTTTGTTGTTGATTCTTTCCACTCTTCATGTTTTCGACTGTTCTTGGGAACTTCTTGAGTTGCTCGAGGAGGTTTCTTAACATAATCAATCTCTTGCGTGTTTTGAGTTGTGGTCAACACTATTGCCTGCTGCCTTTGCCTCCTACGATGACTTTGTCAGAATTCATGCAGTCGAGAAAGAAGACATACTGACTGTTCCGCCATGAGATTCAAGTAACGTTCCAACATTTGATCCTTCCCTGAACCTCTTGGAGGAACCGATAAGCCTGCCATCTTGACTAAATTTGTGTCAAAGGAACCAAGGTTGTATTTGAATAAGTTGCTGTACTGAATACCAAAGTTAAAGATATTCCTTGCAAGAGATTCAAAGATGAAGGTGTGGTTGTAAACTAACCTGATTAGGCAAATCTCAATTCAGCGAGGACGACCTCTTTGGGAAGGACCACTTGAGTCCCTGCCGGATATGGTCGTTTGAAGCTCAAATTGAGTTATTTGATAAGCAATCCTTTCTATTCTATCTTCTCTTACCCGTCACAAGCTTTTCTCATGGAAGTCACATGACAATCATTCTCTTCATGTCAAAACACAATCTCAAGAACTCTGTCTTCTCTGCCATCAGTGTTCACATCAAACTGTCATTTCTTCAACTCGAACCAATTCATCGAAATGTCATTTGCCAATTGTGGTCTATGTGACAATCTCAAGATTTTTGACATTGGAAAACAAACTAACGACATGTCTGTTCCTATCGCATCAATAAGAGATCAAAAAAAAAGGAGAGCAATGTGAGAGAAACGCTGGAAAAGATCAATGCAGTTAGCAGCACGACAGGTCGCAATTTCTTGGTTGTCCCTCCACCTGTTGCAATGCATCCCATATCGTCTCCTGCCAATCCTTATTTCTAACACAACATCACCTGCCTTCTTGAAGATAAATCGGTTGAATCTTGTTTATCAAATTACCATTTTCTTAACATTCAGAGGGTTGTGTGCTCCATGCGATACTCAATATTTCAGTATGTGCCAGTACCGTAAAGCTGTTGCAATTTGAGCCAGTATGGACTACTTACTCAGAACGTAAGAACATTGTTCCACTGTTCCAGCCAAAATTCATACACTCGGTCTCTGAAACCCCTTTCTGTACTTTTTGATCTTTTTTACTCTTGTAACAACTTTGGCTTAAAATCTGTAAAAACGGGACATTTTGGAGCAGATAATGACTGTAAGATATTCTTGGGCGAATCTCGTTGGATAACTTTTCCGCTTGTTCTTGGAGGAACGTTGCGGCTACTGCTAAAACTCGCCCACATACGGTAGTCTGTCATTTTCTGAGGCGGAGAATTCTGCTGCTTTTAGTAATATGGCTTGAGATAGTGCTGCTTCTGAACTGGAAGTTGCGTTTGAAAAGCACTAGAAGTTGAGCTACTGGCAGTTCCAGAAACTTATCTTGTCGGAATGAAATTAATGCCTGGTATTTTCCTAGCGATTCTGCCGTCTTTGAAGACTAAATGTTTTGAAATCAGAATTTCTACTATCTTTAACATCTGATCTTGCAATTGGAGTCGACAACATACAATAGTGCTCCCAAATAGGATGATTGATCTACCGCTGTTTAGTTAAATCAGTAGATATCTGATCCTTCACCTTGCGCGTTTCAGACCGCTTCTTAGACTCTACCATCTGTTCAGAATTACGATCACTACATGAACCTCTATACGACGCTCCAATATTGGCTGCATATAGTCGTAGATCCTCCAAGACTGACAGTTCTTCTTTCATTCTTATAGCCTGATGTTTGATGCGTATTTCGCCGATTGTAAAAAGATCCAGTGTATGTTCGTGAATAGATAAAGAGATCTCAAAGTAGTATATCTGTTTATATGGAGAGGCTGTTAAGGCAAAGTTGTACAGCTGTATATGGCATGCAAATGACTCACTGTACATGACTCAAATCTCCTCGCATTTCCCAGACATCGTGAACAAACTCGGCTGCTTCAATTTATTGTTAGTTTGAAATTGAGATAAGTTAACAAATTAAGGAAAATAGCCCAGGTCAAAAGAAAGCAAATCAACCATCTCAAATACCTTGCAAACGCCATTTCATAAAATTGAATTCAAACTTTTTCCGCTCTCTTTGTCACCATAATCAATTCAACGGTCGATTTCTCTCATGCCTCTTGCGTTCTATAATGGCTATAATCTGCAATATTCGGAGGATAGAAGCTAGAACCTATGTATGAAAGGTAATATTATGAATCCAAGATACGTTCTACATACCTTGTTCTACCCAAATCAGGCTAGGATCTGACTGGAACATTAGTAAAACTATTACAGCTTTAGTAGCATAAGAGTAATTTGCTGTTAATTAGATCGCTTTTCTAAACGTGTGTATTTGGATCCTCAGTCCAGTAGTGTCATTACTGACCATATCGTCTTTATTGTTACGCTTGTTATCCACCCTCCCCGGCTCGCTCTTGAAGGTCTTGTCTTACTATTTGTTTTAATAGAATGCGAATTCTAGGACTGACTCATCGTCCACCTATGTATCCAAGATATCAGAGAAGTATTGCGGGGTGACTACCTTGTTTTTTATATGGTTGTTCGTTGGCATTTCCCACTCTGTAAATCCAATTTTTGAGGTTCGCTTATTATCTTCCATGTCTTGGATCCGAGTATCTAGTTGTTGATATATTGTTCAATGTCTTGCTTCGTTTGATTGTATTTGGGTGGTCAGTTCCGGCGGTAACATAGAGCTTGTCGTCTGTTGCAGCTGGCTTGAATGTAGCTGGTTGAGGCATAACAAGTTCATACCAATTGGTAGATCCAAGCCTAATCTTAGCTCGATACTCCTATAAGACAGTTCTTGCTAGACTAGCAGTTGATCTCGTGATTGAGTTAGTTCAGGATACTGGATACCATTTCACGTGATTAGCTAACTCCGCTTGAAGGCCTCCATCAACGATGACTCTTAGCAATACTCCTGTCACTTTATCATCCTTATCGACTGGTAACCCATAGAAGTCTTGATCTTCTGAAATTTTATCGTTAAGCTGTTCTCGAATTACCATACTAATCTTCCCATCCAATACTCAACCTTCCATATTCCTTTCACTCAAACTCCTCCCATAATGACGAATATCTTCCTGCGCAAGCCCGACTAAACGTTTTCCCCGTTCTCAATCATAGCCTTCAATTGCTCACGAATGGCTTCCAACCGCTGTTTAACATACTCCCCCATCCTTTCCAATTCAACCTCCAATGCATTAATCTCCTCTCTCACACCATCTGCCTTGACCTTGTAAAATTGATGAATTTGGTCTGCAAACCTCTTTCGCTGCTTGTTTTCGAAATCAAGATAGCCACGCTTCTATTAAAGCAACAGATTAGCACACCTTCAGTACATTTGCCCTTCATTCCCACCACCCCATGAACTTCAAAGTCTCACGCCTTCTTCCCACATGATACACAGTATGCTTACCTTCTTCTGAAGCGCCGCAGTCATCAATTTCTCCCATTCGAACTTTCCCTCGTCCCTCAATCTCTTCTCCTCTGTCTCCAGCTTCTCTATCTTCGCCTTCCAGATATTCAGCACCTCAAAGTTAGAAAGCATTATCCTCCTCTCAACCAATTCGAATTTCCGCGCGCGTGGACCATCGCCAGCGATCTGAAATCTACCAGGGAAATTGACAACCGCCTCCGCATTGTTGTAATCGAGGACTAAAGTTCATATCTCTCAGCACAAACCAACATATGCGACATATCGTATCCGAAAGTTTAGAAGATACATACAATAGAAAACCCAGACGTCCCACTCGATACACTGCTGCATATCCCGGGCCGCAGTCTTCCATTCCACCTGCTTGGCATGACAGCGCTCTACTGTGGCGTCAAATTCCTCCTCGGTGCAGATGCCGCGGTAGGAAAGCTTGTCATTGAGAACAAATTGCTTAATGTCCTCGAGTACAGATATGTACTCAAGGTCTGCCATTGTGTTGATGTGGTGTTGTTGAACTTTTTGTATGGAGGAAGAGGTTGTGTTGATAGAGACAGATAGAGAGAGAGAAGGATTGTTATGAGAAAGGAATTGAATTTAAGAAAGAAAAGTCTGTGAGTTATCCGGATTTCTTTGGGTATTGTTTGATTCAGGCCTCGAGGCAGGAACTTTTGGCGTTGTGAACAACTCCATGATGGGATAAGTATGCATGGGATAGAAGTTGATTTTGACTTGTGAGAATTTGTGTTTATGTTGTTTATCCTATTGCCTCTGAGTGTCAGTTCTTGAAATGAACTCAGTAAGTTGCATTTCCCAGAGCTATAGAAGCCAGAGAGTTCAGGTATGGATGATTCTATTGACTATTTCAACCATTTCAACTTTTAATCACATCAAAATGAGAGTTTCAGATATGAACAATGCCTATATCAAAGACTCCAGCTATCCAGTATACATGACTGTTTGATGCAAGTCCCTAAGAACTGACAGCCAGACCTCTGGGAAGTTCATCCCATCAACTAAACAAGACCATTTGCACTGTCCAACCCTAAAATACTTGGAAACCAACTTCCTTTCCACTATTACTGATCAAAAAATGACTCTTCTATTATGAAGTGCATGAACACAAAGGATCGCTTCAAAAACTTCCAAGGAATAGCTTTTGCTCCTCCTCGCGAGTTATGATATCGGTTGAGAAAAGTTCGCTAGCCTACCGAATATGAAGATATCAGCCCGACTTCTGACTACTCCTCGACTGATCTGTACATAGATCAATTGCGTGCAGTCTAATGCAATGAAGATTAGAGAAATTATCTTCCCAAGGTATCATGAAGTGGACTATTGATGTAGAAAACCAAAACGTTGAGCAACTATCCTGGCTAGATCTTGCACTAAACTATCTGCATCAAGGTATATTGTAGGGGGCCTATGTGATATACATCGAGATTTTCTGGAATGGGTTTCTCATGCTCTTTTCATCGGAGTGACAGACCAGTGCTAAAATCTAGCGTTACGTACCAGCCACACCTCAATATATTGTTAAGGTTCTAGCCTCTACACGGCTTGAGTACGGAAACATTGATAGGATTGGACTGACAAAAAGTGATGCTTTGACTGCCACCAATATACATGAAATGCAAAGCACGAATTTGCACACGCGAGACAATTTCAATCGTTCGATAGAGCTATATGAAGCAGGGTATCATTATTCCTCATCTCCATATCCCGAGGAATAATACTCAAATTCCGAAGGTAATGAAGCATCCCCTTCAAGATCATCATCTACATTTCTACTCGCAAGCGGCTTCTGCGTCTCTACTTCTGATATAACACTTGGACTCGCAATCGGCTGCTTTGGTGCAGATATTGGTAGTCTGCCCAAGACCCTAGTCATCCAAGCCGCCCATTCCCACGGTCTATCTCTATCCCCTGGCAATGAGTTGAAATATTCCCAACCCATCACACCTCCAAATGTAGGATACCTCAACTTCAGATTGAGAAGGACTTCCTGCAGACTCTGAAAAGGCACCCATCCACTACCATTCCCCGGATTGGTAACCATGCCAACCACTATTTTATGTGCAGGCCATCCCCTCATCATCATCATATCATATCCAGCCGTCTTACTCATATCCCCCCACCCACAATAAAACTGCGTATTGTACCATTCAATACTACTTCCTCTCATAACCTCCAGCGCTTCGTAGTTGAATCCACTTAGGTTATGTTTTGGCAGTTCAGATACCAATGCCGCAGCCACAGGCGCAAGTGTAATGATAAATCCAGCTCCGAAATCCGCTTTCAGTCGATCAATTAGTCGGATTATTCCAGCAAGAGTCATTTCTTCTTCAACGTCAAGATCTAAACCATCAAGACCCCGTTCGCGGATAAGATTTCGCAAAGGAATGTAATAGAGTTCGAATATGGCATCGTCTTGATCGAGTCGTGTGAATGAACCCTTCGCTGCCCCGCCAAGCATTCCCATTACTTTTATTCCGGAGGCTTGAAGGATTCGGAGTTCCGCCCACATGGTTACGAACCGTTCATGGTGAGGTACATGATCGTTCTGCCATTTGTTAATACTTCCACACATGAATCAAAAGGAGATGTGGCAGATATACCAGAGCTATGTTTCCTGGGGGATCATTGAGATGAATCGCGGCGACATTGACATGTGTCACCGCGATGTTTGGTTTGGTTATGATAGGTAATATTGAACATAATTTGCCATCGGGATGATGTTGCGTCTGATAATATATGACGATCCTAGGAGTTGTAGGAATTGGAAGGGGAGGCATTGGAGAAGAGTCGTTGTTGTTTGATTTGTTGGTGAGGTTGATGGTGGTCAGGGTCCTAGAATTAGTGTGGGGCTAGTCTGGTGGGGTATGAAGCTTATTCTGCTCGGAGCTTGACGTCGCCCCATGAATACAATGTCGCCATTGCGCAAGTGTTCATGATGGCATCTTATGTATATTTCTACGTGGTCTTGAATAAAGACATATGTGATGTCAACTTGTCGAGCTCAACTTTGAAGACTCGACAGCGAGAATCATTCCGTTTTGGTGAAAATATCCCTCCAGCTCAGTTTCATCCCACGATGGTTGGTGATACTCATACAGATGAGGCTGCGAGCCTTTAAGTGTGCATTCAATTATTATGACTCTACGATAGTACCACGTCAGATACTCGCCGATCTAGAAATGGTCATTGCATTCCGGATGTTACTGGGCAGTGCGAGTAGATGACCACAAGTGCTGCGGCTTCTTCGCACAACACGTTCATCAATAGAATCATCGCAGAACTTGGAAGGGCATTACAACAATGATACTTTCCGCAACACACTCATTCTGTAAAGTAACATTATTTAAATCTCGGAACCTGTCGACCCTGGGCTATCCTATGTCTATGCATCACGTCCATTGGCTCTCAAATGGCCGCATTTCATATACCGAAGCATAGAAAGGCTCCGGGTTTCACGAATTACCTTTGAAGCAATTGAATGGCCATGCATCACGGCAAGCTGCCTTTGTCGTAGGGATCTTTCGCCACATGTGGTGCCATTCTCTGGAGCCAGGGAAATGGCCTTGCTCTGCGCCTCGTTTTGTCTGCCTGCTTCGTAAGTCAGCTCTTGTGACTTCCGACGTTCCCAATTTTCTTTGGGCTTGTAGTCTGACTTTTGCAATAATGTGTTCTCTATTTCATATATCACTCCAGCCTCAAAAATCACTTTTGTTTTCTTCAAGACTTGTCGCATTCCCTTCGTCGATGATTGTGGATTTCACGTACTTTAATCTTCTTTGTTGACATATTTATGTTACTTTATCATAATTCGGACCCGTTATCTGCGGCCAATGGGACAGTTGGAATGAATTCCCTCGATATCCAGGTCTCTCAAGGCTTGGTCAAGTACTGCTCTCAAGTAAAGAATTTCACGTCGGAGATAGCTACATTCAAAGCTAAAGCAGAAAGCATTCACGGGATTTTACAAAATTTCGAAAGTTTGGTGAGGAAGACGGAACAGTGACAGAAAATGATACCTAGCTCTGTTTTTCTTACGCTACATAGCTGTCAAGAGACATTGGAGAAGCTGAATGTATGAATTGGCAGACTTGGAAAGGATAGACTCTCGAACAGACTTACATATTGTTTTGTGCGGGATGACTTAGCAGCCGCTTGCCATATGTTGGGTAGCTTACAGCATAATTTGAGCAATGCTTTTCTAGTTTAGATATTGTATGTATGTCAAAACGCTCTAGATGGTATGATACTGAAAGTCGAACAGGGAAGACAGTACTCGCCATCAAGCAGATATAACCCAAATAATTATGGATCAATCTGTCACGCACTTTCATACCTCACGAAAATTCGAAGGCTGCTTTGAAGATTTGTCAAAGAAAATAGATATTATAGTAAAGTTGCATACATCGACACCCATGACCACACAACTAAGTTAACATGGATATCAAGTAAACAGCAGCCTCTTCTTCAAAGCCCTTCTTTACTGGCACGAAGATGCTTAGAGCTTAACGCTGCCAAGGCTAAATCCAACTTATTACTATTGGAATACAAACACAATTTTCGACTTCGTCTCCCTCGTCCGTGTCCTTGCTAATGTCCAGCATCTCTGTAGTCAAAGTTTAGCACATGTCCCTGGCTAGTCCACAACATTATTCGACAATGTACTTTCTACAAGCTGGGACTTGCGCACACGTGTGAGTGTAGTCAGAGAATAGTCCACCTGTCAGCTCGTTTACGAAAGATGAAGTTTACAATATCATGGAAGAGGAGCAAGACATGATGGAGCAGCTTGAGAGCCTCACAGCTGAGTTCGAGAAGAATTTTGCATTTCTGGGAAGCCACTACATGCGTTTTTAAAAGACGATTCGAAACCAAGAATTGAGGAAATCATGTCCGAGGGTACGTTAGATGAAGATTATATCAATGGAGTTCGAGAGCTTGGTGTGATCATGCAATAAATGTTCCAAATTCTCCTAGTTGAAACTGAGTAGGTGGAACTATTTCCGCAATACAATACATGCGTCTAACATAATGTCTTAGGCTCTGTGGTTCTATCCATTTATTCAGCGGGGCATGTGCGGAGAGAGTTTTGATATGGAGGAAAGGAGCACCTAGTTTCTTTTGTGATAGATGAATACATACTTGCGTGGGCTCGGATTACAAATCTCGTTTCAATATCAGGATGATCTTATGTTTTTTCCCCCGATTTTTTGTGTTGGCTGTCTTTAATTTATCATTATTCTCTACAAAACTTGTCATCTATCGACTATATGCACTTTTTTTTGAAAATTATATATGGTATTGATGGACTAATATTTTGACCATAAAACGTTCACATTTCCGAGAATTCTGTGTTTAGAAATATGGTCTTTGCAATGTCTTCCCAACACCAACTTTTATGCGACTCTGAGTTTAATTTTAAAATGGCAGGCCCTTTTCCATTATTTCCGATCTTTTAATCAACCCAATTGAACAGCAAAGAAAGTGAGTGATATCACCAGGAGTAGAAATGGTTTCCTAGGTTAGGACTATCTAGAGTAAGCGAGGATCAGATCTAGTGACAAAATATCAAATCTTGATGTGAATCTCCATAGCAAATTCTTTGAAGTGACGGAAGTATTTTAGAGGAACTGGCTCTGAAATGATGTCAACCTATTCTGGGGATCTAATACCATCATTTAGTTTATGAAAAGTGTATGTGCTATTTCTTTGCGAACTGATTTGTCAAATTGTGTCCTACGCTATCCTGGCCTGGCGAAGCTGGACCTCGATGGTAGTAGACGAATGTCTGCATGGTCATCATGAAGGCTTTGAAGAGAATTTGGAAGCTCATTGATGGAAAGTGAATTGTGTGGTGAAGTTGAATTATCTATTGACTTGCGCTTAGTTTAATCATTCGTTTCCTTTTCCTTCTCGCTTCCTCATTGTTATTGTCTGAACATCATATTTTATACATCCTAGGAGCGTGATGACTACTTGGGGGTTAATATGTTTCTAGTATACTATTAGTGATATATATCAAGGAGCTTATTACATGTTCAAACTTGTAGAAAAGTTTTCCCTTTATTGATGAGGTGAAAGAGAAGTATCCCATCTGTTTATTCCGATAGAATTTGCTTGGCTAAAAGAATGTCTTCCTTGACACTCAAAATATTTACTGTGAGATTCACTAGGTCTGAGGCTGACTGTGATTGATGGTATATGTTCATCCAAGTGCCACAACAATGGCTGCTCGTTTCTAAGTTGTGAAAATAACCTCAAATAATAGGGTTGATTATTTTCCACCTTGACCATGAATAAAGCATGGTACAATCACAAATGACTAATCCAACTAGAGTTAATTTCAGCAATATAGAATCCTTTTTTGATGCAGTGAATCTGATATAGAGCAAAAAGCAAACAAATCAGCATTGATTACAAACAGAAACCCTGATCAGCTCTGATTGAGAGGACTTTCGTCTTAGGAATAAGTAGAAATCTTTTTAGCTATTGAAATAAATCTTTGTGTCTGAAATAGAGTGATCTTAATGATTCTATTCACACTTCTTTTAAGCTTGTCTCTCGAGTGCCTCGAAGTCTTTGTTTATTCTATGAGAAGAGGGACAATAGATGCATGATCTTGATCTTGAGTTGTCAAATTCACTTATTTAAGTGATCCCAGTCAATGCCACAGTATGTGATTTGGAAATGCTCATTATGCAGCAGGAGAACTATCGGACCTTAGATCTTAGCCGTAGAAACATCTAATCCGCTAGTGATACAGCATTTTGTCACTAAAATCCTTGGGCTTTCCAGCTTGAAAGGCTATTTAATAACCTCTTTAATCCTCAAATATCTTCCTTCGCCTCGAACATACTCTCATACTCTATTGACAAAGTTTTCAACCACTTCTTTCAAATCCAATTATATCTTACCGCAATATTACACAAAACTCATCAATCATGGAAGATTATCCATTTTACCAATCAATCGGTCGCCATTTACAACACATGATTGTTATCGAGTCCAGATCATATCGCGGAAGAGTCAGTAATGAGGAGTTCTTGGCAGTTGCTGCTTACTGGAGCGAATTGATTCAAAATAATGACTATCATCGAGCTCTTGCTCGCCCTGACTTTGATCTATACAACATAGACTTTAAGATCTGGGAACACTTTTGTAAGTTTTAAACCATCGCCTCTATCTAAGAAATTGAGACCTAATAAGCTATGACAGTCGCCATGAACACCACAGAGAATTGGGTATCGTTCCCATGTGTTGATCCTCGTGGACCACTCGATATGCCCGACATGAACCCATTCCCAGTCACTCACTATAGTCCTCGGCCAGCTGATCGTGCACCTATTGCGCCAGCCCAACAAAAGACAGCTCCTGATGTTGGTGCTTCTACTCAAACTCCAGTCCGATCAGTTAGAGGACAGCTTCCTGCATATCACCACGGCCTATCCGCAAATGAGATAGAGCTATTAGCACGAAGAGAGGTCAATGAACGTTTAAGACGAAGAGTCAAAGGCCGGTCTGCCAAGCAACCCCGATTTCAGTAAGAAACGTCTAGGTGCTGGTTCAAATCGCGTTCTTTGTGGTATTGATTCTGCTTGTCGATTTTACTCCCTAACTTGTGTCGGACGAATTTTACAAGCTGTTGTACAGCATTGGATATACAAGGGGGCTATATTCGTAGGGATGTGAGGTAGTGAGGTTTTGGGAGACCAGGGGAATATAGGATTCATTATGATGGATTTTGGAGAAGTAATATCAACTCAACAGTCATCTCTCCATATGATCCATTCTCTGCAGGCTATAACAATCGACGAAGTTAGCATATTCATCAAATACAATTTTATGTTCTCTTCTTACATTTAGAACATGTGCGTGCCCAAAATGCCGTGTTGATTAAATTATTTGAGTGCATTTTTGCAGCAGACCGCAATCCCATGAGAGAACGTCGATTAGAGTAGACGCCAAGATTTCAAGTCACTTTGAATTTGTAACACAAGTTTTGCTTCGCAATTTTGAGAAAATCAAAGCACCTTGCTATACGCCGACCGCAAGTTAGTCTTTCTATGAAGTCATTCGTATATTAAACACGTCATCTTGGCATCAAGCTTGAATGATATATCCAGCGTGCCTGATTTTGAGAAGCATTATGATAAACGGCGAACAGGAATAGAATACGACAATGAGAGACAGCATGTTTGTGTTTTGTTCTAGTGTCATTGAGGTCCTCCTGGTGGGTGAGAAGATTGGAGTCAGTCATTCAGGAACAGATTTGAAGTCGAAGTATTCTGATGTCGAATGAATCTGTCGTAGTTCTGAGTGTTAGAACAAGGCAATTTGATGATTAAAAGATAATGCAGGGGCAAGGTAAAGAGAGGCACCTTAAATTCTAGCACTATTGATCTAAGAGATTGTAGAAACGAAGTGGAAGCCTAACTTATCAACCTCATGTTCATGAGTTGCCTGCTTTTCTTACTGTAACAATCTTGAATATATCAGCATAGATAGACGCTTATTCTACACGTATTATAACTCTATTACCTTGAGCAAATCTTGTTTTGGAAGCTATGGGAACTATCATCATATGATGTCTTTTTCATCAGATTACCTCGATGTCTTTCCATGGTGATAATGGTGTGCGAGGTTCTCGTACACTCAACACGATTTCTTTCAATTCCAATCTTGGTAACGTTATCTCAGCTTCTTAATGCCCACTTTCTGGGGGGATGCGTCGATGATGAATTAATCGCACTTATTAATCGTTCGGAGACCAGAATTTCATAGAACGGGGCGCGGCAGAGTTTCAGACAAGCTTTGGGAGTCTCAAAGACCGAGTATGAAGATTGAAATACTGGTCAGGGGAAGAAATGAGGAGTCCATCGAATGATCAAATACAGGATGCATGTAGATGAATGAATCATCTACTACGGATACATGGCCAGCGGGTAGTCGACGTTTTATTCACATCTCAGGCTCACATTGGTTGGCTCAATGGTGTTAGATTCTTTTAATAGTGTGCTCAAGAATTTAGATTGTAGTATATACATGGATTAATCTCGTTCCATAAATTTTACGGCCTCTAGATTCTCTCTCCGCTAGGGTAACAGTAGCGGTCTATACTTGTAGGTATGGTGGGGCTCTAATTGAAGACATGAAAGTTCAGATTAGACTCGTTCATTCGGCATTCAGCCAAATGGTGACAGGCGATTCGGAAAAACAAATTCACTTTGTATCCCGGGAATTTACGGCACATGTACGGCTACTAGCCCGACATAGCTGGCAAATCCTCTTACGGAGCCGAATAAAAGGAAGCTAAGATTTATACTGAAGAAGAACTTCACTCGATTGCAATCTTCAACCCAAACAACGCAGAGAGGACAGTAGCGAATGCGAAAGACACGTTATATCTGATTCGTGTATATGATATCGATACTTATGACACATGCGTGCCGCTGTACCAAATATTTCCACGATCTCTGGGACTGTTCTTTCGGACAGAAACTATGGCTTTGATCGCGAAGAAGTCCTTATAACCATCACTGCTTTCATGTTCAAACCCATTATGACATCCATGGAACATCGCATCTTCATAATAAATGCCAGATTAACGGCGGCTACTCCATATACATCGAATCCTTGTTTTTTAACATCAGAGTCACCAAACTCTTATTAAAAAAAAGAAGATATCGCCTTGATAAGAAAAGCCACGGTAGATAGATACTCGACATGGACGATGAGATTACGGCTATCGGTGATACACACAGAATGCCAAAATTATATGAGTCGGTGCTTCCAGATCTTGCACGCCTACTTCTCAGTCAGCACTTACCATCCGTGGATGGCAAGACTGTTACAGTTGATGAATTCGCTGCGGTAGTAGAGAAAGCGACAGCAAATATCCATAGCAAGAGAGTTTTTCTTCAACTTCAATTACTGCGACCAGACTACGTGCAATTTCTTGTTGATCGGCAAGTCTGGGAAACCTTTTGTAAGCTTTTAATTACTTATTTGTATCCCCAATAGAGATGAGACTAACTATCATTAAAAATAGGCGGAACTCCAGCCCAGAAAAACAATCCACACTACAGACCTTTTCCAAGAAAAGATCCTCGAATCGATAACCCTCTTCCTCAATATTTTGACCCTAGCGTTCTTACACCCGATGATTATGGTCTCATATGTCGAAACAATTTACACCCAAATTGTCCCAACTGCACCTGTGGCACCATTTCTCGAGGTAACCCCGAGAACCAACGCATTTATGAAGATGGAGTTTTTCGGTTGACTACACCTAAAGAGGAATACAATGCTTATCAGGACGAGCTTACCAAGTTTCGTGAGAGACTTGAAGCTAAGTCTAAGAGACTAGGTTATAAAGACGCTGATGAGCGGTGGGAGAAGGAGTGTGAGATTCAACAGGCTGAGGAAGATGAGAGAATCAGAAAAGAGGATGAGCAAAAGAGAAAGGCTGATCTAGAGGGTACTAAGATCAATGAGGTGGAGATCCCAGAGATCCCAGAGATTGTGGAAAAGCCAAAGGAGCCAAAGACAAAGATAAAAGCTACGACAAAAAAGACTAAGATGTATAGTGCGAAAAAGCTTTGTTCTGGTTGTTTCTGCATGTAGCAACATGGTGAAGATGGTTATAATATGATGGGGCTAAGATACTACAAGTCTATCAGACGACGGGGTACAGGAGAGCACAGCGGCGAGTCTTTTTTCGAAACATGGTTTATATTCCTCTTTATTCTATCTGCTAGATGTGACGATATCGGGTCTTTGATATCCGACTCCGGTAGTACTCAATGAAGACGTCGCGAAGAAATCTCTTATATCTCGGTTATTTACGAAAGCCTCTCATCTACCAGCTTTGAGTGTGTGAGACAAGTTCGAGTGGCGATTTGAGGATGAAATTTCTCGAAAGAAAATGATGACACCTCAAACAGAAGCCAGTATTTGTTTCTTTACAGCTAAAAACTAGCATACATACGTTTGGGTGATTTTGCCCCTTATAATTCAACTTAATTCATATGTGATACTACTTCCCTCTATGCCTTGAAAGTGATTTTAATGCTTTCTGAATTTAGCGACCTCCTATACAACATTGCATCTTAAAGATAATTCATTAAATGATACAAGGTAAAGTTTGCATGCAAAGAAAACCCACACAGATGAAAGAGAGCTAGAGATAAATGGTCGTACAGAATACACCAACATAGCTGCTTTTAAATAGAGAGTAATCGCAGCAAGAAAGAAATCCGCCATTACGTTCGTCTACGCCGCGGCTCTGAATCCTCGGTTGAAGCCTCTCAGAGAATTTATTTCTTGGCAGTGGAGAAGCCGGGCCTACACAGTTCGGCAAGTGATGAGGATGTGCATATGGATTCTGTGAATCACGACGTCAGTGATTCATGGTGATAAATCTTCTTGTGTCAACTGCAGCCTTTACTCGAGCAAAGGGGTGACATTCATGAGCCCGTCATTAGAAACATTTTGGCTAACAGCACAAGTATCACGTTGCAAATCCAAAATCTCGCTCACTTTCTTCAAAACCCCTTCTGAGTGAGCAGGTGATATAAGCTTCTTTGCTGTGATATCTTACGGTAAGAAGATCGTGCGGTAATCTAATTCTGTCATTTCGCGCAAAGTTGTGTATCACTATGAATCCCCAAATCTCGCAGATGCCACCCCTTCTGAACATCGAAATGAAAATTAAATGATTGATCGATTGCCCTATCAACTTTTTCTTGATGTTTTTGAATGCTCAAAACCAAAATTGAGTATGTTATATGTAACATGACCGGTGTTATTCTCGTTTAAAATAATCAATTAGATAGATGTGATACGTCAAGGGGTGCGTCTTCCATAATCTTATTAGTCATTCACACCTCAGTAACATTATTAAGGTTAAGGTTATCATTATTGTAGCTAGGAAAAACAATATCTGATGCCGTTTGCTTTTTTTGCTTATGATACATACTCAAACAGGCACACGGAATAAGTTCATTTCATCCATGTTTATATTTAACAAATATGAGAACCGGTAAGCAATCAACAACCAAAGAACTCAATTCACGATGTTGTTTCTTGAGGATTCAAGTCTCAAGGGCGGTTAAATATTGAAATATCGGGCGCATTCCAATCTCTCTCAGTGTAAGGGAGAAATTTTCTAAATGCCAATAAGGTTATTAAGATATCCAGGAGAAACCAATCTGACTACAGCCAGGAATGTGAGAACACATTCCTTCTCAGAACTGCCATGACAACTTTCTACATCTTGGCAGTCCCTGTTTGTTGTTTCTCTTTTCGAACCTTCACCATCATCTTTTCACAAGTTTTCTTTACGACCTACCCTCCAAGTCAAAGTAATATCGCAAGTGCAGATATTATGCCATCATATGAGGAATTGTTCTTCACAGATATAGTGTCATCCGCATTCATTTGGATTTGATCAAGGAGGCAACGGCGTCAAAAGCATCGAGCTTGGAATTCTGCGATAGACTCAATTGAACATTTTATACAATTTGATATTTCGAATATGCCTCCTCCGTCTATAGGAGCGGAAATCCCAATAGGGTCCGGAAGTATACCATTGGGTGGGATTATTGGTATTGCCATTGGCGGTACTATCCTGTTGATTGTGCTTGGAGTTACAGCAGTCACATATGTAAAACGAAATCATCGAAATGCAATCAAACTTCGCGAAGATAAAGGTCAAGATAACAAAAACACGAGTTCAGCTGGGCAGGTAAACCTATCCCCGTATTCAATTCCTCTATTCGCAACTTCTTACCATTACCTACCGCCTAGGAATGTCCCGGGTCGGCGTGGTACGGCGAAGAACACAAGCTTTATTGATGATGATGACGATGAGGAGGATGAAAATGTTGTCAGACCGGGTACGAAGAGATCATCCGGGCCTAAGCATCTCTTTCAAAAGCATAGGTCTAGTATCAGAGATTCATGGCCATTGGCATCCAGAATTCAGACGCCCGCAACATCACTCCCCCATGCCCAGTCAGAGAAAAACATACGAATTAATTGTGTCGCCCCACCAGGCTATGTTCTTCAGGAGCCGCAGCGTCCGAAAAGGACGTTTTCGAGGAAGTCTCATGTCAGGAATTCGGATTCTGTCGAAGATATCACAATAGTCAATGGAGAGCCTAGAGCACCCCGTGGCAGGAGTCGATCCAACTCAGAGAACCAATTATCTTCAATATTAAAATCAACATCTCAACGTCTCAGGGACACGCACAGGCAATCTGTGAGGAGAAGTTGGAGCAATCTAGGGAGATTTCCAGGATCACCTCCTAAGCAAAGGCTACCTAGTCCACCGTTGAACAAAGCGACAGAGAGCAGAGAAGTTCTTCTCGCACCTGAATGCTCTACGCCAGACATCACTTTCTATAAAGCAATAGAATCACCACGAACTCCAAGTCCGGGAAAGAGAGTTCCGCGAGCGGCTGGTAAAGCATTCAAGAACCGAGGGCGGTCGCCGACACCATCTGGAGATTCAGACGACAGCCTCTGTGGCATCGATACACCTGATCTTGTCATTCCAGCGCAGCTAACGTCACCATGTAAAAGTGGACGAAGATTTGAACAGCGCCATCAAATGAATCTTTCTCCTACCAAGGGCTCTAATGGAGAAGTAAAGACAAACCGAATCTCTAAAACATCACTCACAAATGATCCATTCTTCTCTTCGGTTAAAAGATCGAAAGTCATCCCATCTACTACTATTCATGAGCCACAACCTCGCTCCATGAGAAAGGCTACTTTCGGGCAGGAAGAGATACGAGAGCAAGCAATGGATCATGGTGACTTGCCATTAAAGGACATCTCAGGAAATTTAAAAAGGTCACTGGTCAAGGAACCTCGATCTCCTTTAACGTCGACTGAGCTCAACCCGTTCCAGTGGTCACCAAAAGCGGCTATGCAAAATCGACCCATGACAGCAAGTCCTAATAAGATCATATCGAAGAGAAAGGGGCATAAGCGTTCGAATGTGATACGAATGTCTGGTTTATCTAGACCAACAAGTGTTAGTGTGGTTCATGAAGAGTCGGAAGGGGACTCTCCTGGCATGACAATGATAATATCTCGACCAACTCTCCGTGTAGTCGAGCCAAGTCCTTCGTGTGCTTCACTCGCCAGCCGACAGTCTAGTGCTATGCCTCGACCTCCGTCAGCTTCTACCTTCAATCCCAGTATTTATATACCTTCTTTGAAGCCAGGCTCACGAAAGGTGTCATTAAGTCGTGAAAGGTCTACGACACCACCTCCTTTGAGGATTAGTCGGACTTACAACATTCCTCAACTCAAACCAGTGGGAAAACATACACCACCCAAACGAGAAGTATACACCCCTACCCCACCACCTTCAAAAGTCGACTCAATCCTCAGCGTTCCTCCATTGAAGCCAATAGCACGATACGTATCTGGGTCGTCAAACCCCGATGAATACTCCCCAACATTATCAGTCTGTAATTACTATGCCGAGAACTTAAATTCTGAAGTCGAGTTCTTCAAGCACGCCCGATCATCACTTGCCATGAAGTCTCAAGTCCGGCGTCACATACAGAACATTGATGAAGAAATCATAAGTCCTGATACCCCAACGGATACTTTGGTTTCCTTTCCGGCACTGCCACCACCAGAACCTGTCATTGAAGAAGACAAAATTCATCACCCTGATGTTCTGGAATCTTGGAGATCAAAACGTCCCCCATCACTAGCTAGCAATCCTTCGAATTTTTCCCGAATACCAAGCTCGACTATCACAAACTCAAGAGCGCTGAGCCCTAAGCGAGCGCCTTTCAATGAAATTCCGAATGATAGACCACCTAGCCATGCACGATTCTCTCGGTCCTCAACTAACACCTCTAACAACGCATCGGTACTCGGCCCCAGACCTTTCTCTCGCGCAAACCCTCCGTCCCCATTGACTATTCCGTCCGCATCCTTACCTGCACCGCCAATCCTCAGCGTGCCTTTACCAATTCCTGTTCATCTTAGCGGACCCCGACCAGAACCTTACAAATCTGGATCACGTAGCACTGCCATGATCACTCTTGCATCAAACACGCCCAACTCTACTCGCGAGTCAATTGCTACGAGCATTGGCCTCTTGCGTCGAATGAACTCCGAGATCTCTGGTATCAGTGCCGGTGATACCGATTCTTCTCCGATGGTGCCTGGAATTGGTCTTGACTGGAGCGAGCGTCATCTTACGAGTCGTTCATCTCGATTCTACCTCTCAATCGGTTCACCCACCGAAGGTGCAGCTGTTCCAAGTCACCGGTCCTCTCTCAGTATGCTCTATCCGAATTCCTATTCTGCATATTCCAACTCGTATTTTCCTCAAGGAAACGATTCAAGTACTAGCATCAACAGTATTAGTGAGAGACGCCAGTCGCGGAGTGATCTAATGAATCCCAATTACGGAAATCTGCAAGAGATACTTGAGGGTATCAGCGCAAGTCGTGAGGGAAGCAGAGGTGCAAGCACCGGAGGCAGTAGTCCAGTAGCAATGGGGAGACACGGATTAAACGTCAAGGAGAAGAAATTGTCATTGACGAATTTAACTATCCTCCCTGATGGGGGATCGGTTACATGATGGACTACGACGATGTGGACGAAATTGTTATTGAACCCTTATCGTTATCGAAAAACAAGACAAATGTAGAAAAGGAAGTAAAAGCAATCAAAGACACGAAAGATACTCGATGGTCTGACGCAATGATTAAGCCGCTCACAAAAACCACTCGTCGAGAAAGTAAAATGGAACATCCCAGTCCCAAAACACCACCAAAATGGGGATGGATTCAAGCGGTAAATGTGGCAAAAGAAAGATTGAGTAGGAGTCCAACTAGGGATAAGGAGAACGTGGTGGATAGCGATTGGGATAGAGGAAGAGATAGTCCTGAGAGTCTAGGGCTGTATGATCAAGATGGATTCTTGAGAACTTCACCGGAACGAACGACTGTAGATGCGGATCAGGATGAGAATAGTAGGGGAAGAGTAAGGCGAGCGACGGCTAATGCGTTTACTGGAGATTTGATGGAGCAGAAAATGAGAGAGAGGTTATCTGCGCACATAGTTACGTCATAAGATTTGGATATGGAGGACTTATGGAATGCAGAAATACAACGTGAGGGATGAAAGGGGTAGGAAAGAAGGAGAGATGTCTGTCTCCTTCATTGTGAGTTTTTCGTAATATACAAGATTATAGTTGGTCTTTATACATCTGGCATCGAGACGGTTTTCATATCATGACGTCAAATAATTTATTTAATATTGCAATACTAGTCATTTTTCTCATCATTTAGTTCAAACATTCAGTCGATAATTTATACTACGCTACTATCAAGAGAAGATGAAGAATCAAATTGATCAAAAACACTAAAAACTTATCTCCAGAATCACGACTCAATTCCAGAAAACCGATCGCCGAATCTCCCTGTATCACAAACAACATCTACTAACTGCCCATATCCTCATTTATCTTCACTCCCAACCTCAGCCCAAACTTTCATTTTCCAATTTCTTCTCCAATACCTCGGTGACGCCTTCATCGCCATGAATAACGACTTCTGATTTCTTCAACGAGTACTTGACTGGCTTGGCAGCGTTAAAAATTTCAGTTAACTCTTCGAGCTGTGATTTTATGACTGTCAGTTCAAAGCCCCCAGTTCATGGTGCTGAATCGTATAGATTGGATTGGGTAGATGGGATGAAAAGAGCGCAGAAGGATGGTGCTTACTGTTCTGCCTTTGGTTTCTACGAAGAAAAACTACGGGGTGTTAGTTGGTTCGTTTTGTTGTGGAGGGGGAAGGAACGAAATGAAAGGGTGGGGGAACTGACGTATATGAAAACGACTTCGAGTAAATCCCAGAAAATGAATCTAAACGGAAGTCAAAACATGCTCAAGCCCAAAGTCACAAATTATGCCTTAACATAACTCACAGATAATAATACCTCCACCCCGCCCCACTAAACGCAATGCCCGTCACAAAAGTATTATAAAATCCCGCCACATTTCCCACCAAAGTATAAACCGCCATTCCCTTCGCCCTACTCTCATACCTCAGAACCTCCACCGCATAAAGTCCTTGCATCGGTGTCCAGCCCACCGCAAACACAAATGAGAAGAGAAATATCATGGCGATTTCGGCGTTAGATGCTGCTGCTGATTTGGCGACTGTGAGATGAGTTTCAGAATCGGTGGTTGTGTTTAGGGCGTTGAGGATTAGGATAATGAGGAAGAGGAGAGAGATTAGAGAGGTGGAGATAAGGAGTTGGGGGCGTCGGCCCCAGTGATCGGTGTAGGCTGCTCCTATGAGAGCACTGATGAAGGAGAGGACTGATTGCATGCCTTGCTGGTTCCGATGAGCTATGGATTTGTTATGGGAGATGACTGAGTGAAATGCTTACGAGAAGTAATTGGGTGTGATTATTCTCTATTCCTGCACCTGCTAGCATTTGTGGGTAGTAGTAACTAACGGGACCTACTCAAATATCAACCCTGAAATCCCACCCTACGATTCATTCCTACAAAACTCAAAATAAAAGGTTGAAAACACATACCATTACCAGTCCACTGACCAAACAGAGCAACAGCACAAGTCAGCATAGTACGATATCGAACTTCTCTCGTATCAAACAATTCTCTGAAATCCCACCATCGTTTATCAGCACCTGTTTTGGAGATCTCCTCCATCATCTCGCGGAGTTCAAGTTGCACTAAAGGAGAACTGCGGTCGCCTTCACCGTGGTATCTGGCCATAATGTCAAGTGCTTCCTCGTGTCGATCATTTGCTACCAACCATCTTGGACTCTATCTCTCATTAGTAATTGTCTTTCTCATCACCCGAGTTTCAGATTCTCAAAGAAACGAAAGAACAAACCTCTGGCAGAAACAGCACCGAAATAAATACAATCCCTGAAAACGTCATCTGCAACCATAACGGGATTCTCCAAGCTTGAGATCCATTGATGTAGCTCGTAGCATAGGGTACTATCAACTTCAGCACTTGTTTCAGGAAGCAGATTGGAGAGTACACTAACTAAATGTCCCAGGTATTGCTCCTACGAAATAAAACGTCGTATAAACACCCGTCATCGCGCCTCGAAAGGATGGATGCGCCATCTCACTTACACTACAAATAGTGAGACTTGTCTGTTCCCTTCTCATTCCACTTCAAAGATTCAATGTGCACCTACTAGGGTAAAGCAGAACTGGGACCCATTGCCGCGCCGACACCTTGAGAAATTAGCTTCTTGAGAGTTGATATGCCACATAAATGCTACCAGATACGTACCGAGCATAAATCTTCCAATCATGAAAGCCGCCAGATTCTGACTGGTAGCTTGCACAATTGCTCCCACGATGATAACACCCGCTCCTAGGAACATACCCCATCGTCTTCCTTTCCACTAAGGTATTCATTTCAATTAGCATCCTTCCATATCATTTTCCCACTCTCTCATTCTCCAACTCCGCATCCCTCTTTCTTCCACAAGCCGTAAAGAAAAAGAAAAACAACCTACATCAGCAGCCGGACCTGCAAACCCCGCCCCACCAAATTCCCAATCGTAAACATCGCATAAACAATCCCCGTCGCCGGCGTTCCCTCCGTAAGATCAAATCCAAAGTAACTCCTATACTGCGCATACGAATTGATCGAGCTCATTACACTCCCATCGTATCCATTGACTGCCGCATTTAGTGTGGCCAGAAAAAGAATCACGTAGAGTTGACTCATTCTCCACGTCCAAAGACTTGGTTTCTGTTTCGCTGTCGCATCTGCTAGGGCGATGTTTTGTACTGTCTTTATCTTGGTGGATGGTTCTTCGCGTTCATGTTGATGCTGTTGTTCGTCATGAACAGATGTATCTGCATTCGGTGAAGCTTTCCATGCATCTAATTCGGTGTCACTTGGTACTGGTTTCGCCATCTTGGGGTGCTATTTGCGAAGTATGATCTTATCTATGCAAAGATGGCGAAGTTGCTCACAAAAGCGATGAGAAAGAAATTATTATTCAAGTCAAATATCAATTGTTCTACCGCACACGGAATATGGGAATCGCATTCACTATTTATTACGAATGTATAAAAGCAAAAGATAAAGATTCCATTCAGGGAAAGGTTTAGATAATTTTCGATCTCATTGTGGAATGGTAGATACCTTACGTAGGCACAGAACATTAAAATCCCGAATTCTAAATCGGCACTCTTTCCCCCATCCAGTCCAAATTACTTGGTCGAGAGAACGCACATTGACCGGTAAATGATATGCAGTGTAAGCCAAACTTCACATTCATTGGTTTGAAAAGTCATGAATCGAGGGGTGCAACGACGATCACTTAACTTACCCCACTTTCGATGTACATTTATTAGGTAGATTCATGTAAAGCGATAGGAATAGACAGGCATGAATGTAACGTTTCGATTTATTTGAAAGAGTTGCTGATTGCTGTTGTTGTGAATTATATTATGGGGGTGATATATATACCATGTGATCAGGAAAGGTAGGAGTATGGTCGTCTAGATTGAAATCACAAGGCAAGGGAAGTGATCTTGAATATGTGATATTTTGAATTTTTTTATGATACATATGTGTGAGTTTTTTATGCTTCTAGTCCCGACTACGATTTGGTGACCAACGTTTGAGGACAACCTCCCTCACTTTATATTTCCCAAGTAATTCATCAACGCTGTTTTCCTTCATGTTTCCATCGACAGGTGCGGGTATATCCACGTACACCAAAATCAAAGTTTTCTTAACCTGTGTAATGACTCGATTGATGCAATGCATCCATGACCAGCTTCTTTCCTGTTTGCCTTTAACATAATTTTGCAAGAATGGACCACTGGACCAGTAAGGATCACTGTATGATGGAAGGATCAAAACAGCAAATTCTGCATGACTAAAGACCGGCCCACGATTATACAGTAGATAATCGACCGAGAACTTTGTTCCACCACGCACGACCCAGCCCAAAGAACGGAAATGATGATAAACGACGTAGTTAACGAGAAATGGATCATCCGTTGATAGACTCGGGTTTGAAGTTGGTGGGAAGTAGGACGATTTTCTGCATAGTGAAAACAAATCTTGATTTGAAAGTGCGAGTTTGGTGATGGGATCAAGGACAGTCAGGGCTCCTAATCCGTATGAGAGAAAGAACGCCTCTTCCATTGTTAATTGAAAGTGTTCTTGATCTTCAATGACCATGTCCTCATCCAGAACCAGTTCAGAGATCGCCTCTGGCTTCTCTTCGGTACTTATCACAGCACGCTCAGGACTTGGTGGTTGTGATGGCAGGAAGGTAGTTTGTTCCACAGTTGGGGAAAATCGAACGCTCTTTTGACGGTCTGATACAGATGTAGATGAACCGTTTTCAGGTACATCACCATCAGATGCGCTGTTCTGGACAGAAACAGTGGAGACTGGTGTCAACGGAGCATCGATGATATTGACATCAACGCTAGGGGCGATGGGCGTAGAGCTATCAAGGGGCGTAAATTTTTCTTGTGTTGTAATTGAATTGTCAACCTCAACAGATGTTGAGCGACCGAGGTGTTCTTTCAGTGACTCATCTTCGATATCAGGGTTTAAATCATCAAAGGTTGCGGAAGCATCAGTTGCGGAGTTTGGGAGAGCTAGCAATTCCTGAGGACCCACCGGGGCTGAAGGTACATTAGACTTAGATACTGATTTTTTAACAATTGTGGTGATCGTTGGTGAGAACGAATTGATACTGTCTTGATGTCTCAGAAGATTGAGTTCTACGAGAGAGTTTGGCAGTGCAAGAATCCCCAAGGGTCCGGTAGGTGCATTAAATGACGCGAAATTCGAAGACACAACCTTATCGGCATCCACTGCACTTCGAGACAATGGCTCTTTGATAGCTTGAGGCTTTACAACCTCATTAAATGAGTTGGGTAGAGCAAGAAGCTGCATTGGACCAGTGGGCGCTTCTGATAATGTGATGCTAGTGAAAGCAACATCATCTGTGCTATCTAAGCAATGCGAAAAAGAATTTTTGTCGATTGCTGCTTTCTGATTTGGCTCAGCAGAAGCGGGGAGATTGTCAACTTCGACTACCATGTTCTCTTTAGATGAAACAACAACATTGGTTTTGGATAATTCCTTTGCTTGTGCTTCTGCCAATAAAGTCTGATCAATAGCTTCTCTTTCTTTTCTCGCCCGCTCCCACTTGGTTTGTTGACGATCGGCACGGCGTTTTCTTGTAACATCCTCGCTTGCAATCGCCTTTGAAACACCCCGTCGCTTTTTCTCTCGCGTCAGCCAACTCGGTTCACTGCGACTCAGACTTCCTTTCCCATAGAAACCTTGCTCCCAGAGACCTCTGATACACCGAGAGTCTGTTATATGAATGGATCGTGTTTCAGGTGAGAACCATCCTTGATAAAGGGTATCAAAATGTGACGAAGGACGATTGATTGTCTGTGACAACCAAACATAAAGAATATGGAAGAGTGAAAGTGGATTGTGGGGTATGAGAGTAGGAAGAGGAAAAGTTCGAATAGGAGCAGGAAGCCCATAAAGTTTGTTCAATTGCTGGAACTTAGACGGCGGTCTAGGTCCAACATGTTTTGGTTTTGTGGGAGTTGTGGCCTCAATTGGAGCACCAGCCGGAGTCACTACATTTGTGTCTGCCATGATTGAAAGATGAGGCTATCGTGAGGTCATTGCGATTTCCTGTAATGAATCAATTGTTAGTGACTGCTGGGTAGAATCTTATGCCAATTGAATCAAGAATATATATATAAATATTTGCAATGCTCAGATACCGTTGTAGTCTTCTCCGAAGAGAATTGAGCGTACAGAGAGGACGAACAAAGTCAGAGCCGTCACTCTAAGCATCGAATTGAGTCATCACCGCATTGCATGACAGTCAAATTGAATTGAGCTGTCTAGATGGTATATTCCAGACCAAGAAAGTAACACAAAAGGGATAAATAACTTACAAATTACCAAAACTCTTCTCCTTCTAGTGGGAGAAGATGTTGTGGTCGATGAAGTCCTTGAAAAACAATTGTGGTGGTGTTGTTGAAGTTGAGAAGAATATTTTTTCCAATGCGGAAGAAATTTCGAGTTTTGAAGACGGCACTAAATCTTTTATCGGTAAGTGCCGCTTGATCCAAGCTCCCCTGAGCTCTATTCACACCACGCATATCTGATGCATAGACGCATAATTGAGTATTACGTAATCTTCACGATTCTAGTTAACAATACTTGTCGGGACGAGCGCGAAGAAAGCGTGGAACAGTTTTTGGTTCGAGACTTGATTTCTATGTCTTTCCATGTAAACTCATAGCGCCGACCTGACTAGAGCAGAACCACAAGTAATCCATTCTCATCCGTACTATCATCGATGGAATTGGGCGGAGGAACTTATTCTATTCTCGAAAGCTCTTACTGTTAACTCCAGTTCTGGAAACTGTCCCGCGTCTTGAAATGGAAAAGGAAACTTTGATATACCGGTACATCATAGCCTTGGCATGTTGGACTTGGTATTTCTTCATTTTGCTCGTACAAGCGATAGGCTCTACTCAATTGTAAGATTTCCATTCATACTGCTGCAGCCCCATTGTAATCTAACGTATCTTTACTTTAAGGTTTCGCTACTACTCTTCCGTTCCCAGGCCTGCCATCTCTCCAAACTTAGATAGCGATGGCATTCCCCATATCACGATTTTACGACCAGTCAAAGGACTAGAGCCACAATTATACGAATGCCTCGCGGCCACATTCAGACAGACATACCCAGCAGATAAATTAACAATATACTTCTGTGTTGGATCATCCACAGATCCCGCATTCCCAGTTCTTGAACGTCTGCTGGCGGACTTTCCCCAATTCGATGCGAAAGTTTTTATTGAAGAAGAAGATCCAAACCTGAGCGGTCATGGGGGAGAAATCGACAACCTTGGACCCAATCCTAAGATTCGCAATATGAGTCGCGGATACAGAGAGGCAAAGGGAGATATTGTGTGGATCCTCGATTGTAATGTCTGGGTTGGAACCGGTACTGCTGGACGAATGGTCGACAAGTTGTGTGGGTTGAAGGCAGATGGTACAAGGACAACACCATATAAATTCGTCCACTTGTTACCATTGGTTGTAGATACAGTTGGAACCAGCACGGGTGGGGAGACTGAACGACTTCTCACACCCGGGCAACAAATTACGTCTACAAATTCAATGGCCTCTAACATTACAAATGTTCCCAAAGACGAGTCTAATTTCGATGCAGGCGCAAGAATTGGTGGTGGACGTTTCGAAGAATCCTTTATGGCTTCTTCGCACGCTAAGTTCTACACCGCAATCAATACGGTGTCAGTTGCGCCATGCATTGTTGGCAAATCAAATATGTTCAGGCGGTCTCATCTAAACTACCTCACGTCAACATCTCCTGATTATTCTCCGGGGATAGACTTCTTTTCTGAAAATATTTGCGAAGATCATCTAATTGGAGACTTGTTATGGAGAAAGCAGGTACCAGAGGAGGAGGCCGGAGAAAAGTGGCACAAACATGGTTTGGTTCCTGGTGACTTGGCTATACAACCAATGGCTGGTATGTCAGTTCGAGAGTACATCGCACGCCGAGTACGCTGGCTCAGAGTCCGAAAATGGACTGTTACACTGGCCACATTTGTTGAACCTGGTGTTGAACCCCTTTTATGCTCAGCCTATGGTTCTTTTGCAATCACAACACTACCTTGGTTTCATGAGAATTTGAGTGTGCCTCAGACATGGCTTGCTTTTGCTTTGGTTTGGTTGTCAAATGTTGCCGCGTGGATGACCCTTGATTGGTTTGTTTATACTCACCTTCACTCTGGTGTATCTATTGAGCTGGATGCAAATACGCCTTCCTTTGCACAACCTCCACAGACAAGGTCCAGAAGACCTTTCAAAGAATGGGCGTCTGCATGGCTCGGCAGAGAGATCCTCGCATTACCTATTTGGATATGGGCATGTCTTGGTGGAACGACAGTAATGTGGAGAGGAAAGAAGTTCCGCGTCAACCTTGATATGAAAGTCATCGAGATCAAAGGCGAGAAGAAATCATCCACCCCTGAAATCGAAAATGGACGAGCGCACAGTAAAGATAGACAAGATTAATTTGTCCTTGTACAACAGTCAAATACTACCCAATAATATTATAATACATCATTACGATGTTGTACAGCATGTGCATCTTCGCTTCGCCTACAATTTTGTGAATCACTAATCTTAGCCAGTGACATATCTTTACATGTGCCGGCACAAGCGCGAATCCGGGGCCTCTCAATCTACAGGATAGAATCGATCGGAGATTGGAAGTATCCTATAAAAATAATCTCTCAAATCATCGCAAGATTGTACCCCATTTTTCTAAAGGTAGGGCTTCGCGAGACATTGCCAGCCTTATCGTATATGTTACAGTATTTGTTTTTCATGGTTCCTTCATTGGGTTGGTTTGGGCACTGCCATGTTGCTTTCCAAACCCTGCACATTCTTTCTCTCCAGTCTTGCACTTCACCCATTCTCCCACTTTTTTCTTCCTTTTTATTCCTCGCAATGAACCAACAGTATAGTACATCGGTGCATCGTTTCCCTTTCTTCTTGCACCATCACTTATCACGGTATCTTCAGATAAAAGACATCGAATTCCCATCTGGCCCCAAAAATACCATGAAACGTCAGGCAGCACCACACATCCCCATTCCTAACCAAGCTTGGCTCTTGGTCCCGTAAGATATCAACATGTATCTCGCATACGTCTTACTTCTATGATGCATTTCTGAGCCTGCCATATTTAGTAGTCGCTAAAATCAAAGCAGAAAAGAATTTCAAAACTAAAACTAAGGCGAATGCGGTGCCAGATGCTGTGCGGCGATGCTAATCTGTATTTTAATTCTTTTCGATCAACTGAACGCTGTAGCTGCTGTACACACATACCCTGCGTCTGCAAGGTGGCGTTACGACTTTGAGTGAGATAAGGCTTTCACAATTAGATGAAGGCTCGTTGGAAGAAGATGGGAGTGGAGAGTTTATGTCGGTAAGGGGATTGGAAATGGAAATTGAAAGTCAAAGTCAAAGTCTACTTACTGGCAAGGAGATCTGCAAACAAAATCAGGGCGCAAGAAGATATTTTGAAAAGACCCCAAAGCCAACGGAGGAAATAAAAGAAGTGAAGAGCAAGTCCTGGAATATTGAAGTGGTTTGAAGTAAATACCATACGTCTTTTTACCACAAGGATGATGGGGCTTAACTGTGTGTAGAGCTTCTCACTTGCCTATCTTTCCCCGTAAGAACGTAATTAATTGTATAGCTACCGGCACAACGAGTTACGTATGTAACTACAACTTCCCAAACCGCAAACTACCTCGTTTTGTACCGCCGATCGAAGTCGAATTTGCCGAGAGTGAGATTGATTTTAGTCCTGAACAGCCGGTGCTTGATGTAGAGATGGAGGTTGAAGAGGACTCCGGGACGTATGTGTTAGTGGAAGGTTGTAAGGATTTGGATATGACAGAAATGAAGAGATGGGAGAGATGGGAGAGATAGACAGGAGAGAGGGAATTGAAGAGGGTGTTGAGGCGTGTGTATGATATCATTTTCTCTAGTGGGCTTAAGGATGGAGCTTATGAGATTTAGGTTCGCGGTGTGGATGTGGAGAGGATGAGGGAAGAGATGGAGGGAATGAAGAGAGGAATAAGTACAGCTATATCACGCAGACGAGTAACTTTCTCTTTCGCGGGATCTCGACTCTTTTCTATTAAAACTTGAACGGTTATGATCATTGAGAGTCTTCATATGGGGGTGAAGTGATGTTGATTATTGTTCTAGTATAAGCAAAGAAATTCTCCAACAGATGCGGATGTAGATAAAAGTGTACAAGGATATCACTTCAATAAATCAGAAAGCAGGTATTAGTTATCAATTTAACGCTATTTGAAGATATTTCAGTATTTAGGATATTGTGAAACTTTTCGAGTGCTTGAGGATTTAATCAGATAGTTACTTCTCTCATTCATGAGAACCAAAACGCCAGCCATGTCATATTGAGACACTCCACTCCTAAACTCCCCAGGATGATATAATGCTCCATCGACTTTTCCTCCCATGTTTTTTCACATTATCATACTCCTCCATTTTCCCCATCTACCACTTCTTGGCCTCAACGCCCTCCGGAGGTTGAGTTTTGACAGGAGCTTTCTTAACATCCGACCAATTAGTACTCAGAGCAGTGCCATTACTTTCTTGGAAACTTTTCATCATAGCTCTCTTAGTATCTGGATCCGCATCTTTATAAAGTTTCTTGAAGAAAGAGTCCATAGGGTCACCGCCTTCTCCATCACTGTCTCCGCTTGTATCCTTTGCTCCCTCTTTCTTTTCAGGTTGAAGAGCAGATGAGGCGAGGGCATCCCAATCCTTTGGACCATTTCGAGAGGACGTTGGGTAAGAGGGTGCCTTTTCGGCCGAGGGATTTAGGACTGCAGCAGGGATTTCGGACTTCTTTTCCTCGGTGGATGTGCTGGTGATGGGCTCGGTTCCTTCTAATTTAGACCACTTAAGTCCTTGCTTGATCTTGTATAATTCGATTTCGATTTTGAAAGGAGTAATGTTGAATTTACTCTGGGAAGGATCAATTTGTGCGAAAAGTGGTGACGCTGTGAAGTCGTATGTGTTGCCAGTTTGTCCGATTGGGAATGAAACTTCAACCTATGACGTGTTAATTGCTGCAAATTTGGGAGCTCGGAAACAATGTCATACCTGTCCCTCTTCGATATTAATCTGTGCAGTGTCTTTCGCGACACCTTTTGCATAAATGGTAATTGTAACTTTCGAGTTTGATTGAATCCACCTGCAGAATCTATTAGCTCCTCAATTTACAACGTCGAAAGCAAATATCCTTACTCTTGTCTAATATTTTCCTTTGCAGTTACTGCAGGAGCAGCGGGTGGAGCTTTTGAAGAACCCTCTACACCTTTGCCCTTAGAATCTTTTACTGACGGCTTGACAGCAGCCTGCTTATTAGGAACTTCCTTCACAGTGCACTTATTACATTCCGCTTCCTCACCACCCGCATTTTCGTAATCCATCTTGACCTTTGCCTGCCACATAGTCAAAGCCTTTTCTTTTGGATTTTTCTGCATGCACCAAGCCAGACATAATCTTGCATCTCCATATCTGCCTAGACCATGGAGAGCGACTGCGCGACGAAAGTGAGCGGTACCGATGAGTTCGCGACGAGAACGAGCGATAGCTGCATGGACGGCAGCCTCTGCATCTGCGAGTGATGCTTCGTAATTCTTAGCACGTTGGTGGGCTATAGATCTGGAAATGAGGTAGTTCGGAGAAGTAGGACTTTCGGCGAGAGCTTTGGTCAAGTATTCGATGGCCGCGGGGTAATCTTTCTTATCGATGGCGGCACCACCGAGAGCTGCTTGAGTTGACATGATGTGTTTGTGTATTTGATAATATTTGAGTTTATGAATCTATTTGTTGTGAAATTATTTAATCTCAATGTTCGAGAAGGATGAGAAAACTTTTGGAGAAGAAACGGGGAGATGAATTCATTTATAGATTTGATCTGTTGGTACTCGAGTAATAATTGAACTGGAAAGTTCGATGGCTCAGCCTTCAGCCTCGTCGGTAGCCTGTAGTACGGCGCTACGTGGAGCATGAGCCACCCAATTGAACAAATTGAAGAAGGGAAATATTCACATTGGCGGGGTATGATTTAGTACAGAAGCTAGATCGAAGCTTGGTCGTCTCGAAGTCGTCTAGCGTTATTTTCAGGTTTGACTGCTTTCTATTCACCAATTATCTTCTTGTTCCCCAGGGAGTCTGTCTATATGAGAGAATTCACTCGAGGATATACCATCTAGCCAAGTATAGATATAAGTATTATTACATTAAGCTAATAGGTATTATATAGTCATCATGCCATTCCGAGACCTAGATTAGATAGTTTCCCCCCTTGTGTCATTACAAAAGTTCAACATCTCCATATTTCTTGGCGAATAATCCCAAAGCTTTCATTGGAAAAATGAACTTGTAATTAGGATACGAGATCATGCAACTCTTATTGAATACACCCTCAATGGCCTCCTGCAGCCATTCGCCATTAGCTTGTTGCCGACCCATGATAAGCTTCAATCCTCTTTCGATCGGTGCACGATCTGGGTAGTTGGCCTCAATCAAAGCAATACATGCCCAAGCTGTCTGTACAACTTGAGAACCAGATGGATGCTCGATATACTCTGCTTGTTCACAGGACTGAAAAGATGTTAGATCTATTTGTAATCATAAGTGAGAGGCTGCATACCTTATAGCTTTCAGACCATCCACCATCACTTCTTTGCTTGGAAATAAAAAAGTCACATCCTTTTCTTACATGCTCACTATTCTCGTAGGTTTCTCCAATACTTGCAAGACTTTCCAGAGCAAACATTCCAGCATATGTGAAACAAATACCCCAACTGCCATACCAGCTACCATTGGCATATTGGGCTCTTCGAATATAATCAATAGCTCTACCCTTGAAAGCTTTGATTTCCGATGCGCGATAATCCGGATAGTATTTTGAGAACAATGATAATGCTGTAACCACAGCGGTTGTGCACTCGGGGTAATCGTATTCGATCATGATTCTACCGAATACCTCAGCTGCATTTAACATTTCCAAGGCTTCTGAACCTCGAGTTGGCTCATAAGATGCACAGCCACCAGATTTATTCTGGTATGTGAGAAGAGTATCAATGGCATCAAAAATTCTTTGGTCTTCCAGCAAAGTTGGATAGCCAGGCGTTCGTTGTAGAAGTAAAACGGCTTTCAAAGCTTCGGAGATACAGTCACTGACAGCATATCCTTGATCTTTGTTACTGAAGCCCCATGCTCCTTTTCGTTGTTGACGATAGCAAATATCTTGGTCGTCGACATTCTCTCGAATTTGTTGATCCTCAAGGAACTCGAGTGCTTTAGTCAACATGGGTCTCCATCTTGGATCTTCAGCCAAACCAGCGTCCATCACGACCTGAATTAAAAATGCGGTATCCCAGCATTGTACTCCATTTGTTCCATTCATCAGCATACCTTCATCCTTGACCCACATAAAGTCAGCCATTCGTTCTCGATGTCGTTGTACCGAATACGCATTAGGCCCCTCTCGAATATAGCACGCAAGGAAATTCATGGGTCCATTGACAGGTCCGAGATTGGAGAAGTCGGTATTCTTATCTTCCATTTGAATTAGTTTAAATACCCAATCTTCGGCTTGCTTTGCCAATGCATCAGTCCGGAGATATGGGTTGTAGATATTAACGAGAAACCAATTTGCTGTGTTTAGGAGCCACGATTTGGGATGATAATTGTCTCCTGGATGAATGCTGTTGCGGTTTCCTGCCCAGTTGATATCTGTATACGGTTCTACAAAAAGTTCTTGTCGTAATTGCTCAACAATGGGTGTCGTTTTGTATGCGAACTTCTTCGACCAGATGAATGACATGGGTGCATAAACTTGGCGCATGTGAATCCACCATCTCCAAGGATGGAAAGGTACCCAGTTGGGTAACAACCAAAACTCTGGCGGTACGGGATTGACGATATCCCATTGGCATACACCGAGTACGCTCAGCCAGAACTTTGCCCAATGCGGTCCATTCTTGGCACCACCAAGCTTGTGTAATGTTCCTCTAGCCTTAATCATTCGTTCGTCCTCTTCACTGACTCCGACTAATCGGAGAACAGTATAGTTCATGGCAGTCCCGAAAACGCTACTCTCTGCCTCAATGTGTAGCCCCCAGCCCCCATCATCTGGATGTGCTCGCGCAAATAGATAATTTTTTATTTCTGTCGCAATGTGATCCGGGATTGGAGTTTCGGTGACAGTCCAAGTGATAACCAAGCCGGGAAGCAGGAACATTGGTCCACCATATTCACATGCCCAATTGCCAGGAGGAAGCTGGAGTTGTTGAAAGAATTCGAGGCAATTGTTGACGGAATCAAGGGGACTCTGAGCTTTTGGAAGATCCGGTAAACCCTGTCAATACCGTTAGCAATGATGTTATAGCAAGGTACCATTTCCATACTGTTGGCAATCCTAAGAAATACTTGTCTGCAGTTGTTTGAGGCCATTCCGCAGCATCTTCGTCATTTTCAAGGTAATGCCATGTCTGCCTACCTCTTTCGTCGAGTAAACGCCATCGAGAGTAATCTGTACGTTCCTGTAACTTTGGCCGTTTCGTTGTCTGCGTAGTGTTCGAAGAATCAAATGATCTTTTTTCGCCCGTCTTTGGTTTGGTCTCGGTGTCACCCATAGAATTAAGTTTCGTTCTCGCCATAGTAAGAAAGGTTAAATTCGAATGATATGATACAATTGTCAAAACATAAACTGTATAATTCTAATAAAGTTACAAGCTTTGGTGGACCCTAGATATTTCAGGGCCAACAAGGCGGTCAAAAATGGCAGTTGGAGGTCACCCTATTTTAGCGTATTCCACATTTTCTCGTCTCCCGTCTCCCCCGCGGATCTTCCAATGTTCCAAATTTAGACATCAGACGTCAGACGTCAAACATTCAAACATTTGAACATTTGTGAAAGTCTTCTCAAAACATCAACCGTGGATGAAGATGCACTTCCAGCCGATAGATGCCGAACCAAATTTAAGAATGCCATGGACTTTGATCTTTCACAGGATAATCTGAAGGATACGCCGTCTTCGTCATCTCAGTTGCTACATGATTTACCTTCCAAAAAACTAATCAGTGGAACTGACTCTACAGATCACAGTTATAAACAGCAATCCGCTTCATCTCACCACGGAAAAGATAGTGGCGATACCATTCTGTTGACAACACCATTATCAACGCCCGAGAAAATTGAGCATCTGACTTCAAGGAACACTTCTACACAATCTTACCAAACAGGATCTGCCATATGCAAAATCGAAGAAATTTGCGAGGCTATGACTGATTGTATGATCGGACGAAGGAGACAATTTTCTATTCATTTGAAATCTCGAAGCCTCGGCGCAAAAGATGCAACTCCAGGGAGCAAAGAAATTTTTACTTCAAGGGTTGTGCAGTTTCCTAGTTCCTCGCCTCGAGAGGCGTGGAAATTTGGTAGATCTAATGTCTTTATTTGACAGCTCTTACTGATGTTAACACAGTTGCGTTGCTACGGATTCTGGAGCTTTCTCACGAGGCGCTTGTCACTGGAAATATCATTACCAAAAGGTATACTATCTTCGCTTGGCACTGATGTCCGTTTCAAACTGACAATGCATCATTAGAGACATGTATTATCGAGACCCGGAGCTTTTTACGAAACAAGCAATTGTCGATCGCTTCGTAGATGACATCGCGTGTACTCTTGGACTGAAGCGCGACGCTCTAAATGTGGTCAGTGAAGTCCTTTCCGCAACAGCGTCAATTCTTGGCTGACTCGCACTTCGAAGATGGCCGCTGCCAAAGGATTGGTTACAGGCTGGTTCATTATGAAGAGAAGGAATCAGTCCATAATGGATTATTCATCAGCAGCAGATGTTTGCTCCTAATGACTCTCTTTGTGTCATACCTTCTCATTAATTTTGTAGTCACAACTGGTACCATGGGTAAAAGAAATAGAAGAGATGGACCTCTCGGAGGTCAAATGGATATTAGTAATTGAAAAAGAGGTTTGGCACACTTTAATGCGAGCTTACAACATCACTGACTGCAGATAGGCGACGTTTCGCACGTTGGCAGGAAAGCGATATTGGGAATATTCGACTGCGGGGAGAGGGATATTACTTACAGTATGTAAATCAGAGTATTTTTCTGTCATCTTGCACAGGGCCTGATCATGACAGGCAAAAGGTTATCCTGATATACAAAGTCGACAGTTTCTCCACTATTTGGCGAAGCATCATCCAACGATATCGATATATGCTTTGGTAGACTTTGATCCTGACGGTATAGGCATTATGTCCACATACAAACATGGCTCTGTCGCACTCGCACATGAAAATGAAAATCTGTCCGTCCCCTCCATGCTTTGGCTAGGACTTAAAAGTAAGGACATGATGCAAGGAGGGAAAGAGAATGAGGGCTTACTAAAATTGACGGAACGCGATAGACGACTCGCAGTGAAAATGCTGCAAAGGAATGTGTGTCAAGAAGACGGAGATGAAGACGAATGGAGAAAAGAGATCCAAGTCATGTTGATGCTAAATAAGAAGGCGGAAATCCAGATTATTGGAGCCGGTGACGCATTAGAAAATTGGCTGAATAGAAATTTGGGAAAAGAAAAGAACAGACTGGAATTATTATGAAAGAAAAAGCTCTTCAATGGATCAACGACTTTATAAAACAATGGAAGAGTTATTGTTTCGGTGAGATCACAAACATGTCGCAAAATACACGGTATGAAAAAGATCAAGATCTACCTCTCTATCTCACACGACGTCGTTACCTCTCGAAACCGGACATTTTCAAAAATCAAATATTGTTGGCATAAAAAGTCAAAAAAGATAATTGAATCCATCACGCGCTATATTTCTCTACTCGCGTTGCTGTGCTACCACACGATCTTGACGGTCACCTGGCCAGGGCTCCTGGTCAAAGTACAACAAATTGGGACTTTCGGGACTTTATAAACGGGACTGGGACTTGCCAACACGGCTATACAGCCGATTTTGTGTGTTGACGAGAAAAGTTATGTGGTTCGGGTATTTGTATAGAGGAAGGCTGTAGCCTGGTGAATATGTGTGGTGGGTTGGGGAATGGGTAAGCGGTGATCATGGGACGAGATGGGATGGGATGAGATGATGTGGTTTGTTTTGGGGCGTACTTGGAGTGGAGAGTGGTGATCAGTATGATGAAACGGTATGATGATTGATATTTTTGCTGCTCTGTAGGTTTTTGTTTGCGGAATTAGCTGTGCTTGCTACGTGCAATATGCAATAGTTTCTGCGTTTAAGTTTATGACATGTGCCGCTTGTGAACGCGAGCGGGATGAAATGACGTTAAGGCGACAATTGACGGGCGTGTTCATATGATATTGCGATCAGCTGTTATTTAATTATCTGATTTCCTAGTGGAACATTGAAACACCTACGGTGTGACCTATGGTATTGTATGCTTTGGGGTGTTAGAAAATCACTCACTCGCACAATTTGTGCTCAGGTCTCAAGTTACTTATTTATTTGTGTAGCTCTTTGAGACTTGTTCTTTCAAATGGCTCAGTTCTAATGCCTTTTGAATAGATTGGCTTTAGAAAAGTCTCCCTGGCGATAAACTTGCTGATTTTAATAAACCTATGGCACTCCATTCTATCATCGTGTAATCTATGTTCGGGCATACATAATCATAAGCTATATGCCATGTGAAGGAAACAAAGTTCATTATTTTGTAATTCGATAAAGCTACTCGATTGTGAGGAACTTGTGAAAAGAATTGCATGATGTGTCTTCAAGTTAGAATCGTTCCTTTCACATGAGTATGAGGAAAGAAAACTACCCAGCCAAGTGTCTAGAGGGATCAAGCCGATCTTCTACCAAAACTTGAGATTCTTACTTGCAATGATTCATCAAGTTTGCTCCACGTCACTGTATTGATTCTTCATCCTGCAGCATGTTTTTTTGAGTTACAAAGTATTATGCCATTGCATTCCCCCTAACTCCTGAGCCCTTGGGATTTTGAAAGTGTATGGGAGTATCTTCAGACATGACCTCATGATGTCTAAATGAACTTGCTCATGCTGGGCTGACTATAATAAACTGTTGCGAACTATTTTCGCTTTTGTTAATATCTTTTTTCCTCAAAGGTGTTTATCTAATTGTTTTCCCATAGGTTGCCGAAGAAGAACAAGATATTCACTCTTTACACTGGAACTCAAGGATTACTCACTCTGAGCTTTGAAACTTGCAACTATATACTTAGTCAGTATTCTCTCTCATCAGATCATAGAAAATTAGTACATTCTTGGGGATTATGTATGGATTACAGTAAAGTAGCGTATATATTGATAAAGCCTCTTTACCCAGGTAGTCGAAGGAAACCCAAGGAATTGCTGAGATTCACACAAAATACTCACAGCTGTTTCAATGTGATCTCATCTATTGATCATTTGTGAATGAAATTACCAATTTCTCGAAGTGATAATGACCAATCATTACCCATAAATCCTTATTGCATCATCTTAAGTTTTCTACCAGACTAAAGTAAGTCAACAATCACTGTCTCGGCTTAATCATCACATCTGGAGCTCGAAATTCGATAGCAATTTTATTGTTACGAGTTATAGCTGCTGTAGTATTCAATTGGCGTAGATTACATAAAGCCTTCATTGATCTTTGAACTTCCAATCAATCATCAAATGGCAAGAACAGCCACTTGTAACGATTTCAAACATGCATCTTAGCCAAATTGCAATAATAATTTGGGTTAGTTTCTCTTTGTCAGCACATGAATCATGAGACGATGAAGGTTCCATAGTAGCTAGCGAAGTGCTAATAAGTCTCGAGGACCCCATCATTAGTGCTGCTTTTCTACGATTTTGATGACATCAAACATTATGACAATCTAGATTTAAGTACTTGTACTTTCATCCACTCATTTCATACTAACAATAAAGTCTAAAAAACAAAAGTCAATTGTCTTCTTGAAGTTTTGCAGAACTTCTTTTCTAACAGTACTTTGGTCCTGAAAGAAAACAAATCGATTCCACAACTTCCCTATCCACACCAAACCACATTTCCGATTGACGCCATGGTTGATATCACCAACAGAATCGGAGAAGCTGAGCGCCTCAAATCTTTGAACGGTTTGAGCTGCGAAGTAAAATATACAGAGATCAATGACCTAGCTCGAAGAACCTCGGAAGTAATTCTGGTTAATTATCGAGTACTGCGCCGCATCATTGAGTGCAAAGAGGAAGCTCTTCGGCAACGGTGGACCAAGAAATCAAACGCGCAGCGACGTAAAATATTACAAGATTGCGGTATTAGATTATCTGAAACGCATCGCGCAGACTACACACAACTTCTTCATCGCAGGTGAACCCTGATACAGATCCGATCTCTGCTATGCAGTTGACCTACGAGATCCTGAGTCATCGAAATGATTTTTTACACCCACACTTGAACATCGAAGATCTCACTAAGGTGAAGTCTATGCTCCTACTGATCAATTCTTGAGGTCGCAATCCTCCTCATCTCTTTGCAAACGCAGATTTCAGGGCAGCAGAACTGGGTGTTGTCGGTGGTTTTTTGTCCTTACAGATTTTGAAGGATCATACTTTACTGCTCGAAAGAGAGTCGGCGGAGACTTATGGACGGCTAGTTAGGTGGACAGACAAAAAGATGAAGGAAAGGATCCTGGCAGGGTTTCAGCATTTGCCACACGAGGGTTTACTGATTCTTGAAATCCAAGATAATCTTTATTCGTTCCTTGTGAATTGGTGTCAGGCGCTTCTTCAGGACATTGAAATTGCTACAATATGGAGGCTTTCTATTGAACCAGAGCCACCGCTACTTGTAAAGACTTCCGACAATACAACGATAGCTTCAATAGCCATGGAGACGCCATATCGATTGACCTCCAAGCTGGATTTCAATCGCTTGCGAGCTGTAGTCACTGCCAAGCGACTTAGCGCAGAAGATTATATCCACGATTTGAGGGAGGACCCCGGTATTTTCGCTGATGCTATGATGGAAGCAAGTGACCATAGAATAGACAGAGTACTGGATGATGAGGGTAAAGCTAGTTCATCTATAGGCACGCCAGCATTCTGGGAAGATGTAACTCGGCATGTGGTGGCGGATGCATATTCTGACATAATTAGCTGGGATATCATAAGCAAACAACTCGAGCGTCTGGCTATGTTTTAAGGGAAATATGCCGCTCTTATTCATCCGCAAAATGGTCTACCAGAGGAGTTTCTAAGGGAGTTGTTGAGCTTCCAAAAAGTGCTCGAATTCATACAAACGGGACCTAGGAATAACTTGACTCAGGTACTTCCAGCTTCCTTGCCTTTTCGCCACAAGTTTCATCGACTATCGGAAATTTCTGTTTGCGGAGAAGCTACTCAACGAGTTGGCAAAGGGGTTTCTAAGAGTGAAGATCTTATGATTCAGCTTTTCGAGATAATATTTACTCCAGAAAAGCTGGCGACCATAAGTTCACCTGCAATCATGGACGAGATCAAGCACATGATTGAACATGACCTCGAATTAAAGGCAAAAATCACACCGTTGGTATCCCGAGTACTTTCTGATCTGGGACTAATTCTTCGACTTGGACATGAGCTAGATCTTTATCTACCATGGGCAACAGGTTTTCCAGTGGACATGGAAACACACAAGGACTGGCTCAAAAATGATTTACGAGACCGGTGTTCAGTGTTATATAGAACAGAACAATATATAACATCTGCTTTTGAGTCATTGAAAGCGCTAGGAGACCCTACTGATGAACGGTACCACTATCCATGTGACCAGCGGCGAACCAAAAAGATTACGGAGGCAATGCAAAGTGCTGAGGGAAAGTTAGACTATTTTTGGACTAAGTTGGATTTCGAATATCGCCGACTCTCCCGCCGTGCTTTGAATAAGAGTGTTGGCCATATATTTACCAATATTCGGACTGTAGAGAGGACACCTGATTGGATTGCGCCAACCAGACCAGCAAGAGTCTTTCCTAAAAGCCTCCAAGCCTCTACCATACCGCAGTTTTCTGTTAGTGACCCAATATCCAACTTTGTTGCTCCCCAAGAGAAAATAAAGCCAAAAACCCGCGGACCACCTACCCCCTCTGTGAGTATTGTTGAAGCTCCCTCAGAGGTACCACCATCCAAGCCCAAAGAACGAATCTACAAGCTCAAAGCGAGAGCTCTGAAAGTGTTCAAAGTTCTCTTTTTCCAACCGTCTGAGAGCAATATTCCAGGGGACCTCCCTTGGACCGAGTTCAAGTACGCTATGGTAGCAATGGGCTTTAGCGTACACAAACTTGATGACTCGGTATGTCAGTTCACTCCGCCTTCGACTGATGAATATGAAGGGAAACATGGCATACAGTTCCATGAACCGCATTCTCCCGGTAGTACGGCCAAGATCTTCTTCCATGTAGCAAGAGGCATCGGAAGGAGATTGAAAAACACTTATGGATGGCATGGTGGGATGTTTGTGGGTGAATAAACAGGGAATGGCTGGGCAGAGCAGATGACGACAATCTATCTTGTATGGATGGAACCTTAATGAATTAGAGAAGAAGCAAAGGAATAATCGGATATGAAAAGTGTTATGGAAATTTATGGATAAAAATATGGGATGGTTCGAATTAGGCACAATTGAGTGCAAGTCTATAAGGTTTAGTATGAAATAGAAGTAATTATTAGATACGTGATGTTGCTTTGAACTTCCCGGTCTTTCTCTCGCTATTTTGTGAAAATTGGTGACTAGCGAGATACCGTAACTCGGTAAATCTGAGGCCCCAGCGAATGTTTTCAAAGAGTGCCAGATCTTACAAGAAAAATCGAAGAAGCCAGAGGCATCGAATACTACCAGCGATTCACATCGTCAGGAAATAATTACTTGCAATCCTGGCTAGACTGTTGTCGCTTCAGTGAAAAACGACATTCAAAGCTACTTTTGATACCGGTCACTTGCGCAATTCCTACTGGAATTCCCGCCATCTCCTTTTGCAAAACTCTAGACAGTATGACATGGGTGGGGATACAAGTTGTTAATTCTTATAAGATTTTGGTAGGAAAACTGTACCAACATATCCTGAAACCCGCATGTAATATTTTCCAGTCCAATTATGCGGTGCTAAAACTCAGATGAGTGACCTCCGGTCAAAGATTCGAAGTGACTCTTCACTCACCACAATCAATCCTTCTGTTTGTTGTGACTAGAACAACGTATGCTTTTCCAGTCGTAAGTTGTTTCCGAGATAGAATGTGAATACATAAGCAGAATGTAATAGCTATTCTCACCAGTTCTGCTGGATCAGAGAGGAAGTCTCATAATCTGGCTATTTACAATATGCCTACTCAGCATAATTTCAAGCTTCGCTAAATAAATTGATCCACTATTTTCCGATCTAACTTCATCTCGGTTAATTCTATCCGATCCGTCGCGATTGAACCATTACATTACCAAGAGCCAAAGCTCATTTAACATTCAATTTTCATACTCAGCAGCAAATCCTACGTCTCTGAATGATGAAAGTGTGATGAGCATTCAAAACACCACCGCTTTTGACGGAAGTTCAGACAGACTTAGAATGTATACAAATTACACTTAAACGAATCTTCATATCTATTTTCCACAGCTAGTTACCAAAACGGGCATTCGACGCATCGTGGGGTCTGCCCTGATGTGGTTATTCTTGAAGGAATGAATATAATTATTGATCGCCGCCAGCTATGATGAAATGGTAGCATGGTAATGAGAGTATAACAACAAGAGCTCCGACTGCAGTAACATTCATAAAGGATTCTCGTTTGTAAAACTCATGAACTCACGGAATCCAACATGAGATTTTCAATTGTGCGAAAAGGTTGAAACTCATCAATTTATCTTTCATTTAAATAGATACCACAGATCAACCCTCCCCGCAAATCATCTCGCACATTTCCATCCACTAATATCTCAATGGTCACACTATGATTAACAACCAACAAGCAAAAATCATGAAAAATCCGTAGCAGACAAATCTATTGGATTAAAAGCGGAATAAAAAGCTATATCTAGCAAGATTATTCAAGCATTTCTATTTCTAAAGCCGCTGAAAGCTAGCTACCATGATTATATCCATATCGGTATCTATTATCTATCTATTTTCCCGTGCAATCATCAATCATCATCATCATCAATCATTTTCAGCAAAAGACATTTTCATGACCTCGTTCTCTCTCCCATAACCTCCATCGTCCACAGCAGCATCCCAACCTAAAAGGCAGAATAGGTATAAACATTCCCCAAAGTGCTCAAACCTCCATCGGCATTGCACAAGGAACCTTGCGGTTCAAGGTTGTAGTCAGAGGTGCACATGAACCAGGAATAGCGGGAAACCCAGGAGAGATTGTCCATCCAGGGCATTACTTGGCCGATGAAATTTTCTTGCTGGGCTTCTGTGGCTGGGTCCCAGAGGGCGAACTATGAGTGAGGAAGGGTTAGCGTGGGATCAGATGATGGGATGGTTTAGAAATTTGCGGATGCAGCGTTGGAATTTAGGAGAGGGAGAATGTGGAGGGAAAATGTACGTGTAAAATGAATGATGATGAATTAATTCATAATTTGATGGAGATGATTGGGTGTGGAAAAATCTTTGTGCCGAGAGAGGAATGGGAAAGAAAGGATGTGTAAAGATAAAGAAGGGGATGAGAAGCAAAGAGAAACATACCTCAGTGACCCAGATTGGACGATTTCCACCAGCCACATAAGCAGCACCAACATAATTATAAAAGTCCGCCAAGTAGTTTTGACCACCAACACCTTCATACCAATGAATTGGCACAAAGTCAATCTGGCAGCCTGTGCATAAGCTCAAGAAAGATTGCAACCAAGGCAATCCGCTAGGACCATTTGTCACTTGTGGAGCACCTAATGCAACACGGCCTGCAAGAGGTTGAATGTAGGTCTTCCACGCATCAACAGCTTGTTGAGGACTCATGCATGATTGGCCTCCTCCACATGCATCGGGCTCATTAAAGGCCATGATGTGACCGGTACCACGAGCAATGGCGGCATTGACGTTGGCGGCCCAATTGGAGATGTGATCGGAGGAGTCGGACCAGAGACAAGGGATGAATTCCATGGAGGTGGGGAAGGAGGTTGGCATATATGAATCCCAGTTCCAAGCCCAGTTGACTTGGGAACCGCCGCCGTTGAAGTGTTGGATGAGGGAAACGTCGTTGAAGGGGACACCTCGCTTAGGCCAGGTGGCGAGAGTGGTTTGGGTGAGGAAGGCGAGAAGGAGAACAGAAAGTTGCATGATGGTATTCATGATGTATATACTGTGATTGATTAGCTTGTGCCAGGAGATTAATTAGAGGAAGGTATAGCTTACGTTTCAGAACTCAAGAAGATCTCTAGAATTCAATCGCTAATGTTTATGATGGAATCCAAGGCTTCTGCTATTAGTTAGCGCCAGGTACAGAGGCGGTGGGGATAGTAGACTATCGATACATGACAGAGTGATCTGAAGGATGCAGACAGAATCCAGATATGAACTTACTTTTTTTTTTTGGCTATCAGAGTAGAAACGGATTGGAAGGAAGAAAAAGATTAGGGTAGAAGTGCTGTTGGGACTGTAAAGAGGAGAGAGATCAAGGAAAGGAAGGAAAGAGCGAACTCTTTTATCTCCCTCCATGACTATGGGTTGATCGAGAATCCGGAGCTAAAAACTGTTGAACTAATTTGGACAAGGGTAGCAAGGGATATTCCGATATTAAAAGAGCTGTTGAAGCTGTTGATGAGCCGACAAGGTGTTGGTATTGATATTCAATAAGCGCTAGGAAAGAGTGCACATAGTTAACTTTCTCAATTGATACTATTGAAGGGACCCAGAAGCTTCTAGCTTAGGTCAAGTTTAGGTGAATGGCCGTTTTGAGGATTGATGCAATTTTCACTATTTCCTCTAACTAGACGTGGACTGCTAGGTAGGTATCACTCGAATTCATAAAGCTATTTTTGGATGCAAGAGGTATTCAGATAAGTTTATCTTAAGGCCAATGAACAAGATCAGACGAAGTTCAACAGCTATATAATTGGATGAGTAGATAAATTGAGGACAAGTTTGAACTTCTTGAGGCTTTAAGGCGGCATTCGAAAGAATTCTCTGCTAACCTTGAGCAAGTTCTATAATTGGGATGCTTAAAAACAATTCAAAATGACTCCCAAGCTATCTAGATTAAAAATAAGGCCTTTTAAAATACTTAGCTTCGATCCCTAGCAGTACCTTCGATCAATAGTAGTAGTCTTGGCGATATCTCGTGCATCGAGAAATTCTGATATCATTCACTTCAAAACCCCTCCAGGTTCGGAGTGTAGATTCATCTAGACTAAAGTTTTTTCTTTTTTGAATGGGAGGTTTGCAGGGAAAGAGTCTTATGAATAATGGCTAATAAGAGTGTTCTAGAAGATCGCAACGAATCGATCATGAGTATAGTATGCTCAAGGGAGCAAAGAGATAATCTTATGAGAGAGGAAGGTAGAGGTGAAGCAAGAACCACGGAAAACTGATGATTTACTATCGACATAACCGTATATCAGCACTGGATGTAGGGTACGTGTAGAGCCCAGTCAAATGTCACCACTAAAACATGAGCCGAAGAACAAAGTCAAGAAACAATTTATTTTATCAAGCAGACTTGAAAGCAATCAAAAGGGTTTAGCTGACTGATAACAGCTGTTAAACGTGCAACAAAAGTTATTGCTAATGAATCTCCACATTGTTGACAAGGCTGATGACAGTATCAAACACTGTTCAGTCAATGTCAACATCATCACAAGTGATGCTTCCCAGAAGAGTCATGTGATGAATATCACGTGTCTAGAAGCATTGGCTCCAGGACTTCTGGATATGTTTCAGCCTTGACATATCAGCCATGTTCCACTCCTTGGAAGACCTCCTTCATGGCGCAGAATCCTTCGAGCAATCTGCATCAGAAAGATCTATATTGAAAAAAAGATATCCAATTGATGATTGAGTGGCTGAAATAGCCCTACCCCAGATTTTCGCATTCCCTTGATAGTATTAGTCAAAAGGTTAAAACAACGACTTTGCTAAAACTGTTGATCTCCGGGCATTTCTAACCCATTGCAGAAGTTCAACCTGTCGATGCTCAAACATGTGGCATTTGAAGATAATCCTCTATGTTCTCATAAAATATCATGACTGATGAGAAATAATCAGTAAAGGGATGCTACCGCCCAAATTAGAAGCAAACCCTCGTGTTAGGCTTGACCGCCACACCGCTTAACCTATAGATAGCACACATAATGATGTTCTGAGTCAATAAGGGGGAGCTGACCAGGGGTAAAGAAGCAGGGACAGAGACATATGTGAAGTCCGAGCCATGATTTGGGCGTTCATGAATGATAACAATAAGGTTGTCAATTAAATGTCTATTGGAAGCGTATTTGGAATCATCAAGTCAACACAAGCCATGAAGCAGTAAATATGGTGACGGAGTGGGATCGTGGTAGTGTCAATACATGATATCATGTATTACATAATACACACAGAAATAAAATGTGGCTCAAAGTGGCTAAAGGTGGACATGAGTAGCCAGAGGTGGCTAAAAGTGGCTTGTTCCACTCTATTCCGAATGGTTTCCCAATGTCACCCAATCAAAAACTACATAAACAAAATCATCCTCCACTTCTCTGATAAGAACATCCAAATCTAGAATTGATGCTTGAGAACCTTGTTGATTAATTGCCCGAGCACCTCAATTTATTTCTTGGGTTATACCAAAACCTCAATTGATCAACTAAACAACTAAGAACCCTGAGCCAAACACAGAAATAGTCACACACTTTTTTGACGAACTGACTATGCATTATCTCAAATCTGTTTGGGTAGAAAGGTGATACAGAAAGCCATAGGGGGGGATATATCCTGTCCAACATCTCATCTACACGGCAAAACCACGAATTCGTCCTACCAAAAAACATTACCAAGTCACCATGAAGTTTGCAAAGGAACTTGAGCAAAGCCTCGTGCCTGGTATGATATTCACTACTGTTTACGTATATTTCAGCTCGAATTGCTACTAATAATCGTGTAGAATGGCGCGTAAAATACCTCGATTATAAGCAAGGCAAGAAGAAGGTCAAAGCAGTCGCTCGTGCAACCAATCGTATAAATTCAACCCCTCGATCAGATGCGCGAACGAATCTGAATACGCAGAGTGGCAGTATATACGGTGCTACATCTCCTCTCGCTCCAAGAAAGCCTCAACCGTCTGGAAGGTTCGATGGTACGACCGACCGTCCTCAATCAGCTTCTGGGAGGGTAGATGGGGCATCTCACGGAACTGGGGCGGAAACGGCGTCATCGAACCCTGCTACATCGATACCAATCGCAAGCAGGCATGTACCAATAGAGCATACACATGATGGAATGTACGGCAGCTTTGTGCCAACCCCTCCTGCGATGGACATGCACAATTTCGAACTTCCGGATCCAGCGATACAAGCTGACTCTCCCCTCGAATCCTCAGAGCGCATAATGTCCACCATCACAAGTAGGAAAAATTCTCTGGAGATTGAAGTCCCATCAAGGACCCCAGAAAGGAATCCCATATCAGCCTATCAGAGCGCATATGAAGTAGGTACAACAGAAAGTCCGACCAGACCTAAGTTTGCTTCACTGAGGGCCCCCGGGTCGCGCGCTGAATCCCATGATGTTCATGGACAGCCGATCCTGAAGCGAATCTTCTCAGTCGGCACTCCCTTATCTAAACCTCACAGTCGTCCTGACGTCGATATGGTTGCCTTTGATCATGTACGAATACGTCAGCAAGAATTTCTCTCTTGGATGGATAAAGAGCTTGACAAGGTCGAAACTTTCTACAGGTCCAAAGAGGATGAGGCGGGAATCAGATTACAAGTTTTGAGAGAACAGTTGCATGAGATGCGAAACCGCAGGATACAAGAAGTGGCAGATGCAGAACATGCAAGGTCAATGCGTAAAGATGACGAGCGCTCAGTAATGGGAAGGATTTCTCGTGGGCATTCTGGAGATGAAGATCTCAACAGGCATTCCTCTCAAGAACATCGAATTCCTTGGCTGGCACCTTTTGGGAGAATGGTAGATAATGCAAAAGCAACAGCACTGGGGCCACATCCAGGAGCCAACTCTAGGGCATTAGCTAGTATGAGAAACTCACCCGAGTTGCAGTTTAAGTCTCAGCCAGACGATGGAGTTGCAACGAACGGCAATCGCGATTATGTAAGACGGCCTTACGAAAACGATGTATCCTATCGAACCGCGAAACGGAAGTTGAAGCTGGCTTTACAAGAACATTACCGAGGTATGGAACTTCTAAAGTCCTATGCGCTGTTGAATCGGACTGCGTTTCGTAAGATCAACAAAAAGTATGACAAGGCAACCAATGCGCATCCCCCCTTCGGTTCATGACGGAAAAGGTTAGCAAGGCATGGTTCGTCAATAGCGATGTACTTGATGGGCACATACATACGGTTGAAGATTTGTACGCACGATATTTTGAAAAGGGCAATCATAAAATTGCTGTTGGAAAATTGCGCAAAACCGTTGGAAAGTCAATGGACCAATCCGGTAGTGCATTCAGAAATGGAGTGCTGATTGGAATTGGTGCTGTCTTTTCGATTCAGGGAATCATCTCCGGCAGTGAATACTTGGATCACCCTGATCCTACGATCCGATTTCAAACCGGCTATCTGCTGCAAATATACGGTGGTTACTTTCTCGGTTTATATTTATTTTCGTTATTCTGTTTCGATTGCAGTGTTTGGACTCGACACAAAATTAACTACAAATTCGTTTTCGAATTGGATCCTCGGCATGATCTGGATTGGCGGCAACTTAGCGAATTTCCAGCATTTCTCATCCTTCTATTCGGCCTGTTTTTGTGGATCAACTTCTCTGGCTATGGGACACCAGAAATGTTTATATACTATCCCATCATTTTGATCTTCGTTACAGTCATGATAATATTTATGCCTGCCCCCATAATTTTTCACAGAAGCCGGAAATGGTTTGTTTATTCTCATGTAGGTCTCTCATTATCATTTTACTACATAAATTTCGTACTCACCTATAATAGTGGCGTTTACTTTTGGCTGGGTTATACCCCGTAGAGTTTAGAGATTTCTTCTTGGGTGATATGTATTGCTCCCTTACCTATTTAACGAGTGTAAGTTTCTTCGTCAAATGAATCATAGATCAAATCTCACGCATTGAACAGAATATAGAGCTCTTCTTTTGCCTCTATGCGACATCCTGGCATAATCCTACGAAATGTAATTCTACAAACTCTCGCCTTCTTGGATTTTTTTCGACCTTACCAGCTATATGGCGTTTACTTCAATGCTTCCGACGTTATCATGATACCAAAAATATGTTCCCGCATTTAGGTAAACAATTACTCCAGATAATTTAATGTCATAGACATCCGTATGCTGATCAATATGCTAGTTAATGGTGGTAAATATGCTATGACCATAGTATATTATGTCACTTTGAGCATCTACAGAATAGACAGAGACAGAACGAATTTAATTGTGTTCAGCTTTTTTGCTGCATTGAATGCGGTATACGTCAGTGAGTATTATATCTTTTGTGATTCGTGATCTCTTACTGATCAAATATAGGTACCTGGGATCTTTTGATGGATTGGTCTCTGCTTCAACCTGGAGCTAACAAGCCACTTCTTCGCGATGTTAGAGGATTCAAGAGTACCTGGTGGTACTATGCAGCTATGATTATTGATCCAATCCTTCGATTCAATTGGATATTCTACTCGATATATACGCACAACCTCCAGCACAGCAGTACCGTATCCTTTTTTGTCGGATTTTCTGAAATCACTCGTAGAGGAATGTGGACATTGTTTCGTGTCGAGAATGAACACTGCTCCAATGTCGCTCGTTTCAAAGCATTTCGCGATGTCGCGTTGCCATATGATCTGGAGTCCGGAGAATCGGAAGACTCTCAGCCTATTACCCCTGCTGAAACAAATGATATATCATCGGTACTTGACAGAGAGCGCACCCATACTAGTGGTCTCTCACAACAGCAAACCAATACCAGTTCGACACGCCGTCGTCCACAAAGAACTTTCACTAAAGTTTTGGCCGATGCTCATATCCAAGACTTTCAGAAGAAGAAAAAACCTGCTGCGAATAATGGAAAGGATTTGGACGGAACTGATGAGACTGATGTCGATATTGACCGTGCTACTAGTAGTGAGGACGATGATGATGATGAGCAAGATGCACAAGATCGCCTGGATGCAGATAGTTTAGTCAGAGGTGGACAAGGCAAAAGAGGAAGGAGAAAGAGTCGAAGAGGGATCTAGTTGACATGATATGGTGGGCAAGGCTAGTCTATATATTTCCAGTTGTGACGAGTCATGATGGAGTTTACTTGAAAAATGGGGTTCATTTATTCATCTTTTGTCTATAGACCAAACGACTTTTTAAACTCTGGATATGAAATCCCCCTTCCTATGCGATGATATCGGATGGTGTTGACTGGGAGCCATTAGTAACTCCCTGATCTGAAAAAGCAGTCCTGTGTTGATAAATTATCACGTGTTTCTCCGTTTCGTGGCTGTGCCGCTCGCTAAACTTTCCCGGATGATATAAATTACCTACACCCTCCATCTTCTTCGCTTACACTTTCTCTTTCTCATCTTCATCGCCCTGCAAATTATCCTCTCAGTCACCCATTTTCAATGCCAAGACGAAAAAGGACCGTCTGCAAATCCACAGTGCCGCCTAGTCCTCACAGGCCGCTGGGAGGAAGACTTTGATCCTACAGGAGGGTCGTGTATCCGCCAACACAGAGTGTAGAATACACTTGACTGCAAGGAAAAATTGTAGCCAATGCCACAATTTGCACATGAAAGACACCTCGCCCTCAAATTTGGAGCAGATCATGGCCCCCACAACATTTCACCAATTTGCTCTGCTTCCGGTCGAGATTCAAACAGAGATTTGGAAGCTCGCCGCCAGTTCCGCCACTGATGAATCTCGTGTCATACCAATTATTGTTCATTGGACACCTGGTTGCTCGAGTCAAAGGTACAACGAAATGAAGAATAAGACTCCTGTCTTTCTGACACCCATTTCTATCATACCTCCGCTGTTACATGTCTGTTCTATCTCTCGCTCACTAGCTCTGCCTATCTATGAGCTCGTGAGCATGTCCAATAAAACTGGTCATCAAAATAAGATCAACGCCATGGGCGTTCGACTCAGTGTACCCTCCACGTATGGCGATGAAGCAACGGGTATCTATGTTAATCTCAAGAAGGATATCGTTTATTTTACAAATCACGATATTTTTGACAAAACGGGGAATCAGCATTTTCCAATGTCAGGTACACATGCAGATTTGGAAGATCGTCTTATATACGAGCCACAATTTTGTCAGCCCTGCTCAGACCTTTTGTTTCCAGTGAATGATGCACTTCGTCTATTATTTGGAAACATGGATATAAGGAAAGAATTGAGAAACATCGGGTTCAGCTTTGATATTCCAGTGAAGAGACATCATTTCTGCTGGGGCGGTTTAAGTAAGGATTTCTACGGAATACGAAGGATTGTTTTCGTATCCGAAGAAAAAGGTGAGAGGAGAACACTACGAAATAGGAAAGTACATGGCACCCACGCCGCAGCGTCTACTTCCAAAATCCCCAAGCTCACGACTCCCTCGCCTTATATCAGAAATAAATGTTTTGAAACGTACAAAGACCGCTTTCATAAACAAGGAGATTATATACAAAATGGGAGGGAATACATGATGATTAATGCCCGAGAACAGTTTTTCCAACCGCTGATTAAGGGAGAAACGGGACCTCGTGGGACCGGACCGGGCACGGGCAGAAATTGGTTGCAGTGGGGAGTACATGGATTAGTACCTTTGGGATGGAAAGGTACGGGGGCGGGAGAGGAGTGGGAGGAAGATGGGGGTGAAGAATGGAATCATGAATTCATAGGGCCGAGAGTGGAGTTTTTGGTTGAGGATGGGAAAGATAGGAACAGGGCGACGAGAGATATTTTTTTAGTTTAAGAGGGATACTTAAGTTTTTTTGTATGAATGTTGGGAGAAATGTTTCGTGATCTGCTGATAAACGGGCGGTTTCTTATGCTCTCTACAGGTTGTCAGCCGCGATCTTTGAATTTGCCTATTAAATTAAATGGTCATATGTCTCGTCAAACATTCTTTCCAGTATCCATTTTCACTACATTACTACTCTTTTAAGTAAATGAAACCAGTAAGCTGTAGACATAGGTAACTCTGTTACTACACTACTACACTTCCTACCAAGTCTCAAAGATCGCTGGAACCGGATAAGCGAGGTTCCGGACTTGATATCTTATGTCGCCAACTTCCTTCATGAATGAACACGCATTTCTGAAACTTAGGGATCTGATTTGCAATCGCAATACTTCTCATCATACCCTCTACATCTTTTATCATTTACACAACGAGTTATAACACAGCGCTCCTACTCTTAGTATCATACCCATGGACGGACTTGGCATCTACGAGACAACCACGTGCAATCATCAGTGTACGTGGAAAAACTGACTCATTTCTCGCATCATTTTTGAACACACAAAAAATTAAAAAATTGCAGACACAACAGTTTGATAGTCACTAAGAGCCATGAGTAAAGAAAATTAGAATTAGAACTAAGATATTCCTCTTCCAAATACGTTATTGAAATCATATAAAATCGGCTACTCTACAGAGAGGCGACAGAGCCTTGCGCTTAGAAATTGTCGGAGAATGATGGGTACGGCAGAATGCTTCTGTCATACAAGATGGCAGAAATGTACTTGTGCAATCATTGGATTAATTTCAAGGTGCGAGATTGTGTTTATGAAATGGTTTATTCGCTGGTATAAAGCTGCGTATCGTTTTGATTGGGGTTTTATGTACGATAATTCCGAAACCTTCGTATTTTGGAACTACGGGTTGTTATTTCGGGGGATTAGTGTGCAATCAATTTTTGTGCACATTCACAACATATTTGGGAGTATCGTCACTGGAAGATAAATCGGGTTTGATGCGCGAAACTAAGGGTGGATGTCTTGAAAATGAACATTGTTGAGAAGATTCTCTCAGAAACTCCATTTCGAGAATCCGTGAATGGGAACAGCGTCATGGTGTTAGGAAGTTTGAGAGTGCTTCACGTCGAATTCTTTTACACTTTTCGAACCCATCTATTCATGCTCCGTGAGACTGAATACTAGGATAGAACTCATTCTTGATGTTAGCTTAAGATTTGTATAATGCGAAAATCGTCGTTGAATCCATACATTTATCAAGCCAAAACCATCGATTCTATGCTCACGTGCATAGAACCAGCGTAATCTTAACGGATCTTGGTCAGATTATCATGTCCCTTGTCAACGTCGAATTTTCTTACGTAGAATACTAAGTTTATTTGATGATAGATAATTAGCTTAATACTCATTTGTTATCTTCCCATTCTAATCTACTTTATTTGAGTGGTTCCGTCATTTTCAAAAGCTGTTTTCTACTAATACATTTGCTACAGCTGAATTCCAACGTTATATACTTTACATTCCATTTGAAGAAGTGATGAATTCATTAGATAAAATATACAGTTACCTAAGGTGAAGACCAGTTCTTAGATGAACTTACTGTTACATCACAAAGTAAATAATAATAAGTGTCTAAAAAGTCCACAATTATACCCCTTACACGTGATCACATTACCCGAGTTATCAAGTTGAACAAAACAGACAACCACTTCAAACCCCCTTCAAAACAATGAAGAACAACTTTTTAGAGCCTTGATCTCACTCAAAAAGGTAGTTACTGTATAACATATCGCATTCATTAATACTCAACCATCTAATCAATAAATAATAACCTCTAGTCCTTGTAAGTCCACTCCCATTATATTTTCCCTACCCAAACCCAATATTCTAGTCCAAACCCAACGCCGAGAACTAAAGAATCAATTCTAATCACCTCTGCCTCAGCCTCGATTAAGTAATTGCTCAGCCGCTTTCACCTTTCAAATAACCTTATCAGTAGGTATTTTGTGGGGGAAATTTACTATTTCTTTCTTTCTTCAAGTAACAATAACAACAACGAACTTTCAATTCAACAACTGGGGTATCAACTACTTCTATTGCACTAGCTTTGCGCTTTCTTCTATAGCTCTTTTGTTAGTCTCTAAAGACTGATATTTATGTTGTTTAGGGTTGTTTTTGTGGGTTTAGGGTTACTTACTGGGTGAGTTTATTGTATTTTTTTGGCTGTTACTTTGGGTATTTTTTATTGATAGAGTTTGAGATTGCTCTTATTGGTATCTTGTCTTTTCCTATGGAATCTTACACTTCTCATTTCAATCTAGGAATAGGTTGAAGTTTATGTCTGGTTTGAATTGATATTTCTAGGTTTTCGATCTTTCATCCACTATATTTTGATGAGAGTAATACTCTTGTTTGGCTTTGTTTTATAATCTCTTCTACTACTAGATAATTTGACCAAAAAGATCTGGGTTTGACTGTCTTCTATTGTTACTTTTGTTCCCTTTCTATCTTCCAACTCATGATACTTTGATGAGAGTAGCATGGTTACTTACACCTGTCATTTCACTCATTAGTTTATCTGGCTCATCACAATTCGATGAGAGTAGTTCTAATCTTTTTTCCAAGCTCTTGAATTTCCTTACACTTGCTCAGTGGAAAGATTTTTCTCATGTTTATCATCACTACATCATTTGTTCCAACTCTTCCAGCTTGTTATACTTCGACGATAGTAGTTCTATTGTTGAGGTGTGATCTTGAGGTTCTCTACTCTTCGTAGAGCTAGATAGATAATCAGAAGTCTCTGACTTTGTTTTGTCTTGTTATCTAGCTCTTTTGATCTGTCATGCTTCGACGAGAGTTGTGTCATCCTGACCTCTCTTATTGAAAGTCTTCTGCTACTTGCACACGTAGACAAACAGTTCTTAGATTTTTTCCTGTTCTTCTTTCTTTGCCCAGTCTTCCCAACTCATGACACTTCGACGAGAATATATGAATCTCTAACTTGATCCAACTACTAACTTACTAAAACAGAAAAATGCACTCTCCCAACTCCCCAAGTAATCAACTCCACCTGAACAATAGTCTCTTGAAATTCACTGACATTCGAATAGATTTCTCTCGCCCTCTTCCTACTCCTCCCTCTCCTTCTCGAGCTCCTCCTCCATTATCCTACCTAGCCGGACACAATCTTCCAGTCTCAGTCCCCGAAGTGAGCGAGGAAGCCATACTCCGCGCTTCATTAGACGGAAACCTCGACGATATTCACTACCCGGCACATATAATCCCCGACCCGCGCTCCTCTACCGAAAACCCACAAATCCCTCATCATATAATCTCCTCACCTTCCACAAAATTCCTATCCCACCAACCCCGCATCACCATGTCTTCCCCCCACCTCTCTCGCTCAGCCACCTCTCCCGATCTATCAGCTCCTTCAACCATCTCTCCCATTACCGAGGAGCAAGAATACACACCCAATCGCAATGGCGCAATCAGTCGCACAGATCGCTATTCTCGAGACCTTCCCGCAATTCCTCCTCATCCATCAACTCCTCCACCAGCACTACCCATCTCCACCACTCCATCCTCTTCCTCATCCAATATATTCAATTCCGCCCGCCCCAGCAATCTCCGGCACGTAACATTCGCGCACGAAACCTCCAGCCTCTCACTCAGCTCCTCAATCCCGTCTCAAACCTCCTCCAACCCCTCATCCTCCCTCCCTATTGAAGCTCCTCGAAAACACCGCTTCAACCTCACTCTCGCCCACCAAAAAATGCACAAAGCATTTTCCACCCTGCGCACACACACTCATAGCATCTCCCCGAAACCCAGTCTACTGCTGCGAAAAAAATCTTCGCACTCTGCTCTCTCCATTTCCAGTTCTGGATCTTCTCCACTTTCCCCTTCGGACGCATCGGCAGATGAACCCACGAGACCGAAAACCGCACCTTCATCATCTTCGTCTTTTTCAGGATTTGCAAATTTCCCTGCCATGGCGGGTGCATTCTCGAAAGATGCAAAGGAGAAGCGAGATGCGAAAGCAGGAAAAGAAATGCAGATTGGTGCGCCAACGGGCATGGTGAAGAAGACACCGGAGGAAATTCAGCAGATGTTGAGGGAGATGGGGGTGAAGAGCGAGGATATGCCTTTGATTTCTGGTTCTGCGGCTTCAACTTCTACTCCTTCTCATTCTCGCTTGGAGGGTCATGGTGCTGTTGATGGTGACGATACCGATAACACTCCATCCAAATCCCAATCCGGCATCTCAAAAATCCTCACCTCCTACTCCCGAGAAGAAAAACCATCTCCCGTCTTGAGTGCTGTACAAAAGGGAAAACTCCCGGCTCTCCCTCCCGTCCCTCAATACTTCACTCGGCCTCTTCGCTCCTCCTCCCTCTCCTCTCCCCACTCTGGTCTTTCGGTTCCCTTTCCCGTTCAAGACCTCACTACCAAACCCCGCGGTTGGTATAGCACTGCTCCTCTCGACTCCATCCGCGCTACGCTTCCCAAACTACGAAAGGAAGATTTACTTAAAAAGGAAGAGATCGATGGGTTCTTAGAGGAGTTGGTTCGAGACTTCGAGGTCATAAAGAAAGTGAGACAGTGGAGGAGTGAGGAGTTGGATAGGGAGATTGAGGGGTGTGTGGAGAAAGACGAAGATGAAGATGAAGAGAATGAGGATAATGATGAGGATATCGAGGGAGATGGGGATGAGGATGAGGAACCATACATCTGGGGTCGCTACGGCGAACCTTCCCCCGATTTTGTAGACGGCGGCTGGGCCCAAGAAGAAATTAGTAGTGCGGGGGTAGGCGCACGTTGGTTTGTATTCGATGATGTGGAGAATGTGTTGGGGGGACCAAAGTGTCCGATTACGCATGCGGTTGATGGGTTTGAGGATGCGGAGGAGGAGCTGGATGTAGGAGATGTTGGTGAGGTTATGGGAGAGGAGAGAGAGATTGTGGATGAGGAGATAAAGAGGGAAGAAATGAATACTACGCTTTTGAGTCCGATTGAAGAGGGGTTTGGAGAGGGAGAAGAAGAGGAATTTGATGAGGATGCACAACAGCTTTCTCAAGAGGAGATTTTGAGGAGAGAGGGATTACTTTGAATAGTAATAACTCTTTCTACTCCATTTTCCTTTTTCTCAAAGAATTATGAAGGATTCAGTAAACAGAGGAAGAATCTGTGAATAGGGAGTTGGATAAACGGTGAGGTTCTTTGGAGAGACTGGAAAGAAGGTTAGGTTACTACGATTGGGAGTTTGGTCAAGATGAGCAACAGATTTTGAGGAGAGAGGGATTACTTTAACAGTAATGACTTTTTCTACTGCATTTCCCCTTTTCTTAAAAAACTTTGAGGGTTTGAGGGAGGGGGGGTTGTATGAATCGTGGGGGAAATTTTTAATTTTGGGGATCAGATCATTAATGATGTTCTTTAGCGACACTGAGTTCGACAGGACTGGGTTACTGCAATTGGGAGTTTAAGGGGGATTTTATTCTCATGATACCAGCCAGGCAGGAGGTTTTGCGTTATTTGGTGCATCGAGTGCACAGGATATATCTGAATGGTATTTATTTTATTGAACAGTATCAGAATCAAAAATTGGGATATTGTTCTTGAGGTGCTTGATTGGATTATATGCTGTGATGAGATGTGCTGTGCTGTGATGCGATGTAATGCGATGTAATGCGATATAATTCGAGATATATTCAGGTGACATACATGATAATGAATAATGATTACAAAATTGACAAGGGAACAACTGAGGAGTCGTTCTTGGAAATCATTATATAACTGTAAAGCAAATCTATCTATGTGTATAGACGACCCAAATATCAACTCCTGTAGCTCCTGTGTAAGTATCGAAGACCCCAGGATACTGTACTTATCCCCTCTCCTTCCCAGCCTCAACTCCATCGCTGAAAATACTTCAAATGCCAAATTTCAAATCGCCATCCATACTAATTCCAAATCATGACTCATTGCCTCTCCGGGAGAACATTTCCAAATTATCCCCCATTCTCGCCTCATATCCTTTCCTCATTCCCACAACTCTAAACTCTCTTCCTCCTCCCTTCTTCCCACCCATCCCACACTCATCAACTCCACCTCCGTCTACATCCACAAATCTTAACTGCGTCTCCAGCACCCATTCCGGTAATGGAATCTTCCCTCTTACTCCCCCTGGTAATAGTCTTCCAAACTCACTATCCCTTGTTGCTGCCAGGATGGCCGAGAAACTTTTATTATGCGAACGTCCGTTGATATGATATGCGTATGCGCCCAGAGAATTTGCGATAAGTGCTACGAATATTGCTATACCGTAAGAAAGAAGAAGAGTCGAAGAATGATAAGCGTATATATTTATGGAGGTTGTAGAGAGGACTGAAGTATTTACGGAGGGGCTGTATGTGTTTGTTAGTATTTCTTCTCTTTGATAGAATTCTGATGAGGATAATGAAACGAAAAACATACGACAATAAATTACTATTCAAAAATCCACATGTAACATTCCAAGCCAATTCCTCCACCAACGCTTCCAGAGTCGCATTTCCCGCCAAACTAATATCCTGCGCCCTCTGATCACTAACCGCCGTGTTATTGTTTCCCAGAGGATCATTACTCTTTCTTTCAAAAAACGCGTCCAAGTCCGAGCTGCCAAGTAAGGATGTATGAGCGATCTGCGTTGTGATTTCTGAGAAATATGTAGATGGGAGACCAGGAGCTGAAGGTGCAGCTTGGAAAATACCCATGGCACCAACCATCAGATCGGCAATTGACCACATGTAGGCTGAGTATGCATGTTGAACCATGAGGGAGTTGGATAGGGGAGTGTTAATATCGGGATAAGGGACTGAGTTAAGGACGGAGAGGGATTTGGATGTGACGGTTTGGATTCCTTCTTCGAAATTAATGTTGATGTTGTAGGATGCGTTGTAGAGTGTACAAACTGTGTAGTGATTTTCCGTTTGAAAGGATTTTGATCGAGTGTATCTTGAATAACCCATCCAGAGTTGATTTGAAGCATTCTGAGGTTGTTGGAGTCGGGCTTGAGGGATTACTGTAACGCCGTGGTTGGGTAATGAGCTATTGTCATAATTTCCTAGGTTAGGAACAAAAGCGTAATAATAATTTGATACTTCTGTAACTGATCCTGTGATATTGGCGACAGATTCATCTCGAAGATTTTGTATGATCGTGGCAGTAGTTGAATCAGCTTCATTGCATTTGACGGAAGGTCCGTAAAATTGTACATCATATGTTGCATTCGAGAAGGGAGCATTTATTGAAAGAATTTCTCCTTGTGTTGCAGTGGCCGTTGACAAACGTGTAATGATCGTTCGTGGCCCAAGAAATAGTTCGTTTTGTACACCATCTGTGACATTTACAGGAGCTGAGTATGTGAATCTTGCAGGTTGATCATGACCATACATGTCGAGGGAAGAGACATTGGCGTACGTATGAATGGATTTGGTACTGGGTACAACGTAGAGTGTACCGGGAGTAAGCAGAGAGCCAATGGGTAGACACCTGTATTAGAATGAGTATAAAGGTTCCATGATAGCCTGTCACAATCCCGTGGCTTCACTTCTCAAGCTTAGATTGAAGAGACGGCAAAGCTGATAAGATAGAGCAGGCCCAAGTAACGTTGAAGAGTGCCACGCATAACAGAATCAAAATAGACTAACCATGCAACTACCGCGAGTAAAGACCCCAGTTTAAGCTTCCAAAGCATTTCTGTATTCAAGATTGATAAAACAGATGTATCAGCAACGAAAGCAGCATCGAGACAGTTCACAGAAACTTTAGTATCCTTATGGTACAAAGATTTCCAAAGCCATTGTGTATAAGCAAATCCAACCGAGCTGACAAGGCATACTTGTGAAACAAAAGCAAAGGTTGTTCCATATCTAAATGCTTGTGTTAGTCCAGGTATTCTTATGTCAGACATGAGGGTTGAGAGACGAGGGGTAGGAATTGAGAAGTGTTGCTGAGAGATGCTGATGCAACTAGAAGAACTTACCTCAAAGTCCATTGTTGAGAAAAGTCATCTCCGACTTGTTTTCCTACCATGCAACTATAAAATACATGATGAGCAATGCTAGCAATAATTCCAACGAATAGATTTCCACCCATCAAAATTGGTGAGCGCCAGAAGATACCATCATGATGGTGGTGACTTGGTTCCAAATTACCCACCAAGTCCTCTTCCTGTGTATCGAATGGTCTGATTGTTGAATGACTTCTCCCAGTCTCGGAATGCTCAGATTTCGTAGAATGAGTTGATTGTAGCGAATCCATTCGAACGGGATATGGTCTTTTTTCTTCGTCTTCCATCTCGATTGAATGGAAAGCATATGAAGTTTCTTGATCATGATTTGTCTTGGTAACGTTATGCAATTCGATTCTTTGGTCCTCCATTTCGATCGTGTGGAAAGCATATGAGGATTCTTCATCGTGGTCTGTTTTAGGAAATAAGTGCGATTCCTTTCTTGGATCCTTCATTTCGATAACATCCTGCAAATCTGAGGCCTCGTGATTGTGATTGGCCATAGGCACGTAACGATTAGAACTCACGGGATAAGAAGTCCTTTGGCCTGCCATAACGACCGAGTAGTAAAGTGTGTGGCCATGAAAAAGTGCATTACACAAAGGTGAATTATATTCTGCGACCAGCGCAATCTAAAGCAAAGGGTCTTCTAGAGACCCTCTCATGTACCTGATTTGAAAATTCAGGAGCTTAATTTTGAGGATATTTGCTCTTGAACACATTCCGAATCGATCGAAGTCTCGACTTCCCATCCACTTTCGAAAACTCTAATTGATTAAAAGCACGACGACGACTTGTAAGCGAAAGTTTCTTTTGCTGGTAAGTATTGATTTTGGTACCGATGCAGCATCTTCGTATCCATATATTTGAAACTTTGTCAAGTTCATAAGGCATAGTGTAAGCTTTTACACGAAATTGGAGAAACGAGCGAACCCATCCGACCTTGACAAGACGATACCGGTGGAAATTACAAGTATGGCTGAATATGGAGGTGGCGTAGGCCCCAGAGAATCATGATTTTATATCAATCACAACTCGATGATTGGTAAATCAAGTAATTTCAGATGCAAATACGTGGAAAAATAGAATATTGTGCATGCTTCCTGCGAATGTAACATGACAAGCAAGAGAAGGATTTCACGAGGGTAAGGTTAAGGTTAAATCCTCGCCCAGCATACCGAGAATGTAAGCACATTATTAAGACATGATGGAACGAGGAGATTGGAGATACTGCCGCCAGATAGTGGCCTGGAATGAACAAGTCGTCGAATTCCAAGTGTTGAGCCCATTCTTGTTGTCAACGTTGTCTGACAAATGTTGTGCATGTTTGTAATTATATGGTTCGTGTGGTTTTGTGTGGAGGAATCCAGTTGGGCATTTATCACCTCAGGTTACCAGCATGCTGGAAAGTGCACGTGGAGCCACATTCTGGCCTTGACGTGATATCTCTGCCAACGACCAACATTCATGCCCAGAATAGCATCGTCAAATGAATGGAATAGATTGGAAATCGTTGAATGCGTAGATGATGAGACAATGGATCTTATTTATCGAGACAAATTGTAAACTCAATTTTCATCGTTGTTTCAACCCCTGGCCCGCCTTCAAATGATATCGTTAACGTGAACGAACCATTTCCGAAGCTCACCCGTGAATCCACCAATCACAATGGAGGATTCGGAATCTTCAATCCTCCTTAATTTTCGACCTCTCAGATTCTCAGATTGTATATCGGTTCCGAGACTCCCGAGACTCCCGATACTCCGTTCGTGTGTATAGCGTTCACCGGATCTATTCCTTCTCGTTTTTCGGTCTGTCAAGATGAATTGTCTTCATTTCTCAGTATTATTGTCCAGTAGCTTCTGTTATGATCCTTTGTTTGGCTACACCATTCACAGCATCAATATCGACTGATACACAGCCCCTCACCCCGGCTCACCTCAAATATCTATCTATACCTCTTCCTCTTGTCACATCAACCGGATATTCAAATCTCAAAATCATCATCCGTTCTTTCTCCAACTATCACAATTAACTGTCAAATCCACACTCTCCACACCTTCTAATCCTCCACGTGCACCTATCAAGACACCTCCTTCTCCCCCCCCCCCCCTCTCAAACCCGTCTCATCTTCTTCCCTCTCACAACAAACACCGGATCTTCATATCCCCTCAATCCCAAGAATCCACTCCCACCCCCTTCCTTCAATACCACCTCTTCAACATCCTCCCATCCCCCACTTGCCCAAAAATATCCTCCCACCCATTTCCTCCTCTCTTCATCATCCATCTTCATCCATTTCCCCACCACCTTCGTTGGAAAACATCGATTACTAAAAGCCATATGAGCTTCCCCTCCCTCCTTCAACACTCTATGCATCTCCTCAAAAACCTTAATCGGTTGGGTCAGATAATCCACCGATACATTACACATCACCACATCCATAGAATCACTCTCAACCCCCTCCAATTTGGGATCAAGATTCAAATCTTTGACGAAATACTTGGTAAGATGTTCATTCCTCTGTAATTCTGCTTCGTTCATCCCAATTCCTATCATAGTGCTTGGTTTGAGGGATGAAGGTAAATGCGAAACCCATGATGAACAGATATCCAGAACGGATGATTTCGGCATGATGAAGGTGGAATAGTAGTGTTTCAACATGGATATAGCGCCATCGTCAATGTGTTGAACAAATCTTGGTTGAGAATACCATTCTGTATCTGGAGATTCATCTTGTCGACGGAAATCTGAAGCTGCGAAATTGAATGTTGTTGGATAGAGGGATCGTGGAAGTGGTGTAATTTTTGGTAGAGGGAACTTTGGTGGGGAGTTGCTAGTCATTGTTCTGATACAGGTGAGACTTTGAGTGGTGTAGGAAGGTTTGATAATTTTTCGGAAGACTGCTGCTGATTTAATCGAATGACGATACATTGATATTTTATATAGTTCGTAGGAATTTGTTTCTTTTGTAGTTAATTCCAACTTCATAATAAAGGAAAGTTGACGAGAAGGGATTTTGAGTGGTGACCTAACCAAAGAAAATGGTATCGTCATGGAAGCTTAAATTTAAAGCATCTTGACGAAAATTGAATATATCCCATCTCATGCCATCTCAACCCATCTCGTTCCATCCAACACAAAATTCAATTCTTGTAGATGTCGTCGTCGTTCGATTGCTTAAACTTTCTTATTTCAATTATCTATTTATCTATACCGTACCTTACCCTAGTCGTTAAAATATTGCCATTCGATAGAAATGACTGACTGTGTTGCAGCAACCAGTTTGAACATAATGCCTTTATCCCCAATATCGAACAATCAGTCGTATCAAAAGAAGGCCCATGATAGAAATGAGCAATGACGCTTTGCTGGCTCTCCGAGGGCCACTGCCGTGGAGGCGACCTATTTACATGGAGAGTTTTAATGATTTCCACTTATTCAGCATGAAAGAATGCTTTCCCCATGATTCCTCACATTCTCATCCCGTATTGCTTTGACCTTCTCAAGCTTTCCCATTTCTTCATCTCAAACTTCATCCTTGATTCACAATCATCTGAGAAAGTCTCGAATCTCTCTACCATCTCAAAACAAGCTTTGCGCATTGATATATCAAAGACAGTAAGCACATACCCAGGGCAGCTGGTTCCGAGAACCCTCATTGAAAACCAGAGCTAGTGTTCTAAAATGAGAATTCCCAATATCCAAGACGTGGCTCAAGTTTCGCCAATTGAGGAACAAACAGTATGAAACTTTGTTGTACGGATACTGAAAGCTCAGTTGGCTGTCAAAGTCTGGGCATCCGGAAACCTTTGATGGAAAGTCACGATCTTTGGTTCCCGCATTGATGTTTCATTTATCACAAGATATACTTTTTCAGCCCTGTGAGACTGGCAGAACAGACCTTCAGCATCGGGACCGACGTATTGACAGTTTGAGATATTTTGAATGAAGGAGTGCGATATATTATCCTGTGTTATGTACAGATGCGTCGTTGTACTCGAGCTTTCTTTCTCTTTTTTCGATTCGTTGATTCTTTTTTACACATACAAAATGTACTTCTCGTCGTTCATTGCGACAATATCATTAATAGCATTCTCAAATGCGAAATCAGATTTTCAATTCGACATCCTAGATTCTCTATCACATGCACAATGTTCGAGTTCAATTCTCTCGTCTTCATATTCTATATGTCCTTCAAATCTCGAATTATCGCGAAACAAACATCACCCAAGTGAATCCTCACAGCTCATCTCCATCAACAGCAATAAATCCAATTCAACTTTATCCACATCATCAACACCTCCACCATGGCAATATCCACCCGTCTGTTCCAATATAACCTCGACCTCCCCTAAGACTCCTCAATTCTGCGTCTACACATCCACAACCTTCGCCTCAGGCCGCGGCATCTCTCTCCTCACCACCCCAAAGATCGCTTCCAGAATCGCCTCTCTTCCCGCCTTCACCTCCTCACTCCCCTTCCAACCCCTCTACAACTCCTCAAACCCCGCACCTTTTGAAATCCGCGAACTTCCCGGCAGAGGAATGGGTGTAATAGCCACTCGCCCCATCAAACGCGGTACTATCCTATTCGCCTATCCCACCATCGGAATCTATCACAACTCTGCATTTCCCAAAACCCACAACTCCTCCTCTTCCTCTCAAAACCACACATCTCTCTTCTCCCTCTCCGCCACCCAACTCCCCCCCTCCACCTCAAACCTCCTTTATTCCCTCGCAGCACACGAACCACACCGCCAGGTCCACAACGGCGAAGGCGTCATCGGACGTCTCAACACCAATACCTTTGGCGAAGACTTTCTCGGCCAAGAACACAGCATCGTTGTTCCTGAAACCGCGCGATTAAATCACGATTGCAGACCTAATGCGAATTATTATTTTGATGCGAGAACGCTGATGCATTACACGGTTGCGGGGAGGGAGATTGCGGTAGGGGAAGAAGTTACGATTACTTGTATGTATCCTATCCCTATTTTCCCACAATCGTTCTCCTTTTTCGAAAATTCACGGAAAGGGATCTTGAGTTTCCAGAACCCACACTAACAATTTTCTAGACACCAACCCCTCATTCCCTCTGGTTCTCGCCGCTCCGCCCTCCGTCATTCCTGGGGTTTCCACTGCACCTGTCCCCACTGTCTCCTCCCCAACCCCCAACTCCAGCACTCCAACCATCTCATCCGCACCATCCTCTCCCTCCAATCCTCTCTCGAATACAATTCCTCCTCCCCTTTCCCCCCTGCAGATTTCATCTCTAAATCACTCTATCTTATTGAATTATATAGATTAGAAGAATTGGAGAGTCATATCGGGGATGGATATCGTAGTGCGGCGTTGGCGTATAGTGTGGCGGGAAAGGAGTGGGAGACAAGGATGTATATCGAGAGGGCAGTGGAGGCGATGGGGGGGAGTGAGGGGTGGAGGGGGGTGGGAGTAAAAGAGATGAGGAGGTGGATTGGGGGAAGGAAAGGGGTAAGGGGACATTGGAGCTGGGGGAGGGGTTTGAGGTTGGGTGATGAGGAGAAGAATGAGGAGAAAGGGAGTTGTGGGTGTGGGGATAGGAATGGGAAAGATGAGTTGTGAGGAGATGGAGATGGAGATGTAAATATAGAGAACACTGATAATAAATGTTATATTTTGATCCATGTCCCTGTTATAGAGTAATATTGACATTTTTATTCTCCCGCACTTGACTAGTAATTTTATATATGCCATGCTTCAAAAGTGATCAACGCCTTCTACACTATACTCCGCTGCCACCCCATGTCCCAAAGCGCCTAAAAGCTCAATTATCCTGTTCCCATACGTGAGAAAAACGCGTTTTATCCATCTCATCATTATATCTTGATGTCCATCCAACTGCTAGATTCATCTATCAAGTCATCAAATCTCCTGCTCTTCTTTTCTTCTTTTCTTCCTCCGACCCATTGTTCTATCCAAAATTTCCATTTCATCACACCTTCCCTCCATCGACCTCTAATTCAGAACGCAGGAACTCCATCTCCCCGCCCCTCATCCTCAATTCATCCCCTCCATTGCATGCCCCGATGGTCCCTGAACCGCATAATCACACGTGACAAACGCTCTATCCACTTCAGGCAGCCCCTCACAACAATACTGCAACGTTTCCGCCACATCGTGTGCCTCCTCAAGGGTCGTTCCCTCGGACAACAAAATATCGACTTCCACCCACACCCCATCGCCCGCATGATACGCCGTGATACTTTTATATCCATTTACCAGCGGGGCAAAGCGCCACGCGAGGAATGTGAGTTTTTGTTGCAGACGATCGTCGACTGCGGAACCGGTGAGGCGGAAGATGTTATCGAGACAGGTGGATGCCCAGTCGTAGATGATGAAGAGGGAGAGGAGTCCGGCGCCGAGGGGGTCGAGCCACCAGAGATTGGCAGCGTGACCGATGTAGGGGAAGATGAGGGAGAGAGTGTTAAAGATGACGTCGGTTTTGCAGTCTTTAATTTACGTTAGTGAGTGAAATTGTATCTTCGCGTTGAGAGAGGTCAGGGGTATAAATTAAACATACCTTGAGCCAACGCTTGTACTTGAGTAGTTTTAATCCTAATACATCCGAACCAAATAAGTCCCTTGAGACCAATCGTACCAGCCATTGACGCAATAGCAATGACGGGTAATTCCTTTGCTTCATGCGGACCCTTGGACATGAGTTTCTGGGCGGATTCTTGAAGAATTTGTAGAAATGAAATAATCATGATGATTGAGAAGACCAGAATCCCAATGGGTTCCAATCTTTTTCTTCCCACTGGAAATTTCCGTTTCAAGCTCATCAATCGCCACTGCACCAGTCGATTCGTCGTGAATACAATAACCGTACATAAAAGATCGAGAGCGGAATCAACCAACGAAGCAATCAGAGAAAGAGACGAGGAATAGAACGCCGCCACCGCTTTTGCAACCAGCAAGATGATATTCGCGATAACATTTATATTGATTGCCCATTTTGCGCTTCTCCGAGCTTTCTGACGTTTTTCTTGTTCGGCATCCGGTAAGAAAGGTTCGACAAATCCTTGGGTATCTTGTAATGCGCCACCGCCTTCTGCAACTCCATCTCCATTGTCATCTCGCGGATCGAAAGATTCGAGGATATCGTCTGCAAGTGCTTGGACGAGGGCATTGACTTCGAGCCAGTCATCTAGACGATTGTTTTGTTCTTCGTAGAAACTGCGGACGGATTTTGGCATTTCTTTGAGCTGTGGGGAGAATCAGTGAGATGTTCCCTTTTGCATGTAGATGGATGTATTTGAGCATGTGGAAAGGATCAAACACAGTGGAAAACAACATACCTCTTCATCTTTCTTGCGGAAGCCCTCTAAACTCGAACTTTTCACTCCATCTAATAATTTTGTCTTGAATTCTTCTCGTCTTCGATCATCTGGCTCTAGAGGTCCATGATCGCGAAATCTATATTTCCTATCTTTTGATGGCCTGCCTTGTTCTAAGTCTCGGCGAAGATAGGTACTTTGTTTGGCATCATGTGCATTATCATTCCCTGTTGCTCGGCTTCGATGACCTGCCATGTTGAATTGATGATATTGATGCTGTCGTAGATGGAGGAAAGACAGGAAAGCAAAGAACAAAAGAATAAAAGATTGAAAGAATGAGAGAATAGAAAGATTGAATCAATTGATATATTTACCACGAATTAATGTATCATAGAAGTCATGATCCCTTCATCTTACCTAGTACTTATTACTACGAGGTACATTTATTGACCTTGGTTTTTGGTGGTGGTGGAACATTCATGATGTCATTTTATGTCACTGGCAAGCCAACGTGGATCATTATCGTTGCCGTGAGATGCGGATGCGATGGTGAAACAATGATTAGACAACAAGACAGCGAAAATACGTGTCTATTAATATTCTTCCTGATATATCGATGTCTTCGGACGATATATCAGATATCGGTGTTGTGTAGAAGACATACTTTTATATTGTCTTTTGGAATTTCTTATCTGCGAGATTGTTCTTCCTGAATCCTAGGAGTCCTGGATTATTCTCCGGGGTACATCTTGGCATAGATGGGAAAGTGGAGATTTGAGAATGCACAGATTTGTACCTGGAGCTGTCTTTGGCAACAGTGCAATTGGTCAGGGAAGAGATCAACTCTCAAGCGTAGCAATTGGATGTACTTTTGTTATCATAATCACACTGGGCAATACGACGGTACATTTAATTGTAAAAGCTGTCGGCTAATACGTACAATTGCGAGTCAGACTTTCCATATAATAAACATAAACTGATTCATAGATCGCTTGACTTTCCCCTGCCAAGTTTGATAAGGGGCGAGAAATCTGTTATCTTAGTGCGAGGTACAAGGGACGGATTAGCGGTCCGAAGCGATGATAATTCATCATGATTGTTAGTTTCTTTCGATTGGAATAACAAAATAGACTATAATAAACACAAATCACGACTAGTATATAGGACTAAGCACACCATATCGTCGATCAAGTCAAGATACTCAACACACAATATTCTCGAGTTGTAAGTTGCAGCTAAACACACAATATTCTCGACTTGTAAGTCAAAACACCAAATACACCACAGCGTCATCAACCAACTTAATAGGCTCAACATCTTCCACCAAGTTTCCTATCCAAATCACTCTATTTTGACCCGTTTGCTATCAGACTAATCTTTATCCTCCTCCTTCTTTTGCTTCGTTCTCTTCTTACTGTTGAGTAAGCTTAATTCGTTAGAGACTTGGCTTAAGAGTTCCACACTGGAATCAGAGTCATCACACTCTTCTTTGATTTTATTGTAATCTCTCTCGCTATCATCTTCAATTGTGATGACTCTCCCCTTTCGTCGCTCACTGTCATCTTTAGTTTTAATGACTATCTTATTTCAACCACAATAATACTCTCATTCCCATTCTCACTCTCACTTCCACTTTCATTTTCATTGACAATCCCTTTTTCGATATCATTCCTCGCCAGCATCCGTTTTCTTCTGAATTCATCTCCTTTCTCCGCTTTCTTTCCTACCGGGATCTCCTTGATGACAGATTTACGCTTCTGTGGTATTGGTTTCGCAATTGTTAAGAGCTCTCGATCACTGTCTGGGTCGATGGTCGTCATATTGGTTCAGGTAGAAGGCTTAATGACTGTCGGCATATGGCTGGTATCGATAGCCGGCTCATCCATGGTAACAGAGAGGGTGCTCTGGTTCGAGGGCTCATCTGTGAAAAAACTTGATGCAGTGTAGATCTCCCCGCTATTACAATGGGCAAGCAAGCCATACGGCATCATGTTAATATCAAAGCATTTCATGAATGACAAAGTGCATTGAGGTGCTTCGATAGTCCCTCTGCTCTTCAGTACCTTTCCGGCCAATTTGGCATCCCTGGTCGAGAGCTCAGGATCTCGACTTCTATGGAATCTACACAGACTTTTATACTCGATGAGGCGTGAGATTATTTCAGCATTCAAGGCTCGACAAACTTCTCGCTCTGTGCATTTCAGGCTGAAACATCTAGCGAAAGGTCTATTGAAATCGCTTCCTTTGACGTATTGAAGAATTTGGCTGTAGAAGAAATGCCGGATAGCGAATTTTCGCTCCGATGTCCCTCCGAGCTCTTTTTCACTATGTTCATCGTTCTTCGTGAGTCAAAGGTCATTTTGGCAAATTCTGAAAATTTCTGGCTCTGCTCCTACATCTTTCTTTGTCATATTGACCGCTCGATAGTATTACATTTCTTCCTCAAACTCCTGAAGGCTTGCAATAAGTATAACCCGGCCCACATCTGATAGCATTGCCATCATCACCGCCTTCTTGCTTTCCTGTATGAACAAATGCTTCTGAGCATCAGGTACACTACAGCTTTTAATGTAGTCGGTGACCCGGAAAAGAGGAATGACACTACTTGTCAGTACAATCCTGGTAACTTTGCTATGAAAAGTAGAGTTATAGTTTGCGATATGCTGGTCAGAATCATCCCGAGTTATGTTCTCTGTCTACAAGTTGAACATTTGGATTTTGAACGCGCTTAGACTCCGCAGCAGGTTGATCAGCATTTTCTTCGCTCACGTGCTGTTCTAAACCAGCAACAACGTGATTATCTAGGCTTTGGGAAGAGTCGACCTTCGCGCTACACTTATCGAGGCTAATCTCGTTCGTGCTTGCATCCGGCGTGAGGAGTGGGTTGATGTCGTACTGCTACACTGAGAGACGGTTGTACAAGGCTCAGCAGGCGAAATGAAAGTCCCAAACCATCTGGGGAAGTTCATTGTGATGTGCTTTGTTATTGGAAACGCGTGTCTCGATGATTTTGAGGGTGCGAAGACAATTTATTTGCCGTTATCCTCTTGTTATTTTCCTGCAGGTATCCACGAGTCTAATTGTTTTGTGAAGTATAGTGACACAAACATCTTCCTACATATCAGATTAATATCATATTTCTCAGCCAAGTCAGAAGAATTTGTTTTTAAGACGATATAAACTAAAATCTGACCACTATCTATCTATGTACTTATCAAGAACTAAAACATCTGATTGTAAGTATCGCGAATTACGACACTCGACTTGCAATCTTTCATAGATTGAAATAATTGTAAAGTCTTTACGGATAGTAGCATGGTCTTGAATAGGGGATTAATTATATATGTATAATATATGTGAAGTGCAAATGAGAAAATTCCGGAGAGGAAATGATTCTTTTCATACTATGTGACTAGTTGAGTTCTACTCTTGCCTATAATAAAAGTATGGAAGTACTTGAGTAGATGAGGTCATTTCACTGTATTATGTTAGATTGTTTTACATCTAAAAAATCCTCTTGAGTGGCTGAACATATCGTAACGCCACCCACCATACGCCACATTTTGCTATGACGTTTCGGGAAGGGGCACACGAGACCTCGGTCCGTTCCAAAATAATGCCCAAAACTTTCCCATAAATTTATTTTTACCAAGTTTTTGCTCACGTTAACATTAACATAATATAGAACTCAATCACATAGCTCAAATATCTAGATTTATAGATCTCGGAATAGATTCATATTTATTTTCTCTTTTTCGCATCAAAAATCGCAACAGTGTCTTCAATTCCTAACAACATTCTTCATTATATCATCAAACTCCCTTTGCGACTACGATTGCCACCTGCTCCAAACAAAACAACATTACAACCACCACAAATGACATCCTACTTCTCACGGCTAAGTCCAATTCCAGGATTTCCAGAATATACTGGGCCTCATAAAGTAGGAACAATTGATGTCGAAATCCCTATCTCAGAACTCGACTCTCCAGCCCAAACACCGAACAATGCAGGAAATATTCCAACAATTCAATATCGAATCTTTTACCCATGCCAAACGGAAACAAAACATAAGGCAAAGAGTGTGAATTGGATACCCGCCCCTCAAAGAGATTATATAAGTGCATATTCGAGGTTTTTGGGAGCTGGCAGTACATTGGCAGAGGTTATCTCGTAAGTTAAGGTGATTCTTAGGGCAAGGGGCAAATGCTAATACTTTGGGGTGCAACAGATATTTTCCAAGATTACTTCATTATGTTACGATTCCAGTTCGCAAAAATGCGCCTCTTCTACAACCAAAGACAAGCAATGATCGTTGGCCCGTCATGATATTTTCGCACGGGTTGGGTGGTTCAAGAAATGCGTATTCACACATTGTAGGATCAGTGGCAAGCCATGGGATGATAGTTATTGCACCAGAACATCGTGATGGGTCGACCCCTATATCCTACATTCGAGAACCACCATCCGATTCTTCGACGGATAAAGAAAAACATTCAAAGAAACAAGTCAAGAAAACGATCGACTATGTCAAATTGTCGCATACACCGAGTCCTGAAGTTGAGGAGGGACGAAATGAACAATTGAAGATTCGACTCTGGGAGATGGGGTTGATTCATGACAGTTTACTGAAATTGGATGAGGGAAAGCAAATTACGAACCTCAATACATCTTCGTCTTCGTTGTCAATATTCAAAGATAAAATGAATGTTCATGAACCTGGGAAGATCACTTTCGCAGGTCATTCTTTTGGGGCAGCAACAGTGGTTCAGTTCATCAAATCAGTCTTCTATGCCCCTGAAGCATCTTCCGCTCCAAAATCTTACAAACCTGTTTATTCACCATCTCCAAATTCTCCCATATGCTCTCAAATCACACCGAACAATCCAGTCGTACTTCTAGATTGTTGGTGTTTCCCACTTCGCTCCCAAGCGACTCGCTGGTTATGGGATCGTCCTCTTCCGTCATACGCTCCCTCTGGGCCTGGTGGTTCCGCAATCCTCGCCGTCGAATCCCAAGCCTTCTACAAATGGACTGAACATTTTAACGCTACTAAACGACTTCTTTCTGCCGACCCATCCTCTCATAATCCATCCAGTGATGGACAATCAGAACCACATTTCTATTATCCTACTTCGAGTGCTCATCTGAGTCAATCAGATTTCGGCGTCCTTTTCCCATGGGTTACGAAGAAAGTATTTGCGGCAGAGGAACCAGAGAGGATCATGAAATTAAATGTTAGAGCGATTATGCAACTGCTTAGGGAAAGAGGGGTAGAAGTGGGGAAAACTTGTAAAGAAGATTTGGAATTAGAAAGTGGAGAAGAGGAAACAGACAATGATTTGAAGATCTTTGGAAAAGATGGGGGAGTCAGAGGGTGGAATTGGTTGAGTGTTTATGATAATGCGGGGACAGGAAAGCTGGATGAGGGGGAGGAATCGGAAGTCACGGATAAAAAATTGGACGGAAAACAAGTCGAAATTGGAAAGGAAGAGGGAAATGGTGAGAAAAGTATTGATGTAGAACCCGCGGATGTGGTTATGACAAATGAGGTTGTGGCGGGCACGGAGTCAAAAATATGAGGAACATGCTACGGGAGACAACCTAGTTAGTTGTCTGCCTACATAAGCTTCTATTGGCTGGTTTTTGGAGAGGTGTTTCTTTGGGGGCATTGAGATTGCATTAGGGCGGTTCTTATGATTTATATTATTTGGGGTGGAGCACAATTGATTTTGGCGTTGGTGTTCGGGAGAGGAGTAACCAGGGACATAGAAACATGGAGATAATAAAAGGATATGAATAGAGATTTTGCATATGAGTTAAATGGAATAGAATTAAAGAATAGACTATATACACAATACATTATATCAGTCAAATTCGTCGATGGCGGTTTAACTACAAGACAATTCCGCAATGTGTGGTTCCAGTTACATACCTGGGGATGGTCAATCTTCTCAACTTCTCGCTTAGCCATTTAGGTTGATGACGTATCACAAGGGAAACGAGCAACATCCTATTCCAGTTTGGGAAATGCTAATCCTCTTGGCACAGATGTCAAATCAGCTTGTGAATTGGAGAGCATAACAGAAGGATGCTCTGTGTAGGAGGTTTATTTACGAGAGGGTAGGATTATGGTGATCTTTTCTCCACAGGTTGTGTGATCACATCGTGCCTAGATAGGCAGAACTTTCTGCATGTGTAATTTAAGGGATGAAATATTTGATCTCCTGCGGCATATAGAATGCTTTTATGAGGAGTCTTGGCGGGGTGAGTTTCTCGCCAGTTTTGGGGTCTCGGAAATGCGTAGATTGTTAGCGTGGTTCCTACTGAATCTGGGAGAGGAGAGATCACATTTACAAAATATGGAGCTCTCCGCTTGTTGAATATAAGGGGCATAAAATTTGACCCTCTGCGGCAGAGAGAATGCGTCTATGAGTCTTGGCATGGTGGTTTTCTCGCCCGCTAGAATATCAAATGTGTGTGAATTATTAGCGCGTTATCTAGTGAGATTGGGGGAGGGAAAAGGGAAACTCACAAATACGTAAAGGGTGGAGCAGATGACATGCTTCGTTCGTGTCGGTTCGATTCGTGATCACTTAGCTTCTCATTTGAGAATTTCCAGCTGGCACCAACGGGGAGGTGTGATCAAGCCAGCCGCCCTATTGACGAATTAGCAGTTAGCGGAGAGGGATACTTATCTTGTCCTTAAAAAATGGGAGTGGGTGAGGGAGTGGCGCTGATGGCCCCGGAGGGGGCCATGAAAAAAAAAGGGGAAAGGGTGGGAAAATATCGCTAGAGGAGCCCGGAGGGGCTCCATAAAAAAAGGATGGTTAAGTGGGAAAATATCGCTAATGGAGCCGGAAATGTCCATGGAAGAAAAAGAAAAAAATGATTAAGTGGAAAAATATCGCTAGAGGAGCCCAGAGGGGCTCCGTGAAAAAAAAGCAAAGGATAAATAAATTAGATTCGCTGGTGGAAGGAGATCCACGGTGTGATTTTTTGTTTGTAAGGGTTTTTGGTATGAAAGAAAGGAAAGAGCCCAGAGAGATAGATTGAAAAAAAAAGGAAAGAAAAGGAAAAAAAAAGGGAAAAAAGGAAAAACTCCAGGCGCCGATAAGAACAAAGGAAATTTTTTGGTGATTGTTTATTATTTTGAATTTTTTTTGGTGCGGGATGGTGTTTTTTGGTATATGTATCTTCTGTTAGCAGAAGAAAAAAGACAGAAGAGTGTCATAAGAGAAGAAGAGGTGGGGGATTAGTCCACCTCACAGAGCCATCCCGCCAGCTCTGTCTTCATGCCCCCGTAAAGCCACAAGGGTCTGAATCCTACTGGGAGGATTGATGACCCGCAAAGATTTGCTGCAACGTTAGGGTAATCAAAGGATGGAAGATAGGGATGGTGCCACTCAGCTGGATGTTGTTTGGGTGCCTTGGGCTTAGCCCAGGCGAAATAGACCGAAGCGTATCGGTCGAAGATGGATGTGTCCATGGAGGAAGACATCGTGGGATCGGTGGTGTGGGTGGTGTGGGTGGTGGTTGGCGTGGTTGGCGTGGTGGTGGTGGTGAAAGATGTGAGTGAAAGAGGTGAATGGTTGAGTGTTTGTATGTGAGCTTGAAAGTTTTGATTGTAAAAAGAGTTAATCGTTTTCGTACGAAGAAGAAAAGAGGATTGATTGAAAGGGAAGAGCCCCTTATATAGACAAAATTGGCCATCAAGGACTGCTAGTCTTCGGAGTCTTGCGGGTGCTGAATCAAAGCTAACGTTCATGATGTCGCTAATTTAGGGCAAAAACTTTTGATCGTTGGAGCCCCACACCAGATGTACAAGCTAGATGTACAAGCTAGATGTAGATCATAAGAAAAGCTTAATGTGTCAATCTGGCTCGAGTGACTAGCTTATCTGAGAAAATGAGTTGATTTGAGATATTGAAGTACTATAAAATGCTGTACTACTTTGGGACATTTGATCTACGTAAAAGACTGAATTTGATCTGGACATCGAATGACTATGAAGTTCTGTACTGTTCTGGAACATTTGATCTACATGAAAACCCAAATTGAATCTAGACATTGAATCCATATAAACTGATGTACTACCTTAGAACATTTAAACTACATGAGGGGCTGAAGTTAATCTAGACATTGAATACCTATGAAATGCTGTACTGATTTGGAACATTCAAACTGTGTGAGTGTCTCAATTCAATCTAGACATTGAATCCCCATGAAATACTGTACTGATTTGAAATATTGAAACTGCCTAAGAGACTGAATTCAATGCAGACATTGAATCGATGTAAAATATTGTCTAAACATGAGATCTTGAATTCATTTGAGATATTTAATTCATTCGCAACAATCATAATACAGGATTTGATGGTGCTACTTTGCCCCCACATTACTATGAGTCAATCGTACCTAGGTACTAATAAAAGTTCATCGCGCTAGCAGTAAATCACGCTAAGAGTACATCACACTAAATGACTGACAGCCGTAAATCCCGTTATAAACCTAAAATTACATGACACCAGCCCTACCACGCGGCCCCGAAACTCAATGATCTTCATTATTACTACTAAATCTAATCTTAACAGGAATTTATGATGATTATCTCTTAGTACGTGAATGACTCACAGAAGATACCAAACTTAGTACGTCAAATTTCGGAAAGCCCTACGGATTCACCCGAAGAATATCGCAACTAGTGATTATGTACATGTCATTACGAAATTGAAGTAGATCTGGAGATCTTCTAGATATGAAGATCTACAAGATTTGGAGATCCGCTAGAAATTCCCTTCAAACGAAATACGCGTGATGATCTTATTACAATCCAATATTTGACGTCAAGAACTGTCATGAAGATCCTTAAACTCACGATAGATGCGATTCTATATTGTGCTTGAAAATGATCATCGCGACTTCTATCTGGGTTATTGAAATTTGAGTTTCAGCCCAGAAAAGTCTTATAGTTTGCGGTTAGGGAGCTTCTAACGAAAATTTCAATTTGCGGTTATGATGCATGCGTGTGAACATCGATGACGTAATGAAAGAGATGGGGACTGTGAGAACAATTTGAATTTGGCAGCAAAAGAGTATACATTGAGGATATCATAGGATTGTCAGTCTTCAGATGAAATGTAGATGTAACTAAGCAGCTCGCAGTTCGATGTCGGTGCCGTACAATTTGTAACCAATCTTGCTGGCGATTTAAGATATCGATGTCCCTTTCTTAACCGAGAAAAAGAAAACATAAACTGAAGTGCAAGGCCGATGACTCCTGCAGTCATTTGATGGAATTTCCTTAAATACATATAGAACATTTCGTAGAGATATAGAGAGTGAAACTGTTGGTTCGAAATATCTGTAGGTCTTAAGGGACTGAAAAACATAAATATTGAAGTAACTCCCACCATTAATCTCGTGATATATGAAGAATTAGATGTAGACGTTCTCAGCCGCAGAGTCACAAATAGAAGCTTACTAGTATCATTGAAGAAGAAGATGAAAACTGTGCTCTGAGGCTAATTACACTTTCACTTGCACGTTGAGCATACGTATTATTACAAAGTTCTTAAAACCATCACATACTCGAATATTAATAGAATAAGTAATACAGAAAAAGATGCAACAGTGTTGTGAAATCTACAAATCTTTATCCAAAGCTTGTGCCTGATTCAATGCCCAATAAGTACCTCTCAACTCCATTAATTCTAGGTGTGTGCCTCTCAGCAATTCTTCCCTTCACGAGGACTAAAATACAATCTGCGTTCCTAATGGTCGCAAGTCTATGTGCCACTGTGATCGTTCGTGGTAGTCTGACCTGAAATTCGATTCAAAGCATCGAGCACTTCCTTCTCGCTCAAATAATCAATCGCACTGGTCGCCTCATCTAACAAAAAAATTCTGGGTTGGCGTACTAGTGCTCGGGCAAGTGTTATTCGTTGCCTCTGACCTCCGCTGAAACCGAAACCTTTCTCTCCACATTGTGTATTGTAACCTTCTGGTAGAGAAATAATGAAATCGTGTATATTTGCATCTTTTGCGGCATTTTCGAGACGTTCGTCAATCGAAGACAAATCGCGAACACCGAGAAGAATGTTTTCTCAAAGGGTACCTTCAAACAAAGTGGTGTTTTGAGAGACTAGGCCCGTTTGACTGCGATGATACTGGGTATCAATCTCGTTCAAGGGAGATGAATTAATGAGAATGGATCCATCGTTGATTGTGTAGAACTTCTCGAGTAGAGCAATAATGGTAGACTTTCCAGAGCCTGATGGGCCAACAATCGCTAGATTTTGGCCTGGTTCAATTGAGACATCGATCTCTTTCAGAACTAGATGTTGTAAAGAGTTTGGATAGCTAAATGTAACGCCTTGAAACTCGATAAAAACTGGGGTTTCTCTGCCTTTCTCGTCATTGTAGTTCTCTTGCTGAGGTGTTATTCCGTCAGGTATGGAAGCGGCTCTTGATCTTAAGCAGAGAATTTTGTTAATAGAATCGTCTGCTTGCGATATACCTAAATTTCCATGAGCTGATTGATTCTTGAATGCGGTAAAACACTTACTACGGGAACTTGCGAAGAATTCAGCTGCACCCTCTCCACCGGACAATATCGCCAAGAAAACAATCCATAGTTCAACAGTTTCCAGCTTGCCATTGGCCAGTAGGTTACCTCCGTACCAGAATATAGCCATACCTATAAGAAGAGTGTTAATCACAGTATTATACAGAATCAAGACATGAATTTACCAAGAAAAGCTCCGCTCTCAGAAAAGGCAAACAGCGGCATTGTTATGAGAATATTCTTGTAGAAGACCGGAAGAGATTCCTGCATTCTCTTGTCGAGTTGAAGACAAACTTCGTCCTCCATGGTCAAAGCTGCGACTGTTCGTACTGCTCCGATGACTTCTGACGCATATTTTGCACTGTTAAGTAGGGGCCCAGAAAGAGCTTTACTTTTTGCAGAGGCTGAACGAACTCGAAGGTAACCGGCCAAAAGAATAACAGGCACATTGCCAAACAACCCCACTAGTGCCAGTCGCCATGAAACTACTAGTGCTAAAATGCTGCACGATGTTAAATCTACCAAAGCGACTGAAAGAGATCCAAGAACTGTAAGCAATATCCGGATGTGGCTCGTATGCAATGAGAGAGATGCCACAAGAGTTCCTTTCGAATTTTGTGACTTGTCAAAGAAAAGAGGATCCTGCCGTGTCATGGATTTGAAATACTCAGTTTGGTAATAGAACTTCGTGGTAGTTCCCATTATTGAAGAAATGGTACCCATTAAACAAAAGGCAATAATAACTCCGATAGCAACCACAGACTACATGAGAGACCCAAAATTTTCCGTCTTCTGAATGTTGGAGTCGAATTTTCCAAGCCTGGAAACACTATGTCCAAAAATAATTGCTTGGGCTGGGTATACGCCGCCTGCAATCACACATATAGGTACCACCGCTGCAAAAAGTCGCATGAGTACTCGATGGTCCAGTAGACTTAGCCATAAAGATTGGAATAATGAAGACCTTGGCGGACCCAGCGTCGCAGGAGTAGATATGCCGTCAAAATCTTTCGTGGATTGTGCCACCTCATCAAGTTGCAACTTAGTGACATTGATTTTGTTTTCTTCTTGACTTTCAGATTTTTCAAGTGGCTGATCGGTGCATTGAATTGTTTCGTCGAGCCGTTGCGCTTCATCAAGTTGGGCATATTTACCGTTCATTGCCAGTAGAGATTGATGTGTGCCGCTTTCAAGCACAGTTCCATTTTTAAACAAGACGATCTGGTCCGCTTTTTGAACGAGGGATAGCTTGTGTGTTATGACAATACTCGTCATACCTGTTGAAACCTTCTTTATCGCTGCCTCTACAATCCGCTCTGATTCTATGTCCAAGCCTGACGTTGCCTCGTCGAAGATCAAAATTTCTGGAGACGATATTATAGCTCGAGCTATACTGATGCGTTGTTTTGGCCATCACTGAGAAGATCTCCTTTATCTCCCACCTTAGTATCATACCCATCGGGTAAACTTTTAATGAAGGCGTGCGCTTCGACATCCATGCAGCTCTTGACCACCAAGTCTCGCTTGTCCTTGTCAGAACAATTTTCGAAGGACGTGCCATAAAGTCCGCGAGCAACATTGTAAAATATACTATCATTAAAAAGTGTAACTTCCTTATCGGGCGATTAGAAAGTTTCAAATAGTCTTATCAGAGAGCAAGAGACATACCTGCTGCACTAGTCAAATCTTGCTTCGCAATGATTTCACGTTCAGCTCATTAATAGCAAATCCATCAATCGAGACGGTACCTTGTGTAGGCTCATACCATCTCTCAATCAAGCCAACAATAGTACTTTTTCCAGAGCCACTGGTGCCAACTATAGCTGTCATCTTACCGGCCTCAAAGCGGATGTTCAAGTGATCAAGGACATTGACAGAAGGCCTGGAGGGATAAAAGTAAGAGATATCATGTAATTTCATCTCGCCCCTGATATTTTCAAGTATTACATCGCCACTGCTAAGGGAATTGATAGTTGACGTGCTCTTAATCACTTTTTTCAGGTTTATTGAGGCTGCCCTCGCCTTGGAGAGAATTCCATAGATTAGCAAAATCTTTCTCATACCGTTTGTCCCTTGATTGATGGAAAAAATCACACTGTTGACAACGTTAGTGAAAACAAAGAAAGTCGGCCTATAATTGAATATACATGACGATTGTCCCACCGCTGGTAATCTTCCCCTGGTTTAACAGAATCGTTCCATACCAAAATGCAAGAGCATACGAAGAGAGCAGAGCAAAGTAGCTCATCGAAAATTGCACTGCAAGGATGGGACTCTTCTGCATTTTTTTTATCCTAGCAGCCTCGAGAATTGTGGTGTAGTCGTCAACCAGCTTCGATTCCGCAACACAGGCCATGACCATACGTATACCGTTGAACACTTCTTCCGCTAAGTTCGCCGCGCTTTCCTCAATCTGCTGGATTTTCTGCTCGAAGCATGCATCCAGAGCAGCAGTACCAAAGTTACTAATGAACAGAAGCATAATTGTAGAGAAAAGGACCAAAGTGAGCTGCCAACTGTGTACAAAGGCAATGATCAGGGAAACAATGACGGTTGAACCTGCTTGCATGACAACCCCAAGCTTCTCAGCCAATGCATCCTCAATACTATTGATGCTCGAAGCAAAATTTTCGGCAACTTTTCCTTGGCTCACTAGTCTCGTATCTTGATGGATAGCTGACTTCAGATACGATGCTCTGAGTCTCCTGGAACGATTCATTGCAGATATTGATAGTAAATACCATAAGCGCAGGTAAGAAACAATTGACCAAAAAAAAGGTACAGCAAGTACAGGACTTCAGAATCAACAGTTTCTTACAGAGCAGATGCATCTTGGAGATTGTTAAATTCGTTTGCTAACCCTCCAAAAATCAGGGGCATTAGTGGCCGTGCCGTTCCAGCACCAATTGCTGCTGCAATTCCTACGAGCTGGAGAATATCCACTGACCATCTTGATGCATCAAGAAAAGCCGGCCACGAACGATTCATCACTTGAGCTCTGGGCAGGGCCGTATCGTGGCTAATAGTTTCCATTAAGCCTCTGTACAGAATGGGTGTAGTGAATCAAAAAAAGATAAGAATATGCTACGGAACTTTTCTGACAAAAAGACAAAATGATCCCTTTCGCCCCAAAATGATTGAACATACTCTTAACAATTTGCTGGTCATTCAAGACGATGTATACATAGTGCAGACGTATGGTAGCATAATAACATAAGCATTATAATCTGCGGCGTATAAACTAACATCTGGTTCTGATCTTGGAATCTTTTAAGATAATCCAATCAGAGAAAATTTAATCACCAGCACCGGTAGATACCGTTCAAACGTCACATATAGGGATACAATTGGTGCGAAGAAAAGGCATGTCAAATGTAACAGTTGGACTTCTTTCGTTTGTGGTTGAAGATGCCTGTAGTTTCTACTCCCATACATGGCGTGACATGTACCGCAAAGTTCTAGATTGAATTACAAATCGAGATCATGATAATTTTGCCAAAGCTTCCAACCAACTCAAATCTAACCACGAACAACCAATCAATCGCAAATCCCCCCCGCCTCCACTCATCTCACTCTCTGGATAGTCAAAATCTATTTATCCGCATCGGAAAAATAATCATTATAGGCAAGAATCATGCTCAAAACCTTGTCACTCGCAACAGCCGCCCTGGGGGTTACATCTGCCGATTCCGGCACAGACAAATCGTCGTTGTACGCCAAAATCATGCTCGAAACTTGCTCGCTTGGGGCAGGAATTCTGCTTTTAAGCTAAGCATGCGTGGTCTCGTCTTTAATGTGTTAGCAACGCGTTAACGACTTTAAATCAGTGAGAGCCGGCAGACGTGTACCTTTAGTCAAGATAGGAGCACCCAAAACTGCCGGGGCAATGGCAAAAAGGCCGATTACGAACGCGAGTTGCACTATGAAAGACCTGGATATGTTTGAGCTTCGAACTTGGCGTCTAAATAGAGTGAGGAAGGGTTGAAAACCTGTCGTTATGAATAATGTTTTGATGTTTCGAAATGCACAAGAAACCGAATATGATCGGTCTTTATATATCTTTGGGTTTGAGTTCCTATACCATACTGGTTGATCAGTTATCCAATGATACCATACTAGACTTGAACTCAATTACAGCGCGCCGATATGCTACATGGCGATATTCGTACCAGCACTGTTGGAGGTATCAACCCGACTCAACCCCACCAGGATTGAAACCACAAGTCGAAGTTATGTCCTGGCAATCTTCTTGGCTCTTTCTCTTAGCTGCTCGTGTAGCAGGTCTGTAGTTCACTGCGAAGCAATCCTATCCAAAGATTTCTTACCCCTCATAATTCATGTCAATATGTGGACGGATAATATCCAATAATGAAAATCTGCACTGGACTAGACGGTCGGATATCATAGCATCTACCAAGTGGCAAAGAAGCTGCGGGGCCGATTACTGTGAGTATGATGATAAGAACTTATCGGTCCAGACCAAATTTCCGGTATTGATATTCATTACCTATGTACAGAACCGCTGCAAGAGGAAACTCAAGTCTGAATAACGAGAAGCATTCTTGGCCTTCTTTCTGTCTTCATACGCCATGTTTTTGAACAATGACATACACTGAAAAGATAATTGTCTTCTCGAGCTCTTTTCTGCGATCAAGTCTTACACCAAGTTATTTTGATCAGACCAAGGAAATTTCCCGGCTTGAACACAGTTGCCGGCTACTGGTCACTTTATTTTTAAGTTTAAACTCACGTTTTCGACATTTTCCTTACTTTTACAATTCGGGTGCAATAAAATGGAAAGAGAAAACCTCCATGATTCTTCGGACGAAGCTTGTTGTAGTGACGAAGAAGCTGCACAAAGTCTGGCCGAGTTGCAGCAGCATAAGACGTCCAAATTTCAAAAGAAATGCGGTGGACGAAATGTCGTATTTCGGAGAGTTTTACCATAGGTATTACATCTAACCCTGCTATCTAAATCACTGGGACTCCTTATAAAGACTCTCCTCATACAAAGGTCTTTACCTGCGATTTGTGTAGAGGATAGACTCCAATGGAGTATGTGCAACTTGAAATTGCTATCATTCATGTGTCTCGTGCTAACCAATCACAGCCATCACCATTAATTCTGTTCCCGACACTCATCACTTTGAGCGCTTGGTCGGTAGTTTCAATCGATCCTCGTCTCCTTACAAAGGGCCTCCATTGCCAGCTGTTGATGCCGCATGGGCCGAATTGACCGACTGTAAGACCTCCACATAAACCTCCTTTCTTGAATCTGACGTATGACGATAGATGGCGCAATCAGCATATCAGAGGAGACTTTCGGGAAGCTAAATGCTTCCAAAAATCCTGTAAAGGTTCCAGCCGAATATGGGGGCGGGAGACTAGCTTTCGCGGAAGCTATTCACCAATTGCATTGCTTGGTAGGTTATACCCACCCTTTTCAACATACAACATTACTTAACGATTGAATACAGGAATCGCTATGGCGACATACATATCCAGATTGTTATAGAGAAGCCGCAAGAAAAATCAAAACAAACGACCAAGAGTGGCACGACCATATGGGTGGGTGCTCTTCCCTTATTTGGACAGTTGCTTCTTCATCTTTATGCTAACGATACAACGAACCTCCAGATCACTGTGTTGGCATGTTACGTCAAAAATTAATGTGCGATGCTGATGTACATCTAGTCGCCTATAACTGGTCGAAAGGCCACGATGCTCCACATCCCAGTTTCAACACGGCAAGGCAATGTCGAAGTTTTGAAGCCGTCAGACAGTATGTCATGGAAAATGCCCTTGATGGCTCTAACCTACCTAAGATGTATTTTGAAAAGCCTAAAGACGGTTCTGTAATGGAGTTCGAGGAACCTCCATTTGATCCTCTTGCCGATGGACGGCCATCAAACCACCACTAGAGGACTGCGTACATACATTCAGAAGTTCTTTTACTCTGAGAAGCACCGCGCACTTTCTGCTCTGTACATTTAAACGGTACGGACCGTTTGTGCATGAAACCTTAGGTTCCACAGATCTTTGCAATCCTTGCGTGCTCGAACAGGGTGCTCGGAATCTGCGTATCCGTCATTGGCGATCCTCCTTTGATGGGAAGCAGGAATTGTCGGCACGAATGGTCTAAGCTTCGGTGACAATTTTGATGGCTCGATGGGCGCTAGAATTTTGATAACATCATCTGCGGGCACCCAATCAAGTCGAAGAATTATCTTTATACATCCTAGGTAATTAACGAGATTCTACAAAGATGGGAGATCCTTACCCACGCTCACGAATGGTACAAATTCAGGCTTCTCCGGCCTCAACCCTGGTGGGTGCAGATAACAGGGTCGTGGGTGGCACGTGCTTGGTACGGAGTTATAACCAAAAAGGATTGCCCCGACTACCTCTTGCTTTAACGCCGTGTATACATACCCAATTAGTAGCTTTCTTACTGGAGTATTCTCAAATATGGCATTGCGTGTTCAATGGCTGCTGATGACCATATTTCGTTTCGAGATAGATCATCTTCGGCCCCCAAACTTGTGACCTTCCAAACAAAGAATTATCAGCAGATCCTCGATATCCACAATTCGTGTGTCTAGAATATACCGCGCCGCTCAAGTTCAACTGAGCGGCATAGTACATGGATAAATTGTAGGTAGGTAGATGTGACAGAGAAAAACACTTACTCGTTCAAGCTTCCAAAAAGGTAGCTTCAGGTGTAGATCTGCCCGAATACTGAAAGTCATTCAAACGAACGAAAACAGCTCTGATTCAGTATCGCTCCCCATCTTTGCGTTGAGTCCTTCTTATATTGTAATCATAGATTGCCATTCCCTTGCATCAATTGTCAAATTTAGAATGCAGGCTGGGGTCGATATCACACAAAAATGATGCACACTGAAGAACGGGAAAGAGATTGCAGGATGTTATTCAATTCTCTTGAAGATTGTTTTTGCAGCAGGACAAGGTAGGCAACAGGCGGTACAGTTATTACCCCCGTGATTGTAAGATGGTGTTAAGAAGATGAGAGGAGCGCCCAGTTCCCGCAAGGAAGCATATTCTCCTCACACGCACACTGGCTAAGTTCGTCGACACCTCATTTTTTTGCAATCTGGAGTCGTACTCCGCTCCCATAATTTTGCACATACCTTATATCCATAGCCGAAACCCCCAGAGCTGTGGTTCTTGTTGTTCCACTCGAGAATCTGAATGTATAGTAGCGGCATCCTAAATTGATCCGTCGAGTACGCAACGCTAATTGTATTGGTAGGCGCTGGCATGGACCCTATTAAGTATCTCAACTGTACTTACATTTGGCTGTTTCTACATTAGATGGCAAAAAGGAAAGAGTTTGCATCTAAATGACATCTTTAATGCATTGGCTCTTGGATCCTTACTCGCTTTTGCCATCACATATCAGGTTTACCTTCCGATCCAATATGGCTACCAACTATATGCACTTGGTCTCGGAGGATATATTCCCAGCGACGATCAGTTGATGTATGCACAAAACGTGGGCATCGTCAATATTGTTTTCTTTTGGGTGACCATATACCTTGTGAAAGCATCTTTCTTAGCTCTCTACTGGGCTCTATCCTCGGTATCCAATGCCTTTCGAAAATGGTGGCTAGCAGTCGCAATCTACACTGGGATTTCGTTTCTCGCAACCTTTTTCGCCATTTTTTGGTCTTGTAAAACCCCCAGTCATCTTGAAGATGTTGGTATTGTGTTCCCACCTGGTAAGGTTAACTTCAACTAACAAACCTAAAGAAGCATGCAACACCATATCTGAGGAGCTCATCATTGGCCTCGAGACTTTGTGGTGTGTTCTCAACACAGTGGGAGATATTTTGAGTACGTCAAAAGTTCCAGCATTTTTGATCGACGTAGCTAACAAGGTCTTCCACCCGCGGTGACATTGCCTCTAGGCATGCTGCGTGCAATGCACATGCCCACATCTCGAAAATTGGGTGTGGCAGCTATCGCAGGCCTAGTGATCATTGACATACTTTTTGACGTCCTCCGAACCATCTACACCGAGGGAAGCTACACAAACCCATTTCCCAATGCCAATGCAGTCTGGGCTCTTTGCGAACCCACCATTGCCGTAATGGTGTGCGCACTGCCCCCCTACCGAACATTACTTTTTCGAAAAAAGATCGAACCTTCGACTTCATACCAGGGAATGCATGGAACGAGGAGTACTCGGAAAACCAAGTCTGGCAATACTTCAAGTCCCCATGAAATGGATGATATGAGTGTGTATATTCTGGCTTCTACTCGATCTGTATTGGGACACCACGCGGATGTGCATGCTGTTTGATTGAACGCCGAGATGCACGCTTGTAGAACATGATTGCTTGTACTTTTTGGAAACACGTGTTTGTGCTTTTGGCAATGGTGGCTCATAAGGATTGAAAGACGAAATTGTAATTTAGCTGTATTTGAGAGATAGTTTCTTCGAAGTCTCCATTCCATGGGATCTAGTTATGTTTATATATTACCCATCATGTTCAACAGTCCAGATAGAATTTCTCGGTAGTTCGTGATGATCGTAGCCCAAATGGCCAACACAAACAGAGATCAATTTCCCAAAGAATCAGATCATATCATGTTCCATAGCCAATCATATTATGGTGATAAGTCATAAATGCAACAGTTGGTGTGTCCCACAAAAGTTCCGTATGTATTTATAGTGTACCTAAACCCTACTAGTTTCATCGAGTCCAAGTACAACATCGATGCAGTAAATGAGCCCTGAAAGTTTGACACACGCAGCAACATCACAAACCACCATGGTGACCGTCGCAATTATTGGGGCCGGCCCAGCAGGTCTCGTTGCGGCCAAAACACTCCTCAAGTCATCTTCCCAAGATTCCATCTTCCAAGTCACAGTATTCGAGCAGGGGACCGACGTTGGGGGTCTCTGGGCCGTGGAATCAAATCCCAATGGAATCATCAATCCTGAAATGCATACCAATCTTTCGCAATTCACCGTCTGTTTTTCTGATCTTGCCTGGGATTCGGTAGAGATGCAGCCTCCGGCCAATATATATCCTAAAGCGTGGCAAGTTCATCGATACTTGAAGGAATATTCTGCGAGATATATACCAGCTGGCACCATCGCTTTCCAAACCTGCGTGAAAGTGATCGAACACATCCAAACCTCTCCAGAGGAGGCGACCAAGAAATGGAAAATCACAAGCCTCGCGCTCGAAGGGGAAACTCCCATCGAAAAGATTGAGATTTTCGACTATCTGATCATTGCATCTGGATTTTTTTCCCAGGCCAGAAAAATTCCATTTCCATGCACCAACCTGATTCAAAAACAAGATGGCCAACCATCTACCATCCTCCACAGCTCCCAATACCGGCAACTTTCCGATCTCTCACCCACCCAACCACAACCCCTACCAGGAAAAATCCTCATCATAGGGGGTTCTCATTCCGGTGCTGAAGTAGCCTCCCTAATCGCCATGCAGATATCCGACGCGCAGTATTCGTCTTCTGGAACTGGGACTGGAACTCTTCCTACAGAGATAATACACGTGATGCCTCATCCTCTCGTTTCCATACCATCTTTTGTCCGCAGCGGAAATGAAAAACTCCCTTCATTTGTGCAATTAGATTCGCGTCTTTACGATCTCTCGTCGCGACCGGAGGGACCGATTTTATTCACTTTTGGACTTTCGAATGCGGAGAAGAGGAAAAAATTAACAGATACGCTTAATATGCTTATGTCTGGGACAGTGGATGTAGGAAACGACGACGAAGTTGATTTGGGAGCTCCGTATGCGGTTGTAGGTGACAAGTATGCGGAATTCATCAGATCTGGTGCGATCAAACAAGTATTTGGTCGGATCTCTCAGCTCGAACCACAAACAGTAAGTCAATTCTTTTGATTCTTCCATTGAACGATATCTGACACGTAAAAGCAAAACAGCAGTTTAATGCTCGCAACCATTGAATCGCAATCCGAGCAAATCAAAATAGAAGAAATCGCAGCCGTCGTGTACGCGACGGGATTTTCCACCTCTCCAGTGTTGAATTTCCTACTAGAAGAGATTAAAGAGAGTTTAGGCTACAACGCCTCATATCCCCGTCTTCCTTTGCTGCTAAATGAAGATTGTATGAGCAGCTCTAGAGATTCGCCCAGCAACTTAGCACTCATGGGATTTTTCGACGGATCATATTGGGGGATTTTGGAGAGTCAAGCGCGCGTGATCGCGAGGAAATGGGGCAAGCAAGCCAGCGGACTTTCTTCTCCTGCTCATGATCGTGAAGAGATAGACGACGATGATTCCTCGAATCTCCGTGCCTTTATGAAAGAACTGAGGATCATGATGGATAAAGACCCTTCATCCGTCCCCCAAAATTTCTTCAGTGATTACCCCGGCTTAATGGAGGAAACCGCTCGAAAACTAGGGCTTCAGAAGATAAACCTATCATGGGGCGAAAGAGAAGGAATGGTGAGTCCAGCTAGATACGTCGACTCACAGTGCAACATCACCGAAGCCCAGATAGTCATGCAAAAACTCCAAAAAACACTCCAAGACTCCCGGGACGGAAAGGCCATTTTCGCTAAATCCACTTTCCGTGGCCTCCAAGGAAACTGGAAGGACTTCAGCGCAAAAACCGAATTTCCTGAATCATCCCCCAAGAGCTCGAGCTCGTTCCACCCCCGCTACCCGACAGATACAACTTCAGATCTCGAGTATCTCTGCATCACACAGTGTGAAGAATCCAGCAATCCCCTCCCCCGATCAATCTACCGACTCCGCGAAAGCGCAAACCAAATCGAGGTTTGGAGTGTTGATTCGAAAAGCGGATCAGTAGCTGATAAGAAATGTTATGTTCTCGATTTTAACAACGGCATCGTCGAGGAACAAACAGATGTGAATCGAGTTACTGTTGTAGCCAAAGGAAGTCCTGATGTAGATTTGAGATATAGAATTATACATTCATTCTGTTTTGCGGGTGTGGGAATTACAGAATTCAAGATTGAGTATTTTGACGAGGAGAATGTCAAGGTTGATTCTGGGTTTCATTTTGTGCGATGAATTCTCTGGATTCTACAAGGAGGGGGGAAATCTAAATGTATATATATGTTATCGAAGAATTGTAATTACCTACCTAGTACATCATATAACCATCATAAACCTCCCATATAATCCCAGGAAACTATCAAGGAATAGTTCACATCTACCTTCAAGCACATTTTTCACTTACTTAGAGTAATTGTTCATACAACTGTACTCGAGTATTTTCGGTCTATTGATTCAAGGGTTATGAAGGAGAATATCTCGTACTGATTTCATACTCCGAGACCTCAACTCCTGTATACTCCCATCCAATTGAGGAATACAAACTTGACGTAACAGGTAATAAATCTCAAAGATATAAAAGTTATATAATAAAGAAACTCATGAAGCTCTATAATCAATTTGATAATACAGCATGGAAGAAATCTTAGACAACAACTTCACATACGAATAGTATTTCAAATAAGATTATCCAAATTCAGATCCGATTTCTTGAAGAGATTATTGCTATTGAGATCTTAACCTTGTACTGATAAGATATGAAATCATATTGCAACATGAAAAAGCAGTCTTCCTATAACTCTTTTCGTGCGATATGTAAAGGAGTATCGACTCGAAGCTATCAAACGACAAAATTCGAATGTAACATGAGTTCAAAGATTAAAGAGTCAATCCAATGAGAGTGGCTCGAGTGGATGAATATTTTGGAAGCCAAGTAGGAAAAGATTAACAACATCTCATATCCGAGAACTTCGGTAACCCACCCTCCCGCAAAGCCAGGTTGTATCTTCTACAATCTCTTCCGCCCTCGTTCTTGCCCCTGGCTGTCTCTCCAAATATCAATTCTCGGAAAGGACACCTCTACGAACAATGAATCCTGTGTAAGCAATCGGAACAAATCCGCCATGGACTATAGAAAGTCTCTCCCGCGGACCCGAACTCCCATCCTTCCCTCGTAGCTCCGAAGCCGTAGAATCCCCGCACAAAGTGTACATGGGGACCTGCGTTATCTGGTCATTCTGCAGCGGATGCGCAAATGCTTTGTAAGAACGACCTGGGTACTTAGAAATGTTCATCTCCGGCTTATTTATTCACGAGTCAATATTTTATTGGATTAGATGTTGATTTATAATTATCCGGTGCTGTCGAAATTTTTCACGTTTTTGATTTTGTGAGCGAGTGCGTATAATTGTTGTTTGAAGTATCATTTTTGTGTGTTTGTGGAATTTACAAGGAACGGCGTGGGATTCGATCAGCAATGGGCTCCCCCGATTTCGCAGCAGCTTCTTCGCCTCACCATTCTTCTCATTATGATGATGGGAAAACAGCATATGCTGCCCCCATTACATATCAAAATGAAGATCTTGACATCGATGAAGCGTCCAGGAAGAATTTGGAAAGGAGGTTGGTGAGGAAGGTGGACTGGAGGTTATGTACGATCGCTGGAATATTGTGTAGCTTGAATCTGATGGATTCGGGAATCATTAGTTCGGCCAGTGTCGCAGATGATTTCTTTGCGGATTTAGGTTTGGGAGTTGGGAATAGATATGTAAGTTCCGGTGCTATGTGGATTGATTTTGCTCCTGCGTACTGATAGTATATACTGCAGTCTGTATCAATCTTAGTGTACACAGTGGCAAGTGTAGCATTTCAGTTGCCAGCTACACTGTGTGTGAGGATGTGTGGACCAAGATTCGTATTCTCATTGATTACGATTGGCTTTGGCATTATAACATTGGTATGAAAGACTCTGAGTCAATCCCAGGCTTAATTTGAAGAAGGAAATTCTAATGGCATGGCGAAGTGTACGGCTTTCATCAATACCTGGCAACAGATGGTAGCCCTTCGTCTACTCCTGGGAATTGCTCAATCTGCTATCTTTCCAGGACTGAGCTACCTTATTTCAACTTGGTATACCAGAAAAGAACAACAACTTCGTTTCGCTTTTTTGCAGACGGGCGAAGTTATTGTTGTTGGTCTGGGAATTTTCCTTAACTATGGTGTGAACCATTTGAATGGTAAAGGGAGCTTGGCCGGTTGGAGGTGGATGTTTCTAGTGCAAGGTTTGCTTGCTATAGGTATGTTACTCCGGTTGATGGCCCGGTGTCGAAAGCTAATTTGTTGATAGTTGTGGGATGCGTAACCTATTTCTGGATGGTGGATTTCCCAGAAAATGCTCATAAAAGTTTTCGTTTCTTGACGGCCGAAGAGCAAAATCTGGCACTGACAAGAATTTCTGATGATAGAGGCGACGTGAAGGCCGAGGAGTTCTCGTTCGGAGAATGTATTGTCCATTTTCTAGACCCAAAGATCTACGGTTTCTGTGCTTTGCTTTTTTGCTTGAACTTGGTATCGACAAGTAAGTATTCATCACCAGTAACATTAATGGGACTGATATGCTAACTCCAACCAAAGGCATGTCTTACTTTTTACCCATCATTCTGAAAACTGGAATGGGATTTTCCGAGGACAGTTCCATCATGTTATCAGCACCACCGTATTTCTATGCTGTGATTCCCGTCATTATCTCCTCGATAGTTGGTGATCGTTATCAACTTCGAGGCTTAGTCATAATTTTCAATTCCATCTGTACCATTGTGGGGTTCTGCATGTTGGGATTCGCTAGTCAAGACACAGTTCGATATATTGGAACGTATTTGGCGACAGGAGGTTATGTGTCAAACTGGGCAGCAATGAATGCATACCAATCATCCAATATTGTCGGACAGTGGAAAAGAGCAACCTTTGCGGCTGCCGGAACTGCCTGTAATGGGTTAGGAGGAATTGCCGGGGCATTCATTATCAAGTATAATGAGGCGCCTCGATATCTGACAGCAATTTGGGTCAGTATTGGCTCCCAAATTTTCATTATTGCCATTGTTGGCATTTTCTCGATATATTTTTGGTCTGCCAACGGCCGACAGAGAAAGGGGATGGTCTTACTAGAGAGGACCATGAACTTCAGGTATACTTATTAAAATCTGATAATGTAATGTTGGGTGATTTGATTGAAGATTTGACAATCCCAACGCCTCCCGTATTTTGAAAAATCTCATGAAGTAGCTAGCTATATACACTCTGAACATACAACTTCTCAAAGAATCTCGTACGACAGACAGTTGACGCATTCGATGAGTACTATTGCTATCACCCTAAGAGAATGGGCACCCATTGCTGGGAATCGTCTATTTCGGCTAACTTCACGACGACTATATCAGCTCAACTCTGTAAACAATGGTTCATCGGATGTTGTTTTTTCGAACGAGCCTATGAAAGCAATACCCAGGTACTTATATTGACTTCCAAGTTGTTAGCATGTGTGTTCTATGTGCGTTCACACCCCAGTAAAAGTTACATGATACAGTTTATGCTTGATCATCCATCGGGACATCCCAAGAATCAATGCATGAATCTTGACATGCCAATGCCTGACGTACAGTATCGTTACATACCATGCTGACTGACGTAGCTGGTGGATGCAGCTCAACCACGTCTTTGTATCTCGATGTCTGGTGAACTGGTGAATAGAAGAGATAAGTAGTAGCATTCTTCAATATGAACAAAAGAACTTTGGCTTGATTGAGTCGAGTAATAATTGGTGAATTAGATGCTGCACTCTAAAATGTTCTAGGACTTGTTATGCAGAGCGAACGAACCGCTATGATTTACATTAAACAACCTTATTAGCATTAGCATCTAGATGTGACCCTAGATACGGAAACCCTTTGAGACCAACTACGTAACATCATTTCCTATCAACTCACCTCACAATAACCCAATCCGTGTTTACACTCATTTGTTGAAGCTGCCTAGGTATTGCTCCTAAGATCTTAGAATATTCATTTGCTTCGGTATCATTTAATCATTCGGCATACATAGACCATCGACTTCAACAGCCCAATAGCCCAACACAACTTTGGCATTTGTTCAAAGCGGCAAGCTCATCCAAATCTGGGTAAATCCGGCATCGCGAACTTGGAACCACTGAATTTCCGAAATTACATGGGGCAGTCGTTAGACCACTTCGCAGGACGATAACAACTTCGAAACCGAGCAGGAGGAGTATTCCCCTCATAGCAACCTCACAGACGAATTATACAAGATGGGTTTCCTGGGTGTTTATACCGCAGTATATGATTACGTTCCGGCAGGCGAGGGAGAACTTACTATCAACGAAGGTGATATCCTCTACGTGCTAGAGAAGAGCACAGAAGACGACTGGTGGAAAGCAAAAAAGAAGGCCTCTGCAGACGATGAGGATGAACCCGTGGGATTAATCCCAAATAACTACATCCAGGAGGTATGAATATTCAATTTAGATCTGCGATTCATTACAATGGCAATAGGGGATTAACTTACCCGTTCATATGCCAATATGAACATGCTGGAATTTTTGGCGATGGTGCAGCGTATGTTAACTTCTATCTCTATAGGCAGTACCATCTAGCAAAGCTAGAGCTCTCTACGACTACACAAGACAGACAGACGAGGAGCTATCATTCACGGAAGATGCACAACTCGAGGTTTTCGACACATCAGATCCGGACTGGATCTTGGTCGGCTTTGAGGGAGAGTATGGTTTTGTACCTGCAAATTATATCGAATTATCTGAGAACCTAGAAGAGCCCAAAGAAGCACCTGCTCCAAGTCTTCCAAGCCGACCAAGACCACCACCACCAGTTGCAGTAGAAGAAGAAGCACCGGAGGCGCCCGAGTCTCCTCTATCACCTCAGTCCCCCGAATCCCCAGTAGTTGCGACCCCGGCCACTGCAATTGCAGGTATATTAAATCAGCAACAACAGAGGAAATCGTCCGCTCCAGTAGCTCGAGCCCCACCAGAATTCACCCCCGAAGCCTCCGATGAAGAACCACCCACACCTACATTACCTGCGAGACCAGTATCGCAAGTATCTGTACCGCAGCCTAGTCGAGAACGGGATCGAGAGTCTACCCGGCATTACTCCCCAAGGCTTCCTGCATCTCCCACTGGTGTTGCCGCATCCCCTCCTTATAATAGAGTATCTTTCGCTACAATGGGCGTAGACGCCCCAGATGAGCCTAGAGCGAGTCGTGCACCAGGTGGGTTTCACATGTATAACATCAGCGAGATGGTGCATGTAATGGGTAAAAAGAAGAAAATGCCTACAACTCTAGGTATCAATATCGCTACAGGTACAATTTTGATCGCCCCGGAGCAAGCCCGAGATGGACCAGAACAAACTTGGACAGCGGAGAAAATGACGCATTATTCATTGGAAGGCAAGCATGTTTTCATGGAACTAGTACGCCCTACCAAGAGTATTGATTTCCACGCCGGGGCTAAAGACACCGCGACGGAAATTGTGAGTGCATTGGGAGAACTTGCGGGCGCTGTTCGAGCAGAAGGATTAAGAGAGGTTATTGCAGCAGGATCTGGATCTGGCCAGAAGAGAGGACAAGTTCTCTACGATTTTGTGGCACAGGGAGAGGATGAAGTAGATGTGAATGTTGGGGATGAAGTCGTTATAATTGACGATGTCAAAAGTGAGGAATGGTGGATGGTACGGCGGGTCAAGAATGCGAAAGAAGGAGTTGTTCCAAGTAGTTACATCGAAGTTGTTGGTACAGTGCAGCCACAAAGTTCGGCTGGAATAAACGCGGGGCGATCAACCGTTGAACAAAATCGACTTGAGGAAGCGCGATTAGCAAGGGAGGCTCTGAAGACAGCGAAGAGAGACGAGGTTGAGGTAGGCCCTGGAATGCGACTACCCGAACGAGGTAGCAGTCTTTATGCTCGTGACAATGGTAACCAATCTGGGCAACAGAAGAGACGAGAAAATGGCCGAGAAAGTAGCTCTTCGAAATCTTCGAAATCCAGTAAGTAATACTTCAATCCAGCGCAATGCATTGTAGCTGACAATCCATAGAACCTGATCCTGCCAAAGTAAGAACCTGGACGGACCGCTCGAAGTCCTTCAGTGTTGAGGCACAATTTCTAGCGCTGAAAGACGGTAAGATAAATCTTCACAAAATGAACGGCGTGAAAATTGCTGTCCCAGTTGTCAAAATGTCAGTTGAAGATCTGGAATATGTTGAACGAATGACCGGTATTTCCTTGGATGAAGATAAGCCGTTATCAGACATTAAAAAGCAGCAAAAGTCACGAGCAGCCGAAAGACAGCCAAGCAATGGTGCAAGTGTCGGCGCAAGCATTGAACGTCCAGAGTATGACTGGTTCCAATTCTTCCTCTCCTGCGACGTTGCTGTGGGTCTTTGTGAGAGATATGCACAGGCATTCAAGCGAGATTCTATGGATGAGAGTGTTTTGCCTGATATTGATGCCACTGTACTTCGGAACCTTGGAATTCGCGAGGGGGATATCATCAAGATAATAAGATTCATAGACAAGAAATACATGCGGAAAGATGGGAAGCGAAACGTCAGCCTTGGTGACGATGAGGGTGAAGCTGGTCTCTTTTCTGGACCCGGTGGTACATTGAAAAATAATACTCGAAAAGGTCGCCCCGCTCCTGCTGTACAAACTAATGATGTGGTGGATGCACATGCTTTTTCGCAGAACGGTTCCGACAAGTCATCCCCTCAAGGTGTTGCCACACCCCTCGCAACTGCTCCAACTCCAGCAGGAAAGGACGTCAAGCGAGGAGGGTTCGATGATGATGCATGGGATGTTAAGCCATCTAAACAAGAAGCCACAAGCAGTGCACCCGTCGAGTCTACACCGGCTCCCGCTCCACAGCAGCCAGCTATCACTGGCTCGATGCAAGAACTTTCCCTGTTGTCCACTCCTCTCGAACCAGTAAAAGCACAGCCGACTGCTCAAGCAACACCGCAACCCCAAGGCCCACCTGCCGTCACTCCTTCAATATTTGCTGGAATTGGAAATCAACAAACTGGGCTCCCTCAACAGCAACCTGCTCCTTCTGGGCCTTTGTTCCCAGCAAACTTAGCGCGTCAACGTCCTGGACCCCCTCAAATGGGTGCAAACACGACTCTAATACCACCACTTCCTCCTTCGCGACCTTTATCAGCTCCTCAAGCTGCGACCGCTTACGCCCCACCTCCACTTCAAGCTCAAGCTACTGGGTATGGAGCCTTCCAACCTCAAATTGCTCCTCCTGGACAAAGTCTGCATGACCTCAATCAACAACGTATGCAACAGCAGCAACAGCAACAGCAAATGCAACAACAACAACAGTTTATGCAACAGCAAACTGGCATGATGCAACAGCCTACCGGATTTAATCAATTCAATCCTGGCGCACCCAACAACTTTCAACAATTTCCCATGCAAACGGGCGCTCCTCAGCAATTCATACCGAATCAAACAGGTACACCATTTTCAAACCCTCCAGTCCAGCCATTCCAGCCACAACCACTTCAACCTCAAGTTACAGGCTTCCAGAGTGCATTCCCTACTGGACAACAATTCCCTCAACCTACCGGTGTAAACTCATTCTTGCCTCCTGCCATGCAGCCTCAGCAAACAGGCATGATGAATGGAACAACCAGTTTTGGTGGCCAGAATTTCCCTGCGCCACCAGCTCCACCTGCGCCACAGCAACATCCATCCCCCTTAATCCCTCAAGCGACTGGGCCAGCACCACCAGGTAATTTTGTTCTTTTACCATACTATTATATGAATCTGCAACTAATTCAATTTCCAGTTCGTTTCGGACTTAATGGCACTAATAACATCGCGCCACAACCCACTGGCAGACGCGCGAACCTCTCACAAGCCAGTAAGTTCATCTCTATGTCTCCATCACTTTCAAACACTAATGCAACACAGCTCCTCAAAATCCATTTGGATTCTGAGTTGATGGTAAACAAATGTACACTTTACCCCGGCTGTCATTGTTTTTCTCGTTGTAAAATAGGTGGATAGGCATGCATAGCTAAGGATTGAGATGTTAATATCTTTTTCATTTTACTTTGACAGAAATTCGTTTACGTGGTCACGTATCCGTGGCTATGGATATATTGGGAAGGGCGTAGCGGTACCTATAGGAGAGAGGTTTATATCGATATTATATCATATTTAATTGATCAATTTATTTGAAGGGGGATAAAGTGTGATTTGTCCGAATTTTTGCTGATGTTTGTTTGTGATTTGAAGTCGACACATGGAGTGTTTTATGAGTAAGTTCGGAACCAACACGGTCTTTGTTTTTCACTCGATCCAGTTGCAACGACAAAAAATGACAACATGGTTAGTAGCTCCACAGCCGGATTTCGAGAAGTTTCTTGAGAATATTGAAACATGCGAAACGCCAGGGAGTAGGGAGCGTTAGAGATCTACATGCGCGCACGGATGCGCTCTTATGCACGGACGGAAAGGTGGATGTGAATCAAGCTTATTTTGACGAGACTCGTGTGAGAAATGTTTGTGAATTGTAACGTGGTTATGTTGTGTTGTGGAGGGCAAAGTTTGAGGGAATGAGGCTTGGGGTTTGAGGTTTGAGGTTGAGGAGGGGAAAGGGAGAGGGAGAGGGAACTTTCGGGGGGTTTGGCCGGGTGAAGGCGACATGGAGGCTGTGAATCTGTGAGTCTGTGACTTTTTGACTTTGTGAGAAGAGGGTTACACTGCAGTGGTTACTAGGCTAGTCAAGGATGGACGGGGGCTTGGTTGAGGAGCGGGATGAATGGTCTGTGAAGGTTTGCGGAAGAGTAAGTGTGAGTGGAAGTGTAAGTGTAAGTGAAGGCGATGTCAAAAAGGCATGGTGTATTTTCCCGGGGATCACGAAGATGGGGGAAAGAATGAAAAGAGGCGAATTACGTTTAATGATTGGTCGTTACAAGAGTATTCTGCTTTCATTTGCATTGTCTTCGTTTTTTCGTCGGTTGGTACATTCACCATCGCACCACAGCCAAGCCCTAGCAGGAATCTCAAATCGCAAGTCCGGGACAAATCTCATCACCCTGAAGTTTCACGGCATGAGAACCGAGATTTTCTATGGTGTGATATGATATGATATGCTCATGCTTGGTATGTTTAAAGTTAAGCTTAATTTTCTCTCCTGGTTCGTGTGACGTCTTTTGATTTGTATTCTCCGGAGCTTGGCATGTTGTGGGTTAGGTAGATGGGTACTCATGATGATTCTGATGATGATGTTTTGAGAAGAAGTATACTCTTCGGGGAGATACTTGCTGATGCGTGGGGTGTTTCATGGTGGTGAGTTTGTGGTTTTTGTTGTGGTTTGGGATGCTGTTTGTGGTGAGGATTTGGGGGAGCGGGGAGGACACGATGCGTGTGAGGCGGAGTATCACTACTCGTGATGTGTTGGTTTGTGTTGATGAATCTGTAATTGGTAGGAAGATATCGGATATCGGATATCGAATACGTACCGAATATCGACACGAGAAGTCGTGTGCCAGATTGTTTTACATGAGTTTGTGCGATTCGTGTTAGTATGATGTTTCTTGACTGGTGGTTCGAGGATGTGGTTCTTGTGTGCTAGGTGTTATGTGCTTTCGGTTCCGAGGGGGTGGTATGGTTTTCGTCGATTCATGTGCATATATATATTATACTGTTCACCTCAACTTTCTATCTGATTTTCCTTCTTTCTTCAATTCTCTCGACACTTTCTGTGCTCTGCTTTCTTTTTATTTCCTATTCTTCAATTTTAATTTTCTGTAATAATATACATACAATTGACAGGTTCAATTTGATTTACTTAATAACTTTTACACATTTATAACCCCGTTGAATTCTTTTACCACACACTTATTTACATTTTAAAGATATACCCCTAATCATCACTCAAAATGCACACCCAAACCCTCTACACCTACGCGCTGGTCGCACTTGCTAGTTCCGTTCTCGCTGCTCCGGTAGGAATATCTGGTACAGTTGCATCCACATCCGTATCCAAGAACCTAGTCGCTCGCGAACCATTTGTGGTTTATGGGAAATCTTTTGAGGAGGAGAGTGCTGTTTCGTTTGAGAAGGAGAGACGGGTGGATGGGTATGTGTATTCTTTTTTTTTTGTATATCTGTATTCGTATTTGTGTTTGTATTCAAACACAAGGGATATAGATAGAAGATGGGATATGAAAGAAAGATATAACTAACAAAATATAGATTTGCACTCCCGGTATCGAAAACACCGGTAATCTCAAGAGGGAATGAGGGATCATCGGGATCACCTCCTAGTGGTCAGTCGTCGGGATCGAACAATGGGAATGGGAATGGGAATAAACCTCCTCCTGGGCCTCGTCCTTCGAATGGACCAAGTAATAGCGGGGGCCTCCTCCTGGATCGCCACCTTCGTCGAGTGGACCGGGAAATAGCGGATCGAATGGAAATGGATATGGACCTCCTCCTTCATCGAACGGACCGGGAAATAGCGGATCGAATGGCAATGGAAATGGGAATGGGAATGGGAATAAACCTCCTCCTGGACCTCCTTCTTCGAATGGACCAAGTAATAGCGGGGGCCTCCTCCTGGATCGCCACCTTCGTCAAGTGGACCGGGAAATAGCGGATCGAACGGAAATGGATATGGACCTCCTCCTTCGTCGAGTGGACCGGGTGGTAGTGGACCAGGTAATAGCGGTTCGAATGGAAACGGTTCATCGGGATCGTCGAATGGACAGAGTAATAATGGTCCTAGTGGTTCGAATGACCCTAGCTCTGGGGGTCCTAGTGGGGGTCGAATGGACCTTCGAATGGAAACGGTTCATCGGGACCGTCGAATGGACCGTCGAATGGAGGATCAAGTGGAGGATCGGGCGGAAATCAGTATTAAGGAACCAATCTGAGAGCATGGTGAAGAGTCAGGGATAAGGGAAGAATGAGGTCTGATGGAATCCGAGAATGCTTATTCGGGTTAATATATTATGTTTATTGAGATGACGGTACGTGATACGCTGAGCGTATGCACAAGGGGGCAAAGCAAGCGAAAATCGAAGAGTAGGGTATTAATATTGTATATAATTTTTTGTAATCGAAAGAGATGTAGAAATAGACAATCTAGAATTAGAAAATCATCATCATTAACTCTCTCCCCATCCATTCAAAAGACTTCACCTTCCTCTCCCGTCGACTTCTCAATCTCCACCTGTGGAGCATCATCGGCATATCTCTCATAAATAGGTAGATAGTATTCCGTCGCACTCAAAGTCATTTGAATACTTTTTCTCTCCTCAATAGCCTCGACCCATTTCTCCCATCTTCCTCTCAATTCTCCTAACTCCTCAAGATGCAGACCGCCTTTGAAATAATCGAAGACCCAGATACGGAGTGCCCAGGGCGCTAGAACATAATCTACTATACACGGTTCTTTGCCTGCAAAATAAGGTCCAATGGGATGCATTTCCTGCGTAAACTCATAAAGCGATGTAAGAAACCCATCACGAATCGTCACAAACCTAGGATCCATCTGTGAAACCGATTGATACTGAAGAAAGCGATTGAAAGCCGGCACAACACGTGATGTGATGTGATCGGTCCAAATCTTCAATCTGGCTCTTTCGAATGGTTCACGAGTGAGTAATCGAGGGTAGTGAGATGGATAGGCGTCTTCGAGAAACTCGCATATGATTGTGCTTTCGTAGAGGGCTTTGCCTTCGTAGGAGAGGGTGGGAATAAGACCGCGGGGGTTGAGTTTGAGGAGGGATAGGGGTTTCTGGTATGGGTTTACTTCGATGTATTGGAAGGGGATGCGTTTTTCGAGGAGAAGGAGGAGGACGCGTTGGGTGAACGGACAGAACTGGTGGGTAGCGTGAGTGAGTGCGAGATGGTGAAAAGAGGAAGGGGGATGGGGATGGGAGAATGCATACCCATCCAGCATAGAGCTTAACTGGCTCTTCTTTAGAATGTTGTTTTACCATCTCGGCGGCCAAGCCAGTGGCATGTGGAAAGAGATTCGCATCTGGATGTAGAGCAGACATAATGAAAGGGTTGATTGATATTGATCAACAGAACAAACTCAAGATCATTGCAAGGGAAGAAAGAAGTATAACCAGAGGAAAGAATTATATTTCCTCACTCAAGAGATTCATGACTTACCTGTTAACCTACCTGGGTATCCAGTAGTGCAGCGCTTGCCTCTCTAGATCAAAATGCTGTGGATTTCTCACCAATTTGGGTGATAAATTCACGATGATGGGAAAGTTGATTTTCCATGCGAATCGGCCACCAAAAATTCAAGCCACAAATCTTATAAAGGACGAAATGCGGGGGGTTTTAATTGGTTGGGACTCTTTAGATATTGGTAGTTCCCCTCTCTCAACCTAGCTAGGTAGATAATTGTAAAACATTATTATCACTCGAAAAAGAAGGGAAGTAATCAAGAAGAAATACTCAAAGATGTATACATATATATATTTATATATATACTTATCTATATATATACACCTGCATATAAATCCTCGTGATAAAATGGTCATGTTACATATGAAATCCCTACCTAACCTCCCTTGTCCAGCTGAGTAAAGAGTCAGATTCACTTGTCAATTGTGTGGCTGAATAAAACATATGAACAAATAGTGGCGGGGCTATGCGGACCACCTTTTGTCCAACAGACATACATACCTAACATACCTTTTTATTTCTTACCACCATTTGATTTCCACAACTTCGATTTCGATATCGATTTTGACTTTTCCATCGATTTTCAAACCCCATCATCTCTCGAGTCGCACATCCCATCACATCACACAAATACAAACACAGTTGCGGAAATGACAGGACCTTCAACGTAACCCCTCCACTTTTCTTTCCCTTTCCCTTTCCCCATCTCAAGCATCGCTCACATGTGAACTTCACTAACACCATCGCAACAGACCCGGCCAAGAAGGGCCCTCCTTCGCACCTCCTCCTCTCCCATCCGGCTGGATTGCCCAATGGGATGGCAACTCCAAGAAATACTATTTCGTGCAACTCAGCACCGGAGCTTCGCAATGGGATACACCTACGCACGCTGCACCTACGGGACCCACCCCCCAAGCGACACCACAGGGAACAGAACACCCATATGGATTACCGGGAGAGAATGGAAATCAGGGTCATGCGCAGGAGATGGGCGGTGATGGAACCAGAGGATTTGGGGGAGAGAATGCGGGCGGAGATGGGGAGAGGGGTATTGGAGTGAGTTCATTTCCTATGTGTTTTATTTTGGGAAGTTTATCATGCATCATGCTAATGCTATTCTCTACAATAGTCTTTCATCACCAACCAATATCTTAAGAAACAAACCGGAGGCATTCTTGGTGGAAGCAGTAGTGGTTCCGGTTCACAAGGTGGATTGGGAGGACTAGGCGGACTTGCCGGTTCGTTCCTTGGAGGAGGATCATCCGGATCAAGTCACAATAATAATAATTCGCATTCGACGAGTGGAGGTGGTTCATCAGGTATCGCCGGACTCGCCAGTTCATTCCTTGGAGGAGGATCATCCGGATCAAGTCACAATAATAACAATTCGCATTCGACGAGTGGAAGTGGTACATCAGGTATTGCAGGTGCTTTGATGGGCAGTCTATTGGGCGGTGGAAAGAAAACAGATAACGCGCAAAATCAGAATCAGAATCATTCTGGTTCGCAGAATGGTCAACATGGACAAAGTAGTGGAAGTGGATTGATGGGAAGTTTGGGAGGAATGTTTGGTCATCAGAGTCAATCTGTAAGTAAAATCATTCTGATACATTTTGGTATTGTGCTAATCTTTACAATAGCAGGGTGGTGGAAACTATGGATATTCAAACAATAGCAGTGGAAGCCAAGGAGGCTATTCCGGTGCTGCTCCTCCAAGTTCCTATCAACCAGGTGGTGCAAGTCAAAATAGTTACAGCTCTCCAGCTCCTGCACAGCAATCTTATGGCCAAGGAGCTACACACTCTCCATCGTCACAGTCCTATTCTCAAGGACATGCACCTTCCTACTCTCAAGGATCTGCTACATCACATCAATATGATCCACAAAACCCATCTCACGGTATGCCACCAAAACATGAATATGGTGCTCCAGGTCAACAATCACAATACGGTGGCCCTCAACATCAGTCTTCATTTGGACAAGCACCACAATCACAACATAATCAATACCCAGGAGCTCCAGCTTATGGATCTGGTCAAAATTCTCCCGGTGGATATGGTGCACCTCAACATCAACAGCATGGACAGCACCAACAACATCAATATGGTGGTGCACCTGGTCCAGAAATGTCAGGAGGAATGTATGGTGGTGGAGCACCTCCTGTACCACATGGAAGCCATCCTCACCATGGTCAAAATCAACAACATGGCTCACAAGGTGGTTCATCTGGTGGTTACCCTCCTCCTCCTTCGGGTGGTTATCCCGGACAACCAGGATGGTAGTGTTTTTACTCGCGTTATGATATGATGAATATAGGTAGCAATCTAAAAAAAATTGGTGTGTTTGGGATGGTCGGGTTTCTTTTTTGATAGAATGGATATGGCATCCTGTAGATGCAAAACTTGCATGGCTTTCTTTGATGGCAAACAATTCGGAGAAAATGATAGCCTGCTTATTATTATTCATAAATCTTTCTTCTCATGATTTGATTCTTCAGTTCCTATTTTGCATATCCATGTCATGACGTATCGGGAGATATACCAACTTCCGATAGCAAGTAAAATTATATAGGCGATTGTTGGTACCAATGATTGAGGCAGGAGATTGAATATGTAGGGGTCGAGAATTATATCAATTAATACGGGCGGAACATTTTCCATAAGAGTTTGGTTCATGGTGTAATAATCGGCTGCTGCATAAATCTGCAGGAATAAAGTTGATGATGTAGCATCCTTATGCTTGTGTCTGGAGTTGGAATCTTGAATTTGGGATGTGGGATCGGGAAGATCGTTGAATAGAGGTTGATGGGTCTCGGAATATTGTGCAAGAGATGTGATTAAGTCCGAAGTTTCGAATACCGTAGGTAGATCATAAGTTTGAAGCTGAAATGAAGTTGGATCCTGGAGAGAAGGGAGGCAAGGTAGAAATTAGCTTGATTCAGATTTGTATATATGGAATATTAAATAGTGAGTTTTGGATCTCGGGAGTTGCGATGTATGAAATGTGAAATATGAAATGTGGGTGAAATGTGAAATATGATATTAACATGAGATATGCAAGGTGGAAATGGAACAGGAATAAGAATAGAATCATACCGTAGCAGCCCAGCATACTCGCACTTCATATCGTTGTCCCTCTTTCAACCCATCGAGTAGATACCATGATGAAACTCCATATTGTGCATCTGCCGTGGGAAATTCGGCGCGGATATGCGTGCGCAGAGTGTGGTGATCGGGGGTGAGAGATGGGAGGTGTAGATCGGAGAGGGTGGGGTGGGAGAGCGGAATGCTAAGGGCGGAGGGGGCGAGGAAGATGGCTTTTTCGGTGTTGGCGTGGACGGGACAGAGGTGGGTTGTTAGGAGGAGAAGAGTAAGGAGATTGGGTAGGTTGTGGTGGAGGAGAGTGGTGGGTTGCATCTTGGATGGGATGAGTTGGTTGGTTGGTTGGTGTGATGAATGGATGGTACTAGTTTTGGTGTGATTTTAGGTTTGGAGCTGTGTTGTGTTGTTGTATTGCACTATGGAATTCTCGGCTTTTGTTGTATGAAGCTGTATGGTGCTGCCGTATTGCACCTTGGAATTGTGGTGTAGGATTGATTGTGCTGGATCCAGCCTCGTATTGGATATGATTTTCCCTCCTTCCTGAATGTCTTGTGCCAGAATCCGTATGATGATGTTCATCCCAATTATGAATTTCTACCTCCCAGCTCGTCCAGCTACCAATGTTTCTTCTAGAAGTCAGTCAGTCTACCTACTCTGTACCTTCCATCGTATCCCGAGGTGTTTCATATCATTCTTTTCCACTAGCTCACCTTTTTACCAATCAATCCAACCGACTAATCCTTTTTGAGCTTAATTGATCTATCCAAGTGGATAAATTCTAGAAGCTCTGACTATAATTTCCCAATCCTTACTAGCACACAAAACGCCAACGCGGTCGCCCCTTTAGATAAAAATCCCGTTGTTTATTTTCTCTCCACTTTTTCAAGAAGCGACGACTTTAATTCCTCAACATCCTTCCCCTGGTGCTTTCCCAATTCCCCACTATCAAATCCTCCCGAAAAGTACCATATTTGAGCAACATTCTTGCAAGAGATTTCCTTGCTAAGATCATCTTCTTCTTCTAAATAATCTCAAATCTACATCTACCTCTTCACCTATTTACTATTCAATATGCGTGAAGTTATTAGTGTCAACGGTACGTTTCTTCCGACGTGTTTATACTATACACCGCTATAACTAGGGGTTGTTTTGGTATTTTGTAAACATATACAATATTGATGGTGGAAAGTACATACTGATTTGCTTTCTCTATAGTCGGTCAAGCCGGTTGTCAAATCGCAAACTCTTGCTGGGAGGTATGTTTACAAGTTAACAAGACATGTTATCGCACTGTGGTTGTTGCAGGATGTTGACATGGAACTCGTATGACTGACACATGCTTTTCTCTCTTGCAGCTCTACTGTCTCGAGCATGGTATTCAGGTAAGAATCTCCAAGTCTAACAATACCCTTCGGAAGACTTTCGAACCTTCACTTACACCATCTTTCTACAGCCCGATGGATACTTGACCGAGGAACGTAAAGCCGCCGACCCCGACCAAGGCTTCAGCACCTTCTTCTCCGAAACCGGTATGCATACAGTCCATGTACATATATCATGATGGGTCAGATTGCTGACATGGCATTTCAAATAAAGGTCAAGGAAAATACGTCCCACGTGCGATCTACTGTGATCTCGAGCCAAATGTCGTCGATGAGGTCCGTACCGGTACATACCGCAACTTGTTCCATCCGGAACAAATGATCACAGGAAAGGAGGATGCCTCAAACAACTACGCCCGTGGACATTACACTGTTGGCAAGGAGTTGATTGATCAAGTTTTGGACAAGGTTCGCCGGGTTGCCGATAACTGCTCTGGTCTCCAGGGTTTCCTCGTTTTCCATTCCTTCGGTGGTGGAACCGGATCTGGTTTCGGTGCTCTTCTCATGGAGCGTTTGTCAGTCGATTTTGGAAAGAAAGTAAAGTTGGAGTTCTGTGTCTATCCAGCACCACAAACCGCTACCTCCGTCGTCGAACCATATAACTCCATCTTGACCACCCACACTACCCTTGAGCACTCCGATTGTTCTTTCATGGTTGACAACGAGGCTATCTACGACATTTGCCGAAAGAACCTTGGTCTCGAGAGACCTGATTACGTCAACTTGAACCGCTTGATCGCCCAAGGTATGATAGTTTTGGAAATAGGAAATTTGTCTCGTGCTAATATTTTATAGTTGTTTCTTCGATCACCGCCTCCCTCCGCTTCGACGGTTCCCTCAATGTTGATCTTAACGAGTTCCAGACCAACTTGGTTCCATACCCACGTATCCATTTCCCTCTCGTTGCCTACTCCCCAGTCGTTTCCGCTGCCAAGGCATCCCACGAGGCCAACTCCGTTCAAGAAATCTCCATGTCCTGCTTCGAGCCAAACAACCAGATGGTCAAGTGTGACCCACGTAACGGAAAGTACATGGCTACTTGCTTGTTGTACCGTGGTGATGTTGTACCAAATGATGTTCACGCTGCTGTGGCCACCCTTAAGACTAAGCGTACCATTCAATTCGTTGATTGGTGCCCAACTGGTTTCAAGATCGGTATCTGCTTCCAGCCACCTCAAATGGTTCCTAACGGTGATTTGGCTAAGGTCAACCGTGCTGTGTAAGTTAAAGTAACCCCCTTCGAAATGATTTTGCTAATCCCTTTTAAAGGTGCATGCTTTCAAACACAACTGCTATCGCTGAGGCATGGTCCGCCCTTTCCCACAAATTCGATCTCATGTACTCCAAGCGTGCTTTCGTGCATTGGTATGTCGGTGAGGGTATGGAGGAAGGTGAATTCTCTGAGGCCCGTGAGGATCTTGCAGCTTTGGAGCGTGATTATGAAGAAGTCGCGACCGATTCTCTTGAGGGTGATGAGGGTGCCGATGCTGAGTACTAAATCGTTCTCTCGTTCCATATGTTTATCTCCCATGAGATCAAATATTTACAGAGCTTTATTTAGTACTTGACATCGTAGCGTGATGTTCTTTAAGGCTTGTTTTGGAACAGGTTCATGTTTTCCGACAAGCCTATAAAGACATTCTTCCTTTCAACGAATTCATGAAGGAATTTCTCTTGTTTTTTAATCAGAATGCTTTTTTGTAATCCCAAATACCACAAATCCTAGTAGTCAATACAGATACCAATAAGAAAAATCTAGACAGATGTGATTTTTATTTCTAAATAGGATATTCATCGTTTTTGTGTTCATGATCAGTTATGCTAACCAGGAACATGCATTTCTCATCCTCCCCCCTCATTAATGATGCATGAAATTGTCTTGTATGTCATACATCTCATAAAGCTACTAATGTATCACAATGCACGACAATGAACGACAGCAAAGTATAAGAATGTTGAGTTTAGGCAAAGGGATCCGAAATGACAGCAAAATGTGACACAGAAAAGATGTATAAAAAGATTCAGCGTGGTTGCGTTGATCCAATCATTCTAAATGAAGTGAAGCAGATGATGATATGATGGTATGATGGAAATTGATTTGATGCCGATCCGATTTCTCCGCCTTTCGCTTCTGCTGGCTAATTTAATGTTAGGCCTGGGTTGGCTGTGGCTAAGTAGGCAGGTAGTTATTTGTAGCTACTTTACTTTAGTACATTACCGTACATGCCTTACCTTGCCTTGCCTTGCTTTAACCTTAGTACCTTAATCACCTTCGCTCTTAATAAGTACCTACCATCATAACACTGCACTACTTCGTCCGCATTAGGTTGAACTTTGAAAAGAACGTCCAACTCCCACGTTTCCTTATATTTACTACGTACGGAAGGAAGCTGCCTTGGTTTTTTGAATTTGGAAAAAGATTTCTCGTATTTGACTTTTCTGAGTTAGCGTCGGTTCAGGTATTATTTACATGCTCCAGGAGCTTCACGATTGTCGCAAGCGGCTTCAGTGATTATTGACAACTTTTCGTTTTAACAACTGTTCTCGAATATTCAGGAGAGCAGAATGGCCGACGATCCAGGTAAGAATTTCTTGATTTTCTGAGCTTGATGGCTGTCGCGGATAGTGAGGGATGGTTATTCAATAGCTATAGCTACACGGGATCTGCGGATGGATGAATGCGTTTACTAACAGCTGCCAGCGACCCCAGCCTTAAATCTAAGTCCCGAGGAGAAGCGTGTCTTTGGACAATTGTTTCGACAGGCAGATACGGAAAATATTGGGGTTGTTACAGGAGAAGTCGCAGTCAAATTCTTTGAGAAGACGAGATTGGAACCCCGAATTTTGGGAGAGGTATGTCTTATGCTATTTACTTGGCTTACTTGTTTTACTTGGTGTGGCGCAGATGAGTTGTCTCTGTGGGCGATATCATACTGACTCTCTGGCTATTAGATATGGCAAATTGCGGATAAGGAGAATCGAGGGCTTCTGACACCGGCGGGCTTTGGTATCGTACTAAGATTGATTGGACATTATCAAGCTGGACGAGATCCCACCCCTGAATTAGCTCTACGCCCCGGACCACTACCAAAATTCGATGGAGGTTTAGGTAATATCAGCCCTACTGGTGGCTTTCAAGCTCCCCTTGGGCCACCTCCCAGCGCCTTACAACCTCAACCCAGCGGATCCGGTCCAATTCGAGTCCCTCCTCTTCCCGCCGACAAATCATCACAATATGCACAACTTTTCGAGAAATCAGGGGCTCAAGGAGGTATCCTTCCAGGCGAACTTGCCAAGCAGATATTCGAACGCGCTGGTCTACCGAATGAGATATTAGGTAGAATATGGAATTTGGCAGACACGGAACAACGAGGGGCTCTTACATCTACCGAGTTCGTGATTGCCATGCATTTGATCGCTTCGTTCAAATCCGGACAACTACGAGCCCTGCCCAATATTCTTCCTGCTGGTCTTTATGAAGCTGCTACACGAAGAGGACCTGCCAGTCGTCAATCTACCGGCAATGGAGCCATGTCGGCAATTCCAAGACAATTCAGCGGGCAGCATGGAAGGGCTAGTAGTCCTCTCAGTCGACCTGCATTCACCCCTCCAATTCCACAACCTAGCGCTGGAGATTGGGCGATTAGTCCAATAGATAAACAGAAATTCGATACTATCTATCAAGGTCTTGACAGATCTGGCAAGGGTTTTATCACGGGAGATGAAGCTGTACCATTTTTTTCAGAATCGAAACTTCCAGAGGAGGTGTTAGCACAGATTTGGGATCTTGCCGACATAAATTCAGCTGGTTTTCTTACCATGGATGAGTTCGCTGTTGCTATGTACCTTATTCGACAGCAGCGAGGTAAAAAGGACGGCAGAGATTCTTTACCAGCCACTTTACCTCCAAATCTTATCCCGCCAAGCATGCGAAATCAAGTCAGACCGGCACCCATGACTACAGCTCCAGCTTTTGAAGCTCCTCCACCCACAATGCCCAAGTCAGCTGCTGAGGATCTGTTTGGACTAGATGCACTATCATCACCACCACCCGCGCCTATCCAAGCACCACAATTAACTGGAGGTTCTGCATCCTTTGGTGGGAATCGTCAATTGAATACTGATCCTTTCGGAAATGGTGCTCGACCTTTGAGCCCAAGTTCTCCAATTCAAGCATCTCCACAACATACAGGATCTGTCTTCAAGCCTTTTATTCCATCCTCTTCATTTGGACATACCCTTACTGCGCAAGGCACTGGAGGATCTAACAACTCTGCGCCCTCTCGAGGATTCTCGCAGCAACCATCAGTCAGCGAGGATCTTCTTGGAGACAATGATCCGGAAATTAGCAGCAAATTAACCAACGAGACTTCTGAACTCGCAAACTTATCTAACCAGGTTGGAAATTTGGTGACACAGACGAAGCAAGTTCAGGATCAGAGGAATGCAACACAGCATGAATTAACTCAATCCGATTCTCAGAGACAACAAATTGAGGCCCGTCTTGCCCAACTTAGAACAGCGTACGAGCAAGAGGTCAAAGACGTGCGAAGTTTAGAAGAGAGATTGACTGCCTCGCGCAATGAGACCAAGAAGCTTCAAACAGAAAGTGCTATGCTTGAAGCGACTTTTGTGGATCTTCAAACTCAACATGGGCAGATTGTCACAGCGCTGCAAGCTGATCAACAGGAAAATGCCAGTTTGAAAGAGCGCATGCGTGCTGTTAATGCAGAAATCACACAGCTAAAGCCATCGCTTGAAAAGTTGAGATCCGAAGCGCGTCAGCAGAAGGGCTTAGTCGCAATCAATAAGAAGCAATTGGCAACTAATGAAAGTGAACGAGACAAGCTGAAGGGCGAGGCTTCAGATTTGACTAAAAGTATTGAGGAAGACACTGCAACCCTTGCAGCAGCTGCTAGGGCTCGTAGCCAAAGCCCTGTTCAGGCTAGAGCTCAGAGCCCAGCTTTGGTTGCGAGTCCAGCACCTTCTACTATGAGCGCCAACAACCCATTCTTCAAGCGCCAAGTTACTGGTGGAAGTAATAATGATATGGGCTCTCCTTTTGCTACTTCACCCGTGCAGCAGACTGACCGTTCATTCGAAAATGTATTCGGACCAGCATTTACTTCTGGTTTTCCACATCAAGAAATAGCAGCACCCGTCACTTCCTTTAAGCAAGATCTCCCAACCCGACCACAAACAAGTGGTGGATTTGCTACTCCATCCCTTTCGGGGGAAGCACCCCCACCAATGCCTGCATCAAGACAGATAAGCTCAAGCTACTTGCCATTTCCATCCCACGATGATTCTGTAAGCTCATCGCGACAAGTTTCTGCCCCAAACAGCAGATTCGGGGATACTCCCACGGGAGTTGATAACCCAACAAACTTCCTGGGAACCACTCCGACGACTGGTTTCTCTTCCGCGAGCCAAGCTGAACCCGTTGTAGCAGCCAGGGCCATTTCTCCTGATATCGATCGTCGATCCACCGCATCTCCTGCTGTTACAGATACCAAGGAAACAATTCCCGGAGCTTTCCCAGGTGATGATAATTCTAACATTGTTGCCACGCCTACTGGCGGTACTACTTTGAGTGAGCAAGCTGCCGCTGATCCATTTGCAACTACGAAAGAACCTGTACGTTCTGGTACAGCAAAGGATGACTTCGATGCAGCATTTGCAGGATTTGGTAGCTCTGGCAAAGCCCCAGAGCGTTCAAATACTGGAAACTCCGTGGAGCCCGCTGCACCTGTAGCAGCCCAATCTGGATTTGGCCAGGAATTTCCTCCCATCTCGGAATTGGAAATTGATGACGAAAGTGATAGTGCTAGTGAGGATGGGTTTGGTGGTGGTGGTTTTGAAGATGACTTTAACCCAGCTTCTCCCGACCAAGTTAGGAAAGCCCCTGAGAGTCCCGTCTTATCACAGGCTGCGGGTAGTACAACTGGAAGTGCAAAGGAATTTTTAAGTGCACCAGCTTCCGCTCCTACTGCTGGCAGTGATCCTCCAACTCCTAATGCTCAAGCCTCGCCACCTGCTTATGATAAGGCCGTTTCTCCGGCTGATCAAGCACACTCAGAGGTTCAGCAATATTCTGGACTTCTTCCATCTCGAGAAGTTCCATCTCCTGAACATTCTACGTCCTCCGCTGCAGCAGCTCCTCAGACTAGCTTTGGAGCTCCAACACAGCCAGCCCCGCCCGCCAAGGTCCCCTTCGATGATGACTTCGGTGACGACTTCGATGACCTTGAGGATGCTAAAGAAGGTGAAGCAGATGATGAATTTGCCAATGCAGCATCATCTATCCATGAATCGAGAAATGGTTTAGATGACTTCAATCCCATGTTCGATAGTCCACCATCATCTAAACAACAAGATCATTCTAGCAATGCTTTTGGTGGTGACGGTTCTGGATTCGGAGATTTTACCGCATCTCCAACACAGCAAACTGCTGCGCCAGCTGCCGTGAACGATAATCATGATTGGGATGCAATTTTC